CCCCAGCCTGGCCAAAGTTCAGGATCACCGGAATGACACGAGCAAGACATGGCATATCCCGGGTTTCGCAGGGAGGATAGGATTCATCACGAGCATGACGCACAACTTCTGCGGGACCTGCAACCGTCTACGCATCACCAGCGACGGGAACCTCAAAGTGTGCCTCTTCGGCAATGCCGAGGTGTCACTCCGAGATATTCTACGCAGCTCAAACGGTGGTGAGCCCATTGACGAGCAAGCCTTCGAGGCCATGAAGCAAATCGAAATGGACCGGAAGCAAGGACTTACGCCGCCGAACCAAGCATTGGGTATAGACACTCACGAGGCCGAGTTACTTGAGGTCATCGGAGCCGCTGTTAAGAGAAAGAAGGCCAAACACGCCGGTATGGGAGAGCTCGAACACATGAAGAACAGGCCAATGATTCTCATAGGTGGGTAATCAAGCAACAACCCGCCATCATTTCACTTTCATTTCTCGATTTATATATGATGACGGAATGACATGACATGATACCATGGTATTTGGGGATTTGGGCTTCTTGCAAGATATGGCGTATAGGCTTAGCATATTCTCATGGTGTTACTTCTCATCCACTCTTTTTTTCCTATTCACTCCGCCCGCATTCTTAATCCTAATGTAGGATATCAGCTAAATAGCCAAATTGTAGATGACATTTCTGCATCCTTTGCCAGCTACCGGAACGTACAATATCCGTTTAAGAGCTCATTTGCCGTCACCAGAGGTTGGCCATCACATCTCTTCCAGACCGACCGACAATCCCAACACTCGCGGCTGTTCTCGACATCGAGGCACCATAAACAGAAGAGTTCTGCACCTTCCAAAGAGACCACCGCGGCGGCGGGAAGCCCAAGCAACCAGCGCCTCACCCATGTATCCGAGACTGGCGACGCGCACATGGTCTCCATCAGCGACAAGGACGTCACCTCACGCACAGCAACAGCCGCCTGCACGATCCGCTTCTCAACGCCCGACGCCGTCAGGCTCATCCGGGAGAACCAGATGAAGAAGGGCGACGTGCTCGGCGTCGCCCGCGTGGCCGGGATAATGGCCTCCAAGCGGACGCCGGACCTCATCCCGCTGTGCCACCCGATCCCGCTCTCCCACGTCAAGATCGACCTCGACGCAGATTCCTCGGATCAGCAAATCGAGGTTAGGGCGACCGTCAAGTGCGACGGCAAGACCGGCGTCGAGATGGAGGCGCTGACGGCGGCATCTACGGCGGCACTGACGGTGTACGACATGTGCAAAGCTGTGGATAAGAGGATGATCATTGACGGACTGAGAGTGGTTCTCAAGGAGGGTGGCAAGAGTGGGCGGTGGGAAATGGATTGACCGGAGCTATAGCCCAAAGCAAGCCAAGCATGTCACTTGTTGATAGTACCTACGTAATTTCTACTTACGGTGAACGGAAGACATGATGCAGAATACAACGTTCATGTTGCCAAGCTGCCAAGCTCATGGCTGCCTGTTGGTAGCATAGCATTGCCACTCAAAGCTCATGAGGCGAAATAGGTCCGACGAGGAACTGATCCAGAACACCCCAGGACACGATCACAAGTGGATGGTCGGCTAACTCGACCTGCCTTTCCTTCAGTCGTTGATTGGCTTCGGGTTTGGCGAAGAGAGGGAGCGGGACAGCTGCGTATGCACAACATTGCCGACTTGCTCTACTCGGCAATCTGATTGAGTAATTGATTGATACGTAATAGGAGGGGTCTTAGAGCAAGGCCGGCCAATCACAGAAACGGCCACTGTCATTGGAGGCTGGTGGGCGGGAAAAATGAGTGGGAAGTGTGGCGATGGTGGCACGCGACAGTGGGTTGGATGGCCGATAAGAGATCAGGGTGCACCTTATCACATCGGGGTCTGGATAGTATGGAAAAGAAATGGAATCTTCGGCGAGGGTGCACTGACCAAGTTCCCAATCCCCGTTTTGGGGAATATGAACCCGAGCCCATCGATTGGGCGGACGGCAGCAGGCTAGTCCAGCCATTACGTTTTGTTTCCCAGACCGGCCGTTCCACCGGTTACTGTGTTGATGGATCATGGCAGGCCTGTCGGTCAGCCGGTTGGTTGGTTGGCCGCTGTCAAACACTGTCGGAGCCCACCTCAACCGTGTGCCAGCCTTCCCGTTGTGGCTTGAGTCGGAGGAGGGGACCGGCCGCCAGTTTGTGCTAGGCCGTGGAGCTTTCGGAGCTGTTGGCAGCCCCATCGTTGTGGTTTGCTGTACCATTTCATACCTAAGCACTTATGTGGGCAATTAGATGCATTATGCGGCACTTACTGGCAGCTGAATGACAACTATGCGCACGCAGGCAGCGTTTAGACTGGCATCTGGGCCAGCTGTACGACGGGCTGCTTAGCTGTGTTCTCTCTCGACAGTGGTAGCAACGCCAAGGGGGAGACAACAACCTCACCAAACACCAACACAACGCTCCGCGCCAAATCCAGGATGGGGCAAAAAAGAGCGCATAACCCTCGGCCGGGAATCTATTGATGATCCTTCATTGCCAAGTGGAGAGCAGAGGACCGCCGAGGCGCTCGTTATGCCGATTGGGTGCTAATTTTGAGTTGTTTAGCAAGCCAGAGCCCCAGCGCCCCAGTGCCTAGTGGCTGTGGTGGCCTAGGGGTCGCCGACAGCTAGCGGGTTGGACAGCCTGCGCTCTTTGAAGGGTTCAGGGTCGCTCGTTGCTTTTTCTCCCCTCTTCTTTGCTCATTTCAACTCCACAATCTAAGCGCAAATAGTCCATCCGAGCAAATAACTGAGACGACGAAAAGATCTCGTTGCACTCCACATGGGGAACCGTTCATCTCTCGTCGGTGTTGGTTTTTCTTCTTCTGTGCTATCCATGTCTGGGTAGGGAGATAGACTATGCACTGCCCGGGCCGGCCATCACATTCTTGGGGATGGGATTCCGGATCTTGCATTCTCTGAGGTGTGAGTGAAAGGACCTTTTCCTCCCTGCCTCTCCGATCATCGCACATCCCGTGCGTGCATCCCGACGATTATATCCAGAGCTTATATCCATCCACAAGGTGTGTACATGGAGATGTATCACCTGCGCATACATCTGCCCGCATACGATCACGATTACTGTCCGTACGGAGCAGGCAATTGCTGTCTGCAGGCGCCGATGCAGGGAGGGGTTGGTGTCTGGGATACCAGGGCGGAGAAAAAAAGGGCGACTGATGCGAATGCAACGACAGCGCAGACGCACACGGACTCTGAGTCCGGAACTGAACAGCAAGCGACTCGTAATAAGTTTGGTGACAGAGATCTGACTTCCTCTAAACAGGGGCCCCTACCCCATCACGATTGTTTAACCCTTGTCGAGGTTGGGCGCAGGGCCAATGAGCCCGCGTTGATTGAATCAAACAATGGAACTGCAAGAGCCACAATTCCGCCGTTCAGCAAACTCGCGCAGACAGATGCAGCGAGGATTTGCGCGGTCTCTCCCTCCTACCCCTTCTGTTCCAACGGCTTGCTGCACCATGGAATGAGGCGAGCATCTTACCTGCCTCTTCATGTCACCTACAGACTGGATGTTGACTTTCGTTAGTGACGGGGTCTGCTAGACTAAGACTGGCTGCATGCACGTCTCTAGCATCTGATGGTACATCTAAGTGTCTGTCACTTGCCGCACACCACAGTTTGGGCACCGACACCGTGCTTATGCACTAACAGCACTGTAAATTTCTTATCGCGCGCTCTCATTGGCTAGGCGTAGAATAATCCCTGTAGTGTATGCGCTTGAGCTACCTACCTGGTAATAGTGGTAAATGATATACCATAGCATTATGTCTGTTTTGGTTTGGCTTGTTTTCTTCCATGTAGGTAATCCCAGAGCAGTGTTCTCCCCTCCGCCCCCAGAATCAGAGACCGAGCCCTTCGCCTTCCCCTCCCGAGAAGTCAAATAGAGCAGGTTGGAGGAGCGCGTCGTGATGGGGCCAGAGGCCAAAGGAAGGGTCCTATCTCACTCATAGGCTCTGAGACAGCTCCGAGAGCAATGAGACAAAGATTCCGAACGGAAACCAAGTGAGGCGGTCTCAGATGCTCAAGAGGGCATTTCGTTCTCATTGTGAAGAAAGCGGCCCCACTTGCACGAATCAGACAGACCCTTTCCCAGCTACTCAGTTCGGCTGCGGCGTTAATCAGAGACGAGAGGCGTGAATACATAGGGAGACAGGCGCAATGACACTGATGTATGTATCCTTACCGCCTTTGCCACTGCTGCCAACCGCCAATTGCCGTCGCACGATTGTCAGCCCTTCTGGACCCTCCACTATCCCCCAACTTTCAGTGCGCTAAGCCGCCCGTGCATACAGCACAAGCTAATAACGGCGCCTCTCCACCCACCACCACTGCAACACCGCCAAAAGGACTGCCCCCGGGAACGTCGCCGATAACTGTGCGCGCCCCCCCCAGAACCCCCCTCCTCCGGCTGTCTACCTGGTGGTACTTATTCGTATCCCCGTCCTCTTATACATCAACCACCTACGGCCGATACCACCCTCCCCTACCTGACCGGCTGCTATCACATACCTGCAAAGCCAACATAACTTCTCGCACGCCGCACACGCACACACACAATCCGACAAACACCCTGCGTTTTCTCAGATCAGATTTCCTCCGTTGCATCCGCTTGACACCTCTTCCCATCCCCAGATATCGCCTTCCCGCGGTATCCTCGAACGCAAGTCAGCAACCCTCGATCTCCCATTGCCTATCGCAAACTGTCTCATTAGGCAGATCCTAAATTCGGCACAAATACCAAGGGTCCCCTTGCACGACGAGATTCGGCGCATACGCTTCACTTGCCCTTCACCTACACACCTGCTCGCTCTCCACAGTCACACGAGCGACCTCCCGCACACTTCATCCATTTCCTGGGCAGCGTCACCACCTCGCGTCTCAGCTTCCGTGTCAACGTCGACGTCGGTTTTTCAGCCCAACCTTCGAGATCATTTCAGCAGTGTCATGGCAGCCGAGCTTATCATGCCGACGCTCCCAGGCGATCAGCATCCTCACCACCATCACCACTTCGCTACCCAGCGACCTCCACACTCCCGATCTCTCTCCTTCCAGGTCCCCCAGCCACACTCCAACCAGCTCTCTCCTCTTAGCACATCCGATCTCGACAAGCACCATGCCTCTACGCCGTCATCGCCTAAAGCAAAGCATGCGCGCCCAGCCCGGCCGATGTATATGCCCGCCGTCCTGCGACCGAACAGCGACTTTATCTGCCAGAAGATCACTGGTGTGAGCCCAACCAACTCAGACGCAAGCAGCGTTCAAACCGCGGGCCGTCGGCGGCTGTCTGGTGCTGGTTTCATGATGATGCCCGGCTTTTCAGCCCTTGGTCAGCGCCTCACACGGAGAACTACCGGCGACAGCACCAAGAGTTTCGAGAGCGGTTGGGATCTAGATCTTTTCCCTCAAGTTACTGATCTTCCCACTCGGAAACACTGGAAGGTAAGCAACCCTACTCTTGTCAAACCGCTTTTTGGTGCATCATGATTCTAATATGTAATCAAATCCAGCCCGACCCAGAATCCTCCGTTTGCGACGACCCTACCTGCAAGCGAACCTTTAATTATTTCACGAGACGTCACCACTGCCGCAGATGTGGCAATATCTTCTGCGATCCTCACTCGAGCTTTGAGGTTCCCCTGGATCAGGACGCCAACTTCAACCCAAGGGCTCCCCCTTCGCGCACCTGCAACCACTGCTTCGAGCAGTATAGAGATTGGCACAGCCGCAACAACAGCCAGAGCTCCAGCTCTGCCTCCTCAGACGACCAGAACGTTGCACCGCCCACACCAATTGCTGCTATCCCGGGCGCTGCTGCCGCTGCCCTTGCACTTCCCAAGGGTCCCGAAGTGGCAGCCAGCGTCCCTCGCGATTGGAACTGGAGCACCTTTTAATCGAATCGTACGGGCCCGGTGTTGAAGGCTATAGTGTAGCCTTTTCCTCGACCTCCGTTTACACTTACGAAGTGACGAATATACGAACAGCAACATAGAGTTGATCAACTCTGGGTGGAGGGGCAGCGCCCTTCTTCCTGGATTTCCACGCTACAATGCCTCTGGACGAAATACGTTATCTCACCGCGCCGCGGGCTCGGATCGTTTCTTACGTTCTCAAACTTTCTTCTTCCTCCGCCTCTTTCATGCCACTTCCTTTCGCGGAGTGGGTTTTCTCTTCCTGCGGAACAACGTCTCTCACCTAATAGAAAGGGTGTTTTTTTCTCTCTTAATACATTTTCTTAATTCCTATTGCATCATGGCATTTGCATTTCGGATCGGATATGGCTTTTGCTTTACAACTTGGTTTGAATTTCTGGGCAACGGATTGGAACAGACATGGACTGGCATTCTGTTAGCATATAGAAGGAATGCGTCGTTGGTCGTGGCGACCCTTTGGATGGAAATACCCATGGCTTTGCTTTGTATTTGCTTTGTTTTTTTTTTCCCCTTTGCTGCGATTGCTCAACAAATCGCCAAGGGTGGATAGATGATTGGCTCATCATAGACGGTTGTTATTGATTTTGAAAAGAGACATATTTTCCTGACACATGAAATTCGCCCGCTGATAAGAAGTGACACCTTGTGTCGAAGATGTGGTGAAACAACCTTACGGAGGTGGGTTTCACGTAGACAAGACAAGCTTGATTTGCGCCGAGGTGGGCGTCGATGTATCACTTCGTCATACCACGCATGGTCTGAGATGGTTGAGAATGCAATGTTTGATTCTTACGTATGTATGGTTTGGGACCTCGACTAAAAAATGTGAACCCGTCTGCTTTTATAAACCGCTAGCTCCTGAATTGTAAACGCCTGGTTTTTGAAAATCAAATGCAAAGATAATGATGCAATGTTGCTGTGCAAGTCCATCCATCGTATGCTCGTTTCTACACTACAACTTCCCATCTCCTCCAACCCTGATCGTGATAAGAACAACACCCCAAAGTATCACTCCTGGGATTATGCCAAGTTAATCACACTTCTGTGACTTACGCCCTGCGGCGGCTCTTGCCGTTGGATCGCTGGGGCGAGTCCTCGGCGATAGCGCTGCCGTTGAGCATGTTCTCGCCGCCGTAGACCTCCTTCTCGATGCTCTTGGCGGCATCCCAACCAGCCTTCTCGGCCATAACGACGTTAGAGCTCAGGCGGCGAGAGGTCTTGCCATTAGACTTGTGGGCGGCGTTGCTGCGCTTGACGTAGCTCGCGATGAAGAAGCTGACGAACAGGTAGGTCAAGGGCGCGAGGTAGAGGACGTTGAGCCAGATGGCGAAGGACTCCCCGGTGGTGGCAACGCAGCCCTGGGTGATGTAGTAGGTCTGGGTGGTTGTGGAGGCGCTGATGGAGCCGTGGGGAATCTGGGTCCCGTCGCCCTCGCCGCCGAAGACGAGCTTCTTGAGCGAGTCGAAGGTGCCGGCGGCGAGCGACTCGGCTGCAGGGGCGGACCCGGCAGTAGGTGCAGCTGTCTCACGGGTGACGGTGACGGGTGCGACGTAGTACACAAACGAGTGCATCATGGCGTATGAGCCGCCGAGGACGAACTGTGTGATTTGCATGCTGGTGAGAGTGCGCTTCATGATAGTTGGGATTCTGATGTTGAAGGCTGTGAGGGTGTAGTAAGTGTACTGGAAGTGCAGGGTTAACATATGTTGGCCTGATATTCATTCTGGGGTTAAGAAAATCGCATCAAGGGTGATGCTTACCATCAAGGAGTGAATGAAGGAGTTCACAAGAACAAAGATCCAGATCGGAGCAGACATGAAGCGCATACCAGCCCACATGCACAACATTGCGCCGGCATGGTGGTAGGTCTGGAGCACGGAGCTCTGCTTGCCCTTGGCGAGGATGATGAAGGTATCGAGAACCTCGTAGAACTTGCTCAGGTAAAAGATCCATCCATAGTAGGCGAGGCCCTCGTTCCACATGCGGCCAGCTTGGCTCTTATCGGGGAAGCCATCAACCATGGCAGCGCCCTGGGTGGCACTGACGAAGCTCGAGGTAGCCTCATCGTAGAAAACCGAATTTCCAGGGCCAGGAGCACCATGGAGGCGACAGAAGCTGTCCGCAGTGCCTGCCCAACCCATTGGGCCCATTGGGCTGAGGATGCTTCGTCGCATTCCACCCAACATTCCCCAGAAGGTCCATGCTGAATAGACAGCGAGGAAGATGTTGTGGAGAATGACAAAGACGCCAAAGGGCGTGGTCTTGCTGATGCCCCAGGGCTTCTTATTGCGAGACTTGTTGAGCCTGTTGAGCAGCTTGATTGTGACTGCATATGTGATAGCGATGGAAAGGGGGACCTTGGGGTCGAGAGCAGAGACGAAAAGATTATCGGGGATGTTGAAAGGATGCATAACGGAGTTGGGCTCATGAGTAGGCGGGATCGGAGTTGGGTTGTTGGTGGGCGGGAAGCCGAAAAGGCTCTGGTCCGGCAGGGCCAACATCATCTCCAAAGGCTCAGACATGATGAAGAGGGCTGACAGGTGTGATGCTAGAAGATGATCGAATCCCAAGTTCTCAGACTTGCAATTGGAGCTCAAAGAGAGAAACGAAGTGAGGGAAGTCGCTGGGAACCACAGACCCGGAGTTCTCTGGCGCGGGCGGATATAAAAAGTTGGACCAGAGCAGCAGGGATAGAGTCAAAGGGTCAAAGGAGGAGAGGGACCGAGATATGGATCAGAAAATAAGGACCAGGGGAGGAAAAACCTGCCATGGATCAACAAATGCACAAGGTACCTGCTCGGCCGGCTGCTAGTAGTTAGATTGCCGTGGATGAGGTATGGAGGAGGTGGAGGTAGGTCACAGCATCGGCCGGGGACTCAACAAGAGCTCAGGTCGCTGCATTATTGGCGCGCAATGCTGGGCGAACTCGCCATCGTGTTTCTGCTGCAGCGACAAATGGCCGGCTGAGTGGTGAAACAGGTGGCAAGCAACTCGCTCAAGCCATTGGGACAGTATTCAAAACGCTACAACTACTACTACTTAGGTACCTCTGAGCAAGCACGCTGGCGTTTCCTCTGTACCTACCTACAGACAGGCATGATGTCTGCTGCCCGGCGTCTCGCGGAACCTTCCACCAGAAGGCAGGCGGCAAGCATACGAGATCTCATCGCTATCCTGGTCAGATTGATTTCTGATCTAGGGAGGCAGGCAGCTCTGTTGAGCTGGGTTTTATCGAGAAGGAACCTCGGTCCGTCTGGCTGACCAGTAGGCATGTGTTTACTTTCCTAGATCAGCACAAGCCCAAGGTCTTGCCAGATGGGCGGGAGCAGGGGTCTAACAGGTCCCTGAATTTTCCTAGTTTAGGCCCCAAAGAACCAGAGCGCGGATCCCGACGCTACCTGGTGGCTGTTAGCAGGCCGCGCACTCTCTACGTGAGCCACTATCGTTCCGCCGGTAGCCGATGGCCGGGTGGAGAAGTCGGAGCCGGGCCCACCTCTCAATTTGTTGGGGATGCGCTAAGACGCAACGGGTCACACACCGACAACTCCTTCTTCCAATGAAGCAATAACGTGCGTACCTCCTTCTCACCTCTTGCTAGACATTTAGGCCGAGGGACAATAACGGACTCCGCGTTTAAAGTGGCAATTTATTAACTCTGTTGGCCTAGATCAACGTCTATGAAATTGGCGCTTGGGCTTCGGCGCTATACCTTGGAACGCAGATCCAATCGTTCGGAATGATGGCATTGACTGAGAGCATGCGGGTAGCGGGGGTAGCGTTTTCAACAATTTTGACTACTCACCTGTAACAGACGCTCCGTTGTGACATGGCTGTATGTATGTATGACCTTTAATAGTGGAGATGTCGGAGCCCCGAGGCATCAGCCAAGCCGTATCCAACAGCACCTTGGACGATGATAAGTTTTGCTGAGGTCGTTTATGGGGTAAGATGTTGTACGGTGAATCCCGGGATCGTGCCCCCATGCGACTAATCCGCGGGGTAGACGTCTGACGAGGTACAGCTCCCTCATTTCTGAAAGAGAAACACAATTAATACTTCTTCTAGCGATTGGTTGAATTTGTCATTGTGAACATCTCCTGCCAATGAGTGGACTGAGGAGTCCCATCGAGATATTGGCATTATCAAAGGATGGAGTAATAGACATGTCGGGACCCAAGTCTTGCAGATCGACGCTCCAGGCCCTTGTTCAATAGCTGACGACACTCCGTCTTGTCCATCACAGTCACAGTGATTGGAGCCAATATCCTTGTTTCTAGTCATTCCTCACAGGCTTGTGTGGTATTCTGGCTCGTGTTGAATGTCTAAAGCTTGGCACGGGGCGGACATTAAACAAAACGCCGGTCTCAACCTGCCACAAAAGTCACAAATCTGGAGTCCTTCTGTGTGGCGCGTATTATCCCACCCATATGTTTGGGTAGAGTGGTGAATGGGCAACAGCTCAACGAAAAAGCCAATGTATGTTTGTCCTGCCTCTTGGGGCGGCTTGCATACACAGATCCTTAGTATATCAAATTACGTAGACGTTTACCTGCCAATTTCGTAAACTCGAGAGATCAAATAAAGATAGCCATTCAAGGCTGGTCCAAGTAAGTGTGCAAATATCATTTGCCCGGATTCAAACAATTCTGGTTCTTCGCAAATAATCCGCTGCACTCCGAGTTTTTTGCTGGTGCGGCCTTCAACCGAACTGAACGCATTAGTTTGACTACTTAAGTTAATTCACTACGAGGGCGAGATGACTGAAGGAAGAAACTTACCTGAACTGTTTGTAGTTCCTAGAGAATGTTAATTGAGAACCACATATCGTAAAATATAGGGTCTACCTACGGCATCGTCCTACAAGAAGAACTGTATATTAGGATGCTACATAGGTAGACATGGGGATTTCCGCCCAAGTCGCGATACAATTAGCGCCGCCTGTCCACCAAAGAAAGCATATCTACACAGTTCCTAACCAACTGCATGCTTGATTCAGGTAATTGTTCCACTGGGTCAGAGAGGTGGTACCCATTGTTTATCTTGGTCTTGATAGACCTCGGCCTTGTCATTGAGAAGATGGCTGACATTCTGGTCACTGGCCGACGTCTTTGACCCTGGACCATGCAAATGTTTTAAGGAACCGCATGTGGAAAAGAGATGGCTTCGTATAGTGAAGACCGGCGGCGTAGTCTCGCGCAAGTCGGGAGTAAGAGTCTTGGTCAATGGCACAGGGAATTATGCATAGATCTCTGCCGCCTTATTCTGTCTTTGCCCAGACGTGAGGGGAGAGGCGAAAGCTGTGGCACCTTTGATACTAATAACATGAATCTTCCCGAGAAGCCTCACTGTCCTACGTTTATTGATCTACTCGGTACAATATGTCACATTTCACGCGATCGCGAAGGGGGAGATGAGACTTCGTGCTTGTCACTCTTTCCTAGCACTCAAGTAGGGCGTCATCGATAAGAGCCATGTCAACGTCATTGGTGAACTTCATGTAGTCAAAAGCCTTGACCTTTCCGTGCTTGACAATTTCGCCAGTTACGGACCAAGGGCTGCTATCCTGGCCGGAGCTCTTGCTAGCCTTAGGCTAGGCCTCAGAGGCCTCAGGTTTGGTAGCGTTAGCCATGGCTGAGTAGAAACTATTTGAAATATTCATAGCCGAAGATAGAATTTATAAATTCCCGTCAATGGCTCTCAGGTTGTCTAGACTAATAGGACCTACATCGTTTGAGTAAACTATGGTTGTGACTCAGAAAGGCGTATTGAAGCATCAGAGTGATGGAGGGGTAACGCGTACGGTGTGACTCCTCAAAAGAAGCATAGAAAAAGGCACTGTAATATTTTACAGTTGCATCCATGGTTACATTCTCTCCCTCGTGAAGGGCTCCCATATATGGCTCGTATTAGTAGAAAATTAAATGAGTGAGGTGATATTGAACGTTTCAGTTGAATTATGAAAGGAGAAGAGGAAGAAGAAGCTTTGCTAATGTCTTTTACACGTTAAAATTTACAATGCACTTTAGCGTACTAGTCCTAAAATTCCACCGGAGAGGTGGGATCAAGAGCAATTATGACTCCCCTCCATCTCTTTCTTTTGCATTTTTGGCGGGGTTGTGCTGATAAAAATTTGGGACAGATAACGGCCAATGCTCAGCCCATTTGTAAGCCTTTCTGAACAGACAAACAAGCAAACCTGCAACGATTCCCCCTCTCTCCACGCCAACTCCCTTTACGATTGAAGCTCGAACTGCGACACTGCCTTCGCGCCCCCCGTGACAATGTCGCGAATCAACCAGCCTTCCAACCAGATCAAACTCACCAACGTTTCCCTGGTACGTCTGAAAAAGGGCAAGAAGCGTTTCGAGATCGCCTGCTACAAGAACAAAGTCCTCGAGTGGCGATCCGGAATCGAGACAAACCTCGACAATGTGCTCCAGATCCCCAACGTCTTCCTGAACGTCTCGAAGGGGCAGACGGCCCCCAAGGAAGACCTCGAGAAAGCCTTCGGCAAGGGCAAGCCAGTAAATGATATCATCCTCGAAATTCTGAAAAAGGGCGAGCAGCAAGTGGGGGATAAAGAGCGCGCAGCCCAACTGGAGCGCGTTCATAATGAGGTTATAGCGATCGTCTCAAGCAAGCTCGTCGACCCGCGGACGAAACGAGTCTACACGTCGGGCATGATCGAGAAGGCGCTCGACATGCTGAGCTCGCAGGCCCACAACACTGACAAGGCTGCCGCTGGTAGTGGCGCCGGCACACCGGCGACGGGAGAAGAAGGGGAGGCCAAGCCCAGGGCAAACTGGACTGGTGTTTCTACGACAAAGAGCGCGAAGAGCCAGGCCTTGGATGCGATGAAGGCTCTGATAGCCCATCAGCCCATCCCCGTCGCTCGCGCACGGATGAAGCTACGCATTACTTGCTCTACTAGCGTTCTGAAGCAGGCTGTTAAGTCGAGCGGCGCCGATAAGGGAGCAGCATCTAAGGATGAGGATGGCGAGAAGAAGGCGCCTGGAACGGTCAAGGACAAGATCTTAGGGTACATTGAGCAGGTGGAAAGTCAGGACGTCATGGGGTCGGAATGGGAAGTCGTTGGATACGCCGAGCCCGGCGCCTTCAAGGCACTCTCTGATTTCATTGCCAACGAGACCAAAGGCCAAGGCAGAGCCGAGGTCCTGGACATGGCTGTGACGCATGAAGATTAACAAACGCATTGGTAATGATTTATGATACCCAGCCAATAATTTGAACAATCCCATTCACGGACACCACAAACCAGGCATTACTTATCATTTCCAAGTACACCAATCATCGCGGGGAGAGTATGAATAACTTTAAAAAGGACACGTTTTTTTCTTCTTTGAATGCTTTTGGTTCAATATCTCTGAACTAAGAGTGAAAGACCCTTGCCAAATAGCAAACCGTTCAAAATGCTCAGAAAGGTGCAGAATCCAGCCATCACGCCTGTGTCCACCCTATACCGTAAACAATCATAACCTTTAACCACCCTTCTTCTTGGAAACACCGACGGTTCGGCCACGGCGACCAGTGGTCTTGGTGTGCTGACCACGGACACGGAGACCCCAGTAGTGACGAAGACCACGGTGGGCACGGATCTTCTTGAGACGCTCAAGATCCTCACGGAGCTTGGAGTCGACACCGTTAGCCAGAACCTGGTAGTCCTTGCCGTCGACAATGTCGCGCTGCCTGTTCAGGAACCAGGAGGGGATCTTGTACTGGGTGGGGTTCTGGATGATGGTGACAATTCGCTCGAGCTCTTCGGAGGTGAGCTCACCGGCACTATTGGCAGCATGTTAGTATTCCGTAGCACGCCCCCGTCCACAGAATTCGATGCTTCATACCGCTTGTTCAGATCGACATCGGCCTTCTTGCAGACCAAGTTGGAGTAACGACGACCGACACCCTTGATCTTGGTCAGGGCGTACATGACCTTCTGCTTGCCATCGACGTTGGTGTTCAGAAGACGCAAGATCTAGAGAGGGAGATTCCTGTTAGCCAAAAACATGTTCCATGCCTCGAAAGTTGCGTCCAGAGTCGGGGGGACGGCGGCGACGTGCTGCGGCGAGCACGCGCACCATTGCTCGCGCGGATTGATGTGGTGATGACTTACGAACTGGAAGTTCGTCTTCTCTCCTGATACGAGCGACATGATGGGCAACTGTGTTGATGGTTGCCTTGTGCTCGGATGGATGTTCGATGCTTTCGAGATTAAGTGGAAGCAGTGAATTCAATGCCCTCGCTACACATGGTGGAATTTTCCCTGTGGGGCCAGAGTAGGGCACGAGTTGTGCGCACACCAAAGTTAGTCACGTGCATTTATTTTCCTGGTGTTCCGAAGTTAGCCCTCACGACTGCTATCGTATTTTTAATTTTACCTGCACCTCCCGTTTCTAACCTGGTTCGGCAGAAACTGTAGGAGGACCCTCATAACTCTCCATCGACCAATCACGACACAGGCAACAGATTGCACCTAAAAATTGTCTGTTGAGTCTGGCGTTTCTACCTCCTTCATGACCAGCCGCGATTGAGTAGCTGTTTTTCAAGCGCGTCTAGGCTCATGGTGCATTCGCCCTGGACTGCATCGAGGGTAACTCCTGCTGGGCTAGTACAGATGATAGATACGGTCATCTCTAGGATACACGGCACAGCATAGGTAGGTTTCCTTACCCCCTCATACGTAAGGACCCAGGGGGTCAAACAACCCATCGTCTTCTGCCAATGCTCGGTCAATCTACAATCATCGATTGATCTTGAGCCGGATGCCGGGCGCAAGCTTAGGTATTAGACGAGAGCAACACCGACAACGCTTTTTGAGTACGGAACCTTCAGTGATTTTCACCAAATGGGGGCTTTCGTAATTTATCTGTTGTTACATCTTCCCAAACTCGCTGGCTGCTGGCATACTCGTGTCATTTTGTCTCCCGGCATTTAACACGGTCTAAGCACAAACGTATAAATTCGTGAGCCGAGGGTATATATCCCTCAATTGCTTATTCTCACATCCTGTAATCGCCTGGGATAATTCATGTCGTGCTACCTGGCTATTGCTACTTCTCAAACCAAACTTCCTCCCCCTTCATTGACTTCAAGCTTCAACACTTGTCCCAAACGTTTGAGGAAACCCCGTGAAAGAAAACCCAGACCAAAACTTCTTTAGCCCATCAAGTACTCTGCGGCTTGATTAGCATTCGCTCATCAGCATACTGGACCGTTTCACATACCGTATTAGCATTGCGTCCTCATCTTATACTTGTTCCTGCAGCAACTCATGAAATATTCAAGGTCGTTCGTCTGGCAATCATCCCCGATCCCCCCAACAATACTACCCCCAGAAATACCACAGCAATCCATGCTCGCGCCGTGGATTATAACGTTGTTCTGTACGCACTTGCAGCCAGCGGCAGAAGAGACGCCGAAAAGTGCCGCGGCGATAGCGGCCATCATGGGGGTTTGGTACTTCATGTTTGAGTTGTAATATATTGAATTAGCGTTGACTGGGATTGCCGAGTAGAGGTAGAGGAAGGAAGTTGGGAGCTTCAGGCATATAGAGCCATCTCTCTATTTATATTTTGGCTCTGTGCATACTAACTTGTAGATTGTTCGGGAGTTTCACTTCCCGACATTGAGACACTTGGTTGAGTCGGTCACCCGGCTAGTGAAATACGGCGGATCATATTACTGCTACATTCCTTCTGGTCTGATATATCCTCCCTAGTGTGCAGCCTTCATGGCCGTCTCAGGGTGTGAGTTCAAAAATCGTGCAGTTGTTCCCATTTCCCCGAGTTGCAATGGTATCAAAATTTCACTTATGCAGCCTACAAGTCAAAGAAAATAATTAAAGAAGTCGTTCCGTGGTTGCGGTGGCAACTTGCAGAAGCAGAGAATCCAGGCTTCCTCGCAAAATGTAGGTTGAATCCACAGCTGAGACAATCGCGGAAATGGTTCCAGGTTTTGGGTCTGGTGACTGCATACCGGCTTCGTAAAGGGAGGGAAGGTTTTCAATGATGGTGTCCATGACAATGCTTACGAGCCGCTGCCTAGAAACGCTTGGTCCTGGCTCGGAAGTGTCTCAAGAGAAGGCTGAATAACAATTAGCACCGATGCAACGAGAGCCTGCAGTGCTAAAAATGTATCTGGTATGTAGAAGAATGGGGAAATATCACATTGGAGATCAGCTCCTATAAACTTCTTCTAAGAACTGCAATGCCGGAAGCGCGGACATCAGCACTGACTGTGCTATCCATTCATGTTTATTGGAAAAGAAGATCGGAGGAGAAAGGAAGGTTAGAATGAACTTCAATAAATTCATAGGCAGTCTAAAGTCTATCTAGATCTCTTTCTCAACGCCATATCTCATTGCTCATATCCCGATATCCTATATCGTGTGTGTATGTCCCCGTCGCCGAGTCATTATATAAGGAATCTTTGAATCCTATTGAATCTCGGTCGCTTCTATACTTGGAACCAATAAAGCCAGCCCAAACGCCAATAATGTAGGTGATGCATAAGAACTCTGGGACGTGCTCTCTATTCGCCCCATCGTCCATCGCTCGTTGTAGTGCCGGAAAACCGCCAGAGCCGACTCCAGTGTCGGTCTCGGCGATTTGTCCGGGTGCGCGAAAATGAAAAACTCCGCTCGTAAACCCCCCGCTTGTAAACTCCGCAAATGCCCAGAATATCGAAAGGCTGCATCCCATACCGGGTGAAACCGTTCGGGCATTATCCACAAAAAGAAAAGAAAGAAAGCGACCAATTCAAAGGCGCTCAATGAAATGGTAGTGGGCGCCTCCATTGTGGCGAGTGTGTGAGGACCAATGCGCCGAGATTGAACCCCCACCCACCCCATCGGGGGCTTCGTGGATGGTGGTGTGGAGGGGCGCTTGGTGGCTTTCCGCATTGGCGGGCGCCTCCTTTTCAGATCAGTCGTGGTTCGTCAATTGACGATGACCTCGTTCCGGTGGTGGTGTCATCCGGAGCGATGGAGTCGCCGTTGATGCTGGGTGCCCGGGTGCAGCAGGGACTGACACCGTCGAATTCGAAGTCGTCTATTACCTGGCTGAGCCGACTGGCGCTGGAGCCAAAGGTCATGGTGAAATGGCTCAGCATCTCCTGGTGGCGGATGTTTGTGGTGGTGAGTGGTCGATCGCGAGGGTGGACGGGCTTGGTTCTCTTCTTTTTCTTCTTTTCGTTGTCGTGGTCGCTGGTCCTGTCCCTGTCGTTGCTCCTCCATGACGAGAAGAATCTCGAGGTGTGATGTCGTAGCGAGGAGCTCGTGGACGTGGAGCTGGTCTCAGAGGCTGAGGTGGTGGCGGTTGTGGTGGTTGTGATGTTGCTGCCGGACTGCGAATAATCGCTGGAGGCGTCGGATTTGTGCAGAGCACGTCGGACACGGTCGCGGATCGCCATTATGATGATCGGTATATTTTCGCCAGGTTGATTTGGAACTGTTCAAAGATTCTTCAATACACTGGCGGGTGCCTATAGCGCAGTGCCCCTGTAGCCGCACGTGGTGCCTGATGTAAGGGACAGTTGAGTGTTGCCAGATAGAGAGATAGAGTGCGACGTTGTACTCTGATCAGGCGGGAGAGTGGCAGGGAAGTGCTTGCGATGATAGGGACGGTACGATCAACACAACGCACGACGGCGACGACGAAAGCCGAAGATGAGATCAAAGTGAAGTGGATATGTCGTGTGGGAGGAAACGGTTGACTTTAAAAGTCTCATGGATTGAGCTATAAATCAATGCGCAGCAGAAATAGGACGGATAACCATGTTGGCTTTGGGACATCCTGGTTCCCCCATGATGGCAGGGCACCACCGGCAATCTACGGGCTTCTGGATTGGGACCCATAACCACTTGTCTAGTCGCTTGACGGTCTCGCCCATCTACCTACGTCTACGTACGTGCATCTCCACCATCCACCTGCGCCGGCCAGTCCTGGCACTATGGAACGGCTGACGGGCAAACCTGGAAGGGTACCTCAGTGGCTGTGGGGTGTGGACGTTTGCAGAGAGTACCTCAGCCAGACAATCTTCATCGATTGCTGCCGCTAGTGTTACGGAGGCTCCGCATGACGTTGTCTTGCCTCAAATCCGTGCCCTGTCCGTCCTCCATACATCTACTAAGTTATGTACACCATTTCAAGCGCCAACCGGGCAACCATGTCGGTACCGGCCGTGGGTATCAGACAGGGTCTAGGGTGCTCGTTGCAGCGCTGCTTTTGACGTTGGAGGTGGCAGACCCAGATGCACCTTGGCTAGGCATGCAATAGATTCTAACCCATGCATGAATGCAGCGCTCGGGTTATCAATCGTGGGCGGGCTGAGGCCGAGATCCCTGCTAATACCTGCGTTCAATCTTCGTCGGTGTTATCAAGCAGAGACACGTTGCTCTGGTGAAGCTCAAGGTCATGTTATCTCGGTGTAAAGAGACAGACCAATGTTGTACTTGTCTGTTGTACTTGTCTGCTTATGGGAACAATCATCAGGGGCTTCCTGAAGCCTGTGTGTCTGCCTACCTCCTGATCGCCGTTGGACTAATACCTACGGTTAGCATCTACTATTTTTGTGGCCGAGCGGGCTGAAATACCATTAGACTGGCACCTAGGGCAGTCGCGGTTCATCAAACCCTTTTAGTCTGGGTAATCACCCAGCCCGTCATGGTTGGCTACCGGGTCGTTGTCTACGTTGGATGCAGGCTTCTTTGCCGCAAAGATGCAGCCTCAGACCTGAAATAGATGGCTGTTTGATGAGCTATGCATCCTTCTTCCTCAGACGGTAGTGCATTCGGTGAAACTCTCCGAACTGGCACTGGCCCATCCGATTCATTCCATGGCAATCAGGGTCAGAGGGAGCGCTTGCGGGATTTTCCCAAGAGCAGCTCTGGGGCTAGTCTTGAAGCGGGAATGGGTCCAAGATTCATCTCACTAAGGCAGAAATTAATTGATGCCTACCCGGCTTGGGGAGGTACCTTCAGGGCTTCTCCACTGCCAGGTCTCTGGAAGGTACGTACTGCGCCTACCTAGTGGGTGGGTGGTACGGCTGTCAGTCGGCGGCTTCTTCTCTTTATTCTAGATCGTCTTGGCTAAGGTGGCTTGCATCACGATCGCTTCTAGGGCCTCGCCTTCGCCGGTGTCTTTGTGCATGTCTTCAATAGATTCCAGCGCCACGTCGCCGATTAGAAGCAGAATCTTCCCATGTAACCACATCGTTGATCTGCTGAGGAGCGGAAACCCTCCCACTGGACCCTCGTATTTGTCCCAGGGCACCCTTCTGTCAACGGAAGCAGCGGTACGGGGGGCGCGCTCCAACATCTCCAGACTTGAACCCCAAAGCAGGTTGACGCGGAGGCCCCAGAAAACCGGCCCAGAAGGAGGAGGCATGTACGTAAGAACATTGGCCTAGACATTGCCTCCAAGTCGGTATGAACGCACATTATACGCACCAACAGCCGGATTCAACCCTGGCGCCCCTTGCTCTCTGCGCATCGCTCTCTACCTTTTCGTCAGGCCTAAAGATTGAGGTTGTTTGGGATTATACGTGCGGTACACTAATACCAGCCGGCTGGTGACATCTCGGCACAATCCAGCTTACCGCACCCCGATGTTTCCGACCGCCCGTTAGACGCGACGTTGCAGCCGCCCAGCAATGAGATCGCCGCACGCACCGTGGCTGACAGAAGGGTGTGCGAACAGAGTTTTCTTTGGTTCTGCCTGCCTTTGTCTTGCTGCCTTCCTTTTTCTGTTGCTTGGCGATTCAAATTGTGCCCGGTATGTATGGTGCGTACCTTCAATAGCGCCATTGTAGGCCGCCTTTTCACCCAGTCGTTCAGTCATTCGCTCATATGGCCATTTAATCAAAGCGGAACGGCATACCAATCATTTTGAAGGACATGTATGATAGATGTGACGGGTGATCTTCCCTGTATTGAAATTTAAGATCATGTACCAATAGACAACGCTGCAGGGATATTGGGGTGATGGCTGACTATGATTCTCGACTACAGCGCCGCACTCCAGCAGTAGCATTACTATTCTTGTGACCTCCCTATACGTGTAATACCATCTTTTAATAGCACATTTAATAACAAGCACGATGAGCAGGACGAAATAACGATCATTGAAAAGCCCTTCTTCACCCACTTGCTCATCAGCTACAACGGCATAAATCGCATCTTACATCCCGCAGCAGGGATACTGATTCAGCACTGATATATTGTTTCCAGCCGCCGTAAGACCAGACATGCCTTGTGTCAGTGCTAAACTGCCAAACTGTCCACGTAACATGTTGTCGGTAGAGTAAGCCCAACCAATTATCCCATTCCGAGGCTTCCCGATCTACACCCTTTCCTGAAGGTCTGGCTGCAGGAGGCGAATATGGAATTTGGCGTTCCAATGATATTCGGGCCTCTAGAACCTGAGCGATAAGCTGTTTTCACTTCGTCTCGCTCTATCCAATGTTGCCCCATCCTGTACGTGTTCAAGTGGTCTTGGCTCTCAACAGTGAGTCCCCCAGTCGCATGGCTGCCAGGATACCTAGGATACCCCACAACTGGATGATCAGCTGCGTCCAAAGACCTTATCCTGACAGATGTTCCACTTCGAATGGCTAAACAGTGCTGCGACGATGCAATATTGTGTCGGTGCTGGCCCCGCCTCACTGACCAAACATTGTGCAAAGCATGGTCTTGAAGAAGGGCTAAGCGGCTATGAACGAGACATGGGCAACCCTGGTTTAGCTGAGCGAGGCTCCAAGATACTCCAGTCGACGAGCGTCATGTGTGGCATCAAGCAAGCGAACCGACAAAAGAAACTACCTCTGTACTGTGGGTTGAGGTAGCGGTGACGAAGTGTCGGCTTGGCGGAGGCCCCGCGCCGTCGTCATTGATCCTTGACGCCGTTGATGGGAGCCTAGCAAGTGACGATAGTAGGGCTCGAGCTATGTACTGCCTTGTTTAGCTCCCAGGCATACTCTTGCCCAAGAAGTATATCAAAATATACAATCCTCCTGTGGCAGAAACATGGGGGCTTAACCCAAAAAGCAATGGATTCCTGCATCAGCTTGGCAGAATGACGCCACAATCGATATAGGTAGCTGTTAGGGAAGGTAGTGCTGAAAATCAGTGGTCGCTGCTGCAGAATAGCAGGTGCCTAGGTACCTAGCTATCAGCACCTCTGTGCCTACTAGATCAGGCAGATGAGCCTGCGCTATCGGATTCACGTTCAATACGAGATGCCCCCAAATGATCAGCATCATGGGTTTAGCCTTGTAGATGGATTTTACTGAAGCACTATGGAAATGGCCATAGGAGCAAGTTGTCCTGTTACATAGTCAAATGAAGGCCTGGTGGTCGTCATAGTGGTACCTGCAGTGGCCACCTGGTAGATGGCACCTGATTGGCTGCATCCTAATCAAGAGATCAGGTACCGTGATCACCCATCTGAGGTGATGCAAACCAGAGCAATTGGCCAGGTGCCTCTCAGCCCAAGCCTCGTACGTGTGCGTGCATGGCGCCCGTGACTTGTCTCCCAACTACCATCTCCCACGGTCATGCCTAGTCGTCGCCTCTACATTCCGACACAATCCATTGCCGAACCCTTCAGCAAAGCATCTGCGACTTGCAACACGATGCACCAACCCAGACTGCTAAATCCATCGGCTGAAGGCTCGTGATCCATCGCTACAGTCTACCTCTCGCTATTTCTACCCAACCTCCCATCGATTCGGCCGAGCAGTATCCTTCCTGTGGCTCAACGAAGAGGCATTCTCTTCTCCCCGCAGCAGCCTATCGGTGCCGGCCCATCATGGCCTCTTCATCGTCTCACCTGCCGTCTTCTTCCCGCGAGGATCAGCTCCGGGTATCGGTTCACGAGCCGGACCATCCAATGAACGAGAACTCGCCGCTTCTGTCAGCAAATGGTGATAGTAGTCGCCCTACCAGCCCCGATGCTGACGATGCCGACGCCATCGACGAGTCTCAGGAGACCAAGAGTTTCTGGTATTTAGTGTTGCTCGCTCTCGGTATTGGTGGTCTCCAGCTTGCATGGTCCGTGGAGTTGTCCAATGGATCTCCGTATCTGTTGTCTTTGGGGCTGAGCAAGTCGCTTATGGCGCTCGTGTGGATTGCAGGCCCTCTAACGGGAACTCTGGTCCAGCCTTACGTGGGCATGCTCAGCGACAACTGCCGCCTTCGTTGGGGTAAACGGAAACCGTTCATGGTGGGAGGGGCCGTGGCAACCATTGTTTCGCTGCTCTTTCTATCCTGGACAAAGGAGATCGTCACTGGCTTTCTGGGGTTGTTTGGAGCCGATCCCCAGTCAGCTGGTGTTAAATATTCGGTCATTGTCGTCGCAGTGATAGGTATCTATATCCTTGACTTTGCTATCAACACTGTCCAGGCCGCGATTCGAGCTTTCATGGTTGATTGCGCCCCTGCCCACCAGCAAGAGGCGGTCAATGCCATGGCAAGTCGGCTTACGGGAATTGGGAATATCCTTGGCTATATTGCTGGAAATCTGGATCTTCCCAAGTATCTGTGGTTTCTCGGCGACACCCAGTTCAAGATCCTCTGTGCCATTGCTTGTGTTGCACTCGGAAGCACCATTCTACTCAGCACGACAGCAATCAAAGAGAGAGACCCGCGGCAGGATGGTCCCCCTCCATCGGACCGACCGGGTGTCTTTGTATTCTTCTTCACCATCTTCAAGTCAATCAAGCGCCTACCCCCTCAAATCAAGAAGGTATGCAAGGTGCAATTCTTTGGTTGGGTAGGATTCTTCCCTCTTCTTTTTTATACATCTTCCTATATTGGCGAAATCTATGTGGAACCATTTCTAGAAAAGAACCCCAATATGACACCGGAAGAGCTCGACAAGCTCTACGAGCAAGCGACAAGAGTTGGCACATTTGCATTACTGGTTAACTCCATTGTGAGCCTGATGACCAACCTGTTTTTGCCCTTTTTCGTTGCGCCGACATACGGCCACCAGCCTCTCATGAGTGACGCCCCGAGCGAGACCGAAAATTCCTTGAAAACGTACGACGATGACCATTCCATATTGGACCGTCTTCAGATCCCCGGCTTCACCCTCAGGCGTGCATGGTTTGGCTCATTGGTGCTGTTTGCCTTTTCCATGTTTTGCACCGTGATTGTGCGATCCGTCGAGGCTGCCACCGTCTTGATTGGCATAGTTGGTATTACCTGGGCAATGGCTCTCTGGGCACCATGGGCAATCATCAGTGCCGAAATCAGCCGCCGTGATGCCCTCGTGCGGGTTCGAAAGGCCCGGTCTGTGACCTCGTCTCGCCCCGGCGGTGATAGGAGTGCACGGGCGGGCGCGCCCAGCAACTCCGGTCATCACGATGACGCGGTCGACGAGGAGGAGGTGGACCAGGCGGGCGTCATTCTCGGCATCCACAACATGGCCATTGCTGCACCCCAGATCATTGCCAACGTGGGATCAAGCATCATTTTCAAGATCTGGCAGAAGCCACGTGGTACGCCTGGCGACCACAGCTTTGCCGTTGTGCTCGCACTTGGTGGTGTATGTGTCCTGATATCATCGTACTTTGTGCTACGGATCAAAGACAGTCCTGATCTACCAGCCGATGCCATGGTCAGTGTGGAGGAGGGTGTAGGCCCTGGCGATGCGTCTGGACCACCCACCAGACCAGCTCATCACCACAGGAGGAAATCAAGCTTCGAGAAACTGCCTAGGGCCAGCCTCGGCAGGGCGACGCTCACCAGAAACAAGAGTTTCAGCGGGGCTGAAATGCTTTGAACAGGAGGTGAGTTTCATGTATGATAGGTTCAATTGGATATGTACTTGAAGGAGTTGAGGACATGGGCGTTTTCATCAGCATATAGATGCTGTGTTTTTCCTTAATCTAGGAGGATTCTCTGAATAGGCACCAAATTGTTCACATGGATGCTTCTTTCGTGACGCTAGAGCATGGGATTTATACAGTCATGAGCAAGAGGACGATTTGGCATAGAATGTTGGAAAGGCATGGATCTAAAGAACTGGATTCGGTTTCCTTCTCCTTTCGCCTTTACTTCGATTCAATACAAAGAGTGATGAGTAGGTTAGAGTGTCTACATTATCCGCCCGACGTTGAAATACCACAGTAGCAATCCACCCATCCTAGAATACTTTTCCCCCATTAGAATAAACCTCAAATAGCCCCCCTTTTCGAGATCCCTCAGCCTTTCATTTTCTCAAGCCCGAGTCGACTGCGTCGTACTCGTAGTGTTGACCAAGTACGTAGCGGGATCACAGGATCCCAGGGGAGAGCGCGTCACGCCCGGTATCGGACCACGGCTCGGATCGTAGGCGGTGATGCCGGCCCAGTAATAGCACCAAGACGAGGTCCCGTCGCAGTACTCGTAGCTGCAGCTCACCGAGTGCGTCGGCTTGGGGGGGGCGGTGGTGGTCGAGGGTGCAGATGTGGTGGTGTCCGTCGTGGTGGTGAGGCCGGCCAGGGACGTGCTGGCGACGGAGAGGACGAGGACGAGGAGGCAGTCGAGCATGATGGGCCCCTTTTGACTGTTCTAATCCACTCTGGGAATGAATTTCTACCCTGCTTGGGATTTTGAGGTGGTTTGTTTGCTTTCCCGGTTATTTTGGGGTTTCTATCCGATGAGCAAGCTGTAGATTTGGGTTCAGATCCTATTGCTTTGGTCTTATTTATACATTTTCTCGAGGGTGTATCACGCAAGCCATGCCTACGGGGATTCGTAACATGTTGAACTTTCGAGGATGTTTTACTCCCGCAGGCGTCGAATATCGCCTTGTCCCCTTTTCCCAGGAAACACACGCAGGCAAGCATTGTCGAACAAAGAATCCGGCCTCGGCGAGAATGTTTGCCGTCTCACAATTACCGGGCCCCGAAATTGATCTTGTTGCGTATAAGCACAGTCGGTGTATAACGCATTTGAGATGGGGGCTGTTTTCTGTGATCAATAAGGGGCCTCCGGTACGGCCGCCATTGTTGCTCATGTGGCAACGCCATCTTCAATCGTCTTCTTTTTGTTCACTTTCCGCTCCAATGATACAATTCTCGCACATCACTCACGTTTCACCATCGCGATCCTCATACCCAAGTCAAGGTTTTGAAAAGTTGCAAAGGTGTGGCATGGTATGTAAATATGTATTGTTACATGTACGAGGCTATAATTTATATACAGATGTGGTGAAATGTCATCCAGTTCCCTAGGAGTCATTGGTAGATCCCCTATCCTTTTATATAACGCCGGTTCAAAATGCAAAGAGCCAGATGCAGCTCACTCTCCCAACTAATCTTTTATACAAGCTTCTACTCACAGTACCCCTGACAGTTTAAGCCTGGGCCGACCTGGTGAAGTTGGGTCGGCCTCCCCAGGACCAGGTGCGGGTGGGCCGGGGAGCAGAGGTAGCGCTGACGACGGGGGCACTGGAGACAGGAGCGCTCGAGACGACCGGGACGCTGGAGATGGGAGTTCCCGAAGTGGTGGGCTTGGGGGTGGAGGGGGAGCTGGCGGAAGGGGTTGAGGATGAGGAAGGGCTCGGGGAGTCGCCGCCCTCGGTGTAGACCTTGACGGAGTTGACGAGCCAGTAGGCATCCTTGAAGGCAGCGGGGTTGTTGCTCACGTAGTCGACGCAGGTGGAGGCGAGGGCGGAGCACTCTGCGTTCTCGTTCCAGACAGCGCCGGCCCAGTCGCCGCAGAAGGTGTTGGTGAAGATGACGTTGTGCTCCTTGAAGTAGCTGTCGATGTTGCAGCCGCTGCCGCCGTTGAACTTGGCGGCGGGCTTAGCCCAGGTAGTAGGGTCGGGGCTGCCAGCAGTGATGTCGGCCGGGATGGAGCTGCGGGGGAAGAACCAGACGGCGATGAAGTCGCTGTTCCACTCCATGGCGTAGATGCCGCCGCCGATGGCGTTGAAGCCGTCTCCGTAGTTCTGGGTGTTGGAGGTCATCTGGGAGCAGCCGACAGAGGCCCCGGAGGCGCCACAGTCGGTCCCCTTGAGGGTGGTGGTAGAGTCAGTGCCGTCGTTGTTGATTGTGCAGCCCTGGCTGGTGTGTAGGGTAACCGCGGTCGACTCCTGGGTGGAGACACCCTCCAAGATGTCGATCTCGCCAGAGTTGGGCCAGTCAGCCTCTATCGTCAACATTAGTTTTCTTCTTCGTATGAATATGTATATATTTACAATTTTTTACCTAACGTGCTCCAGAAGGCAGGCCACGTGCCACACGATGCAGCAGGCATGTGAGCAAAGTCTCCAATGAAGAGACCGTGAGTCCATGCCTTTTTCGTGGCGACGCGGACGGACTTGCGTCCACCAGATGGGTTGGTCTCGGCGTAATCAGCGCCCATGTAGACGGCGCCGTTCTTGATCGCGGCAAGGCCGAGGCTCTCGGCAGTAGCCCGGTCCACGTAGTTGACGTGGCCGTTGGTTGGGTCAGAGGCAGAGAAGAAGTTCATCTCGTCGAAGAAGTTGGAGGCATCGAAGGTGGATTCGATGGTGTACTTGGCCTGGGCAATGCCGGCGGTCATGGCCGCAAGGGCAAGCTTAGCGGTGGTGGAGTAGAGCATTTTGCAGATGTTTTGATAAAATGAAATTGAGGTTTGGGTATTCAAAGAAGAAGTGTAACAGATTTCTTGTCCAGACAAGAGAATCAAGCAGTCCAGTTGTGATGAGAGATGGAAGATGCTGCGAAACCGTCGAGGTGCAGATCAGAGCAAAAGATTGAGAAGGTGAGATCAAAGAATTTGTCTCGAACCAGAAAAACAATGGACGTTGTCCGAATGAATGGATGGACTGGTGAATGAATGGAAGGGGGGATGAATGGGGGAGCTGTTGACGGTTGTCGACAATTGGAAGAGGCAGCCCCGACAATATATACACCTGGATGGACTTTGGTTTTTCGCCTTCACTCCTGTCTCTCGCTCGCCCACTCGGCCCCGAACAGCTCAGGTAGCATCTTGTTCGGTCTTCTGTCTACCAACACGTGTTGGACCTCCTGCCTAAGTCGAAGCTGAAACCCGTCCAGTCTGCGCGGTCTTCCTTCTATGGCGCGTAGGAGGTGTCGTCCAGACTCTTCGCAACTCCCAGGACCTCTACTTGCCCGACTGGGTAAGTGGCAAGATCTGTCCCATGTCCGCGAGGCTCCCGCTACAGGGGAGACCCTGTCCTGTTTCTAATCAAGGCGTGAGATGTCTCATGTGTGTGAGGCGCTACGGGCAGCTAGCCCCGGCGCCTGGGATCGCGGCATCTCTGGTTGGTCGTGGATTGCCGGTTGGGGATTGCCAGCATGATCGGTTTGCGATTCTGCACCATTGGCGCCCGACCCGCATCTGGCGATGGAGACATGAGGAGCCATTTGCGCTGACCACCAACCAGAGGGGCCCCTAAGGCGCCTCCTCACACAAGTGCCAGTTGGAAAGACCGAAGGCCATAGATGCCACAGGCGGCGGTAGGACAGCGCTGACTCGGCTTGCCACAGCGAGAGAGCACGCATGAATCACGGGCTACCAACCCAAGATTAACTGTCTCTGACGCACAGGGATGGGGGCGGCATGGGAGAGCGGCCCATGCGACCGTGCTGGCGGTTTGGTCCGATGTGGTGACAACGCAAGAAAGCCATCACCAGCAGCGATCAGCACTGCAGGACAGGGCCCAGGGGACGTCCGGCAGATGCAATAGGGAGGTACAGTTCATGAAACGCGCATTGCTGATGAAAGGGGCCAGTTCGCCAACACGCACTAACCACAATCTCGTGATGCTCCCAATCGGGGCCAAGAGGATGGGTTTGAGCTGATCCAATTCCCCAAAGTCTCAAACACTGTCCGTCTCCCGTGGCGTGGATCATGGATCAGAATTGGCCGAGTGCCCAAGACCAATGCAACGCTGGTGATTCAGACCCTGGCCGCCATCCATCACATCCATCACATCCCGGCCAGAGTCTATTGAGCTCAGGTCAGCTCAATGGACAAAGACGGAAGCCAGATGCGGCTCATCAGTCCTGTCCCTGTCGATCAACCGCCCACCTGCCTGGATTAAGCTTTTTAATGGCCTCCCAGATGGGCTAATTATTGCTACCTCCCAACCTGGGGATAGATTGATCACAAAGGCTGCTGACTGTAAACGGCAATGGGCAAATGGGCTTTGAGCTCGTCCAGCATGTCCACGGCCTCATTGTAAGCAGGCCCTTATCTACACAATTAATTGTCCACGGTTCGTCCGAGATTCATGCACTGAAATTTAAACATCACCCGGGATCAGGGGCTTTCTTGTCTTCTTTGATTTTCCCTTTTAGCTTCCCATGTGATCAAGCAGGTTGACTTCATGTTAATAGAGTAGAATAAGCCAAGAGCCCCTTTATACCCCTAAGCCCAGGAAGAGGGGAGGATGGAGAGTACGGCTGCACGAATCTCTATTCCACGCTCCGGTAGGTACAGATGCATAGGGGGCTAGATTGATCATAATGGGCTATTCCCAAATGGCCAAGAAAAAGAAAGGTGAGACAATCTAATAGGAACTCAAATCTCAAGGCTTAGCGTGATCATTTTATGCAGTATTAATGTCAATCCCGCTACTCCGTACATGAAGCTCAGAGTAGTGGATGGCTTGCAAGCTTATCGTGAGACGGTCGCCAAATAAATTGAGCAGAAAATCCCTCTGCTTGACTCCTTTGACCAATTCTGCACAATCTGACTGTCCTGGAGCCCTTGTGGCCGAGATCCAACAATGTGTACCTTAGACATCGCGTCGAGAACAATGAGCAAGCGACCATAACAGGTCATGGAAGTATGCTCACATGGTTCTCAGCTTCTGAACATACGCCCGGGGAAGCTTTGCCGCTAGAGAACGATCTTCAGCACCCCGTGCAAGAGAGGAGGGTCTTTCCTCATAGAGTCCCCAGTACGAACCGCGAATGACTTTAGTCCTCACTTTGCCTCAATTCTGAAGCCTGCCGGGCCAACAAAAGACGAAGATTTCGTGGGTCTGAGCCAAGAGTCTTCTATACTTGGTGCGTTAAATTTTAATTACGGCTTTGTCCTCGCTCAGCTTGCGACCAAGGAACACCCTCTGAATCTCACAGGAACTTCGGCCGCCAAAGGATCTCCCAGCCAGTATCCAGCGGAGTAGTGAGGATTGTAGACACTAGAGGACGCCCCTTAATTCAAAGCCCGGCCATCTCCATCATTATCATGACAATCTTGCGCCTGGTTGCCATCGTTAATATGTGGGCACTAGCCTCGTCACAATGCAGGGCAGAGCTAGCTATTTGATATGGAGCTGAAAGGACTAGTTCCCAACGAATTCGGTAGCATTGCCGCAGCATATATCTTCCTCCATTGTTTGAGTAGTCTTAAGCGATGTTCGATCTTTTCTACCTGGTGTATACACAGCTCTTGCCGTTGTAGAACTTTCACGCTCATGCGTTGAGTCCCGACTCTGGAGACATACCCCTTAAGCTTTCATATAACTCCCAAATCTCCCATAATATATCATCTCAACTATATAGCATCTGACCTCCCATATTATTGTCTGGTGTCAATCCTGTCAGCATACGCCAATCCTCATTGGTCAGGCATCTCTATAATCTCACAATTGTTACACTTCTGCCTATATGTGAGTCCAATCATGATATTCGATAAATGCACTTCTGCCTGGAGCTCAAAACACGTGTGAAGTAGTCATTCGCCTAATTACGAAAACGACAGGGCGATTCATTCAGACAGGCATACCTCTGGGAGCTCACTTTGACATATATTAGACACCACTCATCCCTACTTAGCAATATCCTCACCTCCTCTTATCTTACACCCATATCCAATCAATACATAAGAACTTTTCAACGTAATCTCTCATCATGTGCGGATTCTACGACTACAAGAATGACAAAGGAGCTTGGGAGAAGCGCAAACTTGATTGCCGCGACTCCAGCTGCGGCACTTCCGCCAGCAACCCAAACAAATAACAACCTCGCTGCCATCACCAGTCACTGAATTGTGGTAACTGCTTTGTCTTGGTATATCCATGGCAGTAGCGGATATTAGGCCTCCGCGTATTTTTGCGATTTGGATCCAGGATAGTTATGGTAGTACGCCACAGCTAGGGGATGAGGAGTTTCATTTTATGAACAGCATGTACACAGCCTGGATAAGAGGAATTCTTGACGGCACGGGCCTAGGGCATCGTTAAACTCTTGCAAACTCAATTGTAGATATATCGCCAGGAACAATCGCGAAATATATTGATGAAGGCTGAAGAAACCCCAAATTGCTCATGTAGCCGTCCCAAAAATAGGAGTAAAATCGAAACTCTCCGAATACGCCGAAACCCTCACTCCTCAAAATGCAAATCTCTCTACAGCTTCACCAAAGGTGCGCCCTTCGCATGACCCACATTGACATTTTGGACCTAATATAAACATCAAAATGTAGCTATACCAGCGTGGGTTATGTCTTGAGTTGCGGCAGCCCCCTCTTCCCAAGAACCAAGTTGGGTCATTTCGAACACACCCACAAGACGTACGAGGGGTTTGTAGTCATGGATCATTCAAGTTTGCACGAATACATCATCTCCTCGTTCCTCAACACCCAACGGCCCCCAACCGTCAGCGAGGTCGCCGCCCATTTCAAAACAGACACCGGCACTGCACGCAACGGCCTGCGGTCCCTGGCCGACTACCACGGGGTCGTGCTGCACCCCAAGTCCGACGAGGTCTGGGTCGCCCACCCGTTCTCAGCGTCGCCCACAACCTGTGTCGTATCGGCCGGTGACCGAAAATGGTGGGGCAACTACGCCTGGTGCTCGCTCGGCGTGATGAAGCTCGCAGGGGGAACGGCGGTTCTCAAGACCAGGACAGGTGCCATTGGTGACGAGGTATCGGCCACGGCCCGGGACGGACAGCTGGTGGACACGGACTTTGTGATACACTTCCCGGTGCCCATGTCCAATTGCTGGGACAACGTTGTCTACACCTGCTCGGTCCAGCTTCTCTTCCGCGATGAGGCCGAGGTGGATGAGTGGTGTGCTGTAAGGGGCGTTCCCAAGGGAGATGTACGGCCTATTCAGCAGATCTGGGATTTCGCTGCAGAGTGGTATGGTCGCCATGCCGATGCGGACTGGACCAAGTGGTCTCTGCACGAGGCCAAGGAGATCTTTGACCGACATGGCCTTGATGGACCAATTTGGGTAGTTGAACATGATGGTGGACGCTTTTAGGTGTCATAAGTGTCGACTGTGCCCCTCTCTACCGATGGGGGTTTAAGGAAGTTGATATAGACTTTGGCATGTTATTTGCATCGTTATTCATGTCGTCGGCTGAGTCCCCGGTTGTAACGCAGATGAATCTGATTCTCTCACGAGGCGCACTGTATGATTTTTGGCTTGTTGTGTAAATTAATCTTGGCTTGATACTCCTCCTAATGCCGTCTGTTCTCTAGCAATGCTGAGGCCCAGAAAGCCAGGCACCTCAGGTTTCTCTGAAATCGAAATCATCCTATCCCCGGACCACACTATTCTCTCCTCGTGCTTGCAAGGAAATCGAGCCCGAGTGTGTCCGTGAGAAGGTAGCTCTCCCCCCCTTTTTTAAGTCGTTTTCCCGGATCATGAAACAAAAGTGAGCAAGCGCCAGGCCATCTAAACGAAATGAATACGCCCCCAAAAGATGAAAGACGAAAGAAACAAGACATGAAACCGTAGTAGGTACACCCGCACATCCCTAATTGTGAAAATCTGAAACAAGAAAGAATCACGATGCAAAATATCGTACAGACATGATAGCAACATAGCAGCGTCCAAAACAATGGACAGTACATTTCCCCCCCACATGGATGCTTGGTGTTATAACTTGACACGATTTCCGGTGATCTTGAACCATATCTCGGCCACCAGATCCTCTTTGAAACGCTCCCACGGATTCCGGTTGAGCCAGTAGCTGAATTCCCGGTAGTGGTACATCTCTCCCCAGCAGTCGCGACCCCATTCGCACCCAGCCATGTTGACAAGAAAGTCGCGCTCGTCGCCATTGTAATGGTGACGGGTGCTGACCTTCCCAGTGCCCTCGTCACATGCTGCTGGGGGGAAGCTGTTGATCATGCGCTGCGGCAGGAATCCGGTATGCTGACGGACCCAAGGCAGACTCGTGTACATCTGCTCCAGCGCATCCTGCTCCTTGTGCTCCCATTCCATGTGTTTTTGTTCGTACAGAACGGGGTCCCACCACATGTCGAGGATTCGTTCGGTCCAGGCGCTGCGTCGCATGAAGAAGGAGCCCAGGTTGAACCCAGAGCAGTCTTGTGTGAGCAGCAGATTTAGAGAGTTGGCCTTGTTGTCTCCAACAGGACTCTGCGCCTCATTGTCGAGGTAGATCTCCGTCAGTGGATGAGTAATGTTCAAAGGATTGTATTCGTTGATGTCTCTGTAGACATGCTTGTTGAGATCTTCGAAGAGGTGGCGCTGGAGGGGGTAGGATGGCTCCATTATGAATGTATTCAGATCGAGCCACCAGAACCTGCAAGGTAGATTTACCACATTAGCCATCGCCAAAGTCGCCCAGGATCCCTAACGCGAGTAACTGCTGCCGTGCACTTACCATTCAGCATTAGGGTATTTGCGCATAGTCTTTCGAACGTAGTCGACCTTCTCCCAGCTCTCTCTCCACTCGTGTGCGTATCGTTTCTTCGTGCTCATGTCGACAATCTCCAGCTCGTAACCCCATTTCGCTGCGTATTTTTTCTTGTTCCTCACGCTGTCACGCTCAATGGCCCATTCACGGGCTCCCTTCCAGTCCATCACGCCTCCACCAACATTAGCGCCCAGAATGATGACGAACTTCTCACCACCGTAACCCCACGACGCTCGTCTCCAATAGGTTATAAGAGCTATACCATGCGTGTCAGTCAAATCATCCCAGCCCACAAATCAACACAATTGCAGTGAGGGGATGGTTAGTCCAAGCGAGAAGGGAAAGAACGGGCTGCAAAGGCTCCAGGGACACATACGAGAATTAAAGAATATGATAACGCAAAACAACACAATGGCAGCGATCAGCAGCCTTATCTTGAACTTCCTGCCCATGCGCCCAAACACAGATCGTATCCTCCGAGCCAGGGAACCATTCGGGCCGTACCAGGGCCCGCGAGCGTGCTTCCCCTTCTGGCCGTATGGGCCACTCGAGCCGGCGAAGCGCGGGAGGTTGCTGGACAAGCGTCGCATGTGGCGGGCGAAGAAGCCGGTCTTCTGCTGTGGCGCGAATGACGGGTAGCCATTGATGTTGTGGTTCCTCATCTTGGCTGAGTCCCAGGCGACCGGGCCGCCGCTGAGATTTACAGGACTCGTTCGACCGCTGTGGATGTTCAACCCTGGGCTCGACCACCCTCCGCCGGGGACAGGCGAGGGACTGCGCGAGAGAGACATTCCGGGGGCTGGGGTGCCTAAATGGTGGACAGTCAGTACCAATGCAGGATCGAGGCAAACTGAAGGGCCAGCTCGTGGCACACGGACACAAATCTGGTGCGCCTACACCACACAAAGCCGAAAATAGAGGGTTTTGGCAGGCAGGAGAGGGTGGCAATTGCAAGGGGAGAGAACCGTCCCAACTGTAACCTCTGGCGCCCGGTGGTATGGGGAGGGGGGAGCAAAGAGGGACACCGTTTTTATTTACCTGGAATGGGAGAGAGGGAGCCGTGCGGCGAGGAGGCTCGGGACTTTGACTTTTCGGGGGCGAGGAACAAGCTCTTGCCGGAGCGTTGCTCGCTAAGTGTCTGGCCGGCTGAGGAGCGCCTCCGATGATGCTGTGGGCGACTCAGAGAGCTCGAAGAGCCGCCGGCCAACGGTGTCTGGCCGGAAGAAGCCAGGTTGGGCGAGCGGAGCGAGACAGTGTGACACGCGGGATCGGGTTTTGTCGTTGAGAGTTTCCAGTCTGAGGCGCTGGATTGGTTTCGATGATGCCACGGTACGGGACGGGATCTTATCGATTAACGACGGCGGGCTGATTGGCGGGATCTCAGACACTGGGAAAAACAAGTCGGGCTCGGGCTCGCAGCGGCATCGAGGTGATTGCCCGCTTGTGGTTATGCTCTCGGATGGGCTCGGCCCTATGTGCGTGGTGCGAGGCAAGACAAGAGGTTAAAAGTTGGCGATCTGCTACGTAGCAATGTCAGCTCGGCGATTTGGTTGGTCGCGCGCGGGTTGGAGGCTACATTTCATGGAATTGAGGGGCGACCCCTGACCGACCAGCATACTCTAATGACGAGTATAATTAGCCAGCAAAAGTAAAATAATGTTGCTCTATTAAGTAATCCTCGGGGACATGCTCGTTTCTTAGAGGGTAAGCCATTAACGCATCTACTAATTGATAATTATTAGGTTATATTGGGCTATATGAGAACCATAAGGAAATTCCTCTAGGGCCCGCTGATGACTGCATCTAAACTCACGAGCTCCTCGTATCTTGAGGCGGTCAAAGATGCTGTCCATTTATCAATAATCTCTGCGCCTGCGACCCAGTGCTACTGCATCTTCCACTCAACTCAGGACGTCAACTCTATCACACTGAGTGCGCCAGTTCAAGGTAGTCCGCTAAACTAGGGCACTTGACAGGTTCAGTCGCTGATGACCCGCCAACAAGCGGAGAGTCAAGAGACGAATATCTCTGACTGGCTTTGCGCATAGGGCGAACCTCTGAATTGAATTGAGCAGATTGTGATTGATCGGCAATGAGCGATGCTACTCTTGCATCTGCATGCGACCGTCAAGATTAATCTGGTCTGCAGACTGCCATAGGAAAAAAAAAGGGTCCTGCTGGCTACTGTTACATTGAACAGGGGCTGTCACATTGAACTCCAACTGCCCTGCGCCTATCCCACAGAAGGTCAAACTGCCTGAGCGGAGTCAAAACTTGACACATCAAAGTCGCCTGAGATGACTGCCGGTGCTCTACCAGCATCTGCAGTATGTACAGCTGATGGTTCTCCTTTTTTGGAGCGATAATCGCCATTGAAACTTGCATTGAAATTATTTACTGACAGTGCTGATACATGTTCTGCCGTTGGCAAGAGAGTTAATTGCGCCCAATCCTACCAATCAGAACGCATCTAGATAAGCTTTACCCGATAACGAACTACTAGAATTGGATCCCCTCCAAAGTGCTTCATAACGGACGTGCATGAGCAATTCCGGCCTTCGACCTCGTATAAGATGGGTCGGTGGTGCTCAATCACATTACAGAGCCGATATTCGATGCTAAGTGATGAATCATTGCACCCACATGTTTTAGTCTTCAGATTGACGTCTCTGAACTCGAGCACTGCTGGCCATCCGTCATGGCTCTAGGGTGGGAGAAAGAGCTGGAAAGAATGGAGATGTCTTATTCTCCACATGGGATTCTAATTGCCCATTGCACCATCTCACTGATATAAACACCCCTGCCTTAACGCCTGTATGGATACTGGGCAGCTTTATTCGTACCACTGTTGTCAATCTGGCACCTCATGTCTCTCAGCTCTGGAGCACATGGTTTGCCTTGGCATGGCTCGTATATGTTCCCGGCCGGCACCAAATTGCCTTTACTTATCTACGAGCTTGCCTGGAGCGTCCACTAGTGCGGCAATAGCCTCATCGCACGCATAGTCGGGTTTCTTCTTCCCTTTTTGGGCATGCGCACTTTCTGGGGAATGGGACGAGCATTCCAAAGATTGCGATCACCGCCGTTTATCGCACGGAACATCTCGATCCTTGATAGATTCATCACATGCCTGGGAGAATACTTAATTTGTTGAGATCACGATGCTCAGCAAGCTATACTATATGCGGTGGTCTATCACGGGCTGGAAGCGAGCCCGTTGCTTTTGAAGCGAAGAGGAGGTGAGGTTACAAGGAAAGTATGGCATCTGGAGCCGAGAAGATGCCCTGGAGCCAATCTCAAGTCAGCCAGATGCGAGCCAGGCCCAAACTTTTATTCAACCCCTGCTCTAAGAAATGGAGCACCGGCCAACCACCACCGCCTGTCAGCCCTGACCAACACGAAGCACCCACTCACGAGACTTCGTATCACGATCAAGCGGCGCTTTTGAGAGGGACGGACACTGACAGTTGATATGTCGCACACTCTCTGATTCCGGTCACCCGAGGTTCTGGAAGAGTAGCACCATCTATGGAAACAGTCACGGACTCGACGTCTGCACGCTGGATGTCCACGTTGAACGTGGCACCGCGGAACACCCGTGTAGCCTTGATGCCGTCCCAATGCGATGGCAGTTGTGGATTCACACGCAAGCCCTCGGCGTCGCCTCTGAGGCCGCACAGCCCTTCAATGAAGCTTCGGTAGACCCAAGGAATCGTGCCCGTGTTGAACAGCTGGCTCGACCGGCCAGCCGTGCGAGGATACTGGTGGTACGCGCCCCGGTAATAGTTGGGGATGAACACTGGCATCTGCCCTCTCTGTAGATAGTCCTCCTCCGTCGGGCCTGGGATCATCTTTCGGAGCAGCCGGTACGCCCGATCGCTCTCCCCAATGCTGTACAGACTGTGGATGTAGAAGGCACTGGCATGATTGTACACCGACCCATTCTCGGCGGACCCGGGGAACTTCTGGGTTACTCGTCCAATATCCTCGCGCATCTTCGTGTAGGGCGGTGCGAACATGGCGGCTCCGTACGGCGTCTCCAGCTGCTCCTCAACCTCCTTCAGGATCTTGGCTGTCCGCTCTGGCGATGCCGCACCGCTGAGAATGGCCCAGGCTTGCGGGTTGAGCCAGATGCGCCCCTCGACGTCCGAAGAGACACCAAAGAGCACACCGTCGTCGGTGATGCCGCGGAGGTACCAGTCACCCTCCCAGAGGTGCTTGTTCGCCGCATCGTTGAACTCCTTGGCCCCCGCCCTGAAGTGCTCTGCTGCTTCCTTGTTCCCTACCTGCTCGCAGACGTCCGCCCACAGCTTCGCGGCGAACGCAGTGGCGACGGTCAGCCAGCCGGAGACTCCCTTGCCCTTGTATCCGGCCATGTTGAGCGGGTCGCACCAGTCGCCCTGCGCGAGGTAGCTGATCCCGTACTCGTCCTTGGCACCCAGCAGCCAGTCCACGGCGCGGCTGAAGCGGTCGAAAATGGTGTAGGTGTCGCCGTGCTTGCTGGTCAAGCTCTCCTGGAGAAGGTCGTAGTCGCCTGTCTCGGCGAGGTAAGTCTCTAGAGCCACCGGAAGCCAGACGCAGTGGTCGGTATGCGGGATCTGGTTGATGTACTTGAGTGTTCCTCCCTCGATCAGGATGATCCCGTCTGGCATGGAGCCGTTGGGCTCCTGCTGCTTCAGTGCAGTGATGAACGCATCCCGTGCCGTGGCAGGCCGGATGTACGACATGCCCATGTTGTCCTGCAGATAGTTCCTAGTTTGGGGGTCCGTGGACAATCGGTTGACGTCCCCGTGATAGAAGGTCTGCCGGGCAATCCAGTTGTTGATAAAGTTATCCAGGTCCTTGTCTGGTGTCTCTATTTGCAGAACACCAGACCCGCTGGCGACGTATGCCGCGTACTCCTGGGCCGTTGTCTCAAAAGCCTTTGCAGAGAGATATTTCTCCTTTATCCCTTTAATTTCAGCATCATCAAAGGCTGGGCCGAAAAGGAATCGGTATTCGCGTTCCTCTGACGCGGCCAGGGTTTCCCGGTACTGGACTGCAGCGGCCGGCGTCTCGTAGATGGCGTCACTGCCACTCAGCTCATCCCTTTCAAGTATCGCTGATGGGGCGTGCAACCCACCCTCGCCCTCGAGCGACTGTTGTCGAGTTTCCCAAGACACTGGCGGCTTCTCGCAGAGGAAAAAGGTCTTGTCCTTGAAGTACTTTTGCTTGGGATAATCCTCCACCTTCTGGTAGGGAGCAATGCAGCTGGCGACCACACCAACAAGATCTTCTCGGTAAACAGCCGATTGGTTCATCCATGATTTGTAGCCAACAACAAAGTACGGGTAAACACTGATTTTCCTCTCCCGACCAGACAGGTTGGTCACCTTGACAGTCCACAGCTCAGCCACATCGTCGGTTGGGAGGCTCAGTTTCATAAGTACACGGATCCCGAGGCATTCCACAGTCCACGTGATGTCGCTCTGGCCCTGGGAGAAGCTGAAGCTGTCGAGTTTGGCGCGGACAGGCTCGTAGGGGGCGGAGAATATCTCATTGGTCTCCTCGTCCTTGACGTAGACGAACCGGCCGGGGTGGTGGGCGTAGTAGTTCTGCTCGGGCTGCATGAACGTCTTGGCCTCGATGTTGGGCGAATGGGAGTATTTGGCCGGCTCGGGCTGCATGAACTGCGCGGTTGCGTACCCGCGGCAGGTTGCCTGTATCATCATCCTCCGGTTCCAGAGGAACCCCCCAGCCACCGGCATCGCGGTTGGGCTGGTCAGCTCGTAGCGGCGGCCATTATCAGTGGGGTGCAACATGATGAAGTAGCAGCTCGGAAAGGAAGGCGATTTGTGTCTACAAAGGGTGTAGTTGTTGTCCGGAGCGCCCGCAGTATGCAGTATATTGTCACTAATCCTGCAGACGAAGCAGAGGAAAGAGTGTGAAGCATCAATGCACGATCCAAGGCATTTTTCAGGCTAAATAATGCCGCTACTACCAGGGTCTACACATCCCCGAGCTCCGGAAGTCCCAAGAAGTAGCTACTTGGCAATTTCTAAGATTCTTACACCGACATACATAAGGCACTGGTAAGCCTGTGTTACAGTAACGAGCCGCGGGGGAAGCCATGTGGGGTTGCAGCCTTTTGGCGGCCCGTAATGCCGGCCGGAAGTCTCCACTCCCGGGGATTTGTCGTTCCGGTCGGTCTCAAGAAGGAACTCTCTCGCTGCTTGAGTTAAGCTACAGGGTGAAGGAGAAGAGAGCCTCATTTTTCTTTCAGCTATTTCTGTGTGAAGATGTTGTTTTCTGGGAGTTGAAACAATGTACCTCCGGGATTCGCTTTATCTACCAAAATGCAACTGTTTGCCACCCTCCTCAGGTGATATTTGTGACATACAATCATTCAGGACAGTGGCTGAGAATAGGTGCTGTATGCCACCTGATATCGATTTGGTAGCGGTACACCTGATTTGCATTGTAAAAGCCAAATTCTACAAAAATAAGAAATAAAGGCTGGATATGTCCTAGAGACCAGCCCTATCCGAGGGCCAACAACCCCTCAAATGGAAATCTTAGCTACCTGTGACTTCATCAATAGTAGTGGGATATGATATTCGTTGCCCGAGGGCCTCCCATATCGAAGTAGACCAGGAGCCAGAACCAAGTCAAAGGACTTACCCTCCTCGAGTTGAGACTGCCCAGGTTCCGGCTCCATCGAGTTCCCGTCAAACTTGTTCACACGTCGAGCATTGTCATCAAAAAGCTTCCACTGAAGCTTGGAAACCTGTTTGCTAAGATGCATGTCCAGCACGATGCTTTGTTTGATGATGTCGACCATTTGCTCAATGGGGAGCGCCTTCTTTCTCGGCAGCCAGGTTTTAATTCTCTTCATCAAGTCATCTTTCAGTTGATTGGATATATTCCCAAAGTCCATGCGTTCTCTTGTATCGGAGCTCGTCTCTGTTGCTTCATGCACCATTTTGGACGTGTTTGCTCTCCACGTGTGGAACTCTCGCTCTGGGTCGCCACTTTGGTTGATCTCTCCCTTTTGGAGATGGTTGACTGTGTAGCCATTGGGTTGATTAGTATAAAGTTGAAAAGTCATCATGATTTTATAGATGCTTACAGAATAACTTCTCAAGATGAATAATGGCACTGCTCGTATCCCCGGGACTCCAGCAGTAAGCCGAGAACACATTGGATATAAGCCATCTCCAGATGAAGTCTTGAATGATCACAGGGCGTAGTACAGGATTGGACACACAGTGATGCACTGTCTCTATTGGGATGAGGATTGATATCGAACCTTGCAAGTCCATCTTGGCGCTTGCCAAGTTAGACCTGGTGTCTAGCTTGAGCTCCTCTCCGAAGTACTGTGTTGTGAAATTTCGGATGTTCGAGCGTAGCTGATTGACCATCTCAATAATTTCATTATCAGTCAATTGATCAGGGACCTTGCCTTGTCGTGTGATTTCGTCCAATTCAGCCGCCATTTCGTTGTTCACTTTCCGTAACTTGTCGACCTTCTCCTTGTAACCCTTGGCAAGGTCCTTTGCCTTGTTGTGCTGGGTCTTCTCCCCCGCCAGCTCGTTTCGAGTCTCTGTCAGCTCTTGACGCAGTTTTCCTACTTCACTGGATGTACTGGACGCGAGTCTTTCAAAGGCTTCTACAACCTTAGCCTCGATTACGGGACTAGCCTCAGGAGCCTTTTGGGCAGAAGGGCCGGCACGAGTCTCGAAGGAGTAGGTTTCCGCATTCTGTGGAACTTGAGGGGCTTCTCCGGCGAACCTATGAACTGGCTGTTCGCTCACGAGTTCCCTGATAAACAGGATACCGTAGTCGAAACCCACACGTGAGATTGGTTGAACTTCACCAGCGCAGGCTTCAACAACTGCCTTGTAGGCATTTTCAATCCTTTGCTGGCCCTGCCAAAAGATCTCAAGTAAGTAAGATATAATAAAGGTAAATGGCGATAAGGTTTGAGTTACCTCCGGTGATAGTTGGTTCAAATGGACAAGAGGCATTGCCAATTGCAGGGAGAAAGATAGCGGCGAGAGTAATCGCTTCTGAAGTGCCTGGAAGGATAGCCTCCTTGATGAGAAGAAAAGAAGAAGAACCCAAATTTCCAACATCTTTATTCCTGCATATTCTGAAAGGCGTGTCATATATTTTCGTCATTTCTTTCTGGGACTCAGACAAGGCAACGAACGCCACGAATGGCGCAGCCAACCACACACTGATCCTTCTGTCAGCTTAGTATGAAGGTCATGCATCTCCGTTAAGCCATGCAGCCACCTATAATCTTGGTCTCCTGTTTAGGTCAACTCGAAATCTTGGCGTCATATAAAAAATGATATGAACGCGACAATCCTCTGGCTGACTGAGGCTGAGGCGTCAAATCTGCATATTGGCAACACCATCAAGGCCTAGTTGTCAGCCTTGCTTCAGCCCGTTATTGTGTTCCAATCCTTCCAACTCACCGATGTCAACACAAAAGGGAAATAAGATGATGCTGATCTTTTTGCTGCATGAATCCGAGGCTGATCATTCTGCATATACGAGAAGGCGCCGAGTTTTAGATGGCTTAGAGAAGTAGAAAAAGGGGTCAAGAGTATATTGTGTGACCTACATCAGGCTGTGGTTGTCTATGGCAGAGAATGCCCCGCCAAGAACACATGCGATGGCATTCGGCTCGGCCGAGACCATTGACGCCTGCATGTACCTATGCATGACGTTTCGTTCTTGGCCAGTCCGCCCGGAACAAGGCTCTGTCCTATTGTGGCAGCTCTAATATTATTGATTTTTAAAGTGCAAGTACTTGAAAATAGTAAAGAGTCATGCACTCCCACGGCTGTTTGTCTATTGTCCTAGCGTAAGGATGGTTCAGCTGAGAGATGGCTTAGGGCTTTCATCAGGACTTCTTTACCCCAAGGCTGAAAAGCTCTGAATCAGGCTCATCTATGGGGCTTTAAATCCAAGTGGCAGGTTCCTTGGACAACTCAGCATAAATTGTTGTTGTATCCATACTCTTCAAGCTGTTTCTGAACTGTCTTCTTCTTTTACTATCAATTTTTCTGAACTTAGGCTTTCAAAGGTTAGAAAATGGACGACTCGTCCCTGAAGCATTTAGTGAGCCAGCTGAAGGTGAAGAAAACGATGTTGATGTTGAGAACTTCTTTGTTATTGGGATAGATGTCGAGACAACGTGAGTCCCTTTCCCGGTCCAGAATTTAATTTAGTCTTTTCTTGTCCCATCTAGATTCTGAGGAGGAGTGGCCTACAGCCGGCGACGTTGCCGATGAGCAAGTGAACCTCATCACTACATGGCTAGAACACGGCCCCGAAGAAGGCAAACGACCCAATCGAGATTTAGATCTACTGTGACGATAATTGGACTCTTTGGGATATGGCACATCTCACGAAGCCGATCCAATATGATGGTTCAAGCTGTTGCTCTAAAGAAGAAGATGTATCTCCAGCTCCGAGAGACTCTGAATATGTTCTATGAGTACATCACGATGATCAATATGACCATATGAAAGCTTTATGTGGAGGAATATTTGCCGATGAGGCTTTTCAAAACCTGTGTCGCAAAAGTTTGGGAACTGAGCAAAACCATATTTGATCTTTGTTGGTTAGGTAGTCGACGGTAAATGGCAATGGATACCCATTGTAGTGATCCTACTGTTCTTTCTGATCAGTTTTTGGAGTGGTCATTCCATTTCCTCTTCTTTATTCTTGAAGATTTCAGCTGTAATCCCAATGATGCACTCCTTGGACTTGTCTCCTGATGTGAATTGAGCTTTATACCGCTCTCCCATCGAAATCTCAATAACTCCTTAGTTCCGGCTTGACTCAGCTTCCTCCATTCAGTCACTTATTCTACACTCGGACATTGGGCACTCTTCCACGGATGTGTTTGCCAGGACGGGATAAACTTGCCGATGAGCAAATATCCAAGTCCAAATCTCACGGCCTCGGTTAAGGCTCGCTTAGAATGTTCATTCATCCACACGATGCAAAAGAACTCAGACTTGTGCAGGGAATCATTTCGGTACTTGCTTTGTTCAGGACAGGATAAAAAGTGGAGATGAAACCTCACTGTGGACTGTTGGTCTCTCACGGGACTAGTGACTAAGCAGTGGCCTGGTTAATGCAGGAATATGTGGTGGTGCCTGCCAAGTCTGTAACAACAACAGCGCTTAGCTGTGGGTAGGGAAGGAGCGGACCGGGACCAGGGCAAGAGTTACATGCCGAGCCAAGCTAAGCCAAAGGCAAAAGCCGGACGACGGACTCCCAAATCAACGAGTGGAACTAGACCGAGACTTTGCTGCCCAAACGAAAGGAAGAAGACCACCGATCAGCAGATTGCGATGGCTCCCTTCTCCGTGGCCCGATATCGATTGGCTGTCGTGGACTGCGGCTGCTGCACCACATCCCTACCCCTTGGTCGCGCAAGCGCTGGTGACTTCTCGGCAGCAGGGCGACTTGGCACGCTGAAGCCAATCACGGCCTTGTGTCATCTGCAGTGCAGCAGCACCGCCAATCACGACGCTGCTCCACCACCCCGGGCGCCTATTTGATACAGCATCGTTGATATCAACCACCAAATCATCGTCGCAACGTCAACTCTGGCCCATGGCATTGGCCCTGCCTAGCACCGCGCCATTGGATCGGCTTTCCTAGCCACTTCCTCCGCCGTCGCAATGTTACTAGCCGCCATGTGGTGTAGCAGCTTGCGTAGCAGGCGTCAAGACCATGTCCATTCTGGTCCTGGCCGCCCTTTTCTTCGGCATGCCGCCAAATATCGTCGTGAATCATCCTTCTCTCGTCCTTTTCTTTGATTCCAGACCAAGCTAGTCCTTTTCCTTTTGTTTTTCTCTCATACTGTCTCTCTTGTGCTCAGTCATCGTCGATCTTATTTCCTCTCACTTTTTTTTTTTTTCAGCTGCTGGTGACAGGTTCAGCTGAGAGACTGGTCACACTCATTCATTCGCTGCGCCCATTGACTCTCTGTACTATTGTCCTTTGTCTATTGTCTGTCAACACCACACTCGACAAGTGAACACCGACAACGCTATTCTATTGCCTGTCCTTACACGCCGCCCCTCATTACGGACAAGACAATATATTCTTACCAGTCTATTCGTTCAAGCATGTCACCATTGTATTCTTACATCTGAGTCATTGGTATAGTGTGTGGTTTGAAGGAGCATTGGATATAAATACAGCCAGAGTATTTCTTCCTGATATTTTATCTTCATATTTCCAACCAGCCGGCTCGACCTCTCTTTAACCACCCCAATCGAAAAACACAAACATCGACTACCTAGTCATGGCACCGCAAACGATGACTAGTACACATCTCGCACCCCCGTCCCTTCGCAAAGAGACTGAAGATTGGGAAGAATGGGAGGATGACGACGTCACTACACCGATCGAGCCGGTAGAACAAGTCCAGATGGAAACTCAGGCTGCTACCCCTGGCTCAAAATCAAACAGCCGAGCATCAAGACAGCCAGTGGTCAAAGTCAAGAGATTAAAATCACGGCATCGCCAGAAGGCTCAAAATGCCAAGGCTGGAATCAAGCTGATCACCGACATGGCCACTCTGGGACGTCAGAACCGGGGTACAGTATGGACACCGGATAGCAGGCCTCCCAAGTTCGTTGATGCTGCTGCTCTGAGAGCATTGGAGGGTGAACCAACCTCGGCGTCGGTTGGAAATTGGAACTGGTTCAAGAAGGACAAGGGAAGAAGTCCCCAATCAGCAGCCCCTCCTGCTTCAGCCCTGACTCTAGGCAATGGCGTCTCTCCAGACGGCCAACACATCATGATTGGTCTTTCCATTGACCAGAATGATCAGCAGATGTATGCAAACAACAACAACAACAGCACGACTACAACAGCCCAAACACCCGATATTCGCGGTCCATCCTCAGGCATGACCTCAACGGAGCACCTGATCTCTGTCTGGTCCCCAGATACTCCAACTCCAGACACCACCTCCTCTCACACTTTCCGTGCAGTATCAAGTGTGTACTCGCAGGTCCCGAACCAGGCCCGCATAGTGCCATCAGTTGATCCTGAAGCACCCCCGGTTCCCGTTCTCCCGAAGACTTACAAGCACATGTCTGTGCAAAGGGTGAAGAGCATGGAGGCTACCCCGAGCACTCCTGAAGAAGATGATGCCGGAACCCCTTGCACCCTCTTTGAGGAGGATGCAAGCCCAGCTCCAAAGAAACAAGCCGCTCAGCAGAAATCACCCATCCTTACCCTGAAAGCTTACACTTCAACACTCACCCCGGATAGCGCCGCTTCAAAATCTCGTGGCTGGTGGGATCATGTCGTCACTCCATTCATGGATAGCAAGAGATTTACCTTCTCGAACCAGATGGTGAAGGCCGACTCTCCTAGATTCGATTCCCCTTCCGAACACAGCCCCAGTACGCCCGTCAGGGAGATGGATATGGACGAGAAGCGAATCATCTCAGACTTCCTAGCTGTGCCGGTTCCTTCCGCTGGCAAGCCACCCAGCATCAAGGTGCCAACTCCTAGGCGAAGCCCATCACCCCACCTGGTCGACATCCGAGATGAGAGTCCTGGCGAATCTTCAGCTCAGACAAGCCCCGTCTCTGCTGATAGCGCGTTGGGCTCCGTACAAAAGGCTTTGTTCGATTCGCCAAACCCCAGTCTTGCCGACCAGCCACCCCCCTATTCACCTCCTAAGAAGAATGCACCAGCACCTATCAGATACCGGGCTGTTTTCCCACCTGGCCACTTTCTTCATGCTCAGTTTCCGCCATCACCAAGACCCCAGACTCCCGGATCGGCGGGCCTCGGAGCTACAATGACCTCGCAGGGCGCCACTCCAATGTTGGACGTCCCCATCACGCCAACGGTGCCACGGGACATGCCGGAAGCCCCTTCGATGCCCTTGCCAAACCGACCTGCAGGAACATTTGTTCCTCAGGAGCACTCTCTGGGGGCTACTGGTTCGGAAAATAAGGTTGAGCGCCAGCGTCGCCGTCATGAGAAGGAGGAGGTGGTAGCTAGGCGTGTAGGTGGATGCTGGAGAGGACGGGGTTGCGTACCCAAGAGCGGGTGCTTTGGCCGAACAGGCGCAGAAGGCCGTAAGAGACGCAGGACATGGCTCGGCGTCATCATTGCTGCCATACTCGCTCTGATCCTCATTATTGTGCTCTCGGTGATGCTCACTCGCCCTCACAATCAAGAGGTCCATTCGATTTGGGTCAACCTCACAGACTTCCCGCCGATGCCGACTGGTGTTCTGACTTTCGAGGGGCCTGATAATACGGTTTCCAGGAGTGGGTGCACCGAGCCTTCTACGCTCTGGAGTTGCTCGCTGCCCAAAGAACAGCATGATTCAGTTTCTCCTTACAAGCCAAACCAACCTACAATCATCATGCAAATCCAATGGGATAATAGCACTCAGAAGTCCTGGAACGTCCCCAACGGTGATGCCCCCAAATCTGTTGCAAGGAGAGCCTTGGGAGGACCGGCTCATGCGGCCAGCGTGCTCCGGACACGAGAGACGAACAAATTCAACCCTAGCCCCGAAGCTCCTGACTACAAGGAAATGTGGTTTTTGGGCGAAACTACGGACAATGTTACTGCAACGGAGAAGGCCGGGGAACCCGCGCCTTTCTATATCAGTATCCTCGATGACGCGAGCAAGCCGGTAGAAAACCCAGTGCTTAGCAAAAGACAGACAACAATCGGCGATGGAAATTTCATCAAGAACTACATCTCGGCACCTGACCTGCTCGAGGATGGCACGCCTGCTCCGGCGGTATTGTTCCCCAAACCTGTTCAGCAGCCCGTGAGACTGTATGACAGAGGGCTTCCTACTGAACGCTATGCATTTTACACATACTTCAAGAGGACCATCTACCTCAAGTCTACCGCAGCGAACAACAGAACCGAAGAACCCGTTCCCCTTGACGAAGATGGAGGGTGCGCCAAGACAGAAGCCAACTACTTGGCCACTTGGTCGCAGACGCGTATGCTTGTGCAGATCTGGACAAAGCGATTGGACCAAAACAACGTCAAACTACTTGGCAATGGCAGCCGCAGCGACAACGAGGATTCGGATGGTCTCAGTCGTCCTGGGACAATGCCGTATCCTGTCACCGTCACATTGGATACGCATGGTGGAAACCGTACGGAGAAGTTCGTGTGGATGTGGCCCATGGATGCGAGACAAAAACTCGACACAGACAGCCCGAAGTTGATGAGCAACAATCTCGACTATGCAGGGACTGTCATTAATCATAGAAGCGGAGGAGATGCAGCCCTGGGTGGCTTCGATGGAGGATCTGGCGGATGCAAGTGCGAATGGAAAAATTGGAATTCATAGATGGGTGCATGGTTTTATGAACATATGAAAGCGATAGCATATTGGCCTTTTGGATCATACATAATAATATTTAGAAAAAATCAAATCTTGTCGAATAGACTGGATCATTTCAGATTTAACCTGCTAGTAATATTTTGTGAGACCTACGCACTCCAGTATCAGTTTCTCTAAGGGGGTTGTAAGTTAAGAGACCATCGTTCCATCGCAGCATCGTCAATACGACATAACTAAGAAGTAAACGGCAGAACGATACCTACGTGGTTTTCATTATTAGCTAATTGTGATATTTAATCAAGAAATGCCTTTTTAGACAACGAGTCGTGGAAAAGTCATGAATATGGTGTGGTGTATGAGAGGACAAAGTGGGGCATGTTCTACGAAAATCCAACGACACACCACCAAGCTTCCAAGCTTCACAAGCTCGACAACGGCGAGGCCATGTCCCACGATGCTCTCCTCCTCTCGCAATCCCGCTAGGTGGAGGGCCCTGGCTAGATACACCACCCAAGCCCACCGCACGGCACGGTCCTCCCGCCACAGGCCACTCACGACCCTCGCGATAGAATCGTCCTGTGACGACACGGGCGTCGCCATCCTCACCCGCAACCATGACGGGAGCCGCGAGAGCAAGGGCCCTACACACTCCCTGCTCTTCAACGAGTTCATATCCTCCGACCACCGCGAATTCCGAGGCATTGAGCCCATGGTCGCCGTGAAGGGCCACACCAGCTCGCTCGCGCCGCTTCTGCGCAGAGCCATACACCACCTCCCCGACGCCACGGACGTGGACGTCGCAAACTCAAGGGAAGGCTCGAAGAGCAGTAAGATATGCTGGACGGAGGACGGCAGGCCGAAGAAGGTCCCGGACTTCGTGTCCGTGACGCGAGGACCCGGGAACATGTCCAACCTGTCCGTCGGCCTCAACACCGCCAAGGGCCTCGCCGTCGCCTGGGACGTCCCCCTCGTCGGCGTACACCACATGCAAGCCCACGCCTTGACGCCCAGGCTGGTGAGCGCGCTGGGGATGAAGCCGGCCGCCGACACCGGCAGCAACAGACCGGCCCGCGGCTTAAAGGGAGCCAACAAGCAGCAGACCTCCAACAGCAGCACATCACCAGAATTCCCCTTCCTCTCCCTTCTCGTCTCCGGCGGCCACACCCAGCTCGTCTTCTCCAAGTCCCTGACCGACCACCGAATCGTCGCATCCACCCTCGACGTCGCCTTGGGGAACCTCCTCGACCACGCCGCCCGCGACATCCTCCCCGCCGACGTCCTAGCCACCGTCCCGGACGTGAAGTACGGCCGCCACCTCGAGGCCTTCGCCTTCCCCCAGGGCGGCACCCAAGACGAGTACGCCTTCTACCCGATCCCCACCGCCCGCGCCTACGAGCTCGTCAGCCTCGACACCGGCTACGACTGGTTCCTCCCGGCCCCCATGGCCAAGGACCGCAAGCTCGCCTGGTCCTTCTCGGGCCTCGGCTCCTCCGCCTCCAACATCGTCGCCCAGATCTCCTCCACTCATCACTCCTCCGAGAGGGAAGAGGTCGAGGAGCGCCGCGCCCTCGCCCGCCACACCTTCGCCGCCGCATTCCGCCACCTCGTCGGCCGCATCGTCATCGCCCTCGAGGACCGCCGGGACCTCCGAGACTCCCTCCCCTCAACGCTCGTCGTCGCGGGAGGCGTCGCCTGCAACCGTTTCCTCATGCACGTCCTGCGCAGCACCCTCGCCGCCCGCGGGTACGGGCGCATGCGCATCGTCGTGCCCCCTCCCGCCCTCTGCACCGACAACGCCGCCATGATCGCCTGGGCCGGCATGGAGATGTACACGGCGGGGTGGCACACCGACCTGGACGTCCTGGCCATCAGCAAGTGGCCCATGGACCCGGACCGGGGGGAGGGCATTATGGGTGCCCCTGGGTGGTTGAAGAGATAGATGAGACTCTTGACCGGAATGCAGCTTCACAACATGAAGGATGCCACTGTAATGTATAACTACCTGTAGAACTAACTGTACAATACGCCAAAACAGTATGATCGAGAAGAAAGGGTTTATGGGACATGATGGAAGAAATTAAAGAATAATAATTCGTTTACGCCAAGCAAGTAGATTTGTTTTATTGTGAAGGTCGTATATAATACATGGTCAAGAGTCCTCCGATTATCTGGTCCAATCAGTTCTTTCAAGGACGGATCTATGCCACGCGGTCTACGATAAGCCCCAAGCCATCCAACCCCGACTCGCACAATAAAACTTCCTACTCCAGAGCGCTTGTAACATTTGAGAACTCTCCCTTCTCCAGCTTGGTCTTCCAGAAGATGGGGTTTGTGTCGTTGAAGCCGTGGTGCGTCCAGCCCTTCTCCTCAATGTGGTACAGGTTGATATAACCACCAGAGAACGCATCACGGTGAGTTGCGGCAAGAATACTCCTCCTTCCCAGCTCGAGAGCGTCCTCGACACCCAGCTCGTAGTCGTACTCGGTGTCCAGCACACCGTAGGCAAACGTCTGACCACTGCCGACGCAGAAGAGGTTGCCGGCCACACGGGTGCCGTCGCTGTCGACGTAGTACAGCGCAGGTCCCTCCTCGGGGGTAACGCCGGCACACATGGTGCCCATGCTGAGGCCCATGCCCTTGTAGCTGTAGACGAGGTTGGCGAGGATCTTGGAGGCAGCGGCGACGCTGATACGGCGCTTGTGGCGGAGCTCGTGGAGGCGGCACTGCATGCCCAGCCAGCCAAGCCAGTACTGGCAGTCTGCAGCGCCACCAGCAAGGGTTCCGAGCAGGACGCTGTTGATTTCGATGACCTTCTTGACGGTCTGCGAGGCAATCCAGTCACCGGCCGTGGCACGAGAGTCGGTAGCGACGATAATACCGCCCTGGAATCGGAAGGCCAGGGTCGTTGTTCCGTGTGCAATCTTGATGGGGCAGTCGGGGTTGGATCTGTCATCGGTGGCAGCTCGGAGCCATTGTGAGGGCTGTTATCATCATCAATCATGGTTAGCTATTTGTCCGGACACCGTCTGGAGCTTATGCATATGCATCGGGTTACTGACATGGGCGACGGGGGGCATGGCAAACTTCAGAGACAATGGGGTCTCTGTGTTCATCAGCTCCTCGGTCTCATCCTTGAAGTCCTCATTGTGGAAAGCCGGTCGGCTGTATTTGGCAACTAGAGTATCCATTGCGGGTGCTGGTCGAGCTCGTCGCTGCTATGCCGACTGTCGGGACCTCTGGGCTGCTGGCAATCGGTTCACCGCCGGGCTTGGCTGAATATCAATACGTCTCAAATGCGAGATCGATGGAGGGCGTATTGAAAGGATGGATCGATGGGTGGTGGGCGTTGAGGTTGGGCGAGGGAGCTGGTAGCTGAAGGGTCACAGTGCTCGCTCGAGGTAAGTAGGTCAGGCAGCTTCTGGATCGCGCGTCACTCAGTGTGCCTGCTGCTGATAGTGGGTGGTGCTCTGGTAGCTGTGGAAGGTACATCCCACCACATTCTATTCCCCACTTCTGCAAGTAATTGCTGCCTATCTTATAAGGCATCGAGATACGGCTCAGTCAGCACTTCGCTAGGACTGACATCACAACCACCTTCTTATGATCAAAATAACATATTAGTATTCATGATGCTCTGAAAGTCACCTCTATGCTATGGTGGATTCCTTAGCTGGTTGATCTCGACCTGATACAGAGCACTTCTAGGCATAACACAGTCTGAACAGGCAACTCGCACTTGCACTAAGAGAATCAAGACGACGAATGCGATAGCTGTTATTTCTAGATACATACAGCCTGAGAGCCGCTCATGTTCTTTGCAGACATGGCATTCGTAATGAGCTTTGAACACGCTGCTTCGACGAGAAATCCTACACACCACTTTCCAACACCTCCCCGGCAACAAGCCCCTCCGTTCAGCCAAACAGAATACGGCTCGACTAGCAATCATTGATATCCCAGAGCCCAAAATAAGTATGTACCATACCACTGAGCCTAGAGGTGGAAGTAAAAGTTGGACAGAAAACAGAAAAAAGAAAGAAGAAAGGAAACCCATTATTAATTTCTCCTCGTCATACCCATCCAATCCCCGTGATACTCCAAAATGCAGCTTGGAACCGAACATACCGAAAATAGGCTTATAGAAAATAAAACACAATAAAATAAACCGAAAGACCAAAGAATGAGGCGTGAGATAATTTTTTGTTTCAAACGAAGGCATCGCAATAGTGCTCAACGGTGATTCATCGCTGGAGAATCTGATGAGAGCCGGGCAGCCAGCCATGCATCATCAAATGCGGCTGTTCCCGACTAGGGGTTAGGAGTAGTCTCCCGGCTGCTGCGGCCCGCATCTCGCTTGCTCAAGAGGCCGCGTCGCAAAGGCTTGGGACTCTCACCCAATAGATTGGACGTCTCAGCTGGTTGGAAAGCGCTCTTCAGCGTAACCGTGCCACTGCCCACAGTAAGATCCTTGGCAAGACCGGCACCGCTCTCGTCCACAAAATAGATGTGCTCGCCCAGGTCATCATCACTGCCGAACAAGTGCTCACCCTTGACCTCAATCTTGAATTGGGCGTCTGGTGCACAGACAATTTTGAAGGATTCGTCGAAAACCCAGTGTCCACCGGGAGATTTGAAATGCTTGGTCTTGCCCACACTCTTCTCCTTGGGCAAGATTTGAGTGATTGAGACATACAGGTCAGCTGACGGAGGATAGTCGGAGGCGCTGACAACGGTGAATGTAGCGGTACCGCTCCCCGCACCAGGGATCATCGAGCTGCGAACAGAAGCACCCCCGAAGCTCTTAGTGCGGGAATGAGGAGTTTGTCCGTTGCTTGTCACGGGACGGTCTATGGGAGAGTCCGATACAGCGTTCGGTGACAGGACAGGCTCCTCGGTAGCCATGATAGTTGGAAGAGTGTGTCCATTTGTTTTCGCTTCCTCATCCTTCTTACCAAAGAGGCCTTTCCTGAGGAATGTTGCGCTTCTTCCGACACCCGATCCCACCACGCCTGCAACAGCGGCACCACCCTTGAAGGGGGCACCTGCCACACCGGTGACAATGCGTCCTGGGGTGGAAGCGAATGTTCCAGCAAAGGTTGAAGTTCCCTGTCTTGCCCGGCGAATGTAATCTGGTCGGAACAGGAGCCTGATACGGACGCTTCCAGATTTCCCATCCAGAATATAACGACTTTCAGAGGCCTTGAACGGATCGAGGGACTCCAAATTGATGCTGGCAGCGCCCAAGAAATCGGGCTTGTCGGCAAAGTCATAGTCATAGACGTTGACCACCAGGTTGGCCGCTGTTCTAGAAGGAACATCCACCTCGAAATTTTCATTCCACACGGGCGCGAGCGTCTTCTTGATCGTCTTCGTCTTGTAAATTTCGGCCCCATTGAGCTCGAATTTACAATAGGGGTCGCTCTTTCCGTTGCGATCGGCAGCCGGCAAATCTACAGCATCCAGAACGTCTACCCGCAGGCGACCCATGTTGTTGATGCTCTCACTTGGGTCGAGCTGCATCTTGAAGGGAACGTACTTGAGACTGACCTTCACCCAACCCGACTTACCATCCTCGCTCTTGAGCATGAGTTTTGTTGGGTTGTTCTATAGTAGACCCGCTGATTAGTTTCCGGGTGTTTCTTTTTTTAGAATTAGGATAGGTGGACAAAACTTACCAAGCATTGCTTCAGTGTGTCAACGGTGTTTCCCGTGAGATAGGCCAGCGTGTCGTCGTCATCATCCCCCTTCTTCTTCAATTTGATCGTAAGGCGAGAGAAATCCAGTTCACGAATCACACAGTCGCCGATTTCATCAAACTTGTAGGACTTCTGCCTGGACGTAGCAGACGTGTATGAGGGATACATGTAATCATCCACGAAGACCTCAAGTCGGCAATTGCTTTCAGCCATCTCCGATTCCATCAGATGGAAAATGAGCAGACCGCTCTCATATCGAAGAAGCTCCTCGGGACTAAGTCTGATTTTAGGCCTTGACTCAACTGAGGGTCTGCCGACAGTGGACGTGGGAGTAATGGGTGTAAGGGGTGGCTGCTCGTCGCCTTCTTTGTCCTTGCCGACTGAGGTATCAAGGCTTGCCTTGAACTTCCCGGCTTCGCCTGATCGATCAAGAGAGGACCTCCCCTTTGACTCCACGGTAGACTGGTCGGTTGACACTCTGGGCTTGGTGGCATCTCCATTTGCAGCCTCCTCTTCCTCCTCTTCCGGATCGGCAATATTGAGGCAAGGGTAGAAAGCACAATTGAACACCAAAGTACCCTTGGCAACTCCCCTTCCGTGGAGACGAAGGCCTTCCTGCCGCTCTTTCTTCTCTTCATGGATGAGGTACTCGCCATCCTCCTGTTGAATATAGTCGCCAGCAAATAATTCGACAAGTCCCAGACTGCGATCCTTGCCCACCTTTTCAGTGTCCATGACTTCGAGGGTAAGCTTGTCCCTTGCCGAATGGATTGGAACATACAGAACCTCGTCCCAAGCTGGGTTCAGGTCATTCCTGAACGTTACTGTGCGAGCCTTTTCAATACCCGAGAGCAACACGCGTGTGTAGGGGTCCGATTTTCCAAAGGCCTCCAGATTACGCAAGTTCTCGGCTCTCTTGAAATGGAAGCGCATAATTCCGATGGGAGTCACATACCCACCAGTACCAACAACGCCACTAATGGCAACAGGCTTCCACTTGGCCGTCAACTGAACACGACCTGTGGTAGCACCCGAGAGATGGTACCATTCTTTGCCCTGGGCCATCATTTCAAGGATGTCATCAAGCTTGATCTGATACTTTCCAATGGTTTGGTCACCAGCGATATCACGATCGTCTTTGATTGTAACGCCAAGTTTTGCCTTCTTACGGTCGGTGATGAGGATTTCTTTGGATCCGTTATCCCAGATGGGGTCATTGATGCGCTTTTGCTTCTTCGTCTGGTGAATTTCCTTGCCATTCAAGAATAAAACAGCATACGGGTTGAGCTGCCCAATCATGCTCTTCGTACCATCAAGTTCAGCGGCACGCTGGACCGTAAAGCGCAAAATACCTTGGTTCGATTCAGGTGGTGGTTGCTCAACCCCTTCATCGTCCTTGGTGGCTTCCAGGACCGGGAAAAAGCGAAAGTCGCACGTCACCGTACCATGGGGCTTGCCGCTATGGATGACTTCCAGGCGCTCATTTTCATGCTCGTACAACTCCTCGAGGTTCTCAAGAGGAAATGATGCCACACCCAGTTGTTTATGCTTGCGGAAATCGTTGTGGTCAAAGATCTGGATATCCAAGGACTCGGAAAATGACGAAACAATGATATAGTGTGTCTCATTCCATCGTGGATTGGGATTATCCTCAACAACCTTGGTTCTGGCAAGCTCCTTGCGTTGGCTCAGTGAGATGGATGCGTACGGGTCGATGGTGCCGCCGAAATTGTCGCTGTTCTTCAGGCCGTGGGCACTGTAGATAGTAACGGCGACAACACCAACAGCTTGATCCAGTTGTGTGCCGGCAAGCATCTTGGCAACCTCGATCGGGAAGACCTTGGGAGCATACATCATGGGGGCAAGATTTCCATGGATCTGTTCCAGGATGAAACTCTCCAGTCCGGGAATGAAATTGATATCAAAACCCAGAGTCTCTCCACCCAAAGGCTTGCAGACATAATCAATAGTTGGACGCTCTAGGAAACACATCTCAACTCGGTCAACGTGAGGGAAGGGAATCTGGAGTTTGACTTTGAGGCGCATGAGACCGGAAAATGCCATATCCTCGACAATGACATCAAGACCCTTACTGATCATGGCTTTACCAACACGAATCTCCAGAACGATTTTTGGGTTGACTTTATTGCTAAGCTGCCGGTAAGTCATGTCCGTTTTGTCGTTTGGTGTGAAGCTAAATTTCCAGTCCATAAGAACGACATCATCCTCTGTCTTGGGATAAGTTTTGACATGTTCCATTCGGGGAGGCTTGCTGCCCAGAGTGAAGGTCTTCAATCTTAGACTATCGAGAAACGAAGGGGTGGCGCCGCTCAGGACCTGATCAACAGACTTGACGACAGTGTCGGCGAGCACGGGCTGATAGATGGGCCAAAACTTGACAAGAAATGAGTTGATCCATTCCACGGACTCATTGTCGTCTTCCAGCTTCTTGAGTGCCATTTCACGTCGAATGTCGTCGCGAAAGTTGCGCCGGACTCGTCGAAGCGAAGTTCGATAATATGTAGAGCAAATGGCCATGACGATCATTACCCATGCTAGACCACCGCCAAGCACGGCAATGAGCCAGGACGTCAGACAAGCAAAGACAATGATAGCTGCGTTATGGTACCAGTCTGCGCGTCGCATTAGCTTAACCTTGTTTGCAAAGGGGAACGGTGGTCCCAATTGGTGAGAATTCGCGCCTCAAAACATACCGCCGTACAAGATATCGGGGATCTTCTGCTCGAGCCACGTCTGGTGATCAAGCAAGCTTTCCTGCTCTTCGTCCTTGCCACCAAGTGGCCCAAACATTGGCGCCCATCCAGTTCGCGAAAATGGCACCTCTCCAGCTTCCGGGTCGGCATCAACGACGGGCCTTCCATTTGCATCTTTCGCGACATCGATAGCGCCGGCCTTGCTTGCCTCCGGGAGGTCCTCGTCCGGGCCGGTACCATCGTCAACGTCGGTGACAATGGCGACGCCCTTGGGCCTCTTCTTTAATTCGGCCGGGATCGCCTATGAGGCAGGAGAGCAATTGTTAGCCATGATGACCGAGAAACCGACCCATTCGAGTGTGCGCCCGCTCCGCCAAGATACATAGGTGGCTACTTACAGCTCTGGTGGCCGCTCGCTTCTCCTCTACGCTGGCGTCAGCATCGAAATTGAAGGCCGTGACACCCGCATTCTTGGAGGCCTCGACAATATTCTGTTCCGCTGCCTCTGCAGCGGCTCTGGTTTGTGTATTGACGGCGGCCTCGATCGTCGCCTCCTGCTTAACCTCAGGAGCCTCGCTCATCTCGCCGGGGTTGGCGCTCCGCACCGAGCTAATGTCGCCAATCACCGGGGTTCAATTGAGTCGTTTGGGCGGGTGAGGAATGCTGCTCCAGACTCGAGCACCGTTGGCGCATGAAAATTGGCGGCTCGAGGGAATACCAAGACGAGCGACAAGAGAAACTATCTGCCGTCTACCTGCTCAGAGAAAAAAAAACTCAAAGGAGTGAGAGTGCAAGACCTGAGCTGAGAGGGGTGGACGGCGTGGGGATGATAGGTAGTTGTAGACGAGCTAGCTCAAGCTGGGGAATGGGCCCAATCCCGTCGGAAGGTAGCTAGGAATAGTAGAATACTAGCTGGATGGGAAGAAAACATGGGAAATAGAAACGAGAGAATGGAGCTGACGACCACGCTCAGCAAGATGGGTCTGCGGCTGGGAGGCACAGGTGAGCAATGCAGCTCTATGCAGGTCGACGGTGGAGGAAATCTGTCTGTCTAACGAGCTGGTGATGAAATGGCAGCAGGAGACAACCTGATCTGATGCTGGGTTGCTCAAGCCAAGCTACGCAACGCTGCAGGGTCGACGTAATTAATGTCGGGTAGGTCAGGTAGGTAGGGTACTTGGGCGCACCAGTGGAGGCACGTAATAGTGGCCACAGGTGGCTGGGATTGCGCTGCTAATGGGTGGTATCTCGCCCGCTGCTGGAACATTGGGGGTTCCCTGGACCTGTACCTTGGCGGCAGCGCTGGTCGCGGTATGAGGTACCAGCTACTGTTTGCGTAGAGGCTGCCCTTCTAGACCTCCGGCAACCCTGTCGGGCTGGGCTGGCAAGATTAGTGCGAAAAGCGGGCAGGGCCCACTGAGGCAGCTCGTGGCGCTAAGAATATGTAGGAGGAGCACTAACGTGCCCCCTCGTCGATGAGGTCAAGCCCGTCACGCCAATCTGGTTTTGGAGATGGAGCTTTCGCGCTGGTGGTCAACAGAGCTGAAGCTAGCCCAGATGCTGAATATCCTGCTGTTCGCGGTTTGGCTCGTTCAAGCGGCACAGGAACGCAGGTGGGACTTGGGAGCAGATCTGCCTACTATATTTTATTACAGTGCAGTCATGCTGCACAAGCCTGGCCCTCACTTATTAATAGACGCCCAAATCTTCATGGCTTACATCACTCATTTCTGCTGTACCTGTCCATTGGAACCAGGTACCTTAGAGGGGGGTATTACCGGGTGGTTAATTGCATCCCCCATATCGCTCAACCGGGAGCAGTGACGTGTGAACAACCACCATATCAGCTGTGTAAAATTGGGGCCGTGGTCGCTCGTGCCGGCGCTACTCAAGACATGTATCGAAACCAGTAAAACCTCCATGCACGCATCAGCTATTGCAGATAGTAGCTCTTGTGCTCTCCCTCACCGACCAGCCAGCCACACCGTCGGGCATCTGATTATGCGCTAGGCTCGAGTGCTCCTGCTGCGGTGACTCCTGTCTTGGGTTATTAGGATTTTATCCAAGATTGAAAATCCAAATTAGCAAATGGCCGTCAAGCAGGGCGATGGGTTTACGACCCCCGGGCCTACGCGGCCGGGGTGGGTTCCCCAAATGCCAATACAGGACGGTGGCCTCCCACCAAGAAAGCAAAGGATCTCCACCACCGCCAGCGCCGAGCCCAACCCACCGGTACAGGTGCTTTCATGTCTGGAAGCTCGACCTGGGTTAATCACTGGTCTCTGTGGTTTGTCGTGCGACGTCCCACCCCATCCCCTGGCTCCCTCCCCATCAGCACCAGTCAAGCAGATATCATAGCAGTTTAACCGGAGGGTAAGGGGTTTTCAAGCTCCAAGCCCGCAATTGGCTGGAGCCCTGGGTGTGACGTGCGTTTGTTCGTAAATCAGGTTCACTTGCTGGGACCCAGCGCAAGGACTAAGGTATGCTACTCTGCAGGGAGAATCCAGGATATGATGCGGGCATTTTCCTTGATTTTCATTCTTCTTTTTTTCACGAGCTCCAACCTCACACTTCCAAGTTTGTGGAGCTTGTTTGGAAGACATGTATCACATCAGGCCCTCTTTTTCTTTAATTTTCCCCTAACACCATCTCTGACAATGCCGGATTTATGCCAGAGTACATGATTTGAAACATCGCTCACGAATCATTCAGACCCAAGTATCACAGATCATCGCCTCAGAGCTATAGCCACGTCCCAGGTTCTCATATTCCTTTTCACAAGTTTATACAGGAAAACAGCTTCCACCCGGGCCCCAGATTAGAAGAATCTCGATGAAGGTGTTCCACGAGGCATTGGAACCCAACGAACTGAAAGAGACGTATCAATGGTCTAGAGTGTGTTCTCTTTTCATCATACCTACTACATCCATCCACTACATTGGTGTACTTCGTTCTGCGTGTCCCAGGAGGGACAACGTTCGTTTCCCTTTCCAATTGTGTGCCAACAACGTAGAAATAGCACTAGAACAAGCCAAGAAACAAAAGTCTTTGAACCACAAAGGATTGAATCATATGCACGCAGAGTGGAAATTGTGAAATTATGCGCCTCGCGCATATCCTAAATCTTCTATTGGCCAGATATAGGAAATCGGGGAGAAGAGAGCAAGTGAGCAAATTGAGTAAGAAAAGCCAAACTCCCTGACACCGACGAGGCGTTAGTCAAGCCAAGCCTCTTAGTTTCGCCTGCAGACGCCATATTGTATGTGAAGCCGTTTATCATCAAGCCAGTAACTGGTGGTATTGAGCCACCCAAAGAGCGAAAAAAAAAAAAGGAGCAGGCTACCAGATATGTAGTACATCATCGTATCGTAAGATAAAGATCCATGTGCAAATCAGAAAATCAATATCGCTGAGAAGAAGAAAAATATATGGGGCATCGTTCTTAATACCCAAAACCATCGTGTTGATGAACCGGGCAGCGTCCAGGGTGGTTGACAAACCAGGCAACAATGCAAGATCGGTGGAATCGACAAAGGCACTCCAGGCGTGCCATAGGAACTCCCACAACGAACTCTTCTAAGCAAATCGTGCACTCGGCATCATCCACACAATCCTTCTCTGTTGCTGGGTATGTGTACATTCCGGTCAAGCGAGGAGCTGCTTGTGGTTCACCTCCTTCCCCTGTCCGGGGGCTCCCGAAAGTACTGTGCGATTGAATGCATGATGTAATGTGAGACTCGCGGAGAGACTCAAAGTTTTCTAGGCTTCGAGATGGGAGTTCAAGATGGCAGATCGGGCATTCATCTTCTTCTGCAATTTGAGGGGGTGGGGGCAGCTGTCGATGGTGCCGAGATGATGCTCGAGCTTCTCCAAATGAACTGTACCGATGTGGCATATTGGATGATGTAGCTCCAGACAGACTGCTTTCTGGGAACCGGATAGAAGACGCATGTGAGATCCTCCGGCTGGAATTGCTGGCTCTTGAATGCGTTCCAGGACTCTAAATAGAGGCGGCCGTGGGTCAATAGTCTGGTCCAATGTCATGTAACTGAAAGGGCACTTACAAGCGTCACACTTCTCGCCCGGTAGGCACGGCTGGATAAGGACGAGAAAGGATCCTGAAGTTGGCCAGCATTGAATGCAATTCCATGACGACTGTTTGAGGACATGGCGGCCTCGTAGGCATTTCCTATGCTGCTTCTTGATCTTGAATGCGAACCGCGAAAGTTCGCTACTGGGGGCGTTGAAGAAGAGGAGGACAAGCCTTGCGGGGGGGCTATATTTGGGTCAGGGACGCAAGGGTTGCATAACCGGACTCTTTCCCCTCCAGGTATCCCGTTGACATCAAAGTACCCAAGCCCAAGCTGGTCTGTGAGCAGGGTCTGCGGTGGTATAGGTATCTCTGATCCCGGGGGCCTGACGATATATTGGTGCGGTATGATGATCCTGTGTGGGGAGCAAGAGTTGCAAACGACCCGGCCACATTTTCTAATATGGTGTAAGTACTTTGATACAGCTCGATTAAGAATAAGGATATGACCTACCTGCAATGGTGCTTGCGAACAAAGATGCTGAACTGCGTTTGACAGATAGGACAGTATGTTACTTCTGCATCTGGCTGCCACCTAGGCAAAGCAAAATCCGATGAGACGCTCTCGCCCCCACCGTGTTGTGCATCGATTTCCTCGTTTTGAATGGGTAGGGGAATAGATGGCTCGCCCCGCTGGGTTTCCGGCAATGGCATATTGAGGACTGCATTGATATCGAGCGCTCGAAATCTGTCAAGGTCTGAATGGCCATGACCATGTTCTCCGCTGTGATCCCTGGGTATGTGTTGTGAGGCTAATGATGCGTTCGCATCGTGAGCCCCCCCAGGCTGACTTCCACTGGGCTCCCCGAACTCTGCACCAACGTGGAGAAGACTCGCCGTCGGCGCTGAGCTGCTGAGTCCACTAATTTCCATGTTCAATCGAGAACGGGCGGCACTGGTGGTGTCTTGGTGCTGATGACTTCCGGAATTCAGAGCAGACTGTTCACCCGGCCGCCTTTCGCCGCTCGTTAACCTGGCACCTCCAGTTTCTGTAGAGCTAGCATGAACGCCGCTGTGATTTCTAGGTTCGATATCTGCGCTGGTGGGCTGTTCGTCCACTGAAAGTCGTCGCTCGATGCCATGCGAAGGACAGTCGAAGTATCTAGAACATTCCTCGTCGTAGTAAAGCGATGTTCTCCAGGGGCAAGAAGATTCATCATTCTGTTCCTCAGCTGGACGATGGCTAGTAAAAGCACGGTTACTAGCCTCATCTACTAAGCTCTCGTGGGCGGGGCTAGAGGTCGATGGAACTGCAGGACTGGCCATAGTGATACATCAGAGGTGTTACCAATAGAAGCGCCTCGAAAGCCGTGTGGTTGCCGTTCCACCTCGATTTGCCTCGCCTTTTGAAAGGAGAATTAAGTCAAAGTAACGGTCGACTTGAATGCTTGAGTTCGATGTGTGGCGATGTATGGCGATGGGCGGAATCAAGCCTCGTCGAGTCGGTCGGTCGGTCGGCAAGGGAGCCTCGTCGTCAAGCAAGTCTGGTCAAGACTTGAATGCCGTTTGATGTCGAGGACGGGTAGGCTCACTGGGGAAGAGCCATTCTATGCCATGGCGAAAATACGCATAGAGGGGAAAACCGAGTATCGATAACTGAAACAATTCTAAAGTATTTGGATGAGATGGGGCAATATGATATCAACACCTGTTGGCTGAGGGGAAGATATAATGTAGGCAGGAGCCCCCCCCTGTGGGTTTGCCTGAGCATGCGACACCATGATGGCAGGGGTTGTCGATAAGGCCGCTTTTAGGGTGAGGCTCACGGTGAGCATACGTTGAGCACATTTTGTGTGGTGATAAGGATTTATGCAGCGATAAGACTAGACATTGTCACTAAAGGGGCAAGACGCTATGCCTAAAGAGCCGTGACCAGGTAGCGGTGGAGACGAACCCTTGATGAGGCCCTTGCGTCAGATGTGGCTAATCGATTGGAATTAATGGGGGCCGTTGCTTGCCTGAGGGCTGGTGTATCCGGCTACGGCAATCACTAATTTGAGAGGATCACCTTGCCAAACCTTGCCATTATCCCGTCTAGTAAGATGAAAAATAAACATTGACAAGGGGACGTAGCATTGCCGGTAGATTATTTTGGCGCTGCCAGTTGCTCTTCCTAGGCGCATTCTCAAGACTGTTATGCGGAATATGTAATGGAGCATGCTTACAGAATCAGACGAGGATGAGGCGAACTCGGATATCTGTTGACATTACCCTGCACGAACTACATAATTACACAGGTATTCGGAGAGAAGCATCCAGAACTGGCTGTTATCGCATGGAAGTCACCATACTGGACCAAGAGAGTACCTGCAATCGACTTTACCCATAAGTCTCTAGGGTAATCATCTCTCATGACCACAAAGCTGCGCGAGTTACCACTGGTAGGTGGTATCTGTAGTATGCTGACTGTGCGACCAGGGGGCTCAAATACCCCTATCAAAAGTCTTATTGACGCTCTAATTCTCTCTCTGGAGAGGGAATGACTGGATGTCTAGGTAGGGTAGCATGTCATCGTGGACCAGTACTTTGGGCATATGAGTATTATCGCCGATAGATTTCCAGTCTTCTCCTAGGGAAGATGGATACGTTACACAGTGAATACATGGCATATGACACAATGATCTCACACGAACCCCAAGCACCCAACTGGCACTGCAAGAAGTCTTTCTTTTTACTCACGTGATTCATAGACATTCATGTAGAACGAAGCCCCGCCATATTCGCAATGGTTCCAGGACCTTGCGTGACTTTGAGGACATATTTCAATACAGTATGATGGTTTTGTAAATGTACTGGCTGGCATGACCACGGGTTTACAGACTAGAATGAAAATAAATAGAAGCAGTGATATGCTCAATACGAAAATTCTGCAACAAGTGTCGTGCTGCATGCGAGGCAGAGTCGCATAAGAGCCTGAGGTGGGTTCCACTTTTATAGAACTCCGATGCTTTTTCCAAGTGAGTCACCCCTCTTGCCCCTCCATTGCTGCTTCTAAACGCTTCTTGCTGTGCGCGACTCAATTCCTCACCAGACACACTCCAGTTTTTCTTCCGGAACCACACCTGGTGCTTTCTTGAGCTGCGATCTTCAGAACACAATTTTTTTTCTATTGGCACTCAATACATCTATCAGCGGGCTATTTCGCCTACCTTAGCGTCGCAAAACTGCCACCAATGGCGTCCACCCAGGCGGCTTCGCAGCCTGTGCTGCCCGAGTCTGGCAAAAGGAATATCTTGATTACAAGTGCTCTGCCATATGTGAACGCATACCCGCACCTGGGTAACCTGATTGGAAGTGTCTTGTCGGCCGATGTTTATGCTCGCTATTGCAGAGCACGTGGGTACCAAACCCTCTACATCTGCGGTTCTGTGAGTAGCAACACCCACATTTCTCACCAAGCTGAATGTAGCTGACGAGGAGGCGCAATCATAGGATGAGTACGGAACCGCGACGGAAACGAAGGCTCTCGAGGAGGGAGTTGACCCAGAGACGCTTTGCGCCAAGTATCGAGCCCTCCACAAATCCGTCTATGACTGGTTTGGCATCGGTTTCGACATATTCGATCGCACCCCGACCAAGCATCAAACTGCTATTGTCCAGGAAATATTCACCGACCTGTATAAGAACGGATACATTGAGGAGCGAGAGAGTGCTCAGCCCTTCTGCCCTGTCGAATCACATAACACCTTCCTCGCCGATCGCTTTGTTGAGGGCGAGTGTTCTATCTGCCACGACAAAGGAGCCAGAGGAGACCAGTGTGACGCCTGTGGTGCCATGCTAGACCCTCTCAAGCCCGAGCAAGATGCAAACAACGCAGATGGCCAAGCAGACGAGGCTAAGGCTACCGGTTGGCTCATCAACCCTCGCTGCAAGGTCGACGGTGCGACTCCCGAAAGACGGACGACAAAGCATCTCTACCTGAAGCTAGACGCTCTTCAAGAGCGGGTCGTTGAGTGGTATAAATCGGCGACCAAGAACGGAAACTGGAGCACCAATGCGCTGGCCATTGCTCAGGCATGGATCGACAAGGGTCTCCAACCCCGTGCTATTACTCGAGATCTTCGTTGGGGTGTACCCATCCCTGCAGTTGAGGGTCTCAATGTAGAAGAATATCTCAACAAGGTATTCTATGTCTGGTTCGACGCCTGCATTGGATATGTCTCTATCACCAAGACCTACACGGACGGTGATGACCTGGCGGGCACCAAGTGGGAGCAGTGGTGGAAGAACCCCGAGAATGTGACGCTTATGCAATTCATGGGCAAGGACAATGTGACATTCCACAGTATTGTATTCCCATCATCACAGGTGGGAACAAACCAAGAATGGACAAAGGTTCACAAAATCTCTGCGACTGAGTATCTCAACTACGAGGGTGGCAAATTCAGCAAGTCCCGGGGTGTTGGTGTTTTTGGCCACAATGCCAAGGATACTGGTGTCGACTCTGATATTTGGCGATTCTATCTCCTCTCGCGCCGACCTGAGACTGCCGACACCGAGTTCAAGTGGGAAGAGTTCCTCGACACCAACAATAACGAGCTACTGAAGAACCTCGGCAATTTCATCAACCGTGTTCTCAAGTTCTGCGTCGCCAAGTTGGATGGAGTCGTCCCCGAATCTAGCTATAGTGACGATGTCATTGACGAGCATAAGAAGGCGACTAACCAGGCACTCACCCTCTATATTGAGCATCTTGAGGGTACAAGACTCCGTGCTGGTGTCACTGATATTCTTGACATTTCCCAGCTTGGAAACAAGTTTCTGCAAGCCAACAAGCTCGATAGCAGACTGCTAACCGAGGAACCCGAGCGCTGCAAGGCTGTCATCCGCGTCGCCATCAGCCACATCCAGCTCCTGGCTAACCTCGTGACTCCTTATATGCCGGGCATTGGTGAGGCCATCTTCAGCCAGCTGGGCCTTGAGCCCACCACCAGTATCCCTGACGTTTGGGATTTCAATTCGATTGCGGCCGGCCACAAGATTGGCACACCCAAGCCCCTCTTCTCCATCATCCCATCCTCGAAGATTGAGGAATGGCAACTCGCATATGGCGGAGAGGAGCTGAAGCGACAGAAGGCTCTCCAGGCAGAAAAGGCAGCTGCAAAGGCGGCTGCTAAGAAGGCCAAGAAGCAGAAGTCTAAGGAGAAGAAGGACAAGGAGAAGGAGGCGGGAGGTCCGGCTCCGGCTCCTGCCCCGGCAGAGTCAGTCGCCAAGGAGGTGGCAGATCTCTCGCTCAAGGATAAAAACTAACTGAGATGAAAAAAAAAATTGTACAGAAAGATAGATGGTCGTGTGCTGTGTAGCTTGGAGTTGGTGGTTGATGGATAGACCTGACAGATACCTGTGATAGATATCTAAGATGAGGCAAGAATTGATGAAATGAGTTTATCATACTTGTACCACCTTGCCTGCGTTCACCGTGTCAAGAGGTAATCAATTGGAAATTAATCATTCGTAAGCTGTTCTTATCAGCTTTTAAATAAAGTTGTCAACTATCCTCCACAAATATTACTATCCAAGTTTGTGGTTTGGACCTTTTCGCTTTCAAGACTCCAGAAACCGTTATTTAATTATTAATTACCCCGCATGACCCGATCCGCTGCTAGGAGGACCCCACACATCCGTGATCGGTTTCGGTCCCGTCATTCTCTGGAAAGACGAATCAATTGGAGATGCAAGCGTTGTGGATTAACCTATAATTTAGAGGTTGTATCACGAATAAATTCATTTGGCACTTGGCACCGGAGGCACGCCGCACTCCCTATCCCGGAGAGTTTCCACCCTTTAGGGCGATCCCGGTACTCGCCATGTTTTGGCCGTAGGAGGCCGTCCATCCGGTCAATTTGATGGACTCCATAGCTAGAATCCTTTGCTCCAGGGTCGAAAATTGGGGCCAGTGCACGGATAGCTAGCTCGCAGGCAGCAAGCAAGGGGACGGCGTATCCCCAATTCGAACAACGAGGAGACCAGCCGCGTGCTGTATCGAGTGCCCGAACATGGCATTGTGATAGGCGCGCCGCGGATATCATACGGATGGCCCATTGGCCCTTGGCGTCTAGGCCCAGGCTCAAGAGCTACCCACCTGGCTCGAAGTCGAGAGTGGACACTGCCCTGCGCGTACCCAGATGTGCCAGTACGCGATAGGGCTGAGGCCAGGACAGCTGACGCGTGTTGCCTCTCCTGGCCCGACTTCTTCAACAATGGAGATTTTTTATTTGTGTTCTTGGCTAGTTGGAGCCTTTGCACTTGGCCGTCCAATCGCAGCTGGTTGTATCACTGTGACTAATCCAGTATATTCAAGATTGCCAAGTAAAAGCGTCATGACGAGGCTGCGAGGACATGGATCGGGCCTGTGAGCTTCAAGAGAAGATGCCCCCGCGGATTGGGTCCAGAACGTCCAAAGGCCAGTCTATCAGCCGCGACAGACGGAGAGTGGGGGGTTAGTACAATGTCGCTAATATAGGTAGGTGGACGCGTGGCAGGAGGAATAATTATATCTATTGTCTCAGTGCTCGTTTGTCTTGGCAGTCCACAAGTTCGGAATCAGCCAGCGGTACCGGAAAGCCGAAAAGGAGGCACTCGAAGCGGCTGCACGCTTGCTCCTGGCTGAGGACGACCAGCAAATGGGCATCAAGGAAATCCTCAGCAAGGAACAGTGCAATCGGGCAATTCCATGTTTGAGGAATCATGGATGCGATTGGGAGCAGCAGCAGCCAACGAGATTGAGAGCTGGCCTGCAAGGAGTGGAATTGATCATATTATGACCAAGGCCAAAAAAAACTCTTCGCTCGGCACCAAATTGGCCGGAATGCCAAGATCGTACACGCAACCAGTTTCATCTTCCTTCTTTGACTTCTTGGCTAATAAGCACATGAGCTAATGGACCGCCTGCTCGTCTCCAATTGGCCCAAACGCCGTGCGGCTCAGCGAATGCCTCTCGACAGGCTTGCCGATTAAGCGTGCTTGTGCCGACATGCTCAGATCAGTTGCACATTCCTGATTGCTGTGTATGGCATGCGACTCGGAAGAGAAGAGGGTTTGTGTATTGGGGACGACAGGGCCGTACGAAACGGGCAAGATCGGCTTCAAGTGAAAGTGGCTCAAAAACGGGCTGGTATAATAAGCTTAATCGTCCCTCGCTCTGTTCCTGGATTGAACTCTGTTTCTCATCCGTCATTCATGGCTCAACGTCGATTGCTCAGGTACTGCCTGAATGATGCGCGTAGCAGTGGGCTAGTGGTGACGTTAGCAGCAGTAGCAGGTCGGCTGGTGGGGGAGGTGCTGGTGGTCAGCGCGTGGGCAAGGTTGAAAGTTCCAAGTCCACGCTCCAATCGTGCTTCAATAGTACTGCCGAGAGATGGCCCCAAGACGAGAGATAAAGATGACGAGGCCATCTCATAAATAGTACGGAGCTACTTGGGAGGAGCAGAGGTGGTAGCAGTAGCTGATGCAGGACGATGGAAGGTACCAAGCCCAGCCAAGACCATAATAATATGGAGATTGACGATGGCCTGCACCCTGCCTGCACACGGTTTCTCAGTAGCAAGAGAGCCAGGATAGAGGCAATTGGCCAGGGAAAGCAGCGCCAAGAGCGAGAGGTGTCATTGCTGTGCCGGGGCGGCAGACGTGAGTTCAGCACACTCAGCTAGGCATGCAGCTCAGCCGTTCCCACCTAGATGCCTACAGTATCAAGGTAGGTATTGAGGGTAAAAGGTACCTAGGTTGGATTCTAGCAGATTGGAGAGGTAGGCTGGATGTAGGCAAGATATAGGTGCTGCCAGAGCAGGCGTGTAAGGCAGGCGCGTGGTGGTGGTCCGGGTTCGCTTCAGCTGTACCTGGGCCCTGGAGCTGGGCATTACAGCGGCGGGACGCCCCCGGGAGCGGGAGTACCTCTTCTCGGGGCGGGATGGCCCCCCAATTAGATAAGTGGTGCGGTGCAGCGTAGAAGAGAAAAAGAGCTTACGACGACAACCCACCTTGGGCGCCTCAAGTATGCACTGGCTGGCCCCCCTCGGCCTCTGGGGGTCGGGTCCTTCCTTGCCTTTTAGTACTACAGCCAGACAAGTCCGTGGTTGTTGTTTTACATCTGCCTTTGACAACCTTTCCTCCTCGCCAACCCGTCCCGTTGATCGCTGGCGAATCTCGTCGCTCCCAGGCACAGCCTCCCTCAACCACGACGCCGCCCATGTCCGGCCCGCACTCGGTGCCTCTGGGCCCACTGCCCTGTAGATAGTACCAGATCCAACTGTACCAATACCGGTGCCGTTCCTACTGTGCTGTACCTGGCTGTCTCCAGTTCCACTGCTATATGGACTGGACAGTGAGGTAGGGCATTGTAGGTTAGGTCAGGTACGTAGGTGTTGCGCTGGGGATTTGCAGAGTACGCGCGTCCAGCCTTTTCGAGCTGGATCTACGCTCCAGCCAGGCAAAAAAAAGAGAGGGAGCCAGGAGAAAAGAAGGAACAAAGTTTGGAACGGGAGCGAGAGAGCCATGGCCGGTCCGTCGCTGTCCCACATCCTCGAGTCTCCCCAGCCGACCTCAGGACTCGATCGATTCTCGACGACACTGCCCTCCATTGCGACGAGGAACGACAGTCCCCCAAACCACCACCTCCCCCACCACCAACAACTCCACCACCACCACCACCATCACCACCACAGCCATGGCTACCCCAATAGCACGCCAATTTCGACAGCTCCGTCGCATTCCAAACTTGGACCTGCTGTGTCATCGACATCACCACTCTCGCAGCATTCGACAATAACAACGTCGACAGTGCCAGTGCGACCAGCGCCAGGATTGGCCATCGCAATCGAGTCCAGTTCAGCACCAACACCACACACGTCTGCACCAGCTCTGCTTCCGGCGCCGCTTACAGCCTCCCCGACAACCACTTCGGCATACAGCCACCAGACGCTGTCTAACAACTTTGATCACGCCCCGTCTCACTCCCAGAGTCTCAGTCACGATAATGTGCCTGTCCAGCCAGGTGCAACGCTCCAGGCTTCGCAGACGTCTCCTCCAGCAGCGGTCGCTGGCGCATCCAAGGCAGCGCAGGTAGCTACGCCCACTTCGCAGTCCAACCATCGTGGGAATAATCTGTATGCCTGCCGAGATTGCGGCCGGTCCTACTCCAGGCCCGAGCATCTTGTCCGCCATGTGCAGACGCACACGCTGGGTCGGCGGTTTGTCTGCGACATTTGCCAAAAGTCGTTTGCGCGCAAGGACCTGCTGCGGCGACATGTTGCGAACCATGACAACGACTCGCCCAAAAAGCGCCGGCGCACGACGACATCGCCAGGTGCCGGGCGAGTATCGCATGCGTGTCGGTCCTGTGCTGTTGCGAGAGTCAAGTGTGACGACACCAAGCCGTGCAAGCGCTGTGTTAGTAGAAACCTCAATTGCGTCTCCACCGAGACTCCTTCGACGGCCGCCATGCACCTCATGCACTTGTCAGCCAATGCGCACTCTGGTGCCCCCAGCCCAAATAACAGTGGAAATCTGAATAATGATGGTGATAAGTCGGTCGCGGCCACCCACTCTTCCCATTCGGCGACGTCGACCAGGGATTCTAATTCCCCGGCGCCCTTTACAACCAGTTCCCACCAACCCCGCTCCGTCACTCTGCCTGCGCCTCACTCGATTGTGCTTGATGCAGCCCAAGACCGCAGCAATGTGAATCTACCTCATTCACTTGCAAAACTGCCCTTCCAAGAGCCAAGTTAGTTTCGCCCGAATCCGTCCTCCATGCTGCGCCACCGTCCAATTGCGAGGCTGAAGCTCTGTCCATCCTAGCCCACAAAACATCAGCTAACAGCCATCAAATATAGGGAGCTCCGAGTTCTTGCTGCCGCCAATTGAGCTTGAGCCCTCCGCCAGTGCAATGGACCCCAATCGCCTCCCTTATGCTGATTTTTTGCGCGATATTCTTCTCGATGGCTCAGCAGACTCCGGCCGTGGATCCCATATCCAGGGCCTCACCGTGCTTGATTTTTGTGATCATGAGAATTTAGAGCTCACCGTCGAGGATTTGGCAAACTTAGAAGGTACGCATGGGTTACCTCCCTCTGGATGGAAGCCATATCAGATGGGGCGTGGACGAGATTAGCTGACCATAATCTTTAGATGCCCTACATAGTCGCCAAGCCCTTGCGAGAGCATGGGGGAACCCACCCAGGACCTGGGAATCGGGCAGCCAGGACAGCACATATGGTCGCGAAGAGTCGTTCGAGCGAACTGTTCCAGAAACTCTCGTGCAATCTGGTCGGGACCGGGTTCTTGCGATCCTGCTCAATGCAAGCCGCCAAAATCCAAGCCTGAATCGGATTGTGGGATCTTTTCCTTCTCTTGAGGTCATGGACTTCCTGGTTCAGCAGTTCTTGGCCTCGATGGCACGCCAGCCATACGATTGGATCCATTTCCCAACTCTGAGGCCCGCATCCCAATTGCCGGAGTGGATAGCTATCGCAGCAGCAGCAGGGGCCGTATCCTCGCCCATCCTATGCCTCCGGAAATTCGGCTTTGTTCTTCAAGAAGCAGTTCGTAAGTGAAGTCTGCATTCAACCCCTCCAAAAAGATAGTGTGCTAACAAAGCTTTAGGAACCTCAATTACGACTCAGGTGAGCTTACTCCCCACTGCTGAATCGAAACAGCCAGCATCCCGCAGCGTTTATCTTCGTGAAGAAGTGTGCTAATAAAAAACGAAAAAGCTGGAAGAAAATAACCTGGCAATCCAGGATATGGCCCTTCTTCAATCATTGATCATGGTGCAGGACGTTGGTCTCTGGAGTGGGAACAGACGCAAAATGGACATTGCAGAGTGCTATCTGGCGACCCCTGTTCAGGTTAGTTATACCAAGATCATGGCTGATAATGCCAAATTCCTTTCAAGCCAGCTAATTATTCTATAGATGATGCGACACCGGCGAAAATTCCAGGGCTCTCATTACCCCTCAATGTTGGCCGACGCCGCAGACGAAGGTGCTGTGCTCGAAGATAAATGGCGAAGATGGGTCGACAGAGAGAAATGGAAACGGTTAGTTGCGGTTCTGAACACTTTCATCTGCTGGAATATGGGAGACTGACACCTGCACAGATTGGTATTCCATTGCTTCGTCAGGGATGCACAGTGTTCCATGGCGACGCTCACAAACCCGACAATATCCTATGCTGAACTCACATTGCCTCTACCCGAATCTGGAGAACTCTGGGCTGCGACTACAGCGCTGGAGTGGAAGACGGCCTGCCTTCAAAGTTATACTGATCGGAATGTCAAGGCGCCAACCGTCGGTGACGTTATCCAAGACTGCCAGCTCCTGCGTTCGGCATATCGGCAACTGGACGTGCCCTTTTCACTGTCGATATTCATGCACGCTTTCTGGGCGCTTATCCTTGAACATCGTCAGTTGAGCGCAATCCATCGGTCCAGGTCCAATTTGGGCGGTAGCTCAATGAGCGGAAACCAAAACTTGCTGCTGAGCTCTAGACACCAAGAACTGGTGAAGGACCTACAGACCTTCCAGATGGTATCTGCAGAGTGGCTTGAGATGACCTGCCAAGATCACATGGTGCTCAATCTGTTGTTGATGAACCTCCATGCTTCTCTAGATGACATTCAGCTGTTCACAGGAAAGGATGGCGAGGAGGAGGCGCGACGTATCTACCCAGTTCTTCAGCAATGGAGCACAACCTCGGAGGCCCGGTCTAGCATTTGGTATGCTGGTCAAGTCATTCGATATGCGAGGCTGTTTGCTCCAGGACAGCTCAAAGACTTTTATGCCGTGGCAGTCCAACACGCGGCAGTTGTACTGTGGGCATATGGGGTGATGACGAGAGCGGGTCGAAGACAGCGATCACTCTCACCCCATCATTCTCAAGAGCTACTCTCCCTGGATGATGGGGACAGCGTGGCCATTCAAAATTTCATTGGTATTGGTAGTGGGCGGCCGGTGATTCGCAACCTCCAGGGGAGTGTTGTTGTGTCAGAGTCGCTCGTCGACGAACCATGGGGATGCATGAGCATCGTTCAAGAGGTGTTGCGGTCCAATTTCAAGTATAATGAAGCGATACCCACAGTGGTAGAGAATCTCTGTCATTTGCTAAAGCAGGTGGGAGATGCATCCTGGGTAGGAGGACAGTCTATCTAATCTACCAGAGAAAAAGGTATATACAATGATTTGATGAAGGTGTAAAAGTTCGACATAGAAGCAGTGATGATCCTGCTTGACAGTTACGCGCAGCCCAATTTCTAGGCCGCCTGGATGATGATCTAGGCCAATTTGCCGGGCCATGTAATTTAATAGTGAATGGTACTTTGGATACCTGGGCGCAAGTGTATACTTATCTTAATCTTATTTGTTTAATCACAAGATCTTGATAAAGACCATGCTGGAAGCGTGCACAGTTTCAACAGACGACTACCTCCAGAGTGATTATGCTTTTCTTTGCGAGCTTCGGTACCAGCTTTGTGGTAGAAGAAACGAGACATCAAACTGAAGAGCAGAATATTTGCTGCAATAACGAGAACAATACGGCAAGACAAACCGATATAAATTGATAGTGTGTAGTGTATTGTGTTTCAAATAGTGATCATTGGCTCTAACCAACGTGACCATATCAGCCTCGAAAATATGTGCAGTAGGATGTGTTCTGAGTGGATCTAATTTCTGTCACCAACCAGATGTCTCTGAGCTCAATGGCCTCATTTTTTTCTTACTTATGCTGCCTTTTAATATGTTCAGCAAGAGTATTCTTATGTTTAAATCTTCCATCGGAGATCTCACAAATCGAAGTCTCCCATCCGCATGACATAGCACATCGCCTTTAAGATCAGACGAAGCTTTACAGGCCTTCCTACAGATCTCATAGGTAAACGGTCTTTCATCTAAGCAAGATGCCATATGGGCTTTGAAGTTAAACGAACCTTTCCAGGCCTTCCAACAAATCATACAGATAAGAGGTCTCTTGTCTGAATGATATTTCATGTGGCTTTTAAGCTCCGTTGGAGCTTGACCTCGCATCACATTGTGGGCATGCGAAAGGTCTGTCCTCTTTTTTTTTTTCTTTCCCTCCAGTATTTTTTATTCAAGCTGGCCATCATTAATGTCGTCGTATGGCCGCAGTGAGTTGTTGGAATGTAGAGTATGGCAGTGGCGTAGGAGGATACCAATGCTCTCGAATGCTTCTAGATATATTCAACACAATGGAGTTTCCCTATGGCCCTACCACTCTTATTATTATCCGGAATCCATTTGCCAATAGGCAAAAGAGTCATATCGACTGTGGGCTCTGGGCTATGAGTACAATGGTCTCATCACTCTTGCTACCCAAGATGGCGTCGTCTAGTGCAATGTCGACCCTCCATAGAGAGTGGTATTTGTTGATATTGGCACGAATGACAGAATCCGGGGGATGGTATGCCAATCCTCTGGCGAGAGTCGATACATGGTAGAGTTGGTGAACCAAGAATCAAGTGTAGTGGTGCTCTGTGCTCTGTCGATATGCTTCAGCGAGTCAAATATGTCGCCCGTTTCCAAAGGAGCGAACCCCCGTTTCATCGCAATTCCATGGTCTGGTCCTTCATAAAGAGATTTTCACAAGGGATGAGCTTGCTTGTCCAGGATTATTCGCCCTGTCGCACCTCGAGCCTAGCGTCCAAGGCACGTAGCTGATGGTCCACTCGTATCTCCATGGACTGCAGCGTCTCCATCATTGTTGCGTTAATCTGGAACTGTGTTGTTATGTGCCTCTTTAGATTATTGATAGTGAGTGCGTCTGCCTCATGCTTCCTTTTTAAATCCCAGATATCCTTCTCCATATCCTGTATGCACTGTTCAAAGTACCCCTGGGTGGTGTTGAGAGATCGCTGGATTTGCGCCACTCTCGGATCAGGCGCTCTGTCCACGGCCAGCAATCCCGTAATCTGCTCTTTAATGGCCGATATCATAGTAAACATCTCTGTATGGCTCGGGATTGGAGAAGTATCGCCAGTATTGGCCTCTTCGAGGCTGTTCATAGAACCGTAGTTCTGACAAAGGCGTGTAACTGATTGCTCGACCAAAATAACTCTTTTCGTAATACCTTCGAGGGTATCTAAAGTATTCGTCCTAAAATTGTCGAATTCCCCCCCCAACCTTGCTGCATCGTCTCGGATGTCTGCTCGTCGATTTGCTGCTGCTCGCTTGTGCACTAATAGCTCATGTGACAGCTTGTCAACGTCGCCCTTGACGATGTGAATCAGTTCTGAGATAGTCTGGCGAAGCTGGACATCAGAATGTCCGGTCAATTCACCGCCCATGTGCATGGGTTGAGGCTCATGGTGAGGTAGCCCCGGGGTGGGCAGTCGGGGACTAATGCCTGTCCTGGTATCATATTCTTCGAATTCAGGCTCTAAGCCTCTTAAGGCGTTGTTGAGAACTGAGGCCGGTGAGTATGCTCTGAAATATGATGTTGAAAGGCGCTCATTCCGGCTAGATATGTCATGTTGTCCCGAGTGTGTTGTTGCTACCAGCGGCCGTTGCCCATCCTCTTCTAGCTCTGCTTCTGGCTCTAGCTCTGGCTCTGGGGATGACTCTAGTACCGTTGTATTTGCAGAGTTTCCTTCAGGTGAGATGTCATCAGACAAACTTCCGCTCTCTGATTCCTGTGAGCCCCCCTTCGTGTCGTCGTCCGTAAGTGCCAGGGACTGGGAGGCATTCTCTGAAACCTCCACTCGGACGACCATAGGCGGAATCCCCGAGTAGTATGATTCCACGCCCAAGCTTTCAGATAACGAGACAAGGTTGTCCGTGTCATCGGCCGTCGGAGGACCAGGCCCACTCGTTCTGTTTATCGTGTCATTCGGCCTGGGCCTACGAACACCCCCGTGGACTGCTGGGTAGACTCGGCGGTTGAAGGCCCAGAACAATAATCGTCCATGTGTGGGATATTGTGTTATAAGAAAGTGGCCTAGAGCGACAGTCCAGTTCTCCTCGCATAGATTTGCAGCCCGCCAGAGTTGGGCCGCGCTGGGACTACTCCATGAAACTCGTGGTTGGCGATAAAGACGTGCGACGAGGAAATAGTGCCCTATTTCTCGATGGCTATCAGCTTCCCAGGAAGAGCCTTCACGTAGATACACGAGGTATATCTTCCAAGCTGTGTTTCTGTTGCGGGCGTTGTCGTTTGCGGCATCGATCTCTGCCCACCGAACCCAAGGCAGATTGGTGTTCTGGGGAGGGCCCAGTGACCCGATTGGTGGTAAGTTGTCCATATTAGCAGTAGCCCTCGGTTATGTACTCGCAGGAAGCGGTACAAATGTCGGTACTTCTAGGAGTACCACCGTTCCGAGAACGTTGCGAGGAGAAAATCTGAGGTGACTCTGGGTGCAGCCTTGTGTGATGTTAAGGATGTATTCTTGGGGTTGCGAGATCAAGAACAGATGGAATTACTTTATTACGCGAGCTCACACCCAGGTAGTTTGCCGTTTAACTCTCTTCTCCGAATTAATATTACACCTACTGCAAACTTAGGGGCCTGATGAAATTTCAACCTCCAGTAGGGCTAATAGGTGTTAGTTAGACTGAGAGAAAAGTGAGATTGACTAGGTGGTTTAAGATGTAGCCTTAGACATGAGTAACCTACTGTAGGATCAGGATTCTGGCTCCTCTTTATTGTTTGCTGCAAGATTGATAGATGGCATCAAACTCTTAAACATGACCAAGCGGTTTATCCAGTGGTCAGGTTTATTGCTACATAGGAGATACCATATGTTTCACATCTTAGCTTTGAGGGGTGATCCTCTCCATATCGTACCTGCTTTGTACAGTTCGGTCAGTTTAACTATGATTAGATGGTAATTCGAAGCCCGTCCGCTCAGACATTGGTTCGCTATTTTATACAAGCGTACGTCGTACCCAACTACTGTTTAGCACGCAAGAAGGCAAATTATGGTCAGATTTACTCAAGTTAAGGATAAAGTTGATGAGATTCTCATCTTTAAACATCCTTGCCACCGTGTTTACAGAACTGGCTTGGGGGCGGAGGAAGTTGAGCGTTGATATTGGCAGTTGCCCCCGATACCCTTTCATAGCATTCGGGTAGGTTTACTTCAGGTGAGCACGTCTCCCTGATCGCTGCCAGCTCCTCGAGGAGCATGTCGTTGACTGTATTCTGGTATATCGCCTGTGTTTGAAGTGTGTGGATGTTGTGCACGCTCTTGGTGAGATACACATACAAGTCTTCATGCTCCTCCTTGAACTGTTGAATCTCCGCAAGTAACGCCCTGTAACGCGCACGGATGTCCTTCAGTTCTTGTCGAAGATTGACCAATTCAGAATTAGGCTGTACGCCGCTTTTATTGGAAGGATTACCTACTTCTTGCAATGGTTGCACCTGTCAATGGTGCAGTGCTCCGTCAGTGGCCCAGGCAGTGTTAATTGCTTCTCAATTGCTAAGATAAAGGTTTGCATAGTATCGATGCGTCCCAGGAGCGGATTGCTCGTAGTCAATGGCCTGAGGTGGTGGCTAAGGTGTCATAGACTTGTCTTAAGCCAATGTCTACCCGAGCAACCATTGTCTGAATTGACTCGATAGATTCGGTCTGCTGGAGCCTCACTTACCTATTTCGAGAGAGAAGAAGCTAGAAGCTTGGGAGCCATAGCGTCTAAACAATTCTTGTCTGGAATTCTAGCCTGATTTATGCATTCCGATGACGCCCCAGGATATAAAAGTGCCTCTGTAGCAGGACTTTGGCTATGGCTTACTTGGGAAGACAATGGATTTAAGACACTCAAGCGTTATGCTGCTTACCTATTCTCGAGCCTACGATTAGTACTGTTATATTATTGAGTGCTAGTAATGAATGGTAAAAGGGCATATATAAAATATTGTAATTATATCGTTGAATAATACCAAAATATTCTCATCATCGAGAAAGTACCTAGTCGCCCCTCAATTTGATGTTCTCATTTATTTTGTCACCCTTTGCCAGGGCCCCCGGCAGCGATTACCAAACGGGCAGACCCTGGTCCGTTGATTCGACGGTGGCAGCAGCTATGACGCATCGAAAAACCATCGGGGAGCTGTAGCAGATGATTGATCCCAACCTACCACGTGGGAGCGCTTCTGCCTCTAGCCCATCCACCAGAGCTGCTAACCAGAGCTCCGACCTGCAGCCTTCATCAGGAGGCCTGGTCATCTCACAGCTTTCCTAGAAACAACATTCCTGCATTGCCTGCATCCCGCCCCGTCCTACGCGAACGAAGCCCGGGACAGTGGGCAGATGATTAAACCGTCTCAGCCAGCTCAGTCATTCTTTATGCCGCAGCTTCCGGCAAGCTCCATGCGGATCAACAACAGCTGCCACCCCTCCGACGACATCCTTCACGAGCTTCGATAATACCTCTCTCTTCTCTCTCCCGTCCTCGATCATCCCGCGCCGTTGTCAGCATCATCGTCGGATCGTGTCCCCCACTCGCCCGCCGACACAATGGGGTCCGCGTTCGAACCCGCCAGCGCCTGGCCGTCATCCACAACTGCCATCATCACCGCTACGGCCATAGCCACCACAGCCTTCATCGCCTTTGGCAAGGTTTCTCTTTGGCCTCGGAAAGAGAAGATCCTGCCCAGCCCGCTCAAGACGCTGTCCCCAGCTGCCGTTGCCTCGTCCGATACGTTCAACGACCTCGTCTACCAACCTGACCAGTTCCCCGGCGCAAGGGATGTCGACACTCCGGTGAGTCTGCATTCCCATTTCCTCGTGGAGTGTGGTGAGAGGTGGGAGAGGCGGCCGTATTACAAGCTTAACCTTACATCATTCGACCTGGAAGGCTAATTGGGACGATGTTCTTCTGCGTGCATAGTATGGCTCTACCCGTGTCTATGAATTTGGCCCAGAGGATGGCGAGAAGGTCCTTTTCATCCACGGCATTAGCACCTCTTGTGTCACCCTCTGCCGCATCGCTGAAGGCCTTGTTGAGAAGCACGGCTGCCGCGTGATGTTGTTTGTAAGTGGTTTCTGGCTTATGGTCCATTGCCTATCATACGACGTTGGCATATATTCTCTTCGGGGAAATCTCAAATCAGCTGACCAAGACCACTTTCCCTAGGATCTATTCGGCCGTGGCTTTTCTGATGGTGTAGGCGACCTCCCCTATGATGAACGCCTCTACCTCTCTCAAATCCTCTTTGTGCTCGCCTCTAGCCCTCTCGCCTGGACCGGCAAGGATGCTCGTCTCCGTGTCGTCGGGTACTCCCTTGGTGGCGGCATCGCCGTTCACTTGGCCAACCATCTGCCTCATCTGGTAGACTCCCTCGTCTTACTTGCTCCTTCTGGCCTTATTGACGCCCGGAGCTTTGGCGTCGTTTCTCGCTTCGTCTTCTCTTCTGGTTTAATCCCGGAGCGCATCCTGGCCGTCTTGACCCGGAGCCGACTACAGCAACCCATTGCCGCCTCCAAGTCTCCACGCCACAGCTTGCCCGCCAGGCTCGAGACCATCGCCAAGGCTGAAGCGGCTGACCCTCCAACTGGCGAGGATGTAAGTCCCCTGGAGCACCGCGTCCTGATGTACGTTCGTTGGATGGTCCTAAACCACGTTGGATTCGTCCCATCCTTCATGTCCAGCGTTCGGCACTCTCCCTTGACAGACCAGCACGACAGCTGGCGCCGCCTTGCTGACCGGAGACCCGGGAGCACCGCCATCATCCTCGCCAAGAGTGATGAGATCATCGACATCGACGACTACAATCGCCAGGGCCCTTCATTGATCGGGGGCAAGGAGAATGTTTTGTGGCGAGAACTTGAGGGCGGCCACGACTTCGTCATGACACATGCTCGGGACATCCTCGAGGTCCTTGACGAATTTTGGTATCCCAACTCCTCTTCCTAAAGCCTGATAAGGCTCATCTAGAATTAAAGGGTACGGTTATGATTTGGGATGGTGTTTGCTTTTCGATATATTGGAGTTCTTCCGCAGGGCGAAGCTACTAGGTAGGCGTTGTTCTCTTCCATCGCTGGCTCTCTGCACTTTCCTCCCTACTCTATACCTTTTCTTCTTTGGGTAGGAATATCGGCGCGATGGTGGTAGAATAAAGACATGCAGAAAGACTGTTACTTCACTCCTCACAGACTAGCTTTAATGAGAAATAGAGTATATTATATAGGAGTTCTTCTTGTGTACATTTTTGAGAGTATCGAATAATTTTTTCCATCTCAAGAATGATGTCTATCCTGAAAACGGCGAACTATAGCAAGGCGAAGGGAGAGTTGTATCCTGAAAAAAAAAGGAAATCCAAAGTCAACAGAGCAGAGTAGTCTCATGCCAAAAACGCGCAAGGGTGGATGTCATATGAAGATACAACACTATACACAAAACGGATGCTTCATATGTATTCTAAGCCACAATGTATCAGGTTGCTTTGTTGTATTCGAGTTGCTTCTCAACTACCTGTCAAGAGCTTGGCTTTGGCACTACAAAGAGAAATCAAGGTTAGCAAATCGACCAGTCTGCGTATCCAGGGGAGAAGGCGAAAAGATTTCAAGTCCCACAGCTGCGAAACATACCATCTGATAATAAACACCCTGCTTCTTCAGAAGTTCCACGTGAGAACCCTTTTCTAACAGTTTGCCCTCGCCCAAGACAAAGATGACATCGGCATTCTGCACAGTGGCCAGCCGGTGAGCCACGACAACCATGGTCCTGCCCTTTCCGGCCCGCTCAAACGCCGCTTGCACGAGCTTCTCGCTCTCCGAGTCTAGGGAGCTCGTCGCCTCGTCCAGCAGAAGAATATCGGGGTCTCGGATGAGGGCGCGCGCGATGGCGATGCGCTGCTTCTGTCCACCGCTGAGGGACACGCCCCGGCTGCCAATGTTAGTATTGTAGCCTTCGGGTAAGGAGACGATAAAGTCGTGAATGGAGGCGTCGCGGCAAGCTGCGTGTAGCTTGTCCTCTGTGATGGATTCTGGATCCACTCCCAGCAGGATGTTTTCTTTGAGGGTTCCTATAGATCTGTCAATGCCTACAACTTCTTTACTTTCGTTGACCGACCTGGGACGCTCATACCTTGGAAAAGAGTGGCCTCTTGAGCTACAAGCGACAAGTGCTTGCGGTAAGAGTAGATATTCAGCTCGGAGATGTCCATGTCGTTGCAAAGAATTTGTCCGCGATCAAGGTCATAGAATCTCTCCAGCAGAGAGATAATACTCGTCTTGCCGCACCCGGATGCGCCTACCAGGGCTGCGAATTGACCCTTCTCTATTGTAAGATTTAAATTCTTGAAAACAGGGGTCTCGCGAGTTTGGTATTTAAACCCAACGTCCTTCAGTTCGATCTTCATACCACCTTCAACATGCTCAAAAGCCGGTTTGTCGTCGACTTGATCATGCAACCGGGACTCTCTGGCGTCCAGTATGCGATTAGATGCAGCTGTTACCTGTGCAGCATTAGGCCCAAAACTCAAGCTCTGTCCGGACGACTCGCCAGCGTTCATGATGGCCATGAGGCAGACGAAGAAATCCATCACATCAAGCTCGCCTCTGGCCAAAAGTCGGCCACCATAATAAAAGATGAGTGTTTGACAGGCCATGGTGGAGCTGTCGGCGAATCCAAAGATGATGCTGACCCAGCGGGCCTTCTTATAAGCCGTGACAACATGGCCTTGGCAGAGCTTTTCAAACCGTTCAGTTATCGAGTCCTCAAGAGTCAGAGACGTGACAGTCCGGAAAGCGCCAAAAGACTCAGAGGCAAACTGGGAGCTCTCTGCAAAGACTGCATTATTCATCTTCTCGAACTGAAGCTCGTATCGCAGACGGAAATACGAACCTGCTGCTGTGATGGGCAACACGACACAGATTGCAACGAGAGCCAGCTTCCATGTAAAACAGAGAGCAATTATAACGGATCCGAGGATGCTGAAGATGGCAATGTATACCATGGTCATGTTCACTCCCATCAGCTCCTCCAATTTCTGGGGGTCATCCTTGGTGCGAGATGTCATGGTGCCGTGGGAATGGTCTTCTTCGTCAAAGAAGGATGCCTTTTGGAAAAGAATTGTCTCAAAGTATTGCTTCTGGTATTTGGCGCGAACGACAGTAGCCATGCTAGTCGACGAGAGGAAGCCCCCAAAATAGACGATTCCCACGCCAATAGCGAGAACAGTCCACATCAGAGACCAAAATTCGGCTTCGGACATGAGTTTGGGCGGATCGCCTGCGTATTTGAACAAATCGATCGAAGAAGCAAATAAGAAAGCCTGGATCGGTACTGATTCAAAATAGTTAGAAAGATATCCCCAAAACGAAAGAATGGTGCTTGACATACAACCCGCGCCAGCTCCAGCAGCAAAAGCCACTGCCAAAAACATCAAATACCAGTGTGAACTTGTTTCATAGAAGAACAATCCGAACGACTTGAATAGGTTTCTCTTGTTCTGGTCAGGCTTCTCAGGGCTGCCTTTTCCAACCTCACGCTCCGATTTCGCTTGGCTCTTCTCACGAGTCAGAGAGTCAGCCTCGTCCAAGCTGAGGTCGGAGTCAATGTTTGTGCTGGTCGGCTCCCCAAGAGAAAGTGCCTGGGCTTGGACAAGACCATGATACACGCCACCATCATTGTTCATGAGAGTCTCGTGGGTTCCGGTCTCGACCACCTTTCCCTTCTTCAGCACAATAATCTTATCAGCCTTCTTGATCGTGGACAGACGATGAGCAATGGTGATGGTGGTTCGTCCTTGAGCCACCTTATCGAGGGCGGCTTGAACAATCTTTTCTCCACGGACATCGATCGCACTGGTTGCTTCGTCGAGGATTAGTATGGAGGGCTTCTTGATGATGGATCGAGCGATGGCAATGCGTTGTTTCTGACCGCCCGAGAGCCGGTTTCCAGCATCTCCGACCACGGTGTCGTATCTCTAGTGTTGCCAGCAGCGGTTAGAAATCCATATTTACACAAGAGTAATCACATGAGCTGTGTAGACTTACCGCCGGGAGCTTGTCAATAAACTCGTCGGCAAAGGCCTCAACACAAGCCTCCTTGACTAACTCTCGCTTGCGCTCCTCAGTCTCATTTTCCCATGGTGAACCCACAAGTCCGTTAGCAACATTCTTGAAAATGGTATCGTTGAATAAGAAAGGCTCCTGTTGCACAAGGCCAATCTGCGATCTCCACCATTTTGACTCTATATCATCGAGAGAATGACCGCCAGTGGTGACAGAACCGCTGAGCGGAATCATAGGTCCGGTTTCCTCAGGCTCGACTCGCTCAGCCGGTTCCTCGCCATCGTCATCTTTCTTCTTGTCCTTCTTTTTCTCCACCGCCTTGGCAATAACATACTGGCCTTGGAGACTGTACCATTTTTCAATGAGCCCTACAATTGTACTCTTGCCACTCCCAGATGGCCCAACAATAGCAGTGATTTTCCCTGCCTCGATGTTCAGATCCAAGTTGTCGAGGATCTTGACATGTGGCCGACTAGGATACGCGAATGTCACCTTGTCAAACACAATATCCTGAGTTGCAGAGACTTCGGGATCTTTGAGGTGCCCGTTGTTTGGCTGGGGGGCATCAATTACCTGATCCGAGGTTAGCCTTGGAATGTTGGGGGTTGGAAAATAGGGGTAAGAAACTCAATGATTCCTTAGTATATGAATACAAACTTACAGTCCAAAACTCACAGGCCGCGACTGATGCCTTGCCAACAGCCAGCAGGGGTGTAGACACACGCTCCAACGAGAAGACCGTCATCATGACGGAAAGGAGGACCACGGTAATGACACCCACGTTATCAATTCTGCCTTGGGTGAAAGCCCTCGTTCCGTACCAGAAGGCCAGGCCGAAAGAAGCAAATGCGCCAAAAAACACGAGAGAAAACTGAAGTGAAATTAGAGGCGACATGAACTGAGAGTAAACGATTAGCAACAATAGTATACGCGGGACACACGGACAACTCAGACTTGAGCATGTTTCTTGGCTTCTTCGACAAAAGCAGCGTATCGTTCCACCGTTCGCTTCTCGGCGCCACAGGCCATGATCATCCTAACACTAGCAAGGGCCTCGCTGGCAACGGCTGCTGATCCGGCTTCGGCTTTGCCCATCCGTGCGTGGCCCTTGAGGACAAGTGGTAGGATGATAGACACGGCAAGAAGTATGAAGACGACACCCGAGAACGTGACCAGGGTGAGCTCCCAACTCCAAGTAAAGGAGACAATGATGGAGGCGATAATCAAGGAGTTGTACTCGACAAAAACGCCTAGCTTTTCGGAGATTCCAAGTTGGAGAATGTTGCTTGTTGAGGTAATGGTTCCGACAGCATACCCAGGGGGCAAGATATCTCGTTCATGTTAGATCCCGGATGGAAGAATAAGCTCACAGGTTTATTTACCTGTTACGTGGACGGTCTGATTAAACAAAGACTTCAGATAGTGTAGTCGAATTGCGGCAGAAAGTCGGATTCCAATCATTCGGAATGCAAACTTGACATCAGTTAGTTGGGACTCTTCCAAGATGGAACAAAGCAGGACTTAGACAGCGCACTTACCTTGTTGATGCTCCCAAGACCAAATCGGGCGAGAAAAAGACCAAACATAGTCAGTCTAAATTGAGAGTATCAGCTTATAGCCGTAGGTCAGACTGGGTGCTCTGTTCTACTTACGAAAGTTGATTAATGTCCTTGTCGAAGCCGTCGACTTTACCCGTAGAGAATTCACTGAACTTTCCCACGAATCTGCCTTTAAAAGTGTCAGCCCCGCGTTGAAGGACGGTTCCGTAGCCCGGCAGTCATAGGCATGAGAGGTTAATATACCAAAAATCACATTCATCAACGGCAAGGTCACTCCCGACCCGATGGCAGCAATGAGTCCGGCAGCATAGGCCGCCAAGTCCCATTTCGTTGCATATCGGAAGATGCGCTACAAACAATATAAAAGAAAAGGCGGAGTAAGCTTCTGGAATTGCGTTGAATGGCGTTCTTGTACCAACCATATAATCCTGGAAAGTGGCTGTCCGTTCAGGCCGCGCATGCTTCTCCTTGTCTTCTTCAGCATCTGGAACACTTGTGACAACCGCCCCTTGAGTAGCCTTTTCAGTTGATGGGCTCTGGTCCGCCGTTGAACTGACGGCCTCCGGCTGTTGGCTCTTCTCGTCAGCCATGGCGCGTTATGATTCTCCGCCCATCTACCTCGAAAACTAGTCTGGGGTGAAATAGGGGGTAGAACACAAATGGCCAGGTCGGCAGCTGGTTGGCGAAACTGAGGTTGACTACCCAGAAGACAGTAGACAGAGAAAAGGGACAGACATGGCAGGACAGTCAGCCTGTCTTAATAAAAGGATCGCGACGGTTTGGACCCTGCACCTGCACCTGTGATTGAAGCTGTGGCGTTGGAGCTGACCCCCATGCCTTAGGCAACCATTGGTACTTTGGCGGTACCTCATGCCAGAAGGTAGCTCCGGTTAAGGTAGCCTCTAGCCATCTCAGGCAGTCATCTTCTCGCGCAGCAGGTAAGCATAGGTGGGTGGAGTGGTGCTCGGATAAGAAGGCGAACCCGAAATACGACAGAAACCATCACTACGCAAGAGAGCGGCTGAAGCTGCTTGGCCTTTAATTGTATCGGTACCGTGCAAGTACTCGGTAGCGTGCACGCATGCGAATTACAAGTGCTCCAACCTTAGCGATCGGTCCAATAGGGGGTCCGCTTTTTGGCATCAGGAGGTCGGCTTTCGCTGAGATCTCCCGGGGGGCCCACCCTTGCCACTACCAAGGCTTGGCACCAGAACAGTCATGCGTTGAAGTTTAAACGGTCGTTCCTACATTACATGTCGCAATACATGTTGAGAAACTAAACAATTGCCAGACTGTAAATCGTCACATGCTGCTTGTTGCGTACCATAACTATTTGCTCTATCCACTCACACTATAAAGCCAGTTTGACAAGCGTTGGACGTTGTTAACAGGTCTGTAAATGATAAGATTAGCGGCTGGGTCTAGACGCACGCAAGTAATTCGGATCCCTGTCTGTGGACTTTCCCAATGCATGTCGACCAGCCTGGACAATGTGTAAGATATCTTGTCTTGTCGAGAACTTACATTCAGCAGGCAGAAGAAAAATGCTGCATAGTAATCAAATCACACAATTCTGGCTTCATGATGTATTGTTTATCTCGACCGAAATGAGCAAGCCGTTATGTGCCTTCGGAAGCTTTTGCAAATGCGAACATCAAGCTCGGGTGGTTTTGCTCGATCCAGCTTCTCGTGTTCGTCGCGTTGTGGTGCCCCAATTGTATCGAGTCCCCGCACCCGCTCCGAGTCACTGTGATGGCTCGGCCGGTCGGTGTCATCTTCCACCCCGAGATGCCAGTAACAGTTCAATTATAGCTGAAACTCCCTACCTTCAAGAGCGCAGCAGCCAAGTGATGTTAAATTTGAGACACTCAAACACTATCCTGCTTATTTCGAGTCTGTGATCATCGAGGGCCGATAAGAGATACCCAATACATAATACAATAAGCATTGTTAATTCGTTGGCTAATTTAATTTTGCAAGCGCACCATGATAAGATTCCAGCAAACTCAGATCTCAATCCTCATTTGTTTCATTGCAATATTATGACAAGTAGATCCGTTTACCCCATATCCACTTACGCCAATGCTTCTATGAGCGAAAGCTTCAAGTGGTATGAACGCGCGATGATGGATTGATGCCTCGTTTCTCGGTGAAAGTCGCCTGACTACACCAAGCTATACGAGATATATGTTCCAAGCTTGTCTGTTGTAGATGTTGTCGGATATGCTATCGGCCTCTGCCTACCGAACCCAAGGCAGATTCGTCCCTTGCCTAGAGACCCAATCTCAGGCAAATTGCCCATAGAAATAGCAGACTACCAGTAATTATATGTGATACGCCTAGAAGAGATTTAGGTTTCACTAGATGCAGCATTGTGCGATGTCGAGGAGGGTTGACTAGGGGTATGTGAGGCTAAACAGATGAGGCTGTTTATTATACTAGAATCCGTGCAGTGTTCCACGTGTTTGCCGTCTAAATATTCTCTAAAATACATGCAGAGTCCACTATAGATCTAAAATCTGGGTGAAAACCTGTCCTCCGGTAGGCCTGCCCAAGCTGATCAGCTTGAGAGATGAGAGAGAAATGAGATCTGCTGGGTGAAAGTGCCACTTTTGTTGCTCGAACAACCTAAAGACCTAGATCCCGATTTCATTGTACTTCATATTCTAAGCTTGATATTTAGCATCGCGTTATTGAAACCCAACCAAGCTCCCTACAGACAAAGGCAAAGCATAACCACGATACGTATAGGCTGGTTCATCGCTTATATTTGCTCAAGTGAGCTCTGTGTGTGTTTTGCCCCTCGCATTCAAAGCTCAATCGTTCAATATGTTACTCGCCTTGAAATGTAGGTTTATTACACCGTGTTGGAATGGATATATAGCCTGCTATCATACGTTCACGCACCGGCTATCCACCTGCACAAGCCTCTGTCACAGTTCATCACCGTTGGGCATCAGATACCCAAGATAAATATGGATCAAATTCAATTGCTTCATTTGGAACCAGATATCTGGTAGATATGCGTCGCCATTCGCTTTAGATATTGTTATTATTGGAATTTCAGAGTAGCGACTCGGGTAGCCAGTTCATAAAGTTAGCCGCAAGTCTCGTCCATGGTTCAGTGTCTCATTCAACCAAAGAACCAGCAGATCATCATAGATTCACGAACCGTCTACAATCGAATATCTCAATTAATAAGATGGCATATTCAGCGAGTCCCGTAAAACTGGTGCTGGTTATTTGAGCCACAGTGCGAAAGGCACAGGCAACAACTTGAACGAACCTACGATCTAGTTGACAGAAGAAATCAGAAACCAGATTGACGAGCAAATATGAGTAGAACACAAGTTACATAATCATAATGCCATAACAGTAGAAACAATATAATTCGATGATTTACAGTGAATTATCTGTTCATCTGTAAGTGAATGAAATATCCGCAATAGCTCTATGACCTTTGTCATGAGGATTATATGCTTCAGAGCCTTCCGACGACCTTATTTAATTTCGGCGAGCTGGTTATCAGGCATGGTACTAATTCTTACATTTGCATGGTCAAATGCATTACTGCTGATAGTCTCTTCTTTTTATACCTAAAAGCAACGACATTCCCTCCCATCCGGCTGGGCTGTCGAAAGGACCCCTCTTGGGGCAAATGGCCAATCTGCCGCTTCACCCGGGACAGGAAGACCCTCAAGAACTCCGTGTTGCAAGCCAGGATGTAATGTTTCTTCCCTAAAGTTCTGAATCTCTTCGTCAATGCCTAGGCAGATAGTAGGAGGAACGACGGTACTACGAACCTAAACTACAAGCCTCGAACCCTAACACCGAACAATAAGCATCGTTGAGAAGCCCCAATCTATACCCTCATCCCCGGACAACGATAGTAGAAGCTTATCGCACGAAATATTCGCGTTATACTTAAACAAAATGGGGTTTATACATCCCACTATACATGAGGTGAGTAAGTATAGCGCACGCATTTCAATAGCTCGGTCGCCAATGTAAAGCGCCCACCCTAGATGGCAGCGATGAGATAAGTGCGAGTGTCCTGTTTAGCGATTGGATTGACTCTCTTTCCAAGAATCAACGGTATTTGAAGCGGCCGAGGAAAATTCCTGTCAAGCTTAGGGTGACTTCAAAGACTAAGTGCGCAGCAAGACGCCTCAGACTCACGCGATAAGGTCCACTGCTGCCCGGGCTGTGTGTGTTGGGTCGGCAAACGAAGAAGGACTTCTAACACATCGATCATAGTTCACAACTCTGAGCTATTAGATGATCGAAGAGTAAAGACGCCCCAATAAACGAACCAAATACATTGATGCTCCAAGGTTCTCCGGGGCCACTTGCGTGTTGATCTCTAGGCACCGAGGCGGGCCCACCAGATACATCCTTCTGAACCTGAATGATGTAACGATAAAATAGCATCTTCGGTTAGATCATAGACTGTATTGTCTGTTTATTTGTTTATATTTTTAGCCTGAAGTAATTAAATTAACTAGGTCGTCATAGCTTCGAGCGTGCTTCTAGCACTGGACGGGCTCGGCTGCCCCTCAACCCCTCCATCCGCCAGCAGCTTAAGGCGGGGCATCAGCGACGTAACCCGGCGTAAATGGCAGCTGCTATTGGCGGGCGCGAAAGGTGCCTGCAGTGGAAAGTTTTTTGGGCAGGAGTTATGTGACTCTCCTCATCCACTTAGCACCAGTCAGTAGACCCGGGCAGTGTTTTACCCCTCCATCTGTGTGGATGAAGACACTTGCAGGCAGATTTAGGTCTGCCAGACCATTATTCCAACCCCTCCTTGAGTCACAGCTGCGTCCAAGGCCCTGGCAACCGACTCTCACAACCTGCAGAAATAACCAGATCTTGTTGTCTGCTGCTCTCGCATTACCTGCCTCGCCTCGTAGCTACTCTTCCTCCCACACACCTCCCGCAGAACCCATCGAGATGGCTAAGCCTAAGTTCGAGCTCAAGACCCCAAAGGGCACCAAAGATTGTAAGTGGGCAAACACACGCGAACCACGCCGTCACGTCTACGGATCCGAATATGCGCAAGCGAACTGAACCCAATGACCAATTCATTATCAGCTGTCTGACCGTCGCGTGTAGGGGGTGGCCAGGATATGGTTATTCGTGACAAAATCTTCAGCACCATCACAGAAGTCTTCAAGCGCCACGGTGGCGTCACCATCGACACGCCCGTCTTCGAGCTCAGAGACATCCTGGCCGGGAAATATGGCGAGGATAGCAAGCTCATTTACGACCTCGCGGACCAGGGTGGTGAGATCTGCTCCCTGCGTTACGATTTGACCGTCCCATTCGCTCGTTTCCTTGCCATGAACAAGGACATCCAAAATATCAAGCGCTATCACATCGCCAAGGTCTACCGAAGAGATCAACCTGCCATGACCAAGGGAAGAATGAGGGAGTTCTATCAATGCGATTTCGATGTTGCCGGTACCTACGACCCTATGTTACCCGATGCCGAGATTATCAGAATCATCTGTGAAGTTTTTGAGGGACTGGGCTGGAACAAGACGTACACTATCAAGTTGAACCACAGAAAGATTCTGGATGGCATCTTTCAGGTCTGTGGAGTGCCCGAAGACAAGATTCGCACCATTTCATCTGCGGTAGACAAGCTCGACAAGCTCCCATGGGCTGACGTGCGCAAGGAAATGACAGAGGAGAAGGGACTCGATGGTGAAGTCGCTGATCGCATTGGGGAGTGGGTTGTGCTGAAGGGACAGAACGATCTCCTCGAGCGCCTCCGAAGTGACGAGAAGCTTTCTGCCAACGAGTTCATGAAGCAAGGCATGACCGACCTCGGTCTCCTTTTCGAATACCTCGAGGCTTTCAATGTCCTAGACAGAGTCTCTTTCGACCTGAGCTTAGCCCGTGGTCTGGATTACTACACAGGTATTATCTACGAAGTGGTAACGGAAGGATCTGCTCCCTCTACAACTCCTAGTGCCGAGCAAGCGGAGGCACCAAAACCTGCCAAGAAGAAGAAGGGCAAGGGCCCTGATGCCGAAGACGATGATCGGTCAAACGACCCTACTGTTGGCGTTGGCAGTGTGGCGGCTGGCGGTCGCTATGATAACCTTGTTGGCATGTTTTCTGGCAAAACTCAAATTCCCTGTGTTGGTATTTCGTTCGGTGTCGACAGAATTTTCTCGATTACGAAGGCCCGCATGGCTGCGGCTACCAGTACATCTCTAGTCCGCAATAATGAGGTCGATGTCTATGTCATGGCCTTTGGCGGAAAGGGCTTTCTCAAGGAGCGCATGGCCATTTGTGCTCAGCTATGGGAAGCAGGCATCAAGGTACGCATTTCCCCTTCAATTTCCGTCTCGCTTTTAACGCAATACAAAATTCTCACAACACATAGGCCGAATTCCTTTACAAGATCAAGCCCAAGGTTCCCGCGCAGTTCAAGGCTGCCGAGGTCAACGGTGTCCCATTTGCGATTTTCCTCGGAGACGACGAAGTTGCAGCTGGCAAGGTCAAGGTGAAGGAGATGGGCTTGCAAGAGGGACATCCCGAAAAGGAAGGCATTTTAGTCGACCTGAAAGATATGGTCGCTGAGGTCAAGGTGAGGCTTGAACGCAAGAAGCAACTAGATCAAGTCACTTCCCAGGCTGAGGGCCTGAAAGTAGTGGATGGAATCAAAGCTGAAGAAACAACACCCGAAACTCCAGCTCCAGCTTCGTAATTAAATAGCATAAACCAAAAAGATCAAAAAGAAAACAAGTCATATTATGCAACATGGAAAACCACACGGACGAATTGGAAAGGGCTATAAAATCGCCCAAAAGTTGTCGCGACCAATGATCGGTGAGGATGCATGACGAAGGCTTGGTCCGTGTTGACCGAAGACAACCGTTTCAGCACCAGACACGAACGTGCGCTGGGGGACCACTTTCTCTTCCCTCTTTGGATGAATATGCTGGTCAATGCTAACGTACTGCTGTGCGAATCGTGGGGATCCAAGAGATGTCGAACAAACTGAGCCCCTGTACCCTGAGAATCGAGGAGTTTGCGTCGCTACTACATTGTAGATGTCGCAATGCTACATAGCAATCAAACCTACCATTAGCTGACAAGGTCAAGGGGTCCTAGAACTCGCAGCCGACCCATGGTGTCTATTGTAGAAGTGCCAGCCCGGTTTGCCTACGTTGACACACATAAACTTTGGAATCGTCAGGATCCTCTAGACATTAGCAAATTAGGGCGTAAAAAGAACCACAGGTCGTCTTTTGTTTGTTTTCTTCCCATTGACCTTCTCAGGCTAGCGCGATCCTGAGCTGCCAGTTTGTCGACTGCAATCTCCACTTCGGAAAGAAAGTGAGAGCGGAAAACAGGGGTGAACCATGTGCTCGGGGCTTTCTGTGCCCAGCAAGCCTAGCTGAGGGCCAGCGCTGAGCCGCTCGCGTCTTGGTCTGAGACGGGAAGCTCGTCTGTGTCTGTGAGGCTGGTGAATCAACTCATTCCCGTGTGTATCAAGATGAACGTCCATGACTATGCTGGTGAGTCTTCCTCGTGTGTTTTGGAGTGGACTTTGTATAGATCACGAAGGAAGTCAGTCAAGCTAGGTACGGATTTACCGTAGATTTCTTGTTTGGTCTCTTTTTGATTCACTTGTTTTCGCCATGCTTTGTTTTTCATTGTCTTGCCCTATCTCTGCTTATTTCATTCCATTCTGTCCCTCCTCTTCCCACATATCGTTCTGGCTACCCCTCCTTGATCAATGCCGAATCCAATAGAAGATTGCACTAACAGGAGGGGAAAGCTGCAGTTGCATGCATGACCTACCTGCCCAGGGCTGGAGAACGGCGCTGGAGCTGAATGTTATGCAAGGAGTAAGTAGCGAAAAAGAAAATTATGAAAGGAAAAGATGTGGAAGGGGCATGATTGGCGAGCCCTCTATTAGCTGGTTTTGTTGCGATTTTCTGTCAGTGGCCTCTAGACAGTTGTACTTTTGCACACACATTCAAAAGTCTCACGATGTGTCATCCACCCTCAGCCCGGCGCCCTACTCCGGTCCGGTCAATGTTGACGATTCAATCGAGGCTCCTCCCGCCTGGCTAAAGGTGGACTGAAACAAAGCTTGACAATGGCCCTTGCACCTTCTCCCTCGCCCTGACTTGCCGGGGGGTTCTCGCGTAGGTGCCAGCTCGGAGCGCTCTGAACGCAGCCCAGCCACTGGAAACCCTGCAGCCTGCAACCACCAAAAGCATCGCGCCCCGCTTGCCTTCAATTCCAACTGGACCGTGCACCACACCGAGGGACGCTTGGGAAAGCGCAGGGCGAGTCAATGTAACGCAACCGGACATCACAGACGAACAGCTTCTTGTCAATTCACCTTTTCTTTCTTTTTCTTCTTCCTCCTTTCCTTTCCCTCGATAGCCCACTCGATCCCCTTGCATTGGCTTCGAGAGATAAAAGCAACGGGCCCTGCAGCCGACGTGCCATTCATATACAAAGCCTTCCGTTCGGAGCAAGCAACAACCCCTGCCTCGGTGCACAAGGTTGTCGTCGCCACGAATAAGCACCGCGCTGTTCTGCGCGCCGCCTGCTTCGTCGTCATTAAGCTAAGCCGCATGACCCGGAATCCAGCAGGGCCCATTTGTGTGTTTACTTGCCTATTTATTTGTGTCTTCCCTTTATTGAAGCTGAGAAGACGTTCCGACTCATCTGAGCCCTCAGCGGTATTACGCTGTACAGCATCAGCAAGGAAGCTGAGCATTGGGTTTCACAGGGTGACATCCCACGCTTACAGGGTTGCGCTTTACTGCGTTTGGGAAATTCCCAACAAGGAAGCAGGAATTGTCCATTGGTCGCCCTCCACCTTTCCACTTTACATCCTTGAGCCAGAGGCTGGAGGAGGAGGAACTGCTCCATTTCTATTGCCCCCTACGCCTGGGACCTGCATCCGTCTCAATTTCCCCCTCCGCTGCGAACTGTCAAAAGTGCTATATTGGGGCTACCTCCACCTTCAACTCGACCCGCCATTTCATTTCGAGTTCACTCGCCGAATTTGGTCGCCAACCGACACTTTCATCCGTCGCACAGTCTCGTACGGACTCGGACACAACATATCTGTTCTGGTTCAGAACGAAAAGTCGGTTTCAATATGGTGCGAGTCCCGCAGACGTCTGCGGAGTGGAAGAAGGCTCTGATAGCCATCAAGAAGGATTATCTGGAGAGAAAATATCGTTCCTGTCTAAAGCAATGCCTTGACCTGTTGGATGGCGCCAAAGTAGCTGTAAGTCCTCACCACCCCCCTTCGCCAACTTCGACGCTCATTGAGGGTATCAGCGAACTGCGCAAGCTGTGCACCTCATCTATCTTCACTTCTACGCGGCCAGCACCCTTGAATCTCAGCTCCGCTGTCTTCACCAAGCTTCTGAATTTCGAATGGAACTTCTCAAACAGGCTCAAGACCACTACTATCGCGCCTCAGTACTCGCCGAGGCCGAGCTGGAGAACGTTGGATACTTACTGAGAAGCTCTGCCGCGTCATCTTTGACCAATTCGCAATATTCATTCGTGAGCTCCCGGGACTCGCTATCAACCCGAATGTCTTCACCCTCACCAACTTTTGAGTCTGAAGACATTGAGAAGCGCCTCAGTATCACCAACCACTCAACACCTACCGAACCCTATGTGCGCCCAGACTCTCCCACGTTAGGGCCCGTTAGCATATTTTCTCCTAGCACATCTCCCGAACCTAGCGCTCGCGAACTAGTTGAGGAACCGACCGACGCATTGAGATCATGGACCGTTTCTCCTACCGAATCAGCAGACCAACTCCTCTCGCCTTCCCTCATCTGCGACGACGAAACTTTTAATAGGGCCCAAGCTCTTCATCGCTATGCCTCTGCTATCACGTTTATTCGCCGCCAAATCGCTCATCATGTCCTGACCAGCAAGGAAACCCCATCACCTCCCGCGCCTTCAAACGAAGAGATGCGAGCGTTGGATCTCAAGGCCAGGATCTCAAGGCTCCGCGCTGAGGGCTGGCAACGCAAGAGATTTGATCCGAGACGCTACGATGCTCTTTGCGAGGCCGCCCTAGCCGATCTTGCGGACTGATTGCGTTTAAATCTCGAGGCTGTTTCCGATGTAATATATGTAAATTTTTCCCTCGACATGTTGATGATATTGGGCTTCTTTTTTTTTGGGAGTATTAGAGTGGTAGGACAATTTGGGGTTGTCGTTTTGGCTGTTTATCTACTAGCGCGGCGTATTGATGATGACAATGAGATTTGGAGATATCTGATGCGAATGACTTCGTGTCTTCCCTATGGGGGACTGTTAGGGATTGCTATTTTGGCGCCATGGGATGCTGAAAAGATGCTTGGTGTATGATATGAAATCAGTCATCAGGTCTTCTATTCCTTTACATATTTTTGCCTTCGTTGGGCTTTGATCAGGCGCGGTCATGACCTTGATCTACAATGACAGAAAATTTACTTGATTCAATGACATTGAAAAACATCCCAATCGGATGGATGGTACAGCTCTGCAATTGTGCCGTTGTACTCTCTCGCCTAACATATCCTCAAAGCTTTGATCCCTTAAAACAAAACAAACCACAGAAAAAAAAGAGAGATGGAGCTTCGCATTATACCTCATTTCAGTTCATCTAAGCGCCAACGAGGGCCCGACGCTTTGGGGTTCTCATCCAACTTTTCCAAGCGACCACCGTCATCTCTCACCATACAGGGTCCTCACTGATGGCTCTGGCTCTGGCTGCGTTTCCTTGCCTCCTCCAGCTCTTGCTCCTCGGCTGCGGCTGCCTCTTCCTTTGCTCTCTTGTCTCGAACTGCGCCCAGAACCACCTCGCGGAACACGGCGCCATCCTTGACCTTCTCTCTGAGCACATTCAGCTTCTTCTCACCACCAACAGAAGGAATACTCTCCTCAGCATCACCCATCTCATCTGAGTCAGACTCATCTGCCTTGAGAGCCGCGATTCTCTTCTTCAGACTAACTGCCAAAATGGCGTGCTTGAGCTTCGCACGTGCTTCACGAGCACGGCGGATCTCGGGCAGCAAGTCGTGGTCGGTAGCGGTCTTGCCGCTGAGCCAAATGTGACCCAAGGCTTCCTATTCGAGGAATGACAAGTTAGTGAACGGGAAATTGGCAATTCAGACTTGGTCAGGGGGTCATCTGAAGATTGGTGTACATACCTCACTGGTCCAGCGTTTGTCTGGATCGGGGAGGATAAGATGCATGATGAAATCTTTGGCATCATTGCTGACGTCCTTCCAGTATCTCTCGTGGAATACAACCGAGCCAGTGGTACACTCCTCGAGCAAGTCTCGGAGGTTCTCACTTCGGAAAGGAGAGTAGCCGCAGAGAAGGGTATAAGTGATGACGCCCATGGACCACATGTCCGCAGGTTTTCCGTGGCCCTTGCGGTCCATGATCTCGGGGGCAGCATATCCAAATGATCCAGCCATTGTTTGGAGAGATTCCTCCTTTTTGTCCAGCGTCTTAGCGATACCAAAATCGGCCAGGACGACTTCAGAATCGGGGTCTCGAGTCACGTAGAGCAGATTCTCGGGCTTGAGATCTAAGTTCAAGGTTATAAGTGTTAGCTTCATAAATCCCTACTATATGCGACATGCGAATGCAGTGCCACGGTCAAAGTTGCGTACCTCTGTGGACAACCTCGTTCTTGTGGAGGTAGTCGACGGCGTGAAGGACCTGCTTAATCGTTTGGGAAGCATCCTTTTCGGTAAACTTCCCTTGTTCGCAAATTCTCTCGAAGAGCTCTCCGCCGGTGGCGAGCTCGGTAACAATATAGAACTTGTCCTACACAGGGAGCTTCAGTCAGCCTCAGAGCACGGAAGGGGTAGTGGTGACCAAGTGGAGGGACGAAGCTGGATGAACGAACCCTAGACTCAAACCAATCGACAAACTTGACAATATGCGGGTGCTTCAATCTCTGGAGCATCTGAAGCTCGTCATAGACCATCCTCTCGTTGCCCTTTACATTCTTCTTCAAGATGATCTTGACGGCGACCTTGCCAGTCGGGCCCTCAGCCTCGCGCACCACGCCGTAAGTGCCAGCACCAAGGGTTCGGCCGAATTTGTATTTAGCCCTAATTATAAATGTTTGCATCAGCTTCATGTTTCCTCTCCATGTCGGGGCTATCGATGTAGATTCCATGCGTACTTCTTGTCGTAGCTTTCCGGTTGCCCCTGCAGGCGGCTCATAATGCCTGAGACTGGTGGTAGGCAATAAATGTTAGCCTGAATCCATTGAAACACTAGAGACACTCTAGCTCTTCGATATCGATATCATCTCGTCATGGAGCCAATCCCCAGTCTTCGGTGGGCACATGCTCTGCTGTTGACTTACAACTCATAGCTGTGATAGTGTGGTTTTCCGCGGGGTAAAGAAGGGTTTCACAAGTGACGCGGCGTCTGGCGGGGTAAAAGGGAAGCGGCTTTTGCGCTTCCTTCCGGCTCGAGGGCGTCGTGTGCAGCAGCGGCCACGACGATGGGAGGGTGCAGAGAAGGGAGGACGCTTGCAGCGAACGTGACGAAGCGAAAGATAGGCGGAGTTGGGCGAAGTTATATGGATTGGTAGTAGAGACTAAAAAGGATCAAGGGGAGTGGCGGGGGAGGACAGGCCATGCAGGCTTACTGCCACAAGCGGTGGGCTACCTCCCGGGAAGGTACTGGCCAAGTACCTCAGCTTGCAGAGGCGGTACCCATAGCCCACTGACGCGCCAGAGCCAAGCTGTCCACTCACTGAATGCTCAGAAACAAGCTGGTGGGTTGGGTATCGGCTTCCCCTGTACGGGTAGCGGTACTAGCGACGGCCGTGTTTCTCGTAGGAGTAACCAAGCAGCGACAAAGCATGCTAGTCTCTGGTAATGTCTGCAGGGCTGGGAGGGGCTGATTGAAGGAAGGAATGTTGCACCGTCTCGCTCTTGAGCCACACTGCTGCTCGTCAACCTGCCGAAAGCTCACATATGTTGCGGCATGGGGTCTCCGATCGCCATGGCCTCTGTGGCGCTGCCATTGGCACTTGCTTTGCTGATGGCTGAGCCATGTCATCCCAATTTATTACGTAGTGCGCGTCTATGGATTCGGTCGAATTAGCTTCGTTCACCAGCGCCTCTTCGTTATCAGACAACCCAGCCCTGAACCACCTCCAGGGGCTAGAGTTGGTGCTGAACTCTGGCAACTATCTACACGTAAGCTCCGCCGGGCTGGTTGAAACATGTGCTTGGGGCTACGGGCGTACGAGATAGGAGATCGGGATTGCGCATCTTAGTTGAATACATGCAGAGCGGCCACTCTTGATCGCTGATTGCGCACGTCTATTAATAAACTGCCAACCTTACTCAATCATCGGCTGTGTTAGTTTGCCCATTACGTTCAACCAAAGCAGACAAGCGTTGTGAGAGACTGGTGTAACAGCTTTCCTGGCCTCCTTGTCATTGGTACGTAATTGCACCTAGAAATGGAGCCAGCAGTTTCCCGTGATGGAAGCGCTGGTTTTTACTGATAGCGCCTCTAAGCAAACCATCGCGCGCTCAATACTACCTATTCAGCTGTCCGGGGCAGTATCCTTTTCTATGCCCTCTAAACCTACTCTTTTTCCTTGACGAATGCCTTGTTTTGGGGGCTCATCTTGCTTGGCATTGCTTGCCCCTCTGAGGCCTGGCCAGGCGTTGACGGAGACGGCAGCTCGTCGCAGGACTCGAGAACAGCCGCCCAGCCACTTGCACCAACAGGCCCTTGAGGCTACCTACGCTCCAACCCGTTCCACCTCATCACTCTCACCACCACATCCTGTGCGCATCCATCATCGGCGCAGCTGTGGCCCACCATGGCAACGAATATGAGCGCCAAGCGGCTCATGAAGGAGCTTGGGAAGGTAAGCAAGTCCCTTCTGCTTCCAGGGGCGCATCAGAAATCTCACCAGAAGGCCGTCTGCCCCACGCAGATCAACAACGATGGCCTCCCCCCAGGCATAGAACTTGTTCAGTCGGGTTCAGCAGGCTCGGAGCTGAGCGACTGGCTTTTCGACATCCGGGTCCTCGATGAAAACCCCATTTACAAGGATGGGGTGTACCGGTTGAAGTTTCGCTTCTCCAAATCGTATCCCATAGGTGCGCAGCCCCGCCAACGATCCAGTTTCCTCCCCCTCCTTTCACGTTTCCAATCTCACACGCCACAGAACCACCAGAGGTGACATTCGAAAAACAAGCCGACCGACCGATCCCTATCCACCCGCACATATATTCAAACGGCATCATTTGCCTGGATCTGCTGGGCAGTCAGGGATGGAGCCCAGTCCAGAGCGCCCAAAGCGTCTGCATGAGCATACAGAGCATGCTCACCAGCAACACCAAGAACGAGCGCCCACCGGGCGATGAGGAGTTCGTTCGAGGGAACACCTTACGACCACGCGATATCGAATTCTTGTATCACGACAATACAGTATAGGCCTCCACCATGGTCGAGACCTATGCAACAACGCAGCTTTTGGCGCTACCCGATCTATCACGATGCGCTTTCACTTGTATATTGCAGCGGTGGTCTGCTCGAAATATCATAAACCAGACGGCTGAATTAGGTCATTTCGCGACCAGTAGATGGTTCCAGGTCCCCTTCCAAGATTGTTCTGGTGGAGAGCTCTTCTCACATGGGCATCAAGCGGAGTGAAGAGAGGGCTTGGCGGCTTATTCTCCTCCGCATTTGAGGGTCTACAAGGAGGGAAGATCGTAAAATCTTTTGGAAAATCTTCGGTTTTCTGTCACTATACCTTGGGCGCTGGTGGTTGCGATTGGAAAATGACCTTCGCCGGCGTTGGGCGGCTAGAGGCGGCTAGAGAGCGAGATGGGTTGCTCACAAGCATCAATGAGATTTTCAAGAACACAGAGGCGTTATGGAAGTGAATGCAAATACTCGAGGTTTCTAAATGATGAAATTATACCACTTGGTTTATATTCGTACGTAAAAGCCGTCCTCTTGGAGGACGAGTTTGTTTCTCGGTACCTAGGTAGATGCGCTTCACGAGCCAGGAGCAAGCAACACCTTAGCTTCTACGCTTGATGACGTCGAGCCGCTAGCCCACAGTGGGGTGCTGCCATCAGTCGGCTTAGAGCTACCTGTAGCTGTCAGAGTAAACCATGCCCGGTATATCGCGCCTCAGGGCTAGTCATTTCAAATGCCACGTCACAGGTCTCCGAATAACATCTGAATATGCGACCCGGAATAAAGGACCTCAATAATTTCACCATGAAGCAGCTGTGGAGGTAGCCAAAAGCTTCGCTGGCGATCATGGCCTCTCTCTGCCTGGCAAGCCCCGTAAGCTCCCCGGGTCCCGCTCCCGTGGGTCCTCCATTTCACCGCCTAAGATGAATGGACGACAACCTCCAGCCCCCCAACACAGCTCCAATTCCACATGCCGATAAAGCGCAACCTCCAACCCTCCGATCTCTCCAAACCACACCTCTTGCGATGAGCCGCTATGGCTCCTCGCACGGAATTCAGCACTGAACAAGTGCGCAACAAGGCCCGGAAGGACCTGCTATACATGCTTGAGGGTGTACGTAAGACCGCATTGACTCTGGACGCGAGTAGGCTATGGGAGGAAGCGTAGCAAGCTGACGTTGGTTCCTTGCTTGAGTAGGTTCGAGGGAAGAAGAATGTTGTCTTTGATCGCAGTTTGGTCGGCCCGATCGGCACTATTGTAAAGGCTACCACGCTTCAGGAATACGGGGTTGATAAGTTCTTTGTACTTGAAAACAACAATGTCGATACGAGCCAGCGCAATGTCGTTTTCATCGTGAGAGGCGAGTCCGGCAGGCATGCCGAGGCAGTCGCAGGTCAGTCCAGCCCTTTATCGACGCTGCATTGAGATTCCCCGGCCATCCAATACCACCGTCTGTCGCTTCTCGTCGAATCGCAGAGCTCTCCGCTGTCGTTGCGACGCTATCAATGAGACTCAAGTCAGACCAATGGGGTCGCTTGAGGTATATCGAGGTGTCTAGATGCTAATATCTACTGTTTGTTAGCCCAAATCAAACGAGTTCAACGTGAGAGCCAGACCGGCCATGAATTTCACATCTTCTGGGTGCCCCGCCGGACACTACTATCCGATCAAATACTGGAGGAATCAGGTGTTTTGGGCGACGTGAACGTTGCAGAATTACCGTTATCGTTCTTTCCTCTGGAGAACGATGTACTCTCTCTCGAGCTAAACGACTCTTTCCGGGACCTATATCTATCAAAGGACATCACTCCAAATTTTTTATTGGCCAAGGCTCTTATGGAAATCCAGCAGAATCACGGGCTGTTCCCCCGGATCATTGGAAAGGGAGATAACGCCAAAAAGGTTGCCGATCTTCTGGGACGGATGCGACAAGAACTGCTGGCAGGCGGGGACTCCAGCGAAGCGAACCGCGCGGGCCTAACACCAAGCACGACAAATGACGGTGTTATCATTATCGATCGCGAGGTTGACTTCGTCACGCCTCTTCTTACCCAGCTTACGTACGAAGGTCTCATCGATGAGGTGTTCGAGATACAGAATAATCAGACGAAGGTCGATACTGCAATCGTTGGTGCCCCCGCTCAATCTCAGTCCTCGGCAGCGACACCACAGAGTCGAAAACGAACAATCCAGCTCGACTCGAGTGACAAACTCTACGACCAGCTTCGCGATGCGAACTTTGCTATCGTAGGAAGCCTTCTCAACAAGGTCGCCCGCCGGTTACAGCAAGTCCAATCCGATTACGAGACCAAGCACAAGACCAAGACGATTGCAGAGCTCAAAGAGTTCGTGGGCCAGCTTCCTGGCTACCAGCAAGAGCACCAAAGCGCTAGGATACACACAGGACTAGCGGAGGAGATAATTAAGCACACCCGGTCGGATCAATTCAAGGGATTACTAGAGGTGCAGCAGAATATCGCCGCTGGCGCCGACCCCTCGACCCAAGCCGACAGAATCGAAGAGCTCGTGGCCCGGGATACACCGATACGAGAGGTTTTGAGATTACTGTGCATTTACTCATGCATATCAGGTGGCATCAAGCCAAAGGAATTTGACCACTTCAAACGCCTGATACTCCAAGGTTACGGCCACCAACATATCCTCACTTTGAACAGCTTGGAAAAACTACAACTCTTTCTATCGCGCTCTTCGCCTCTAGCAGGGATGATACCAATGACGGGCAACGCCGGACCGAGCGGCGGGGCGAAGACGAATTATACATACCTGCGAAAGCAATTGCGTCTAATCGTGGACGAGGTTCAAGAGGACGACCCGAACGATATTGCTTATGTGTACAGCGGTTATGCGCCACTTTCTATCCGTCTCGTCCAATGCATCCTGCAAAAGCAGTACCTATTGAGCGTAACCAAAGGCGGTGGCGCAAACGCCGCCAATGCGGCTCTCTCGTCCGGTGCCGCTACCCAAGGCTGGCATGGCTTCGACGATGCTGTAAAACACGTGCGGGGTCAAACGTTCTATGAGCTCCAAAAAGGAGAGGACAAGGCTGTGAAAGCAAGAGCCCTCCTTTCCGGAAGTGGGAATAGGCAAACGGTCTTTGTCGTGTTCGTTGGCGGCATTACGTTTACGGAGATTGCGGCACTTCGATTTATAGCCAAGCAAGAAGAGAGTGAGTCTTCATCCAATGCACGAGCCCGCACGTGGCAACATCATGCTAACATCCATATTCCCAGGCCGAAAACGGATCGTAATATGCACTACATCAATCATCAGTGGAAATAGAATCATGGATGCAGCAATTGAGACGGATTCTTTTGCGCTGGGAGGGGAAGCCTCAAGCTCGACTTGAAAGTTTCATCTGGCTCATCAAGCATACGTGCTAGCCTTGCACACGGTCCCGGATGAGAAGAAAACTTGATCGGAGAGGCTCCTGGTGGCTCATCCGGCTGCCCGATCGCAGCTAGGGTTATCACAGGCAGGATGAAGGACCAGCATGTCCCAAGGCAGTAATAGAGAAAGAAGGAATGATAGCAAGCGTTTCGTTTCCGATCGTAAACACGATTCGATACTTGGACAGAAGGTTGAACCCTTGACCCGAGCAGGTGTCAGGAAAACAGGGGCCGAAAAAGCCACGATATTCAGAGGCAATAGCTTACAGAATTGGCAAATAATTAAGATTGAGTATTCTCGTCAAATGACAACGATAGATATGTTTGCCTCAATGCCTTCGAGATTCAAATGGAGAAGCCAAGTTCGCTCCACACTCGCACAGCAATTCGGTGGGCCCGAGATGCGTCGTCGCACGTGACCGGCCACACTGGCGGTCGCCCCAGTGTCGAGGTCGAGGAATTAGCGGCCAGCTGGGCTCCTGGGGAGGGAAGGAATGTCGCTGTTCGCACGATGGCGTTAACTTGCCATATCCCCATGGTACAAGGGAAAAAAGCTAACGTGTAATTGCCTTTCACTGCGAGCACGTCAGGCCTTTTTTCTTTCCCTGCCCGCCATTAATCTGTTTGGAAAAAATTCTTCATGTATGAGCCGTAACTTCTTCATATCTATTTTCTTTTCTTTTTCTCCTCATCGTACCATTCTTATCCTTAATCCCGCTCGCCAGAAAAGTCGAGGCCCACTTTAGTACCCTCATCGTCGACGTCCTGGTCAGTATAACCAACCCGATGGACTTGGCCCGACCTCAGGAATGCTGACTGGCTATAGCAGCTCGGGGTGTGTCTTCTTGGCTTGTTATATTATGCATTCGCGTTGTTTGAATGGCCGTATCTCATAGCGCTTTCCGAGACATCGACTGTATCGTCCCTCGCCGAGCGCCGTCTCCTCCATCCTGCCTTATACCACAGCGATTGATCATCAATACGTCTCCCAATTGGGCGTGCCATGAGTCCAGCTCTTCGGTTTCGCAGGACGGCCAAGAGGGACGCGGCGGAGGGCCCAACGCGTCCGAAAAGGGGCGCCTCTCGCTCAGTATCAAGGCGCCAGCCAGTGACACCAAAGTCTAGTCATCAGATATCTACTAGCCACAGTCCCAATGAACTCATAGCGCCCGACCTCTCGCGGCAGAGTTCGTCTTCGAACCTGTCGTCCGAGGTTGCTCCGGAAATAGTCGTGTGGACTGAGGATATGGATCTTGACAGTCCAAGTCAGGATGACTCCGATATCCTGTCGGATCTGGATATGAGCAGGTAAGATGAAATATCATGCATCTATCAACTAAGAGTTCATCATCAGGCGGCACAGCCCTATCGCTCCCTTGTATCCATGGTTAAGCATGTTGTATCCTGACCGCCACGACATAGTGACGAAGCACCCGACTTTTATGGACTGTCCAGACAGGCTGATGAAGAATCTGATGAGGATAATGAGGCATCCGAAGAGGGCGGTGGAGCCCCCGAAGATGGCGACGAAGCATCCGGGCTTGGTGATGCATTGCTCGGGGAGGTCGATGTGGCATCGGGGAGCGTTAATGCTGCACTAAGGGAGACCCACGAAACATCCGAGGATGAGGCAGCACTCGGTGATGTCGACGAACCATCCGAGGACGATGATGAACTGCTCAAGGATGTTGATGAGGCGCCTGAGGAAGTTGATGGTGAACTCAAAGACGCTGATGGGATGTTTGAAGATGCCAATGAAGTGTCCGAAGTCAATAGCACCCTTGAAGACGCCGATAGAGCGCCCGAAGATGCTAATCAAGCACTTCAAGACGTCGAAGAAGCACTTGAAGTCACCAATGAAGCCAAGGAAGTTCTGGCTGTCCCGGCAGGGGGTGAAGCAGTGCGATCTGTCTCCTCGCCATCAGCCTTGACCGAACTTTCCGAACTGTCCTCCTTATCTTCAAATGTATCAAGCAAGGCCACGACACCTTTCGACGCAGATGCTTCCAGAGGTACATCTGCAGATCAACCCGCGCCCATGACGGTTCCGGTACACCAAACTTCATTCTACCAGAATGAAGTGGAACGCCTAACCTTCAATGTGCGCCCCAAGGCCTCGATTCCAAGGAATATATCGTCTCAGAGGTATGCTGCCGAGTGTATATGGGCTGCAGAATCCTCCAGGCTGAACCCTTTTGCGCTGCATCCTGAGGAATACCTACTATTCCGACATCATATCTCACATGCTCAAGTCACAACGTATCTTAATATCCGAAACGGTATTCTACGTCAATGGATGACTCGGCCTTCTATCAATGTAACACGTCAGGCAGCTATCGGCTGTGCCAATGCTCGTTGGTTTGATGCAGCAAGCGTGTGCTATGACTGGTTGGTACGGCGCGGATACATCAACTTCGGTTGCGTTCAATTCGCCGGCTCGAAAACGGCTGCAAATGGGGACCAACAAGATATTCAAAGAAAACGAAGGACAATTGTCGTCCTTGGTGCCGGTATTTCAGGCTTAGGATGTGCTCGGCAACTGGAAGGCCTCGGGACCCAATACGCTAGCCAATTCCACGATCAAGGGGAGGATCCTCCCAGAGTCATAGTTCTGGAGGGCCGGAGCCGTGTGGGGGGTAGAGTGTATTCTCGCGAACTGAAAACGCAGTCTTCTAAGAAGAACCCTCAGTTTGAAGGCAAGAGACTCTCAGCCGAGATGGGCGGTATGATCATCACTGGCTTCGATCGTGGAAACCCTATGAATATTCTTGTACGGGCACAGCTTGGGATCCCCTACCACGCCTTGACAGCCGATACCACCATCTACGATAATAATGGCAAGCCGGTGGACATGGTCCGAGATCTGCTGGTAGAGAAACTCTACAACGATTGCTTGGATCGGGTGAGTGAATTTAAGCACAAGTCACAACCATCCAAATTAATCGAAGGAAAGCGCGATCTCATTGAGGATGGCCGCGACGCTCCCGGAGATGGCAGCAAAACCATCATGCAGGCAGAAGAAGCCACTGCAGCTTTGCCTCATGCCCCTCCAGTCTCACTACAGAGTGTCCCAGAACAGGTAAATATGGTTCCAGTCTCATCGGACAAAGTGACTGGCCGTGTACACACTCAGCCTGGGGTTCCTGCCACGCTCAAGGCGTCCGAAAAGGCCAAGCTCATGGGATGGGACGTAAAAGCGGGTTCTACCGACAGTGATAACGTTGATCTGAACGATGCTGTCAATCAGGAGGGTGCTACACTCGGCTCGGTTCTGGACTATGCAGTATCGCAGTACAAACATCTCATTGATTTGACACCTCAAGATTTCCGGCTCTTCAATTGGCACGTTGCCAATTTAGAATACAGCAATGCCACCAACCTCCATCGACTCAGCCTGCCACTTTGGGACATTGATGCTGGAAACGAATGGGAGGGGCATCATACCATGATTGTGGGTGGATATCAAAGCGTCGCCCGAGGCCTTGTCCACTGCCCAGAGCCACTGGATGTTAGGACGAACTTTCCCGTCAAAAGTATCAAATACAGAGCTGAGGCTTCAAACAACGGCCCTGCTATCATTGAATGTGAGGATGGCACCGTGGTAGAGGCTGACACTGTTGTCTGCACGATTCCTTTGGGCGTGCTCAAGCAGAACAGCATCACTTTCGATCCTCCGCTTCCAACTTGGAAGACAGGCGTTGTGGGCCGTCTCGGCTTCGGCATCCTGAACAAGGTTGTTTTAATCTACGACAAGATCTTCTGGGAGCCTGATAGGCACATCTTTGGGGTCTTAAGGGATCCTCCAAACCGCCATAGCACAAACCAAAAAGACTATGGAGTGAATCGCGGCCGCTTTTTCCAATGGTTCAATGTGTCTAACACGACGGGCGTCCCTTGCCTGATTGCTCTAATGGCAGGCGATGCAGGCTTCGAAACTGAGCATTCCAGCAATGATGTTCTGGTTGCAGAGGCTACTGAGATTCTACGAAGCGTGTTCGGAAGCGATGTTCCGTATCCTGTTGAGGCTATGGTCACCAGATGGGGTTCCGACCGATTTGCGAGAGGAAGTTATTCATCCGCATCCCCCGAAATGCAGCCGGATGATTACGATGTAATGGCACGGCCAATTGGAAATCTCTTCTTCGCCGGGGAGCACACGATCGGCACGCATCCAGCGACGGTTCATGGCGCATACATGTCAGGGTTGCGAGCAGCCTCGGAGGTGTTGGAGGCGATGTTGGGCCCGATCGAGGTCCCGACACCGCTCGTTCTGCCGAAGGATTCGCTATTGCTTCAGAAACGCCAAGAATCGGCAAAAGACCCTCGTAAAGCTCTCCTAGAAGCCTATGAGTTGGAAGTTTGGCACCATTTGCAATCACATATTGGACATCGCCCAGCCCGGCCCAGCAAGCCGCCTGGTAACGCTTACATGCTGTTCAGCAGGGACAAGTTTGAGGAGGCACGAAAGCTGTGTGAAGGAAATCGAAAGCCCGGTAGAACTAAATCAGCACCGAATGAGGTCCGAGTGATGACTTCTAAGATGTGGAAGAACGCCTCACCAGATGAGCGCAAACCCTATGAAAACCAGGCCGCCGAAAACAAGAAGGCCTACGCAGAAGCTTTACTGCGGCACACAGAGGAGTCCGAGAAGTGGGACCGCCAGGCTATCGCACTGCGGGCAGCATACGAGAAAGAAAACCCAAAACCGGTCGGCGATGAGAAACTCACCCCAGACGAAGGGCCAGGCCCCAAGCATCGTCGAGTCAGACCCGTGAGCTATGCCGAGGACCGCGATGAGGACCGTAATTGAGTTGTTTTGCCGTTGAGCTCACCTTATTATCCTGGTCCATCTAACTGTTACATCTACCCGTCCATTTACACCCTGATTGTTTTTGTTCGTCATTGGTTCTAAGCGTTTACATTCAAACAAATATCTATCATGTCTGCTCTTGGGGGGGAACGGGTGTTCACCATCGACTCCTGGGAATACTCTGCGATGGAGCTCTCTTCCTGCTTAGAAAATTGTCGGTAGTCATTGCGGTATTGGGACTCAATCAATGGGTAGTACAAAAAGTTCAATAGAGGTAGTCAAATTTATGGGAAAAGGTTGCGCATGAGCGGGGTGGGGAGGCATTATGGGTTGTAACATATGAGGATTAAACAAAAAAAATTAATTTATCCCCCTGTTCATTCACATCGGTACTTTTACTAGAGAATATATTTGAGATCTGATACATTTGAGGTTGCCGCTGCCGGGCACCCGATGGCTTTGATACAAAGGAAAGGGTTTTCTGTCTATTCCTGCAGCTACCCTGCAACCACTTTCGATGTTTACATGTCCGCTGAAGCGGTGGCACCGGTAATAATTTCAACCAGTTCTCCGGTAATGACGGCCTGGCGAGTTCGGTTGTAGAGAATCTGGTACTTGCCAATCATCTCACCAGCGTTCTTGGAGGCGTTCTACAAGGGTTCCCCACGTTAGACTTCGTTCGGTAACAATTGGAGCTGCCAAAATGATATTTTAAAACTTACGTCCATAGCGTTGCGTCGGGCGGACTGCTCGCAGGCGTGGCCCTCGGCAAGAGCCCAGTACAGGGAGTTGGCGAGGGAGTACTCGCGGAGGTTGCCAATGACCTCATCCTCAACCTCGAAGGCGGAGAAGTTGGCTGTACAGAGAAAAGAAGGCGTCAGTAATACGCTCAATAGTGCCTGATATCCATCAAATACTTACGGGAAGCAAGGATAGCCTCCTCGGAAAATGCCTCAATGAAGGTGGCCTCGTAGCTGGTGGCGTTGATGAACTTGTTGTACAGAATCTTGACGTCGGTGTACTCGGTAGGGAGGAGAGAGATCTGGTCGGCAATGGCCTGGGCGTCGGCGAAGGTAGGGACGTCCTTGCCGATACCAGCGAAGGAGAGCTGGATGCTGCTGGCGTTTGAACGGGACAGCTGAGCCTTGGCCTTCTCGCCAACGATGACGAGGTCGTGGTCACCCTCCTCGGCGATGAGTCTGCGGGTGCGACGGCTCAGACCGGAGTGAATACCACCGCAAAGACCCTTGTCGGAGGAGCAGACGATGAGGAGGGACTTCTTCTGCTCGGTCTCGGGAACCTTGGTCTCGGCAGCCTCGAAGACCTCGTTGGAGGTCTGGCCGTAGTTGCGGGAGGTGTCCATGGCTCGCTGAGCACGGGTGAGCTTGGTAGAGGCGACGACCTTCATGGTGTTGGTGATCTTCTCGATGTTGCGGATGGACTTGAGGCGGCCCTCGATCTCTCGGAGTGTCGCATAGCCAGCAGCGGTGCTGGGGGCGGCGGCAACCCTGAACAGAGGCAATAAGAAACGAATCAGCATTTACAAATTCCTCTATCCCATCCTCCTTCAACCAAAAGAGCTCGGCCAGGTGGTTTCCAATGGCAATTCCCCGTCGTGGTCGCGCCAATGAGTCCATCCACCTCGACTGCTGATATGCCCTCGGTTACAATTTCGGTCGACTTACCGTGCGGGAGCTGCCACAGCAGCACGGAGTGCCGGGCGGGCGGCGCGAGACAGCATCTTGACGGATTAGAAGAGTCGGATCGAGCCTCTGCCAACGGTGGCTCAATTGATTCCGGCGATAGGATTCAATTGATTGGGGTGATAGGAGTTCGGGTGGAGGGTTGAATACCTCTCGTTTTGCTCATGTCGCTATTTTCCCGGAACACGGGCGGAGCTAGCAGGGTCACGTGAACATGGAGATTCCGCCCGTCCTGGTACCGGGTACGTTGCGCAGTACCTACCACCTGGCACCAGTGTTACCAGGCCACCAGTCAGCGCTCCACCCGCGCTGGTACGTACCTCCCGCGCTGCTCCTGAGGTACTCGGCGGTGTTGCGGCCAAGTACCAACCCAGTCGCACTAATAACATTTTATTATGGGCAAGAGCTGCGGAAGTTCGCGCCGGGTAGAAACAAGCCTCACTGACTTTCCTTGGTACATTCCTCGCTTCTTCTTCCTTCTCTCACTCTTCCTTCCCTCTTTTTTATCCCTCTCTCCGACATTTCCAAGGCTCCGATTGCCTCCGCATCTCCAAAGTTGGCTCGCTTGGGGTGGTTTTCCCACCTCAAACCACCCTTTCGTACTCCCATCCCGGTTTCATTCTCTCTTACAAGACTGCCTTTTTTTGTCCATCGCTTCTTCCTCAGCAATCGAGCAGCAGGATCGGCCAGCCACGCCAGGCCTCTACCACTCCCAACCCGACTATCCAAGATGACCTACGACAGTTCTGATGACGACCAGCCTCTGGCTAGGACTAATGGACATCGTGAGTAAATTCAATTTCACCCTTCTCTGTCCCTACCGTCGCCATCACTCACTATGTGCCTCGGCGCAAACTTTGAATCTTTGGTGCCAAACACAATGAGCAACCTTATTGTTGCGCGCGCCTGCCATTCACACAACACTCAATACAATACCGCACACCCGCCACACTCTCGCATCCTTCCCACTTCCCTTCTCCCTCTTTCTCTCATCCAGGAATTTTCGCCTCTCTTTCAACCCTTCATCAATACACCAAGTCATCGCTGACCAGAGGATTCCTTACCACCATGGCAGTATCCGCATCCACCGTGTCAGCAGCCCAGGACAAGGCCCTAGATCGCGCGGTCCCCCAAAAGAGCGCTGTCCTTGCTGGACTCTCCGTCCGTAATGGCCCAGTTAGGGACAACGACTCGATGGACGTCGATGCGCCTACGACCAACGGGAAGCGAAAATCACGGACGTCGATCTCGAAGCCTGCATACAAGGACGACTCCGATAGCGATGCGCCATTTGTAAGGCGACTTAGGGCTCACCGCAAGGCAGAACGAGACGTGACTAATGTTTCTATCTAGGCAAAGCGTCAAAAGCAAAAGCCCGAGGCGGATTCGGACGACGAGCCCATCAAGTCCAGGGCAAGGAAGCTGCCTCCATCCTACGATGAGACTGCTCTACCCGACTCCTCTGATGATGACATCCCTCTTGGTGCTAAACTCGCGAAGAAGAAGGCCTCGATAGGGAAGCAGGCTGAGAAAGAGGCCAAGGTTATTCGGGCAAAGGAGGCCAAGCGAAAATCCATCAAGGATGAATCCGATGATGATGCTCCGATCGCCAAGTCATCCGCCATCAGGCGTCAGTCAAATGGAACCGCGGCGAAAAGAAAGTCTAACGGCGTCAAAAAGGAGGAGTCCGATTCCGACGCGCCCATCGCGAAGAGAGGTAAGGCCACACCTGCTGCGAAGAAGGGGAAGGGCGCACCAGCCAGCAAGAAGGAGAAGAAAGAGGCCAGTGACGGGGAAGAGGAAGAGTACGAATGGTGGAATGCGCCGAAGCCCGAGGACGACAGCATCAAGTGGCAAACGCTTGAGCACAACGGCGTTCTCTTTGCTCCTGAGTATGAACCCTTACCCAAAAACATCAAGATGCTCTACGATGGAAGTCCTGTCACTCTTAGCGTGGAAGCGGAAGAAGTCGCCACATTCTGGGTGTCAATGATGACTCCTGGCTCTGCCCACCACTTGGAAAACCCCAAATTCCGAGAAAACTTCGTCAATGACTTTTCGGAGTATGTCAAGAAGTATGGTGCCACAGACGCCCAGGGCAAGAAGGTGTTGATCAAGGACTTTGATAAGTGCGACTTCACCAAGATGGCCGAGTGGTGGACAGCCAAAACGGAGGCCACCAAAACCAAGAACCTCTCAAAGGAGGAGAAGGAGGCTGCTAAGGCGAAGAAGGAGGCCCTTGAGGCGCCATATCTCCACTGTATGTGGGATGGCCGCAAACAGAAAGTTGGTAACTTCAGAGTCGAACCCCCTGGCTTGTTCAGGGGGCGTGGTGAGCATCCCAAAACTGGTCGGGTAAAGGTTCGAGTGTTGCCCGAGCAAATCACCATCAACATTGGCAAGGACGCCAAGATACCAGAGCCACCTAAGGGTCATAAGTGGAAGGCCGTTCAGCATGACCAGAAAGCCACTTGGCTTGCTATGTGGCAGGAAAACATCAACGGGGCTTACAAGTACGTAATGTTGGGTGCGGCTAGTGATGTCAAGGGCCAGAGCGATTTCAAGAAGTTTGAAAAAGCTCGCGAGCTCAAGAAGCACATTGACAAGATTCGCAAGGAATACCGCAAGGAGCTCAAGAGCGAGGTGATGGCGGATCGTCAGCGTGCAACTGCCATGTACTTTATTGACCAGTTCGCCCTGAGAGCCGGAAACGAGAAGGATACAGAAAACGAAGCAGATACTGTGGGCTGTTGCTCGCTCAAGTTTGAGCACATCACTCTTCAGCCCCCGAACCAGGTCACATTTGACTTCCTCGGTAAAGACAGTATCAGGTATAACGAGACAGTCCATGTCGATCCCCAGGTCTTCAAGAATCTCAAACTGTTCAAGAAGCCACCCAAGACTGATGGAGATGACCTATTCGACCGACTGAATGTGAGTTTAGACTAAGCCCACACCTCTCTAAAAGACCATCCTAAGCTAACTATGATATACAGACCTCCCAGTTGAACAAGCATTTGAACAGCTATATGCAGGGCCTGACTGCGAAAGTTTTCCGTACCTACAATGCCTCGTTCACCATGGCAAAACTTCTCAATGAGCTTGAAAGTGATCCTCGCTCTCGTGGAAGTGTCGCCGAGAAGGTGAAGCTGTACAACGATTGCAACAGAAAGGTTGCCATTCTCTGTAATCACAAGCGTACAGTCGGCGCAGGTCACGACGCACAGATGCAGAAACTCGGCGATAGGGTAAGTGAAGCATAGTGCTTCAGCAAGATACACAGCAGCTAACACATGCGCACAGATCAAGGGGTTCAGGTATCAAAAATGGCGAACAAAGAAGATGATCCTCGACGTTGATCCTTCATACAAGAAGAAGAAGGGTGCTGCTTGGTTTGAATTGGATGAGGATCTCGACCAGGAATGGATCCAAGAGCACCAGCAGTTCCTCATCGAGGAACAGCGAACCAAGATCACGAAGAAGTTTGAGAAGGACAACGAGAAGCTCAAGGCAAACAAGGAAAGGCCTATGCCTGAGAAGGATCTCAAGGAGCGACTTCAAGTTGTCAAGGAGCTCGAGGCTAAGTTCAAGAAAGAAAACAAGTCTGGAAAGGTCGAGGCTGAAGGCAGGGGGGCTACGGTTGACAAGTTCCTCAAGGCCATTGAGAAGCTCGACGAACGCGTAAGAACTCTTGAAACTCAGGCTGAGGATCGTGATGGGAACAAAGAGGTTGCGCTGGGCACCTCAAAGATTGTAAGTCGTCATCTGGTCATCTAACCATACGTGGCCTAGTACTAACCAGCACAGAACTATATCGACCCCCGGTTGACCGTGGTCTTTTCGAAGAAGTTCGATGTCCCCATCGAGAAGTTCTTCTCCAAGACCCTACGAGACAAGTTCCGGTGGGCTATCAAGTCTGTTGAGGATGCGGAAGACTGGACATTCTAAGCTGCAAACTCGCTTTGATCAATCTTTCGGGTAAAAGTTGGCTGTGGATTCCGATGAATTCACCCTTTTGATCAATGAATCGCCAAAGTACAGTAATAACAAACATTGCTTATAAAAGTTAGGACAGGAAAGCGTTGGGGGCATCATTTGGGTGGTGGCATGGCAGAGCCCTGGGGGCCACAGCGGGGAAAAGTATTGACAATGGTGTAGAGCAATCAACAACTACAGGGTTGGCCCGTCACACTGGCCCATTCAACAAAAATCTACGACGCCATGGCAACATGGCAACTCATAGACGATGACAGTTGGAAAGTCATAGGAAATCACGGGGAAGGCTTACGTCTCTTTTGCTAGATCAGCATCTCTTGTTCATTAGTAACCTAGTTTCGCATTCAAAGAATCAAATTTCAGCTCCAATAACCGAATCCACTACCGCACGTGTCATTGCAACCAGGTATGATTCTATGGTGAAAGTCACTGTGGGAAGAGTATAGTTGGTCTCGTAGATATGCTATCTCTACAAATAAAGGGGCTGAGGCATGATGTCTACACCAGGGTTGGATTGAATGTGGTAAATGTGTAATATGATCAGCTTTGTCCAATAATATTGCTAATATATATACTAAAATCTATCCCAATAGTCTAAAATCCGACTCAATACGCTTTTCAATCATTTAGTACCGTGTGGGAATTCTTCCCCCTGTTCCAACGCCAAAAGATGCATTTCCGAAGCCCATTCTGTGGTGCTCATGCCCCCAAAGTTCATTGTGTCCGATGATCGTGATATGCCTAGCATGTCTTCCCTTCAATATGTTTGGCATTTCCATATTGAGGTTCCATGCCTCTCTATTAATAAAATCCAGTTGCGCCGTTGTTCCCATATATTGTAGTTGTTTGTTGTATGTATGTGTAAAAGGGCCACGCTGATGCTAACTACAGCAACCGCATGGCGAGAAGGAGTGCTCCGAGGGCTGGGGCGAAGAGCACGCAGAAGAACCCCGGCGGCTTGACTGAAGAGGAGCCACCAGTTGACTCGCGCATGATCTTGCCCTCCGAGGTCATGTACCAGCCGGAAGGGATGGCGCCGGCCGTGGGGTTGGCGGTGCCAGCCCAAGGCCAGCCAGTCTGTGTAGCGGTGGCAGCCTTGTCGGTGCCGATACCGCCCACGGGGATGCCGACGCCGGTCGAGACGCTCCCAACGGCCGTCGCCGTGGCGGTCACGGCGTTCTTGTTGTTGATGTTCCCGTTGACTTTCCCGTCGACGGCCTGGATGGACTCCCAGTCGCCCGAGGTGTCGCCGTACTTGTACTGCTTGCCGGTCGAGTAGTCGGTGACGACGAGCTTCTTGACCATCATGCTGAAGGGGCCCTTGGTGTAGTCGGTCGGGCCCCTCGCCCACTTGACGGTGCCCGCGGCGTTGTAGTTCGGGTCGCCGCCGGCCCAGGCGCCGAGCTTGACCCGCATGGGCGTCTGGGGGTACTGCCCGCTCTCGGCCTGGCTCTCCGTCATGGAGCGCAGGATGGTGCCGTCGGCCATCCAGACGATCTTGTCCTTTGTCCAGTCGACGGTGTAGGTGATCCACTTGGACTGCGTGCCCGTGAGGTCGTGGAACTGCCCGCGGTTGTACGACGTCACCTGGCCCTTGCCGAAGTAGTTGGACTGGACCTCGTCGGCGTCGGAGCCGAGCCACTCGATGTCGATCTCGTCGAGGACGTCCGACTCGAGCACGAGCGAGGACACGATCCCCGCTCCGGGGGCGGCCTTCATCGTCACCTCGACCCGGCCGAACATGATGTAGAAGAGCGACATGAGCTGGGGCGCGTCGCCGCCCTTGGCCACGGTGAAGGACACCCCGTTGGTCTTGTCGTACGTGGGCGAGCCCGAGGCGGCGAAGGAGTTGACCGCCCCCTGTGTGAAGTCGACGTTGATCGTCATCCCCAGGGCGGTATCGGCGGGGCACGAATCTACAAATCATCAAGTCAGCAAGGTGTGCTGTGTGTATTGCAGTGAGTATACGTACTTGAGTTTAGAGGGTTGCATGAGCTGTACGTCTGTGCCTGTACTGCCGTCGCCGCCAGTGACCCAAGGGCCACGAGGCTGTTCTGCCAGAGACACCGCATCGTCGAGGTGTGTCGGTGTGTGTGGTGGTGGCGTACGGGCGATCCCAACGAGGGGTGTGTGTTTGCTCGCACAGAAGGGAGGGAAGCTTTGCTACCGATGGGGTGCAATGGGGAAAAGGCCAAAGTATAATCCCTCGGGTGGCGGTTGTTTGTTGTCGCACACGGCAGGAATGTGGGTGGTGTGTGGTTGGGCTGGCGAAGAGTTTGGAAGATGATGCAGGTGAGATGTATGTCCAGATGCAAGGGAAGCATATATCAGGGAAGGAAACACAAGACCCCTCCCCCCCCTCCCAACCACCTACAATTGCTGCGGTGCCAGGTTCGTCATCGATCTAGCTCTTGGCGCCAGGAACAGGAAATTTCGTATAGTTCTCTTCTCTCTGTTACTGGGAAGACCCTTGGGCGCCGCCAGAACGGCGCCATTGGGCGTCGTCCGGTGCAAGGGGATGGGGCCCGTTGGCGTCGCCGGGCGGGTGGCTGGTGGAATTCGGGTGGCTGGTACGGGCGAAAAAGTGGGTGGCTGAGGACAACTCGGGTGCCACGAAACCCGCGGACCACGACCCACGCAAGCCTCAAAGCTAGTAGACCTACCCTATACCGCTGATTCGTTCGTCAATCGAGCGTTGTGCCTCATCTCCAATCTCGCTTTTGTGATTCCGCAAGTTTGCAGATCATGTGGCAATGGCTCGGATAGAAAATAATGATATCTCCGGTCAGGTGGCGCACTATGGAGATTTCCTGCATGCCGGGGCGTTGATGTGTCTCGTTATTGGGACACGAAAGCCTATATGAGCCGGTTTCTGCTTGCATACAACAATGCCTCCAATACAGAACGGTGATAATCGGCCCATTACCAGCAAACACAACAGGGAGTGTGCGTGCTGCACAGAAGGAAACATGATCACGCAGCAGAACACATCGAGAATACCACCGCATGAATATGCAAAGGCAGCCGAGGAATTCCCCCGACGTGGACGAGCTTCATGTCGTCACTGGAAAGGCCTCACTGAAGCGAGATGCACAACATACATACTAGATAGGCACATCACTTCACAGAGCATAATCAAAGAGGGACCCCCCCCCGCAGATTCTATACAGATCCAAGGCATAATTAACATGCAGCCAAGACGAGGAGAATAACGGGCGAGGCCCACGACGACGGCCACCCTCGGGACCGCACGCATTGAGAACCAGGTCCAAGCGAAGTTGGTGCGCAGTTTGGTATACCGGATACTGCTACAACATGCTCGAGGTGCATCCGAAATTACGATTGTTTTTTTCCCCGTCGAGTGACGAAGCGATCCCAGGACTGATACAGGCACGCACAGGCCCCGAGGGGACCAACCAAGCAAGCAAGCAAGCCATGCCGGCCAGGCATGAATCTCGCTAGTGTCCCTGCGGACCATGTTAAAACCGTCTTTGACAGCTGGCAGAACGTTTCCACACACACCAGTATCGCATAAGCTCGTGCATGACTGGTCCCAGTATCCAGCCGTGCTTGGACATCCTTCTCATCTACGAAGGCCAGGCTGCGACGAAACGTCCTTGAAACACCAAAAATAGAGAAGGGGGTGTGCGAGTATATACCACCACCACCATCGGCCCACCCTGTAGGTATTGTCCGGAGGAAGGCCACCGGCAGTCCCATTCCGCATCGCAACTGCCGGGGGGCCGTTAAATCATCATGCATGAACACAAACACCAAAAGGGAGCATGTGAATTGTATGTTAATCGGCCCTAGTCGGCGGCCGGTCCGCTGGGCGGAGAAGGTACGTTTTTGGAACAACTCTGTGCTCAAGCCCTTTTACCCTCCCACTGGGGGGCAGAACTTGCCAAGATGAAGTTCAGTCAGAAGCTTAACTGTTTCCCCGAAGCCCACTATACGCGGACGATGAGATTCCAAACAGACAGGAAATGACGCGGCCAAAAACACTTGGCTGGCGCGTGATCTCAAACACCTCATCGCGGAGGTCCTCTTGCCGTGTGTTATGCCTGAAACACATGCCCACGCCTCGGATGCCCTACATGTGAGTACGTGGTAGGTGTGTGTACCAAGACACAGTCCTGAGACAGTGTTCGGATGATGTGCTTTGAACTCTACCCGCACAGCCCAGGGCCTCAGAGAAGCAGGAAGAGAGACCTTGGCGGAGGGAAGCGATCCAGATGCAAAGCCCTAAGAAGAAAGCGCACAAGAATTGTTCAGAATCCTTTGTCCGCGAAACAGGCGCCGGGCAGAGCCGTAGCTCTGGAGTTGAGATGTAGACGCTTCGCAAATGGCTAACACGTTGAGCCAAGCGTAAGCTGTCTTGAGCACGCACCGATCAGACCCAAAGAGTCCCTCCAGCATGAATAGATTCTTGAGGTTGAGATGGTATGGCATTGCCAGAATTCATGTCGTAACGGTGCGTATTGCCGGCCGTCCCAACCTCAGCCACTCCGTGTCTCACCATGTTTTGCGGCAAACAGCTTCACCCATTGGAGAGCCTCCAGAGGATCGGAAGGAAAATTTTTCCAAAAAGAAAGTAAAAATTCAACTGACAACAAAAGAGTAGATGCAGTATAGTGCAAAGACATGACTGACAACTCACGCTCAGGCAGCAGGTTGCATCAAGAGACTTGCCTGATAACCACCGACTACGTGGCAAGACCATGTCTGGCCGGCCATCCAGGCAAAGAGAGAGATGGCTGGTACCTTTGGAGGAGAAGCCGGTCCTTCCAACCCGCGTTACCGTCCGGATTGCGGTTTGCCTCGGCGGGGAACTTTGGAGGCGTCAGCTAAAGCTGTCGTCTGGATTAACATTAATGGTGTCGGCTGTACTCCGTAGTATCTCGAGATGATTATCGATAAGGCAACAGGCTAGACCAGGACGTGGGTGCGGGACAAAATTCTCAGCCGAGCCTACTGGGTTCGCCACCTGATTGACAGTCCTAGAACACGGCACCATTGCGTGATTGGCCGGTGCTGACTAGCTGGATACATTATCACGCTCTATCGGGCGCTGGCCAGACTATCAAACTAGTATCAAGGTTGGTGAACGGATTAGAGATTGGGAAACGGTGGGGGCCTATAATTGGTGTCCATCGTCTAGCGGTACTTGGGAATAGCTTCTGCACCAGGACTTTCGCCCCGGCCTGTTTGGCAGGCTAGCTGGGGGTTGCGAAGCGGAAGCCACCCGGTTGCGCCATACAGCTACTAGTTTACTGGTGAAAACGTACCGAAAAAGAAAATCTCTGGATGCCAGCTGGGAGACACATACAGGGCTATCTGGACAGCGTACGAGGACGGGAAACTGGGGTGCGTTACAGCGACTCTCAGCCCGCAACAGGTACTGAATCGTCCCACCGAAACACAAGAAGCGAAGTGATGCAATCAAACCGTGGCCTTGGGGCCCAGTTTGGAAGCATTCTCGGTGCCTTCGAGAAGACGCCAAGCTTGTCGGTGCCTCGTGGGTGAGGGAGCTCAGATAGGAAGCTGGTTATGTCCCAGGTGGCAACCGGCATCACGGATGGGCCAGGGTGGTGCATATGAGGCATGTGGCATGCCACTTTAGGCCGGACCTTGGATCCTGTTTGGGGGCTCACCGTGATGACCGCCGACCAGGACAAGATTGGCTGGTTGGAGGCGGGACGGGTCTTTACCCGGCCCGTTGGAAAGAACGTCGTAGATCTCATTCCCTTCATGGTCTTCCTAGAATGGAAAGAGAAAGTTTCAGGAGCCTGCAACCTTGCAGCTTGGAGCAAGGATTCCGGATGAAACCCCTACAGGTCGCAAATGCCGGACTAGGAATATTGAGATTATGGCCCATACCTGCTTGGGGTGCTAGCCCGAGGCGAAGTGACGGCTTCAGCTCTAGTCGGGGCATGCCTCCCAGGTTTAGGACTAGCAAGCCCACGATGTCGGGTGCCATGCCATAACCATGGACGCGGAACTTGGAAGTCTGGATGCCCCACAGATGCCAAAAGATGGTGGCCTTTGGGGTTGCTGCATGGCCGCAGCCATCTGGCGCAGTCTGCATACGTACAAAAGTACGTGTCTGACTGTACCTGTTGTCGTGGAATAGGCAAGAGGGAGGGCGGGACCGACTGACTGAGTGACTCGTCAGCGTCAACTTACGAATATGGGGTCGAAAAGCTTGAATAATACGGCATTGAGAGACGTGCTTGACGGTCTGGGATCACGGTGGCAAAAGCACTCTCATCAATGAGGGTACTGGCAAGGAATCGTTCATGCATGACCCATGCCATGCTAGCTGGTGGGTGATAAGACGTGAAGACAATGGGACGGGGAGGCAGCGTGGGTCCCATTGAATTGGGTGATTTCAAGCTGAGGGCACATAAAGCTTAGCTGCTGGGTGAGATAATCTCAGAGTCCGAGAATTGGCTGGTGTTGGCTGGCTGGTTGGCCAACACCATGGTGGTTGGTTGACAGGCAAGCAGGGACTTGATTAGGGTCCGTGCTGTTGGCGCCTGAAGCGAGGATCTTCAAGGTAGGTAGTAGGCATTGATAGATGCCTGGCCTAGTAGTTCCACCGCCCACCGTACTTGAGGTCCGGCTCTGGGGCCGTATGGTCACTCCATTTCGGTGGTTTCGAATAGCTTCAGAGGGAGGGCACGTTCTGATGCTCGCTTGGCGTTGGTGCTTCTCTCAGCAGGGCTAGAGCGTGGATCAGTGGAGCTTGGCCATGGCTATAGCGCCTGAGACTACGGACGTCGTCCGTCCCAAGAGGCAGAGATGGCTGGCGATGGGGGTTCAGGGTCTAGACAAGGGCCTCTGGAGCGCCTAAGGACGGGACTAGCAGAGCTGGGTACGTAAACCACTGGCCCAAGTGCAGGTGGCTTTGGGCGCGAGATGATGTGACGACGGTCCGGCAGGATGGAATGGAGGCACAATATCGGATGAGAAGCGCGAGATAAGGCCAAGTGGGTGGTGCGTGGGAGAGGGCGAGGGATCCACCTGAGACGTTGAGTCGGTTCCTGCATAAAGTGGCTTTGGGCGGTGGATGTTCCTGCATAAGCCAATGCAGAGCCATGACTAACCATCACATCTGGTGCCATCCTTCTGCTGCGTGCGAGGACATGTGCGAGTGCATATGCAACTGAGTGGTCAGCAAGTGTAACTGTGCCGATGGATGCATATGCCCACCGGCACCCCCACCACCACCCTTCTCCAGTGAGGCTGCCGCTGAGAATGCACCAACGAGAGGAGCAGGACGTCTGACGGGACGGCAAGGTCGCATTGTGAAAGACCTGGATCAATGTGCATCGGACCTACTGGAAGCATCAAAGTGCTGATGCCGGCTTAGTGTACCATGCACTCGAGTAACAATAATACACCGTTTAAGGTCACTACCTACCAATAGAGGCGGCAGCCATGGCGACTTTCTGTTTCCAGAGGAATAATAATAGATCCAGACTGACTGACTCTCACCTCTGCCTGGTTGTGCATCCTGCCGACTGAGCATTAATCCCTGCCCACGTCATAAAGTCGACGGAAATGAAGGTGCATCTCGCTAAATGGATTTTAATGAATTTTGTTACACTACCACCCCACTTGATCTAATGATGATGAGCCCATTGCGCCCCACCGCCTGCGACTGTACATGCTGGTTGTGTTGTGGTTTGTGCAGAGCGAGCGGCGACTTGTGCCCCTTTTGTGCCCTGCCATCCGGGCTTGTGCGAGCTGGAGGCCGACGCTACGCTGCAGTAGCTGCCGGTGCAAGGTGATATGCGTGCGCAAGTCTTGTCGTCTGTTCTTTTTATGCAGCGCTAGGGTTTCAGGTTGGATAAAGTCGGGGCCAATGGGAAGTCAACCAGCGGCATGGTGCGCCCCAGACGAGTCGCGGCCCTCGCTGCCATTGCCAATGGCGGTTGTGGTCTGTGTGTTTTGGGTGCTTTGGCATGGTTCTGGCGATCGCTCTCAATCGAGCCAATACCTGGCCCATGGCTGGACTGTGAATGTGCCAGTAGTTTTCTCAGAGGAGAATATTGGTGTTGTGAACACGCAGCGCCGCTGTGCGTGCTCTTCGTGGGGGAATTGATCCGGACAGACAACATCCGAGCACATCACGTGACTGTGGCTCTGAGCCTGTCTCTCTGGGCGGCCTGAGACTGACTGCAACTGAATGTTCTGATTGAGATAGTAGCAGCGGAGATGCATTTCTCTTTTCCCACACTCGGGCCTACTGTTTCAGACGTCTTTTGAGTTTGCTCAACAGCACATGTACATATGTCATTTAACTTGATAGTGTACTCCGTGCAGGCGAATTTTTGTAGGCAGCTGCTTTAGATCAACGACTATTGGGCTTCGGGTGGGCCCGCAACAAGTGGCTTCCATCTCAGCTCCATTCATCAGACGTGCTACGACTACATGGTTTTTCGCCTCAACGCCGATAGCGATGATGTGACGAGGAAACGCCTTGCCAGCCCATCAAGGATTGCTGGAAAGTCGATGCTACTGTCGGGATCTGACTCGCTAGAATGCACAGTAGACAGAGAACCGGCGCTTCAGTAGTGGCCTTGGAACCATGTCTGGGGAATCATGGATCAATCAAAGATATCCAGCACCCTCCTGGCGGGTCGTGGTTAGCATATGTTTGGACAGAGGGTGAATGGCAGTGCTGATACTAGCCCGCGAGCCCCGGCGAATGGAAGGCGAGCAACGGGGAACGCTTGTGCGTGTAGTTATGTCGGGGGAGCTGGCCAGCGAGCCGCGAATGGCTGCATAAAAGCCCCAGCCAGACGCTCGTATCCATTCGTCATTACCCATGCACAACTGGACCCAATGTACGAGCGAGGGCGCCACCACCGCTCGCAACATAACTACCAACTGATAGTGGGTAGCCAACACCGCCGCGAGGCACTACTGGAGACGGGCTTGCCGCATAAAAACAATCCGCGCGCGTTTTATCCATGCCCTTCTGCTACCTGGATAAGGTAGGTCTAGATGATGCACACCCTTCTGTTGGGTTGGAAGACCTTAGGTAATTCCCCGTATTCTTACATTGGGGTCACTGTCAGCGGATTACATCCTGGCTAAAAATATGCATGGATTAATTACGACCATCCACTTTCATAAAGCCTGCATAAGACTGCACTAGTCTTGAATCCTGAATCAATGATGCCATGTAGCCAAGCACTTGTGCACAAAATGTGGGATAATAGGCCCGTGGTACGCTCGCTGCTCACCTCCAATGTGCCAGTGTGCCCGCCCGTCAACCTCGCGCTGTGAAGGGACCCGTGATTCGCCCATCTGGCCACGGGTATAAGCGCCTCTTGCGCCTAGCTGCGTGATAGTTGCCAGCTCTGGGGTTGCGTGCGGGCACAGGCACTGCCGCCACGGCTCAGCTGATGCTCGAGAGCGAGCAGGCGGGTGACGAGTCAACTGGCGCAACTGCCTCTCTACGCCTCAGTGATCGGCCAGAGCATTATGGATACTATGATGTATGGCTTCAAACATGAAGGAGCGATACGACGAGATAGTCGCGCTTGGAAATGTGACACGACGCAGCTCCAGCGAATGAGTGTGCACAACCTGGTGCATGCCCCGCTGATGGAGGAACAAGACTGTCTTGTGCAAGCTGGTTGTGTGGGCTCCATCCTATCACTGTGCGGGATTATGCATTGCTTGTGACGCTGCCTGCGTTCCACCTCGGCATAAAGGCGCGTAATGAACGCCAATTTGTGCAGGTGCGTGCCATTCGCAGACGATGTGCCATTCATCCTACTGCAACGCGTTGCAATGTGCTCGGTCCTTGGGCAAGGAAAGGGTGTGGGCCCGTCGTGGGAATGCCATCTGCATATGCCATGTACACCATGTATTGTTTTTATGTATCTTATGCTCATGGATGGGCGGCGGCCTCATGCCAGGTACCTCTCCAGCGGTACCTTGGGTACTGATCTGGCATCACCTCGGACAGAGCGGTGCGTGTTGGTGTCCACAACCAACCCAGAATTAGAAGCCCAGGTGGCTGAGCCAGAGTCTTTCCACTACACACACCTCCCAGGGCTCGTGTAAGGAGGAGCAGGAAAAAAAAAAAAGAGGAACAAGGCAACGGACACGCACGATGATGCAAACTGTCGTGTTTTCTGTCCTAGTCTGCCGGCCACGACTCGGAGCGTCACGGCCACAGAAATAAGAAAATAACACAAAGCATACACATACGAGGCGATATCTCTTCTCGCCGCTTCCTGATTTAGCACCCCCGGCTGGAGGCCTTGGTGGACTCTTAGTTATGAGTGGTCTTATTGGTACTAAGAATGACCAGATTCACCACTGGCTTCACTCCACCACTGCCAGTTATCACCGTACACCACACACCCAGGCTGATGGACCCGGCGTGTCCACCAGCCAAACGCATCTGAGTGTTTCCTTTTGCCCCAGACAATCCAACGACAGGGGTGTAAGTTGGAGGGGTGGAGGGGGTCCCTTGAGCCGTCTCGCCCGCCGGATGGATCCCTGGTCTGGCATTAGGGTCCACCCAGGCTTGCCTGTAAAGTGAGACAGGCCTGGAGGCAATGGCGGACGATTTCCCATTGACCAGCTATTGACCTACTTTCCGGTCCGTACTGTGTGTGCGCGTTGATCGCCTGGTTCGTCGTGCTACTTATCCTCCCCAGGACCCCGTCACTCTTCCCTTGGGTTGTTTCTATTCTTCAATTTTATGATCGGCATCCTTGTCGTCTTCTCTACTTCACTGTGTGGTAATTGTCTTTTATACATGCCCTCCCGGTTCTTCCTTCTTTAAGTGGCTTGCACTTCCCGGAACCCTCGAGTTTCCTGCCTCTCTTTTTTACATAGCTACCAGACGACGCGGTCCAGTTGTTGCGCCCTCTCACTTGGAGCAACAGACACTAATCGTCCCTGTACAACACGATCAACCCTGTTGATTCGACCATATATCAGACGGTCTTCGCTCGCCGAATGCCCGCTGTCCATTCTTTCTGCAACGGAGATTCGAAGAACGGGGCTCACAATCTTTTGGCTATCGTGCCTACGGCAAACACGCACGACTGTACATTACATTTAAACTAACGGAAGCACTTCCAATATATAATTAATACCTTCACACACCAAGTTCCAAACTTGCAGAGGTATGTGGCGGTCTGGCGGTTGTCTATGCCGGGTCGGTCAAGCTAACAAGTATATAACAGCAATGGACACCACAATGTTGCCTCAGAACAACAGGCAAAACGCCTACTTTGGTCTCTACCCCCAACCAGCACAGATGGGCGCCTACACCGTCATGCCCCACGGCTTATATCCTGCGCAAGCTCCCACCCTCTACAGCAATGGCCCTGCAGTGATGACGCCCACTGGTTCCCCACGACCTGCTACACAGAAGCCCACAGTTCTGCTGGATACTGACTTCGACAACACCTACTACCCGTCCACACCGCCCTTGTCGACCTCGGGCAGCACTGTTGGCAGCCCCAAGAGCTTCGATGCCCTTCAGACCCCCATGAACCCCATGTTCTCGGGCATCGATGAGTCTGAGATGGTCAAGGAGAAGCTCGAGCCCATCGACCTGACTATTCTGGACTGGTCAAGCTGCGGGTCTCCCCCAATGACACCTGGTGAGTAAAGATTGATAATTGATTTTTCCTTTCCGTACCCGTACCGCTGTTTGGAATGGGCGGTTTGGCGGTGTAATTCCTCGAAGCATGCGGATGTGCGGGTACCTGCCGCTATGTACAATCTCACCCACATTGTGGCGGGGCATTTGTGGCTAATGCGTTTTTGTCTTGGCAGTCTACCTGGAGTCTCACCTTGGCAAAACTCCCCTCAACGTCTCTGCCAGCTCTGTTCCCACTGGTGCCTGCCCCTCGCTGTCGCCCTCACCTGCACCATATGCTCGCTCTGTAACCTCTGAGCTTGACATTGATTTCTGTGACCCTCGCAACCTGACTGTGTCTGCCGCCACTGTCAACTCTACCTTGGCCCCAGAGGCTCCCGTCACCACAACTCTGGCCGACGATCTGATCCGTCGTGAGCAGATCAAGCCTGTCACCTCGCAGCCAGCATTTGATTTCAACCCGGATATTCCTGACGGTCTTCCCTCATTCGAGGAGCTTTCCTACATTGAGTCTGAGGAAGACTTTGTCAACAGCTTGGTTCACTTGAGCGGCCAAGAGACAATCGACACTGGCCGACCTCGCGCCTGCACTGGATCGTCAGTGGTTTCTCTCGGTCACGGCAGCTTCATTGGTGATGATCTCAGCTTTGAAGACGACAACTTCCAGTTCCCTGCTCTGCCCAGCCCACCCTCTTCCGCAAACGTCTCCTTTGACGAGGACAGCCACCGCGACAAGCGTGCCAGGAAGACCAGCAGCAGCGAAACCGTCCCCGCCATTCCCATCATGACTGCTGCTGCCACTGAATCCCAGTCTAGCACTGAGCAGCCATCTACTCCCATCAAGGATGACGACATGGCTTCAGATGAGAGCAACAACTCATCCGGCTCCGATGATGCTGCTCCCGCTCCCGCTCCTGCCAACCGCCGTGGCCGCAAGCAGTCTCTGACTGAGGACCCTTCAAAGACCTTTGTTTGTGATCTCTGCAATAGGCGATTCCGTCGCCAGGAGCATCTTAAGCGTCACTATCGATCTCTGCACACCCAGGAGAAACCCTTTGAGTGCAATGAGTGCGGCAAGAAGTTCTCCAGGAGCGACAACCTCGCGCAGCACGCTCGCACTCACGGGAGCGGTGCCATTGTCATGAACCTTGTCGAGGAGGGCGAGGTCTCTGCCTTCGATGCCGGTGTGATGCCTGCACCTGGGGCCGAAGACTACTCGCAATACGGCAAGGTTCTCTTCCAGATCGCCTCCGAGGTTCCCGGAAGCTCCAGCGATCTCTCCTCCGAGGAGGGCGACAGCAAGAAGAAGCGCAAGCGTGCCGATTAAATCTTTGACAACTTCGCACCCAGGGTCTGAATTCTCCATTTGAGATCTGAAATTTGATACGACGTCAACGACCTTTATTACTTTGACCGGCTCCCGCTTCTGATACGGAGCGTGGTGGTAAGGGTCACATCCTTTGTTTTCTGGGGAGCAATTTGTTGGGTAGAGGAGCATAAAAAAACGATAGTGTTATCAGGGCAGCGATCATGACTTGCATTTACAACTTCGATTCATGTATTTCTGTTTGGCAAGCCCTTCGAGATCTCTCCCGCGAGATCAATCCGAGGAAGATGAGAGTCTTCCAATCATGACCGCAAGGCAGAGTCGTTTGCAAGGGCTAGGAAATGGGACACACCAGGGCGTGCTTTTGGGCGGTTCAGCATCATCATTTTTATTAACGACTGAAAAGACGAACTTTTGGAATTGGCACCCGAGACAATCCGGCAGGCCACAGCAAAGTATATGGAACTTGGAATTTTTTGGTATTTGTTTTCTTTTTCTTTACTTTCGTTTTTAATGCCATCGGATCTGGAGTTGTTGATTCAACACTCTTCCTGGCAACACGGAGCTTGTTATTTTCGGAGGGTCGATCCAGCTTCGACCTCCAGTTCTTGTGTTTTCTCTTCTTCTTTTACAGTCTACCCATCGTCGAGGTCTTGGGAATGCCGATAATGGTTCCCGGCTGTGCCGGTCACAGCTGGGAACAGGAAACCCACTTGACCCTACTTCGATGTAAATTGCTACAGAATAAAGACTCTATTGCTTCCAATATTGATTCCTACCTGACTCGTGTGACCCAATACTCGTGTGAATCCGAATAAACAATTGACATACACCGGACGGAGTCCTCCCACTGCCAAGCACTCACTAGTCATGATGTGCACCTTGCCCCGAACCTTTTGGCAAGTTCGGATCTAGTAAATGAACTGTTTATCGCTTCGCCGCCCGAACTACTACGATTCATGTTCCCAGGACGGTGTGGCGGGTTGGTCCCATCTTGGGTAGATGGCCCTGTTGCTTCGAGCTCAGCTCGTCTGGAGGCCCCGGCAGGCCCCATCCCCCATCAGCCGAGATTGTGTGATTTAAGCCATCGCTCGTCGCTTCACTAACAAGGATGCAGGGCTTCTTGGGACGAGCAAAGCTGGAGCGCGGGAGGGAAGAGCGGTGGTTGATCCAGGCAGGGATTAGGGGTTCTGGCCTCAACTTGGCTTTTGGGAATTCCCGTCCGACGGACCGGGGATGGCAAGGCACCCATGTCCCTGCTTGCTTGCCCATCTTTCTCCTTCTCCCCTACCCTTGCTGGACCAGGATGCTGGGAAGAGACGCTTGGGCCACGATGCCATGGGAGGGGGGGGTTGGCCGTGGCCCAATTTCCTGCGTTTAGAGGACTGACCGCGTAAAGCCTCCGGGGCGCATTGATTGGGTGATGATGGCGAAGGTTGGGAGAATTTTTCTTCGTTCCTGGCTCGGCCTCTCTGGGAATACGGTGAGGTGAGGTAGCCTTCTGGTCTCCCGCCTCTTTCCTCATCTCGCTTTTCTGCCTTTTTGTTTTCGCAGAAGAAATCATGGGCGGGAGCATGGCTTTCTACGGTACGGACCGCCCGTGCTCCAAGTCTGATGACTAGAAAGCACGGGGCGTTTTATAGTTGCAAATCATTGTACATAGTGGTCTCCCTCAGTTGACCGGCTCTTCCTTGTAATACCTTGGAGAGAGAGGCGGAGTGCGCTGGAGGTGAACGGTGTAGAGCAGCATTGTGCAGGCAGGATCACCAAGGTTGGCGCTGGCTGCATATGCAGAACGCCAAATGCGCATCTTCTCTCCCGCCAGGCTGGGCTCCCCTTGCTATCGTTTCTTGGTTTTCACCGCCTAGTCGGAGGTATCGAAGATCAACCAATCTCCATATCCAAGCTGCCACGCCCACCCCCCTCCCCTACCTGGTATTACCGGGTGCCAAAGGAAATAAAACGACCCGCCTGCGCGGACGGACCTGGAATTGGTTTGGATGTCAGGTCGGCCACGTTCTTGGACCCTAGGTCTCGGTCGCTTCGCAGGCTAGTCTCACCTTGACAGCTGCCGTATCATGTGTCCTGATCTTTTTCTCCGAAGGAGCCCTTTCAGTGGCGAAGGGATTGAGTCCGTTACGAAACAGCTTTTCCCAAAAAGTCGATCTTATCAGACCATCTTGAAGGATCTGGACCCTGGCGGGCGTGAATTGGAGGGGAGTTTGTCGTTGAATACGCGGACGCAATAATAGAATGTTCCATGTCTTATATAGGAGCAGGGCTCTTCGACCCCAGAGGAATGGTTCCAAAGCGGAAAGTGACACATAGGAGCACATCGTCGGGGCTGGCCTGTCAAGACGCAAGAGTGAGCTCGTGGCAGGCATTTTCCCGGCTCCCGGCTTTATTGACGGGGGATGAGAATAGAACCGTGTAGGCCTCTGTTCAATGCCATGAATCTGCCCAGGCTGTTGTGGTTGGTTCCCTCATCTTTGCACACTGTATGGACGTCCCACATGAAACAAATGTCACAGGTTTCGGGCGGGGGCAATTCATTACCTTGATGGAGCCGACATGATGGGATGTTCGTAGCCGATATCATGTGAATCTTACTCGTATTCTGATATTGACGGGCAGCTCGGTAAGACCGGTGACACTCTTGGATGAATTGCCTGGGCTCGGTGGGCGGGTGGGTAGTTGTTCAGATTGTGCCATTGGGAGTATTGTGTTTCCTTTCATTATGGATATATGTGAAAGAAAGCACAACTGGCACCATTTCTCGTGATGTCTACTGCATGCATCAAGCACAATAGATGTAAATGACATTCTGAGGTTGCTTCTCTCTGTGGAGCATCTGGGTCTTGATCATGCAACTTTCCGCAACACTCGAGGTCACATGACCTTGAAACCCACCAAATGGGATTCACATCAATATCACCAATATCCGCATGCATGGCATAGGCAGAATCCAAAGATAGGAGCGCATGCGAAACAGAAACTCGTCATGTCGTCTGATCGCCTCAATGTCATCGCTCTGATATCCGGCGGCAAGGACAGCTTCTTCAGCCTGCTCCACTGCCTGCAGAATGGCCATCGGATCGTGGCCCTCGCCAACTTGTTCCCTGAGACTGCCGATGGCTCCTCCCAAGGATTCCAAGCCATCGATCCTGCCGGTTCTCTTGGATCCTCGGCACAGGCGGGAGGAGAGGACGTGTCTGGGGATCTCAATAGCTTCATGTATCAGACAGTTGGTCACGAAATCATTCCTTTATATGCATCTGCGACCGGACTGCCCTTGTATCGCCAGCCCATAACGGGCGGCTTGGTGCGTCATGAGCGCGACTATGACTGCGGCCCGGCCGAGACCGCCTCGGACGAGACCGAATCCATGGTTCCTCTGCTCAAGGGCGTGATGCAGCGCCATCCCGAAGCCAATGCCCTGTGCGCAGGCGCTATCTTGTCCACGTACCAGCGGACAAGAGTTGAGTCGGTTGCTCTGCGGCTCGGCCTCACTCCTTTGGCGTACCTGTGGAAGTACCCGATCCTGCCTTTCCCGGGCCAGGCGGATGACGATGCCCTCCTCTTAAAACACATGGCGAAATCTGGGCTTGAAGCCCGCATTATCAAGGTGGCCAGTGCTGGGCTGGATGAAGACAACCTTTGGCACCGGGTGACGAGTAACGAGGGCGCGGAGCAGGTTAAGCGAGCCCTACGCAAGTTCGGTGCTGCCGGAGGCGCGGTTCTGGGTGAGGGTGGTGAGTTCGAGACGATTGTAGTGGATGGCCCCTCGGCGCTCTTCAAAAAGAGAATTGTCGTCCCCGAAACGTCTAAGAAAGTAGTTCGCGAGGGTGGCGGCTCTACATGGCTCCTACTACGAGGGGCTGGCTTGGAAGACAAGCCAGAAGACCCGAGTGAGGTGACGGTATCAAAACCGGACTTGTTCGAGGCCAAGTTCCAGGCTGTGCTCGCTGACATCTCGGACTCATCGAAGCTGGAGGCCTGGGCACAGGAAGACCGTCCATCTCAACATAAATCCTCGTCCCTTCTTGGAAATGCTCCCAAGTTGCCGAGCGAAGAAACCCAACTTCTCCACTGGCACGTGGTGGGGAGTCAGCATGGAGCAGATGGTGATCTTTCTATAGATGCTGAAACCGCTCAGGTCATTGATGTGATCCGTCAACGACTTGTTCTCCACAACCTGGATGCAGGCCAGATTTCAAACACTATCGTTGTCATCCGCCGTATGTCCGACTTCCCCAGGGTCAATGCTGTGTACGCGAAACTCTTCACGAAACCAAACCCACCAGCCCGTGTCACCATCTCTTGCGGTGATCTGCTCCCCGATGGCTCGAATATTGCGGTTTATCTATCCGTTAGCTCCAGCCAGCCTGAGCTGGCAGACCGTCAAGGACTCCACGTTCAGTCACGGTCGTACTGGGCGCCCGCCAATATTGGACCTTACAGTCAAGCCGTATGTATTCGTGTCACCGCCCAAGGTGAATCCACCAGTTTGAGGACATGGTCTGTTGCTGGCCAGATTCCCCTCATTCCTAGTTCTATGGTACTTCCAACCGACGGCCCTCTCTCCCAGATCCAAGTTGCTTTATCGTTACAGCACCTATGGAGGATAGCTTTGGACTTGAAGATACAATTCTGGACGAGTGCTGTCGCCTTCTTCTGTGCTCAGCAGGACTCCTCAAACAGCAAGATGATGACAAACTCGAAACTGGCTGGGCTGGCTTGGAAGGTGGCTCATGGATCTCCCGACGACGACGAGGAGACTGAATCCGGAGGACCAGATCCATGGGATCTCAAATACAACCCGCAGTTTATGTCTCTTGGTGGAGAGCAATCACAGAATGCCAGGCCGCACCTACCCGACTGGGAGGTTCTGACACTGCGTCAACAAAACGAGCCAGAGGCCAGTATCCCCCCCTGTTTCGCGGTCGAGGTCGAGGAACTGCCTAGGCAGTCTCAGGTGGAATGGCATGCACACATCGGCCTTGCTCAAGTTGCAGAGGGCACGGTTGAAACGATAAGTCTCGGAAAATCTGAGATATCTACGCCGTGGAGGACGTGGCATACGGTTGTGAAGACATCCGGGTCTGCCTTTCTCCACACCGTTGTGGCTCGGGATCTCCCAGCTTCGGGCGAGTTGCTGGCGTACGCTTCTTTCGAACAGGAACTCGCTTCGGTTTATGAAGAGGCACTTGGACGTCTGCGTATAGACAAGTCATCTGGGACTTTGGAAACGCCGTACCTTACATATATGGATGTTGGGGCCATTGAGGCTCCATGGAACGGTGCATCCAACTCTCTGCAGTATCCTCTTATACCCTGCCGCACTGTTTGGTCCTCTAAGGGTAGCCGCCTAGGAGCGATATCCCTTTATCGAACAGTGATATCAACATAATCTACCAAATAGTATTGATTACCGACATGCTCTGTTCGAGAATTCACAGCCAGGATTCAGCTGCTTGCATAGTGAGCGGGCCTTCGAATATGCGCTTGATGCGCCTAAGGCAGCCTAAAACCCGGGTGTTTGTCCCATGAAGGCACGAAGACTTGAAGATGGGTTAATCATCTGTCACTACTTACCAGATGGGTGTACATCCATTGATCCTGTTCGGGAAGGAGGGCAAAACCGGAATGGCCAGAAGAAATTCCTAGCTGCTCCGAAAGGTACGGCCGTCGGTTGACAGCCTGGATTCTGAAACCATAGGCCTTGCTTCAGACTGATGCACCGGCATTCCTTGTTGAGAGTAACACTCGCGCAAGTGCTATTTCCTTGGAAGGGAGGCATGTTGCGTGTCTGGTTACGGCATGTGTCTTCTGACTGGGGATTTTAATGGCACATACCCATTTGAAGGTGCTGACGGAGCATATTCATCCTCGTGACCACTCCTTTGCATCTCGCTCTAGGAATAGCCATTCTGAGGCGTGGTGATAAATCTGCAGGCGGGCTGGCACTGGAATGTCAAGCACAAGTATCAAGCAGACGGTTGGCGGGTGTGCTCTGTGCAGAATGACGGGCTCAATCCAACCATTGTGATTAATTAAGTGTATTTTTCAAAGCCCCTTGAAGTGCACCGAAGTTGAATACACTGCGAGCCGAGTCGCCCTCCCCCGGATTATACCCATTAGATAGTGTAAGCATCACCTCCAGCGTACAGACACGAGCCACCAACCAAAGTGCTTGGGTGCCTCTTCGGCGCAAGGGCGAATTATAAGCATGTATTCAGACCCGCCTTCCCATTCCGGCAACAATTAATCCCCGGATCTTCGTTGCAGGACAACTTGATTATAGTGCCTTGTGTAGCGCCCTGTAGCACGCTCCGACCGTCACAACCTTTTGGAGTTGGACCGAAGGTTGCAAGAAAGTCTCGGCGGTATTTGTTCCCGTTACTCGACGAGCTGCTACAGCAATGTGTTCCTGGATCTCTGTGCCAGCACCTGACCCGGCCCCGATCATGGGAATCATGGGAAGGGATCACAGATGCCAGATGGTGGGGTGCCGTCGCGGTGTGGCCCAATACGGTGATGAGGCTGAGCTACGTAATAAATTGGAGCCGAAACAGTACCGTGTGCTTGCCGCTCATGTGAGCTCGGACCAGTTGTTCTTGTGAACAGTTTTGCCAACCATGCTCATCAATTGATTCGGCAGTGCCAAGAGGCGGAACCTAGGTAATGATTTACTGCAGCCATCCGGTGGCTCTGCATGTCTAATTGCCTTACATGTAGGTACGATTACACCGACTCCTCTACTCCCACCAACTCCGCTCGCCCTATCGCGCCCTCTCTGGTTGACGCCTTTCTCCCTGGCTATGGCGTGATGAGAGATGCTTGTTTCACCCACGACAGAATTAAGAGACGAGCAAGGGTGAAACCCCAGTTATGGCCAGCCTGAATCGTCAGAAGGTCTGTAAGGTCAAGCAATCCTTCACTGCCGCTTCCACCGAGAACATATTGCACACCCCCGTCGGCATGAGCTCCAACACTGACCCATCCGATGGTCCACAGTCTTCGGGCCTCCGCGCCGCCACGACTCGGACGCCGCCACGCCAACGGCAACGGCGAGGGTCTACCAGCGAGCGGATCGAGGAGATTCTCGAGGTGAGCGCCCCCTCCCCATTGGACCCCACGCTGCCTGGCCGATGGCATTGACCCTCCGGATAGAATGCCCGCGAGCGAGCCGATAGCATAGTTGCCGAGTCAATGGCCTCGAGTGCCCACCTCGATTCTCCGCGAAACAACCGCAGCCACTCACCTCAGCAGCTGGATGACGATGGTGTTGACGCCGACGAGACGACCGCTTTCCTCTCGGAGCGATTGAGGGGCAGCATCTACAGTACAACTCTGCAGGGTCCCAGTGATGGGGGTCCACGCAAAAGAGGCTCTGCCCTGGCCGCGTCGCAGTCCACGCTGCTGGGCGAGAGCAACCACCCTCTGAGAGATTCGAGCGATGATTCGGATGGGGGTGGATCCTCAGATACAGATGGTAACTGGTGGCAGACTCTTACCGCCCCCTTCCGCTCAATTGAGCTAGAGAACAAGGGGAGTGTGGCTCGTGATCATCTGGCACTGGGTGCGTAGTATTTACATTCTGTCTTACCTTACCATCCATCCCCGCCGTTTTTGGGCGAGGATCATAGCACGTCAGCTAACCAGCGCGATATTCGCGGGGCCCGTATAGAACGCACATTTCTCGCATGGCTTCGAACCTCGTTGGCTTTCGCATCCATTGGCATCGCTATTACACAGCTATTTCGCCTCCAGACGTCCCTCCCTGACTCCGGGAGTGTGATCAACCAGGATACCCTACGGCATATCGGCAGACCCCTGGGCGCCGCCTTCCTAGTCATCAGCATTATCATACTTCTGCTCGGTTATAGACGGTACACCCAGGGGCAGAAGTGGATTATATTGGGCAAGTTCCCGGCCAGCAGAGGCACCATCATCGTCGTGTCCCTCGTGGCACTAGCTATCATGATATTATCATTGGTTGTGGTGATTGTGATTCACCCTTCAGAAGATTGAACGAGCAGGATGGCTTCCATTTTCGGGTGAGGTAGGTATTATGTCGGTGTTTCTTACTATGGCGTGGTTTTTCAGCCAACTGGAGTCTAATCTCGGGAGACCATCTGGTTATATACATGTTTTTTCTGCAAGCACGATAAATTAGAGATCTAGGAGCACTTAATTTGCATGGCTACCGCTGCTGGTTTGATTTGACTTGGCTAGGTTTACAATACAAATCACATGTGTGTATTTCAGTTCAATGTTGCAATATGATGACAGCCGTCTGTTGTAAATAGCTCCACTCAAATGTACCTGCGGCCACCTTACTTGCTTGTTAGTGACGTACCTTCAGGCTCAACCCATTTGTAGGCGGGGTTGCGGTACCTCAGTATCTGTTCCACCTCCATCACATCTCATCAGGCTGCCATATGGTTTTGCCAAAGACTCTATGTTACACAAGATACCCCACCAACTCGATTGGTGATACTTCTCATTTGACTTTCTTTTTTTTTTTTCACGTCTCGTCTGACCCACGGTCATTCAACCCGCAATCATGGCCCGGGGAGAGCCTGTGGATGTCTCCTCGTTCGCAGCGACCCAACTTGCGCTGCTTGACCAGGAGCTGCAGATTGAGATTCAAGAAACTGGCACGCTGGTCTCTAGCCATACGCCCACGGCTCTGCAGCGGGCGGGCCTGGCCATCACCAATCTCACAGTGTCTTCGCAGCGAACCGGCCTCGGAGGCAGGACGGTGCTCGATCTCGGCCCGGATGCGGCGACATCTACCACTGGCGACCTGCCCGAGCATGGCATCCGGACGGGCGACATTGTCCTCGTGGCGGAGCAGCCAGCAGGCAGTGCCAAGAAGCGAGAGATCAAGGATCTCGAGAGCAAGGGGGCCAGAGGTGTTGTCATCAGGGTCCAGAAGGGAATAGTTGCCCTTGCTCTGGACGAGGGCAAGGATGAGGTTGTGTTCAATGGTCGAGTGTGGATTGTTAAGCTGGCAGATGAGGTGACATATAGAAGGTGAGCCATGCCACGATCTGATTTCTCCTCCTATGCTGGGAGGCATTATTTGATCGCCTTTTCGAACAATGACTAGAATGAAGCAGACTATGGAGAAATTGCAAAACATGACCGAGCCGGAATACTCGAGTTTTGTTAGGGTGCTTTTCGGCCTGTCTACTCCCTCGCCCGTCCCTAAAGACTATTCTAGCGATGGCGATCTCGGGAAGATCGAATGGATCAACCCACAGCTGAATGATTCCCAAAAAGTGGCCATTCAGTTCGCGCTGGCCTCTCGCGAGGTGGCGCTGATCCACGGACCTCCAGGGGTGAGCATTCGTACACCTCTATATACCAGAAGGAGACAAAGGCATCGACTAACCGATGAGCTTAGACTGGGAAAACTCATACTCTGATCGAGCTGATTCTACAAATGGTCAAGCGAGGGCAGAGGATTCTGGTCTGTGGGCCGTCCAACATCTCCGTTGACAACATCGTTGAGCGCCTGTCCCCACACAAGGTCCCTATCCTTCGACTTGGTCATCCTGCCCGCCTCCTCCCGTCGGTTCTCAACCACTCTATGGATGTCCTTACCCAGACCTCCGAGGCCGGGGCTATTGTGAAGGACGTGAGGGCAGAGATGGACGCTAAGCAGGCATCCATAAAAAAGACCAAGAGCGGGCGGGAGCGAAGAGCCATCTACGGTGAGCTGAAAGAGCTGCGGAAGGAGTTCCGCGAGAGGGAGAGGAAGTGTGCCACTACCCTCGTCGGCGGGAGCAAAGTTGTCCTCGCCACCCTCCACGGCGCCGGGGGCTCCCAGCTGCGGAACCAAGAGTTCGACGTGGTGATCATCGACGAGGCCAGCCAGGCTCTGGAGGCGCAGTGCTGGGTTCCGTTGCTCTCTGCCAAGAAGGTTGTGTGCGCCGGCGACCATTTGCAGTTACCACCTACGATCAAGTCGATCAATTCGAAGGACAAGTCGGGAGGAAAAGATGCGGCAAAGCCGATCCGGGGCATGACCCTCGAGACGACCCTCTTCGATAGACTGCTCAAACTGCACGGTCCTTCCATAAAGCGTATGCTGACGACGCAGTACCGAATGCATGAGAAAATTATGCGTTTTGCGTCTGACGAGCTATACGAGTCGAAACTTGTGGCTGCGGACGCTGTCAAGGATCGCCTTCTGAGCGGCCTCGAGTACGATGTGGAGGAGGGAGAAAACACTACAGAGCCTCTTATATTCATTGACACACAGGGAGGAGACTTCCCGGAACGGACTGAAGAGGACAGTAAGGATGGCCCGAAGAAAGGTAGGGGAAGTTTGCTTGGGGATAGTAGAAGCAATGAGATGGAGGCTGCTCTGGTCCGGCAACACGTCAAGGAACTGGTCGAAGCTGGCGTCAAAGCGGAGGATATTGCAATCGTTACCCCATATAATGCCCAGGTATGTTTATTCAGCTCCTTCACATGTACAACAACGAAGATCGACAATTGTACTAATCCCCCACGCTCTCGATAGCTGGCTGTATTGGCTCCCCTCAAAGAGAAATTCCCTGGCATCGAACTCGGCAGTGTCGACGGTTTCCAAGGCCGTGAGAAAGAAGCAGTAATTGTTACCCTCGTCAGGAGTAACACAGAGGGAGAGGTGGGCTTCCTGTCGGAGAAGCGGCGGCTCAACGGTAAGTTAAATAATATGAAGTTCCTGGTGAAGGGCGATCTATCGGTGTCGCTTGGACGACAGATCACTAACGGAATATGTGTGAAACAGTGGCAATGACCCGCCCCAAGCGATCTCTGACAGTCATTGGGGACTCGGACACAATCAAGAGGTAAGCATCTTACTTGTTGTAGTCTCGCGTGTTGCTCCTATATTGACGTTTAATCGAAAGGGGAGGAAATTTTTTGAAACGGTGGATGGAGTTCTTAGAAGAAAATGCAGACCTCAGATACCCTGATGCTTCGGCCCTTTCCTTGGAGGCTTGATATGGCGTATACTATAGGTAGCTCTCCAAGGAGGTGGCAAATCTGATATGAAGTCTCCTAATGGAGGGCATAGGGATGATTCAAATCCACACAGCTTCAACATGTGATCATTTAGCGGACACGAGACTACTTCAACATTGGCATAGACCACTGCCATCTACCTTGAGCCTACCCTAAGTCATCAAGGAGGAGAAGGCAATGGCGGGGTTCTAGACCTACTAAGTCTGCGTCACCCATGGATCCGTGACGGTTATTTTACTTTCGGGTGTATACAGGAGCAAGGTGAGGTCCTGGATAAAGACGGAAGGGGCCAAGTGTGACGGAATTGTGGTGGATACAGAATCCCGATATTACGGGGCTTGCACCGGATCTCCGGGATCTACGGCCGATTTGTGGCTGGCTTATGGCTTTCCGTGGCATTCTGGCAATGGTGTACGACTCTACGACTCAAAGAGCACCTGACCAGATTGTGAATAGTTGGAAATTTGGATAGATACTTTCATAGGTGCCTAGATATCCATGGTCAAGTCAGATGGGCCCTCTGCAGCTGTGTTTGCGCAGGCCACCCGCCGCACATACGTCGAGTTGAGGGATAGAACTCGAGGTTGCCTCGCCTGCACAGCTTCTGCAGCTGAATGCATAAAACGCGCCACATGGCGAGAAAATAACGCCTTTTGCCCAGATACGCACCCCGAAATATCTCTGCCATGTGGATGGGTCGATTAGGCATGAATCTTGACTCCATCCTGCATATTGAGATTGAATACGACCTCGATGCATGGCTGTCCATCCGAATTGACGAATCAACGTCCGTGATGTTTATGGATGCAAAAATATGTCTGCAGCGGTTTTGGCAGCTCAATTACATTCCTCAATATCAACGTGGGCACGTGGCTTGCTGCAGGGGCAATATCGGCAGTTGCATCCTCGTCTCAAATGCAAAGATGGACTGACATTATTGAATACGAACGCGCACTAACCTATGTTTGTTGAGTGTGAACCATCTCTCTTTGCCCGCTGCAGACAGGAGTGGAATCACAATTATACAGGGAAACCCTCCTCTCAAGGACACAGAACCCCACGGCATCTAGAACTTTTTGCATCACGACTGGCTCACTTTGAACTAGACAAGCCACTGCTGTGACAGACTAGACTTGGTCTTACTAGTGGCCCAAACTCTGAGATTCGTGATGTTGTGTGCATTTAACGTCTCTTCAGGCTCTAGGGTTTCCCCCTCCCGAATGGTCTGTACTTCTTCTCTTACATCCAGAAACTCATTTTCCAATTCAATGAATATCATGTAGTCGCCAAGAAAATGGTCTCCAACAAATTCTCGGGCCTCATCAGCCTTTAAACCGTCCTAATAATTGATTCAACCTTGGCAAATTGTACCCACCAAGCCGAGGAAATTCAGAAACTAAACACAACACTGATGACCGTGTACAACCGCGAGCGCTTGGATTCTTATAGAGCTTTGCGGGGAGAGAGATTTAGCTCTATGAGGCTCTCTCGAAAACTATCTGGGCCTGAGGTATTGAAGTAACATTCCGAAGACATATACGTACGGCCAATTTGTCCGTCCGACCAAAGTTTCAAGGAACAGTGCCTGGTAAACACCAACGACCCTCACAACACCGGATCCTTCAATTCATAATCACTACATCTGACTGCGGCGACTGAGTTGCGAACAAGTGGTAAAAGACCGACCTCTTCTGGGCTTTATAGGGTGTAGGTGGAGCATATTTCCCCCATGACTGTTGGTTCGGTAAGCATTTCGTCTACTGAAGGAAGTTTTTGGGGACTGGATGTATCTGCTCCTCGATATTGCTGTCGATTTGGCCAAAGGTGGTTGGGGCGGTCGCGTGTACCTCAACTCCTTTATCCATGCCATCCCCCTGCTGTCCATGACCAAGGAGGCCAGAAAGTCCCTTGACAAAATTAGTAGATTTTGCTGAAACCCATGGAGGACAGTATAATGTCTCAGTCGGTCTCACACGTAGGACGAGTCAACTGCTAGATAGTGAGCCAGCAGAAGCGATGAGATCTCGAAGGAAGTCCTTGAGCCCGCTGTTTAGACCAGGTTCCATTATCACATTAGTAGGGGCCAGACAGGCATTGATTATATTGAATACTCGAAGCAGCAGCTGCGCCGCTGGAGACATTCTTTTTTTTTTAAAAAAAAATCATCCTGGATCAGGACGCAGAGGCCAACGCCACCGCCATTCACCCTAGCCGATGGTTCACTCCAAGTGCTTGGCCAGCCGTCTTAATAGAATTGGGACAGTACTTTAGACGAGACTCCAGCCGTTGGTTAGAACATGCGAGAGCACCAAGCACTAGGATATCACCCCTCCCGACTTGGCATACATGAACGAGGCGAATTCTTTTACTCCTAACTCGGAGCAAGTCTTATATGACGAAAACTTCGGTGCTCTGCTAAATGTCAAACAAAGGCATGACCTAGCAACCTCCTGAAATGCCAGGGGCCCGATCGGTTGGACAAAGGAGGATGCGGAATGTTCGTTCATGTTATAGTGCCTTGACTAGCCTCGTAGCTGCCTGACCGAGTTGTGTTTTTCTGTGTATCATGGAGTTACTTCTTTCTTCTCGAATCTATATATGAACAAATTTCGGGTTGCCGAAGAGTGGTGCGGTGTCTCGTATCATGGCGTGCCCGCGGCACATTAATGTGTACTATGAAACGTGCCAAAAATATCTGTTGTAGTCATGGCTGGGTTGGGGTTTAGATCGCGCTTCCCGAAAGCGATGTGGTTCTGAAACCGAGTCTTACTCTGGGGAAATAATACTGTGCTTTTCGCAGGAGTTGAAATTGGGTTCGTGTTGGATCTCCTTTCCGCGAAGGGTTCCATGCCCTCCCCCGAGCAATCAGACAATTGATCGGCGAGTGTCGCTCTTTGTTGGTAGTATTTTTCTCAACAACTTCAAAACCTCGTATTGAACATCAGCCAGCATTTGCAGTTTTTTAAAGATTCTAATAGGTGGCACTTTCGTTTGTGCGAGCCAATACCGTCTACACACAACTGACGCAGCTGGGATGGCCTGTGCTTTGGATGGACAGCCTCCTAGGGAGCCCCTGCAGCGGTTCTCTGGACTGAAATATCTATCCCCTGTCGGCTTGAATTGGAAATGTCTGACGTGGACTGCTAGGTGCTCAGGCCTCTGTTGGTCAAATGGTTCCTGAGCCTAAGGTGATTGTGGATCTACTGCTTCGCATGCCCTGTGTCGCTCTTTGCGAGCGATGGCAATGGGAGGCAGGCTGGTCACGCCGATGCTGGGGAGCGCTATTGGAAGCAGGTATCAACATGCGTCGTAGTAGGATGGGCGGGCAGCTATCCCAGGTCAAGAAAGTGGTAGGGTGACATTCGCGTCGGTGTAGGTCGGTTAGCTAGTTGGGTACCGTAGGAATGGAGGTATTGATGCCATCCTCGGACTCACCTTCTATGCCCGAAAGCAGGGTAGGGAAGGGAGCGAGCTGGCATTTCTCAAGGCTTCTAGATTCTCTTGGTATATCAGGCGCGGCAAACTATACCAACCTAACTGTCAAGGATGGGGTCCCCCTACAACGCACTTTGGAGTGCTTCTAGCTTTTACTCAACTGCTTCTTTTCCTTTCCTTTGTTACCGGCGACTATCGAAATCGCTCATTTTTCTGATAATCCCCTGTCTCGAAATGCCATTGGCAAGAACCCCACAGTACCGGATGACGCGAGAAACACTGGCTGTCGCAGGTGTGCTATGTATTGACTTTTTGGTGCCCATCCATGCAATGCATCGCAGGAGGATCAAGTCAGGAGTCTAGACAGGGTACGAGTCATTAGGTGCAGTAGGTTGTCGGGTTGCATAGAATGCCTAGTATCGTGGCATCACCCAAGGTCTGTTCTCTCCTGAGAGCATGTCATGCGCATACATCAGACTCATGCAACTGCCTTATCGGTGCCTGGATCAGAGGATACACAAAGCTTCGAATTCTCCGCAGCCAGGATGTTTTTTGGAGGCCCAATGATGCGAGGGATGAGGCGCATACATCGGCGCAGACCGACAGACCAACGCCAACCTGAATTCGAGACTGGGTGGCATGGTGCTAATTCGTGCTCTCGCTTGGCTATCATTGATATCGCCATCTAGATTCCAAATCCTCTACTTGCGCCTTCCCTCACCCACCCGTCACAGTTCGTATGCCATGTGTGGACTCGGAGGCTTGAAATGCGCTGTGTCACCCGGCTCTATTTGTCTTAGTAGGATGAAAATTGGGGATAGGAACTAGCCAGCTCTCCCGAAACGGTCGCCCGGCCGAAAGAACAAACCTCCAACGGTTTGCGATCCCTGTTGGGAGTTCCATGGTGAATGGAGACCCTCCTGGCAAGCGACAAACAGATATCCATCCATTCACCATTAACCGAGGACATGGCATGGCTCTTTCCCGGACTCGAGGCAGACTCGGCCCTGCATACCAGTAGGTATGGAAGTAAGCTCGCCCGTGCTCCCAAAAGTCGGTAGGCCGGCAGGGAGCTGGCACCTATTTTTAAGACGGGGGTTCCGCAACTGGTCCAGAGATCGGTCTGGCGCGCGACGGCCATTCGCCCACGTCTCAGGGTCGAGGACAGGGGGGGATGCATTGATGCATGACTGGACGACGGGGCCTTTGGCCAAGTGCCAACCCCCTCGGGCATTCCATTGCCTTTGATCGTGCTCCAATCGTCTTACCGCACCTCGCTGCAGCATGGGTGATTCTAGCCGCCTACTGGCTTGCGGGCCAGGCAGGTGGCAGCGCGATGAAACTGGGCTGCGTCTTGCTGCCCACCACCATGGCGAGTATCAGGTACAGGTCTGGTCTGGACAGCCCAATCCCGTGCCCTTGCTGGTGCTCGAAGCGGGCAGGACATGGCACAAGACCGTCTTATGCAGGTAGTTGGACCTCTGCTCGCGCTCCATGTGTGCCTGGGCGCTGGGGATGCACCGGGGAACGGGGGCCCTGATAGCTTCCATCTTATCTGACACCCAGACTCATTGGCACCTGCTCTTCCTGGCAGGCTTGAGAGCCCGTGGCAGGAGCGAGCCCGTCGGTCTTGCTCGTCTCTTTCGTCTCAGCCTTGCCGGTGGTCCATGCTGCCTGTGGCCTATGCTCCTTCCCCTCTCCAGAACCCAGACCCGGTCCCAGACCCCAGTCAATCCCGGACGCTCCTTCCTGGCCGTGACATCGTCATCGTCCCTCCCGTCTTCTGCTGCTGCTGCTTCCTCTTCTCTCCCTCCTCTGCCCCCCACGATCTCGCTCTTCTATTCTGCTCTTCCGCAAGCCGTTGCTTCTTCTCCACGAGGGACGTGGGACTTGGAAGAGAGAGCATCCGTCCATCTCACTGCCCGCCGCGAGCTCCTTGGCGTGAGCACATGCATCATTTCCTGCCTGCCGCTCAGGTGATGTCCCACCCTCTCGTTGGATGATTCAGATTTCGACCACCACCATTTCCTTGCCAATACTTTATACGCATATGGCAACTGGGCAAAAAGAAAAAAAAAAGCACTAACCGTCCTGATCCGATCTTTTCATGCAATTGCAGCCTTCTGCAACCTCATATTCATCGTCTGACAAAATTAATGTCTGGCTGCCGCTCGTTCTGGAAATTAGACGATTATCACTCCTAGTATACAGCCCTTCGACATGCGCAGGAGCTAGCCTTCTCTTCTCTTTCTTCTTAACTACGATCCTTTCTCTCGCCTCTCTTTCGTCCGTCCTTGATTCAACTTTCAAACTCCCATCGTGATACCCAATCTCCTTCACCTTCCCATTTCTCTTTCCTAGGCCCGATACAACACCGAGGCCTATAGTCCTTACAATGAGGAAGCCATGGAAGACATCCCCGACGTCCAATCGCCCTGGTGAGGGGCCTAGAAGTCCCCTTCGCCTCAAAACCGATTCGAAAACGATCCGTGGTCGAATTTCAGGCCCGATACCAATTCCTACCCCTACCGATAGCGCATTAGCAACTCGCCAGTCAATCCTGCCCATGGAAACTCCTATTATAAGCCCCATGGCCTTCAATTCCCAGACCTTCGAAGCCGATACTCGGAATGCCCCAGATCCTCCAACCTCCAGCAACTTGAACACTGCACAAACATTTTCACGCGGAGTGTCGCACACAAGGTCTCGATCCAGCCCTATAGCCCCCGCCCGCAGACACATCCCAGAGCGGAAAGACCCTCAGCCCAGCAACAACCGGAACTCAACTTTTAGCACAGACACTGGGGACAGCAAGGGAAGACCTCAACGAAAGAAGTCGACTTTACGCGGGGCTCTTGGCAAGATTTTTAGCCGCCGCAAGAAATCCTCAAGTCAAACAAGTCTACGTTTGGATAGAAATAGCACCAGACCTGTGCAGGGTAGACTCACCAGCCATCACCGCAGTGTAAGTGGGAGCCCTCTCTACGAAATTCTTACAAATCTCACAAAGTTCTAGACAACGTTTGATGTGAGCGTTTTGAGTAATTATGACGATTATGGGGCGAAACGATCAGCCTCTGTTCCCCCGGGTGATTATGGCCGTGCCTTGCGTTCCCATTCGATAGGCCCTGAAGATGTGCTCGCCATTGAGAGTGCTCGGGTTTCTGCCCAAGCCGATAGGGAGTCTCAGAAACGGCGGTATGAACGCTCGAGTGTTCACTCATTTCGAGAACTGACCACTAGGGAGGGGGAGCCGGCCGGCTTAGCTCCGAGACCTGTTACCGTATACGGCGGATCGAGTGTCCATGAGACTTTTCCTTTCCATGATGGGGCTTCCACCATCGGCCGTGCTATCACCAGTGACCAAACTGGCCTCAAAAGACGATCGCGAAGTCTCTCTGCCATTGGCGATGCCGTGATGGAAGGCGGTGATCTTCAACGGACAAGGAGCACAGAAATTCGCCACTGGAGACAAAGCCATGGCACAAGTTACAAGCCGCCCATGAACGCCCCTGACGTTATTCAGACTGAAATTGATGGTGGCTTGTACATCAACAGCCCGGAGCAACCGCAATCGCCTGCTTCACCACTGCAATCGTTTACCTTTGGCGATGTTGGGCCCGCCCATCTCCCGCCAGAAATGAAGTCTCCCTTTGGGCCAAATTTGGACTCCAAGCTTGGCAATTTGGAAAAGAGAACGAAGCGTCTGGAAAAGGCCATGTCAGAATTGTCGCATTCTGTCCCCGACTTTCGATTTCGCCTTGATCCGTCCAGCGGACCTCCAGTTTCCTATAAGCCAGCCAATGGCAATGGGCCAATGAATTGGGGACCAACCTGGTTTGATAACAACACCAAAGTCCCCAGCCGGCCAAGCACAGGCCGTTCTGGGGCGTCCGATAAATCTTCCCTCGACTTAGGGCCCGCCTATTATGGATCAAATCGACGTCTAATTCCCCAGCCGGCCCTGGGAATCGCGAACCGTCCATTGAGCACCACGACGATTCGAGGAGTCGCTAGCCTGCCTTCAATTTCCCAGGAGTATGCTCGTCCACTTACCACGGAGCATTATATCACTCTCATGGCACTGCTTGAGACAGAACGATCTGCTCGTCAGGCCCTCGAAGCTCAAGTGAAGACTATGGGATATCAGATTAGTGTGATGGCCAAGAGCCTCTCAAATGATTTCCCTGCCTCCAAACCCTCTATCAGTGAACAGTCTGCATTTGATTATGATGACGAAGAGGAAGACGATCGAGGAGCAAATAATGCTATGAGAGAGACCCTTGTTCAACAGGATTCCGGTTTAGCCTCTACCAGTCCTGACGAAGACGAGATTTCGCCGACATATGTAACTCCCATTGAAGAGGCCAACGACGAAGGACTTGTTATGCGCGCGAAGAACGATAGGACACTTTCCTTGTCCAGAATTACGATGAGCCAGCCAGGTCCTGACCCCCGTCCTGGTTTAATGCATTCTCCCATCTGACATACGCAATGCTCCCGCTTTGTCTGCACATGCAGGCATCTTACGAGAACCTTTGTACGATTTAGGACGATGCTACTGGACAGATGAATTTTTAGCGCCGAGTCGCACTAATGCCTGTTAGCGAAAGTATATGAGCTCATGACTAGTTTTTGTTTCACTTCTTTTCGACTTGCTTTTTCACCCAGATTTCTGTTGCCTGCCATTTCTGTCTAATCTTACACTATTCCATCTTACGATTTTTGCATTGAGGATGAATTGCATAGTTCCAAGGGGGGGACATATCCAGGAGATATATACATACAATATACGTAGCAATTCTATATGATTGATGACTTCGCAATACTCAAGTAATGCACTGACAAGTGACCTAACGGTGTTTATTTGTGGTGATCGTACACTTATTATTGATTGAAAACGAGCTGATCACCAAGGCTCGTGCCTTGATATTTATGTGTAGTCACGGAACTATCTATTTTCGTGGGAAATATAGTGACATATCATGGCCTAACCACGAAGTCTTGAGTGGCGTGTGTTGTCTTTAATTCCCCAGCTACCTATGAGGGCCATTGAGTTCTCATCGCCAGGGGCTAATCTATCATCCCCGAGGGTTTCGGCCAGACATGTCCAAGGATCACGCCCGCCACCCCACTTGAGGAGGTTCTCTTTGAGGCGCTCTCCATTCTCACGACTGATAGCGCCGCCGTTTTCCCCAGCTTTAAACACGACGTGCCAGACACGCTCTGCGAGGACGCGATCGAAGAGATAGCTGTAGTAGGTACTGCCGTATGAGTGAAGGTGGCCAAAGAAACCCTGCCAGCAACTTTCCTTGGGTTCTTTGGGGCCGTGGGCAAAACGGCTTTGGATATCATGGAAAACGCGGGTCGAGTCAAACGAAGCAGACGCGACCTCTGGCGAGTGGTACGCTTGATCTACCATAGCGAGAAGAATCTGGTGCTCTGTATCGATACCCTCGAAACGCTTTGAAAGGCGAATACGTTCTGCAACTAGCTCATATGGGAGTGGCTTGTCTGTTTTCCAATGGCGAGCGAAGAGAGAGAGGACGGTCGGATCAGCGGCGAAGTGTTCCATTAGTGTTGATGGAAGCTCGGCAAAATCTGTCGCACATCGGGTTCCAGACACATTTTGAAATGATGTCCGGGCCAAGACTGAGTGGATGGCATGCCCCATCTCGTGGAAGAGCGTTTCAACAGAGTGGAATGACAAGAACGCGGGTTCCCTAGAATTCTCACTCTTGGGGAAATCGCATACGAGTGCAATGGTTGGAAGCTGGCTTGTGACGCCATCGCGGGTAGAAGTTTCCATTCCATCGTTGGCAGCCTGCTCAGGGGAATCAAATTGTGGACAGTCTCCCGATGCCATTTCGGCACTCGCCTCTTCAATTTCGTAAGGAAGTATCTCTCGCGAACAACGAACTGTGAAGTGAGCTGGGTTAGGAAACTTCTGTGGTCTATAGAAGAGGTCGCAGTACAGAACTGCAACTTGCTCTCCGGAGTCAGCTACAACGTCGAGCCGCTTGACATCAGGATGCCAAGTTTCTCCCGGTAAGCTCTCCCGAGGAACGAAGCGAATCCCATACAGGCGATCAAATAAGTGTGACAGCCCTTGCATGACAGTACCAACGGAAAAATACGCAGGCAGTTGGTCATCGTGTCTAACTCGAGTTCTCATATCCGTTCGAATTTTCTCCATGTAAAAGTCTCGGTCCCATGGCTGAAGTAGGACTTCTGGGGCAGAGAGTCTTTCTCTTTTTTTCTGGGTGAGCTCTTGCAGCTCACTTTCAATGATTGGCTTGTTATGATTTCGTAGAGCCAAGAGAAATTGCATGACAGAGGCAGGGGTCTTGGCCATCATGCGATCCTTCAAAGCCATATGCCCGTGGCTCTGGAACCCTGCTAAGCTTGAAAGTTCAGCCCTCAGTTTAAGCATGGTCTCCAACCACATAATGGTCTGCTTTGAAGCCCTGCGCTGTGCTAGGTAGAGCTCCTTTCGAGTATCTTCGTCATAAACGCTTTGCAACGCGGCTGCTGCTTCGGAGCCCATGGTCGGAACTGTTATTTGAGACCGAACTTTGAGAGCTGCAGCAAGGCTGGGGTACAGACCATAGAAACGGTGAGACGGAAGGGTCACCTCCTTCCGCTCAGGCTCCATGCCCTGAACAAACGCAGAACCTGTTTCGCTGATGCGCGATGAGAGATCGACAAACCTATCTCGCGATTTTTTAGGGAGATTTACAGCTGATTTCATAAAATCAAGCCTCAGTAGTTCTGCAACTGACTTCTCTTCTTCAGACCAGGACGATGTAACCTCTGGTTGTGCGAGGGCTGCTGACAGCTGGTCGTTCAGGCCGGTCATAGTATTAAGCTGATTCATATATTGATAAACCATGGACCATGCGTCAGTTGCCGCCTCTTGAAACCCAACATCTGGGTGCGTCATGCGAACAAAATCGGATAAGTCTAGGACTCTGCATAGTAAATCGCTGAGGCGATCCAAGTCCCTGACAATAGCTTGATACTCGCGAACGGTTGATGCTTTCAAGACCCGACGAACAATTCTTGTAGCCTTGTCCAGATTTTTCTGTGCAAAGACAAGGAAACCTTCGGGACTCTTCAAATATCGGTTTTTAAACAGGCCTTTGCTACTCTTCAGACCGAAGTCGGGGAAAGATCGCCCCGAGGGCGCATCAAAAAGATTGCGCAGAACAGTATCGTCGTGGCGTGGGCTCGACCCGTGCAGCACTGGCCGGTCCGTGAAGCTAGTATTTGGCAGGGATGCAGCCGAGGAAATGGATTGCCATCGACGCTTGGGAGGCTGGACCGCCTGGCGAATGCATCGTGTACAGACCCATAGGCCACGGCGGCCATTGGGATTTAACATGTCTGTACTTCGGCGGGGTGGTCGCTAATGAGCATTGGGGGGAACAAACGATTGGTTCGATGGTACTTGTTTCGATGAAGAGGGTCGATGGAGTGGTTGAGATCGAGGCGAGGAGCAGGTGAAAGATGAAACAATTCAGCGAAGTGACCGCACGTAGCAGAGACGAATCAATCCGGGGAAGATAAAAAAAGAAAAGAAGAAGAGAATAGAAGAGGGTTGCGCTCAAATGCAGTGGGAAAAAATTGGAGTGTTTGCAAGCATGTTAGGTCTAGCAGTACCACCTTCAGTAGACGTTAAAAGATCGCCGCCGGTCGGTCCCTCGGAGATTCGCGGTAGGTGCGCCCCTGCCACGGCTCGGTTGTGTTTCTGGAAAGTGCGCACACGCTGCATCCCCACTCTCCAAGGCCGAACGGATCGGGTTTTTCCGATGGACCAACGACCAAGGGCGTGCTTTGCTTTTCGGCTGTACCAATTCGCGAGACATATCGAATGACTTCATCCACCAACACTCTTTTGCCCTCGCACTCCGTCGCATAGTTGACAATGGCTGCAAGGGTACTGTTCCAACGGGTAACTGCGACTCCGTCCCTCCATTCTCCTGTTTCTATAAAGCTAATTGGCATCTTTAGCGCGCATTGGCGCCGTTGGCGACCATTGCTCTCAGCGGCATGGCCTTGGCTCCGTCAACAATTTATGCCGAAGCTCCTATTGAATTCAAGGTTCGCAGCCTTGTTTAGCTCCGAGAGGAACCAATTGGACTGACGCAAACCAGAGGAAACCTATATACGATGACACCGACTTCCCTTCGACTATTCCTTCGCCTCTGACGCCCCCCAAAGCCCCATCGGCTGCCCCAGTCGACGAGGAGACCAAGCCCAAGAAGTTGACCCCTACGGACCGCCTCGCCATTCAGATCGGCAATGCCCGTCTATTCCTCTACCAGTATGCCGTGAAGGCTGAGGATGCCGTCAACTCCACTATGGACTCTGCCTTTGACCTCGAGCAGTCTTTCACCAAGACCATTGCTGATTTGGCACCTTCCCGGGAGAGTGGCGAGAGACTTATGCCAGGAGCCATCTATGTCCTCGTTGCTGCCATGGCCGGAAGTATCGTTACCCGAAACCGAAGTATCATCCTCCGCTCAACTCTTCCCTTGGCTGTTGGTATCGGTGCCGGATGGTCTGTTCTGCCAGTCACAATGCGGAATATCTCGGACCTGGTGTGGAAGTACGAGGAGCGAGTTCCTGTTGTCGCCCAGGCTCATTTGAGCTTGCGCAACAGTATCGAGAAGAGTGTCAGTTTCGTCAAGGTCCACAAGGACATCGGAGCTCGATACGTTGACGACAAGGTGACGGATACGAGAGAGGCCCTCGAGGGCTGGGTCAAGAAGGGGAAATAGAGGGCCGAAAAGTGACATGTAACATTTATAGAGTCTTAACCACAACGCTCATATGTATTTGAAAAATGACGATAGGCTATGTGCTGCCAAAGTTGGAGTCTTACTCTGACGTAGTTGCCTCTTCCCACCCGCTCGGATATTGGGTGGGCAGGGTTTATATTTCTGTCAAGTCTCGGGCTGTATTCTAATGCGAAATTTCACTTTCCTTTCCTTCCTTGTCTCGTAAATCACTGGGTATTCCCCATCCTCCCCGGTCTAAATTCCCAAAACTCCACCGATGCTGATAGTAGTTCAATGCCCGTGTGTTCATTGAGCTCGTTTTTCGGCTCAAAATCAGTGCCCATCAGACACTCTATGCGACCAGGTCAGCAGTCTTCTGACTTGTGCTGATTTGCTCCGACAAGACATTCCGGGGCTTTTTATCTGCCCTGTCTTTGCCCACCTGTCCTCCTGCGGCCATGGCAGAGGCGTTCCTTTTCTGGGCTCTCCTGGATGGTTTGGTACGGGGTTGGTCTAACCCAAGCTTGGCGTCAATTCTGCTTGCTTCTTCAAGCAAATGGTCGAGCTTCAACACGGTGCACACCTGTGTATAAGATTTGCTCTGGACAGTGGGCGTGTACATAGCATCCTTGCCTGGAACCATCTGGGACAAAAGGTACTTGGTGTTACCCCACCTATTGTCAACTTCCATGGCAAACTTGACATACTCAGCTACGGCATCATGCCAAGGGAGCACTCCACCGTTTTCCTGGCTTCTAAAACAGCTGGGGTTCTTCTCTGCAGCCGTTGCAATCATGGCGCCATCAGCCCCGAATTCTTCGGCGAGCTGCATCCCCTGGTCTCTGTTCTCCACATCGCCGTTCATAAGGCACGCTACCCCCGCTTCGTGACAGACTTCAGCTATCATGCGCAGTTGTCCGCGGATCGCGCGCTCCCGTGGCCGCATCGGTGTCGTTCGACAGTGGATAGTCAACCCTGTGATACCGGTGGTGCACAGCCTCCGGACAAGTGCCTCCGTCTCAGCCGCTGTTTCCAGCAGGCGAATCTTGACGCTGATGCCGATGTTGTACTCGGGAGGGATATTTTGAACCAGAGCCTCCAAAATTGCGCAGAGCTTGTCGGGCGTACGTAGGAGAGCGGCACCCATGCCGCCACTGGTACTGAAGGGCTTCGGGCATCCGGCGTTGACATCAATACCGGCGACATCAGCGGCGACTAGTTTGGCTGCTTGGACCGCGCGTTCCGGGTCGGATGTTCCCATTTGAAAGATATGCCTGGTGGACTCCTTGTCGGGGCAGATTCGATAGATGACGCTCTCTTTTTGGTCGACTGGCGGTTCCTTCTGACCTTGGGACGAGAGACGCACCCAGTCGATGGTTTTCGAGGCCTCGTTGATGCGGCGTGTCGTGCCAATCATAGCACGGTCGACGGTTTCGGGTCCTACCACCTATTAGTTGTCCACGATCTTTGAAAGACAAAATACCATCTCGTTGCCGACTTACCCCAGACGAGGTCTGCGCCATAGTGGAGAGCAAGCAGGCGGGATGGCAGTTCCCCAGAGCGAACCATGGGGGCGAGGACAACCTTGCCGCGGTAGTCCACGCCCCGGTTGGGGATAAGAACCTTCTTGACCTCTGAAGCCATGAATCTTTTGATGCTGGACAATATCATACCCTTGAAGCGATGATTACATTTTTGAAGTAGTCGAAACTAGGATGCTAGCACGGCCGATTCTGGAGACTCACGGCACAGTCACACTAAAAAAAAAAAAAGTAACCGCATATTACCAGATCGGGCTACATAATTCTTGGCGTTCTCTTATCGATTAATAACCCCCCATTTGGGTGACAGAGATGAGACATCAAATTGAAGAGCAGCGATGAGCGGAGCCTTTCCGCAATAAAATATCATTGCATTCTTCTCTTCTCAAATACATGTTATTGTCTCTCAATAATAGAACGAAATACCAGTCACAGACTCGAGAATAAGCAGAAGAATGTTTAGCCGTATCAAATTCAATCTCACCCGGTCAGCACCCCTACCCTCACCATGCAATCGGTACCTTATTGTGCCAAAGTCTTCGATCTACTCTTGAGGGGGGCAGGGGGGGTCTAATCAAGTTCTGAAAGGGGTGTCATGTGATATCAAGCACACCTCCCAAAGATGAAGTAACATTTTTTGATTGCTGCGCATTCTCTCACCGTAAGATCCTGTTAAGCGATCACATGGCTGAGTTAATCCTCCGTTGCGACGGCAAGGGCGCTATGCAATGCAAGTAAGAAATTTCCGCGAGAGTGCTAGTGCGGTTTGTCACCCTGATGATAAAGAGATGCAACCAACAGACAATGGTGACAACACCAAACCTTGACGTATGATGATGGTGAAGGAACCTGGGTAACCAGACAGTGTCTCCAGGTATCCACCAGAATAATCGTATCGATTGGTTTCAGCCCTGGTTTTGAGGCTTATCTAACAGCTACGACGCTCCACATCATCAGGGTATCACTGTGGGTTGTACCTAGACTTACACAACAGCTCTGGCAAGGAAATCACTTGATGATCTTCTTGGAAAGAAAAGTCTTTGCTTTTCACTGGCGAGCCCTCGTTCACCCCCTTGGCTTTTGCTTCGATTTGATGAAGTCACTGTCGAACCTTAGTGTTGCCGAGGGCTGGAGCCACGAGTTCATTGCGGAGCTCAAGCTCCAACTGAAGCCGAACTAAGCTGACAGACCATGCTGACGGATCTAATGGTGAAACATGGGTAATTAATCGTCTGAAAAAGGGTCCAACCAGGGATTTTTGCTAGCTTTACATACACATGTCAAACGTATATTCAAGACAGCCTCAATTGCTGCCAGCAGGTCGCAAACAATTCAACAGCAGTCAAGTTAAAATGATGACTAGTTTGTGATAGATGGCCAAGCCCCAAAGAGGCGCCATCTTCTCTCTCTCTCTTTGTCCAGGCAAGCAGGCCTAAGCTTTTCCTCATACACAGATACGAGGAGCGAGAGTTTCCGCTCATTTTAGCTAAACGACACTATCATGGCAAAAAATAATAATTCGCATTTATCCCCGTCACTTATACGAGGCTGCTTACTCGAATTTTGGGAAAGTCGTGTTTTGACTTCGTAAAAATATTATACGGCAGGCCCCATCCGGAAGCATGAGGGCAGCAACAGCATGTCAAGCGCAAACTCGCAAAAAGCGCAGTGGGAGGGCGTCGTGAGGCATGGCATAGTGTGGCGCGGATTGTTGCTGGGATAGGCCTTTTCAAGACGGGCGTCTGTGCTGGAGCAAGGGAGGACCCTCTGAAGGACGGGGCCTGGCTCTGGAGGAGGCTGAGCCTGGGAGGAGGGGGAGGGAGACCCCACGTCCCTTAGTTGGAGATCCGAGCCCGCGCTATTGCCTGGCTACGAACACCTCGGGCTACGGCATTGGGTAATGGCATCTGTCGACCCAACATGAGCCTTCCAGCCAGCCAGGCCAACCAGGCCAGGCCCAATATGGATGATAGCTGCGGCAGAGGCCTGGGGACCGCGGATTTCGATAACTTCGTATTGTACGTGGTAGCGTTGCCGAGCAAAGGATAAATGGGAAAATGAGGAATGGACAACCCCGTCCGTACCTACCTCAGCCATCAGCCCATTGACACGACCTGTACCACCTAATGTACACTAGCTCGTAGGGGGATCGTCCCATTCATCACCCTCGAGTGAGGATTCGCGAAGGAGGACGCCACCTCAGAGCAAAGGTAGCACTCTTAATTAACTCCCTACTACCCCTCTGGGTACCCCTGAGGAGGGTTGGTGTGGTGAAAAGATGGTTAGGTACCAACAGGCCACACTGCCAGACGGGCATGAGTACCTTGAAACACGGCGGAGCATGTGAGGGAGTAGCGTTGCGGCCAACTGTCCAGCAAGTACCGACGGTACCTCCAAAGTCCCCTCAGTGGCCCTCGCTGGCTGTCACTGGCGCCGCTCGAGGTGACGGCATAACGGCAAGGGGTCCAACCAGTCCCCCAGTTTCAGGACAACGCGGCTCCCGTCTCCTCTGGCTGGTGCTGTTGCCGCTGGGCTCTGTCTGCTGTCTCGTACTCGCAAGGGTTGGCACGCAAAGGCCCGTGTTCTGAAAAGCTGGTACAGTAAGAATAATGGGCTCGGGTTCCACAGCTCCCCTCCAGGTAGATACGTAAGTATGGTGCTAATTAAGAGGTCCCTCAACACCCGCCCATCTCAAACATCCATGTGTTGTGCGTGCCCTGCTGGGCACAACGATCGACAGCCCCTACTTTGCCAATCTGTTAAATCCCATTTTCCCACTTTTGCCGCGCACGCCAGCAGCACTGCTTGAGACATCTGCACGATAGACATGCTCTGCCTTGCCCTTCCACCCCCGACACTCCCAAATTAACCTCGAGGGCAGCTACCCCCTCCGCTCGCGTGCTGGCTGCGCATTGTCACCCTCCTCGTTTAAGACCGACCCCACTATCTACATCATTGCAATACCTACCAGCAACGCCTAACCTGCTACCTCCAGCTACCTGCCGACCTACACCCGACCGCTAAATCTTGGCCTTCACCACTCACATCCTCAACCCGACCCCGTGAATTCTCCCCTCTCTCCCTCACTGCGCTTCAATCTCGGCCGTGAGGGGGCTGTATTGACGACTCGCAAAGTGCCCGATCCCTCTCGTGGTCGTCGTCATCGGACTGGCCGACACTCTTGCCGCCGACTTGAAGTCTTGCCAGACTCCCTCGCCCGCCTCCAGAGATAAATGGTGTCGCTAGGACTTGTCGACAAGATGGAGAACGAGGCGCCCAAGAAGAGGGATCGCTTTATGAAGAGCTTTGGGTTCAAGCCCAAGGCGAACAAGCTCGAGAACGAGGCTGCCACGAACGTTGATGATTTCCTCCATAGATCGTCCGACAACCTGACCGTAACCCATGCGCCTCCACCTCCACCCCCAGATCTCTCGCAGAAGCCCCCTCGAATTGATACCACAGTGCCTCGCCATGGAGTCGGAATGAGCCAGGATCGCCCAATGGCTCTGGGGCGTCCCGCGGTGGGGAAGTCTATTCGAAGAAGCCCGCGTCCTAACAAAAAGGGATTGTTGGTCAGATTTGTAGACACATATCCGGAGGTGATAGGCGAAGGAGGTGACGAGACAGAGTTGCCCACCATAGAGATTTCCAAGAGGAAGAAGGCAAAGCAAGCAGCATCAGCACCACCTCCACCTCCCCCACACAGAACTCCAGTGCAAGCACAATTCCCAGCACAGGGATCCGACCCATTCGCAGACCAAAACTCCTCGCCGGTAGATGACTTCAAGCCAAAGGCTCTGTCCAGATCCCAGACCGGCTACTCTTCCATCTACACACCTGAGAACGACAACGACGCACCACCAAAGCCGTTGTCAAGGTCCCAGACCGGGTTTTCTTCCGTCTACGAGCCCGAGTCTGACGAAGAACCGCAGAACAGCCAGGCGCCAACGTTGGACCTCCCGCAGTTCAATTTGGCGGCTGCTTCCCCAGATCCAAGTTCACGATCACCTCCCGCATCCCAGGATACTCTATTACCGGGTAGGACATCCTCCTCGAGATATTTAGAATCATCGCCCAGGCATGATGAGGCTCGTAGGTCGTTTATCGAAATTCACCAGGCGGAGATGCGAGAGGCCGAAGGTGCAGCATTCGCAAAGGCCGCGCGAACAGCAAGTGCTGCATCTAATCACAATTGGGCTGATGGCCGTCGACCGCCGTCAGATATTATTGAGAGCTCGCCCGAACGAACCAGGCAACGGCAAGACTCTGATCCGACCAATCCATCCGTCCAATATAGTCCTGCGGCCTCAATTCACTCGAATGACTCGGATCACACGACGTCGTCCAACTTACTTTCTGTCCAATCCCCCCCAACTTCGTCCCTTAATAGACAGTTCAGTGTTGCCGTTCGCCAAACTGAACGAGCTCAGCTACCAATGAGAGCTGCGTCTGTTAGGGTTCGCGAGACAGTTGGTTCCTCGGCCGAAGATGCTCTGGAGATGTTTGTCTCTCGGACAAAGCATCTATTTGAGCTGTTTCGACTTCATGCTGAGAGCGTAAAGCATCTTTCTACCAGCACTCCAAAGGATTGTGCCCGAGCTGGTCTCTGGTGGTTTCTGAAAGGCAGGATGGGGTTGGAGTCAAGCATCCGGGAGCGTCCAAGTAGTCCACAGTCGCAACTGAAGAATGAGCTCAGCCGACAGCAAGCTTTCACTAACCTGGCAAAAGGATATTGGCTCTGTGATCCGATTATCATTGAAATCTCTGGGTCTCAAACCGTGCAGCCGGACGCGGAAACTATCGAGGTCTCGGACAGCGTAATCTCTGCTCTATCAAAGCTCGCCATGTCAATGAAGAGGAACCAACTAATGCCCCCGGAGGACGCATTTCTACCACAGACTCTGGACAAGTCTATTTGGATTGAGTACCCCTCTCTTAGCCAAGATATGGTCGCACTGCTCTCTGGCAACTGGGGCTCGGGGATGAGCGCGATGCAGCATCCCATGTCCACTCTGCATCTCTTGGATGCCTTCCCCATCACCGACACGCCAGAGAATTTCAGCTATGGTAGAGTGATGGCAGACCTGAGCCTCATGGAGCAGGGCGGCAGGGAGTCTGAGAAGTTGACTTTCGCTTGCATGCTATCAATGGTGAGACCACAGAAACACAGCGGTCTTGTTTTTGTCATTGCAAGCCAGAACGGAAACGTGCAGCTTGCGATACAGGAGAACAAGAACGCAGGACCTGTATGGGATGATGTTCGTTGGCGAAATGAGGCTTGCACGCTCGAGGTGCGTTTGCCGCGCGGGTTCATGATTATTATTCAACTAACGCAACACGACTTCCGGCTCTTGTGGAACATGTATGATTTTGGATCAAAGGTCAAATCTACGCTGTATCCTCGGAAGGACGAGGTTGTCGTCTTCCGCAACACTCTTCGTTCTTTCCAGTATATGGATGCGGACCCCAACTCACGACTATTCCCTAAAGAGGTGGTCAACCAATGTGAGGTTGCCTTGTTTGAGAAGTTGTTGAAGGAAGTCGGGCCATCCGGTACACGCATCTGGCATCGAGGTTTCCGAATCGCGGTTGTCACGGGCCCTCAGACGAAGACCGTCAGCGGGGTACACCATACGTATCCGCCATATCAGCCATTGCAATTTAGTTTTTTCCGCGCCGAGGGGGAAGCGCCCGCTCTCTCTCTGCGTTTTGAAAATGGCCGACAAAAAGGCAGGATGATATTGACTTTCAGTGACCAGAAGGAGCGTGTACGGTTCCACTCACTACTAACCGGGACTGCGCTGAATCATGATGAGAGAATTTTCACCGATGTACCGCTGAAGGGATTTATCATCTCTCAAAGTCTTCGGGAGCCGCTTGGAGTCTCGCCCTTTAGCCGCATGCCCTGGAAAGCAGCCAGAGTCGTGAATGAAGAATTCGGCCCAGACGGCGATCAACCGCCCACCGTTCTGGCAGATAAGCTTAAGGTGGTCCTCGAGTACCAGAACGGTACTGTCACTGATCGAGTCAACGTGGGGCCCGGCGAGCTGAGAATGCGTCTGGAAGTAACGAATGCGAAATTGTTTAGGCTGTGGAGGCAACCTCAGACCGATATTGGAATCTCTGTATCTGAATCGCAGGTGCCGAAAGAGCTGCCGAGAAATCTCTCCGACGCCCTCCAGCTGCTCAAAATCAACCAAACCATCCGAACAATGGAATTTGAGACGCTCAAGGATCTCCACAACTTCCAGGCAGCAGTTACCGGGTTCGAGGTCATTTTCGATGGGCTGGCTGCAACACTTGCCATATCTCGCCGACGTATGGTGGTGCCAATTCACAAGAAGTGGGAAGCGGGATTCACGAGAATTCAGCTCGTCCAGCAAGAGGACAAGCTTCAGATCCTTGCATTTTTCGAGGATTTCCACCATGGGCATTGTATGAACTGGGTTCTCAAGGGCACCGATATCTATGAAACCTTCTCTCGGAACGGAAAGGCCGGAATCAAATTCGTCGATGCAAAGTTCCCGTTGCCGCGACTACCCGCAGAGAAGAATGGAGATTATGATGAGATGGCCTTTGTTTGTTTGGATTTACCAGACCTTCCCGGGGAGCACGACGATATCGCAATTTTGTTTGAAAATGAGGAGGGTAAGTCTATCTTTGCGCATACCCCCAGCTGTTGTAGATGGTTTCGTTGCTTGAATTCTAACGTGGAAACAGAACGTGATCGGCTTATCGAACTACTCCCTGCGCCAGTTAAAGGATCTACGAGGATGTCACGATTAAAGTGAGGTCAGCATGATTATTAGCATTGGGATTCGGCATACATATTGAGAGGCATTGAGAAAAGTCATGATACATTTCAGAACTCATCAGCCAACAAGATGAGCCAATTATTGTTTTTTTTTATAAAAGATACTGTTGTTTACTCTGTTATAATGGAACTACGAGGGGCAGGTTTATATAGACAAGACCCCCTCCCATGTAAGCGAGAGTTAGCATTTCTGTTGGGGAAGATATGGTGGAGGAATCACAAGCGAGCATCTGATCCATGGGAAATTACCGCATGAGGTATCCGGGATCTCCGAGGAGTTGGGAAGCCATTGGTTATTAGGATACTGAACGAACAAGATACAAAATCCAAAAAACACAAGATAATTATGCTGCAGCCTTCGCCGGGCGTTGCCTCTAGCGATGTGCCTGAACTAGGTGAGCTCTCGTGGTCTCATACGAGCCTGGCGAGCTCAACGTCGGTGAAGCCTCGTATTCTCTTCAGCTCGCCTTTTTTTTTCGCATTTTTCGGGCCGGACACTCGGCATGATCAGCTGTCAGCATCCAACAATTGCCATGTACTTGATAGTCCCTACCCTTGTGGTCATGTATGGAGACAGGTATCAGCCAATCTCTGCAGGCGCCTTTCCCATGCCCTGCCGGATAGGTACGACAACATTACTGGGCCAATCACACTGCGCACCTGGCACATTTGAATGGCATACCTTAAACGCACCTCGATGTATCCTAGTTGGCGAGAAGGGAGGGGCCAATTACCAATAGACTCGGCGTGGAATCCACGGCAAGCGAGAGCTGCCAACCTAGGCGCCCTCCCACTCCGTAGAGCCATGATGGCATCCAGCTGGAAGGGTAGTAACTATATACAGATGTGGTCACCATGTGCGGCGTGGGAGAAGCCGAGCACATGCTATTTGGATGGAAGAGGGGCGGGGGATGCCTCTGTAGCCATTGCATCGGGATCTCTGCCTTAGGTGCGGCGATTGCTTCCGGGATGCATCTGAGACGGAGGGGTTCCCTGCTTTCTGGTGCAGACCTGACACCATGTTCTGGCGAGACAGAGCCCTTTTCTGATTCATTTGGGGATGGCTCTCTTTCTTCCCCTCCTAGCGATTCCTGATAGTCTCGATCTCCCATCATCCCCACGATTTGTTTTTCCTGCCGCGCTGGTGGTTGAGTGCTGCACGAGTTTGGCGGGTTGATCGGCCACTCAGTCAGCAGGCAAACAAGCTCCGGGAGGCTCGACTCAGGTAGATCACCCACGTCATAGAACATATCGGTTCGTCTCGCAGCTTCGGGCGGCCTCAGCCACATTCTGATTGAGGGAAACCGCCAGAATCACGATTGTAGCAAACAATAAAGCAGCCAACCAGGCCTGCCACCAGCTTCTACAATCGCACTGCTTTCTTTCTAGTGCCGGCGGCACCTAATTCTCTTCATACCTCGACCCAGGAAGCTTGATTAACTAGGCAGTAGTGCCTGGCCGGACCTGTGCCACAGCTTCCAAGTCGTCACCATCCCTCCAGGCCCCGTTCTCAATCAGAAATCCTGGCCAGGACACTGCAAGCTAGGCACTTAACAAATAGGTGCGTCTGGAAGCTATTCCAAGGCCCCTCGAGTCCCGGTCCCTCGGACGATAGTTGACACCCGCCAGCTGCATATAGCCTCACACTGCCAGTCAACCGACCTCCATATCCTATTGACCTTTCCACCTCGATTCATTCCTTACATATCTGCTACTTACCTACAGACCACACCAAACGCTCCCCACTCGTGCACTTCGCGCCACGACAGGACGGACCAACACACGCAGCATACCAGCACAGTGCTGCTGGGAACTCGCTTGGCTGGAGGCTGTTCAGCTGCCCGAGTCTTGTCGCCACTGATTCTGCTGCCTCGCAGTCCACCTGCTCACCAGGCCCGGGGCGTTCGGGGTTTTCGGCCATGGGACTGGGACTAGTCACAGCTGGCCGTCGCCGGGCGTCGTCTCTCGTCAGTAAGCACATGGGCTCTCCTTCAATGTCTTATACTGCAACCCTCCTGCGAGCTGCGCATGAACAGCCGTCCCTGCCGCATCAATTCTCCCGCTTCAGGAACAAAGCACGCACACGCATGAGCCTCGAACCGCTGTTGGTCCATCTGCTCTGCTCTGCTCTGCCGCTCAGCAAGGCTGTTGCTGCAATATATACTTGATTACCTGCAACTTTTCCCCAACCAAAAATCGCATCGTCATCCCTCCCCCTCTCCGCTCCCCCAAAACCCAACCGCATCTGCCTAAGGTCCCATCTGCCTGGGACCTGCAAACACTGCAGCAGGCGCCCTCCGTCGGCTATCTCCAGCACAGCACCAACGCACCGTCCCGCCGATCCCTTCAACAAATTCGCTTCCTCTCCCCTAAAGTTCCTTTTGCGTTGCTCGGCTTGACATCACTGCCTAGCATGAATTAGTCTAGCCCGTTCCGACGCGCGCTCTTTTCTACCTGCGCAACATTTTAGCTCCCCCCGCACGCGCACACACCTACGCACACTCGCCCAGCAGCAGTCACGGTGGCGCATCACTCACTGGGATCATCGCTGTGCCTGGCTCTGTTTCTGCCTCTGCCTCTCATCTCAGTCGCACACCTTCTGTATCCTTATACTCATACAAGACACTGCCCCCCGAAGCTGTGCTCCCGAGTGGTAGCCCAGTCCTTCACTCAGCCTCAGTCTCAGGCCTCCCCTCCCCCACATCCCTCAGCCAATAGCTACCCCACCTATTCTCAGGCTCTCTGTCGCATCTCAACCGCATCTGTCTCTTTTCAAGCCGTTGCACTAGGCAAATTTATTTATTTCTATTAAACAACATGCTAACCAACTGGTGGTACCCGCCTGATGAAGGCAATAAATCGTCAGCCCGATCGTCAACAGACGATGGCCGTATTGATCCTGAGGATGACACTCAGCTCATGGAGCCCGACCAGGGCAATGGTGAGCTCTCACCCTTCCCTCCTAGGCTGTCTAGCTTTAGACAGCCCTTACATGCCATGTCATGTTGCGCGCTGAGCTATATACCCATGCTTACCATCCGGCAGTGCTCTCGCATATCATATCACAGCTGCGCCCAGGGGCAGATTTGAGTCGCGTCGTCCTGCCGACTTTCATCCTTGAGCCGCGCAGTATGCTCGAAAGAATTACCAAGTGCGTCCGTCCGTCATGTGCTGCCTGCGATTTTCCAAGATGGTTTTGAACCAAACATATGTCCAGTGTTACTGATTGACTCCAGCTTCATGTGCCACCCTGAAATGCTCCTTCACATCCCTACGATAGACGACCCAGTCGAGCGCTTTGTATCCGTAGTCAAGTTCTATCTCAGTGGTTGGCACATCCGTCCACCGTTCGTACAAGCCCGCCCCGGCCGTTGACAAGGTCTGGATTCGCTAACGATTATTGTGACAGAGGCGTGAAGAAGCCGCTGAACCCGATCCTTGGTGAAATATTTACGTGCTATTGGAACTTTGAAGACGGCAAGAAGGCCTATTACATCTCAGAGCAAACGTCGCACCACCCACCCAAGTCCAGTTATTTCTACATGGCCCCCGATCATCACATTCGTATCGATGGGACCCTAAAACCTCGAAGCCGATTTCTCGGAAACTCTGCCGCCAGCTTGATGGAAGGTATCGCTTTCCTCGAACTCCTCAACAGGGGCAAGGACCCGTCAAAAGGAGAGAGATAGTAAGGTCTTCTGCGAGGCACTCGCACGAATATGACTTTCTGATATGACATTGCTAACCAATTTCCGTATCAGCATCATTACACAGCCCAACATGTATGCTCGAGGTATTCTATTTGGTAAAATGAAGTATGAGCTTGGAGACCACAGTTTCATCCGATGCCCTGAGCTCGATCTGTCAGTCGACCTTGAGTTCAAGGTCAAGGGCTGGGTTGCAGGAACGTACAACGCTATTGGTGGTGTGATCAAGCGAGAAAGCACAGGCGAAATTCTCTACGAACTATCCGGGTTATGGAGCGAGGAAATGTTCATCAGGGACATGGCGGCAAGTTCATCCTTTGCGAATGTTTAACTGACTCTCTCACTAACCTGAAAGCTGTAGACCGGCCACAGGGAAATGTTCTTTAACGCTAACAGGTCGAAGCCGAGTCCGCCCCAGGTGCGCCCCATTGAGGAACAATGGGACAGAGAGTCTCAAAGACTTTGGAAAAACACAGCCGATGCCGTCAAGGACCGGAACCACGAACTAGCTACGGATGAGAAAACCAAGATTGAGGATCGCCAGCGCGAGGAAGCAGCCCAGAGAGCCCAAGAAGGCGTTGAGTGGCAGCCCAGGCTATTCCGAAGAATTCACAACGATTCTCACAGTCCAGAAGAAGGTCTGGAGGATTTGGAATGGATCATTAACGCTGACATGTACGTCCACAACACCCCTAGCTCTATGTATTTCACAACTAACACATATGATAGCGACTCAACCGCATCTCCTGAGAAACAAGCGGAACAGATTATGGCAATCTACCCGATAGTTGATGGTCAAAAGAGCATCTTTGAAGATTCAAAACCCGATCCGATCATCCCAGAGAAGCCCGTCGCAGCAGCAACTAATGACGTACCAAGGCAACCGTCCCAAGAAGACCTGGTGGACTTTGGCCAGAATGAGGTTCCTGCGACCAAGCCAGCCGATACTCCCGTCGAGACCCCCCAAAGGACGCCCGATGAGATTGAAAAGCTGCTATCCAAGACGGGGAAGCCAGCTGAGGGGCCGCTGATTGACTTTACGCAAGACCTGAAGAAGGATTTACCCTCCACTCAACAAGATCAACCCAATGGCACGAGTAATTAAGGCAAGGTTTTAATTTAAATTTTATCAATTTTCTCTCTTACTCCTCTAGCGATATCCTGTATAAACAAGAACTTGTAAGAGGATGCGGCGACTATTCATCCGTCGGGAGACATGCAGCATGGGCATCGATTAAGCAGGGGGGTTGCTCTTGGCGTATTTCATACTGGGGGCAAGAGGGCAGACCGGACGAATCAGGGTATATCACATATCAATCAAATGCATGGCAATCGGGTGCGAACTGGGTTGGATGGGAAAATTCTTTGTTTTTTTTGCACTGTTTAGAAATTCCGCAAAGAGGACCATGATCTGCCAAACTAGTCAGTCTACCTCGCTGTTTCTTCCCAAGATAATGCCCAGCCCTTTGAACGCCATAACAAGCCCAATCATACATGATAATGAAAATTAAGTAAAAAAAGTAACAGGACCCAAAATATGTCATCGCCTTTCTCTCAGCTTAGAGCACCTAGAATCTCCGCCTCGTGGGCTCGGGGGTGGGCGACCGGCTCACGCTGCGCTCGTCGCGCCCGCGCGCCTTGAGCCATTTCTTGGTGCTGAGGGTGAGATCGCGGTCGAGCTCGTCGCTGGGGTTCTTGCGGTGGATGAAGTTGCAGAAGCCGCCGCGGACGCAGCCCTCGCCCGAGTTGAGGCGGCAGCAGGCCTCGCGGAAGTCGGTGACGGGGCTGAGCTCGCAGTAGATGGGGCGGGCGGCGTACCATCGGCTGTTGAGCTCGTCGCAGGCCTTCTGGGCCGACTCCTCGTACTTGAATCGCGCGTACACGTTTCCGATGAGGTCTGGACATCGAACATTAGCAAATCGGGTACACAAGATTGGTGGGGGATTTTGGTGAGATGAGAAAAACGTACGGTCATTGTTGTTGTCGCAGACGACGAGCTCCTCGAGCTCGCCGTACTTGCAGAGCTCGCACCAGATGTCCTCGTAGAAGGCGTCGAAGTGGTTCTGCAGCTGGGAGGGGTTCATGCGGTTCTTGGGGTCGTAGGCCGGGTTCTGGTAGAGGTTGGGCATGAGGATGGTCTGGCTGTAGGACGGCTTGACGTGTTTTCTGGAGCAGCGGTCGCCGTGTCGGCAGGCGCCGATTTTCTAGATTTCGCCACGAGCTCTGGTTAGCTTTAATAATTCCAAGCAAAAGCACGCGCCTCAATGAAGGGAAACGAAAGGTTGGATTGAAGCATGGGAGTTTGAGCTTACAAAATAGAAGGAGCAATTGACTTTGTCAAGCTCAGTACCGAAAATGGAGGCGAGGAAACTGGCCATGGTGAGATATGTCTGGGTTTGTTGTGGGAAGTGTGGTGATGATAGCTTGTGCTGGAGTTGAGCTGGTGCTTCCTCGGATGTGGTGTTTGATAATAAATTGATGGCGTCGAGGAAAGATGCGACGCATTAACTTCTGCATGTAGCCTTGCGCCACAGATGGAGCTAGATGAGGCTGGGGTCACGTGGGGTGTGGCTGAATCAGCTCTTATCAGATATCTAGGCGATTCTACAAGCTGCGGGGACCGAGGACCTGACTCGAGCATATCAAAGATTCTAGAAGTCGGTAATCAGGTTTTAAGGGCTGAAGTCTATGGAAAACATGATTTAATACAGGCTAAAACTGTGTCGCCTTGTGCAGCGAGAAGCTGTGATCGTGAGAGCTCGTCTCAGAAAAAAATAATCGGTCGACTGACAATCCGAGGCACATTGGAGGTTGTTTTAGGCACGGACCACCTAGAGGAACCCCTAATTCGACCTAATCTGATAAAACGGCCAGGGGTATGCATGCAATCATTTATCGGCAGCAGACAAGGCACAGCCAGCCCAGGTAACAGCCTTCGAATGGGGAAGACACCACCAACTTCGAGGTTGCGACACTGGCTTTATGAGCCCAACCCCGACTATCCAAAGGCGATGAATTCGCCGTCATAATCAACAGATTCTAAGCCCCACCCCACAGTTTCTACAGTCACGATGGACCAAGCAGATATCCCAGCGCTCCTGTCGCGTCTGGCAAGCGAGGAAGATGCGTCACGGAAAATGGCCGTCTTCAAGCTCCAGAGCTCAATCAACGACCCATCCTTCGCCGATGTCTTCATATCCTCGGGTGGCCTTGCCGTGCTGCGACGATTGATCATGACCTCGAACGGAAATACACTCGCCTACTCGCTGCAGAGCCTGACGCGGCTTCTCGAGGTGGATATGGGGTGGGACATCTTTGACGGGCCGACATCGAGCGACCTCGTAGAACGGATCGTGGAATTGATTGTGAAGAACCCCCTCGTTAACATTCTGAGGGGTGCCATGTCGATCCTCGTGTCTCTGGTGGGCCATTCGCAGTCGCAGGGGCGGGCCAGCTCCGTGCCGACAACCAACGTCTATGGCTTCCGGGCACTGAAGCCTGCTGTTGCTGTGTATCCCCAGTTCTTCGAGCTGGTAATACAGCAGCTTCAGAGTGCGGACCACGCCCTCTGTGCGAATGCGCTCATGCTGATCAATGCCCTGATTCGCGATGCCTTGTCGGGCAACAGCTCCACCGAGCCAAGCTCGCCACAGGTGCAGTCCAACGGGGCGGATGGTGAGGACTGGGCGAGTCGCATCAAGCTTCTGCAGGATCTGGGACTTATCAAGGCTGTGTTCAATCTTATGAGGAGCTCCGCCTTGCAGGACTTGGCTCTCCCGCTGCTGGAATTTCAATCTTTGACCAAGGTTCTGCTGAAACGGTGGAGGAGCGTCAAGGTGGATGTAGAGCGGACAGAGCATCGGCGTGCGCTCAAGGGCCTTCATCTTGCAAGCGCACCCGAGCGAGTTAATGGGCATTCAAAGGAGGATTCTGGCGGACCGATCCGCAAGGGGAGCAAGCGCCACAATCCAGAGAAGTGGAGGAGGCTCGGCTTTGAGACGGAGAGCCCCAGCCATGAGTTTGAGCTGGCTGGCTACCTGGGCCTCATGGATCTGGCAGATTATGTCCGAAGATATGAAGATGAATTCCAAAAACTACTGCTTGAGCAGGCTTCGAAGCCGTTTGCAGAGCGACTGCCGCTTGCTCGTGCCAGTCTGGCGGTTACTCTGATTCTGTATGATCATTTTGACGTCGGTGGGGTCGACTTGGAAGACACACGAACACTACAGACGATTGATAGGACAGACTACGAGAGGTTGTTCCGACCGTTATTGCTGCAGTGGTCGCGGTTGCATGCAGCTGGCCTCCATGGGTTCTTCCGCGTGTGGAAGGCCACGGGTGCAACGCAGGAGGATTTCGACAAGGTTGCCGAGCTGGCTCGCCTGCTGATCGAGCAAGTGGTTGGCCAGGCTACACGGAGCATAGAAGTGCAGGAAGCCGAGGAGGAGATGCAGGAGTACGACGTTCCACGACTCCGCGACCTGCAGATGAGCCTGCTTGACTTCTCCTTTGAAGAGAAGTGGGGGAAGCACCTATACCAAGCGAGGGAGGAGCTCAAGCAGGAGGCGCTGCAGTTCGTCAAGGAGCAGCGGGTGAGGTGTCTTCTTGAGGGTTCATGGTTCCTACGGCCTACAGCCAAGACCATGCCGTGGCGGTTCGCCAAGCTATCCTATAATCGGCGGTATCTGCACTACGCAGACTTCGAAGCCCAACCGGAGAGAAACCCCACGTTGGGGAACATGCCAGAAAAGATTGCACTCAATACCATCAGCTCCGTTGTCTCCAACATCTCGGCGTCACCCGATGATGAGATTAAAAGCAGTGCCAGCGAGTCCAACTTATCCAGGAGTACGATCGTTCTTAACGTACCCAAGCCAACTACTAAGATTACAATATTCAGCTTCACGGGCCCAGCCGAAGCGGAGAAAGGCCTCGAAGGCAAGGAACAGGCGCTTCTCAGTCTTTGGCCACTTGACCACAGCCTCGCATCTGAGTGGCTCGACGGACTGCTCATGCTGCTCAAGCAGGCACCCATTACAGCTGAAACAAACAAGTTGGTGAACCTCGTGAGCGAGTATGGGCTTAAGATCCGATTGCTCAATGTGCGGAAGGAATCTGCATTTGAAGGTCCGCCGCCCGGGGCCGGCGTGATACCGAGCAGACAAGGCGTGGACGAGGACTACTTCTTCGAAATTTGAGGCCCAAATATTCCTGGGTTTCCATCGAGGACAGTGGCGAGTGTTTCGACAATGCGGAACGAGCAGTGGTGAGCAATTGGTTCTCTTTTTCTTGTAGCTAATTACTATTACATATCTATTTTGGTTTCACATGTACCCTGCTGCAGCGCTGAGCGAAAAGGGAAGCCGGCGGGCGGCGGTACTACAATAATGGCTTGATGGACGCATGGACGAATGGTTGGATGCATAGCGCAGGATCTCTTGACGTTGGGCAGAGGTTGGATGGAGCTGGGTGGGTAGAAGAGGCATTGATAAGGCAACGAAGTGGACATGCTAGCATATAATGCAATAACTGCGCATCAGCTTGCCGTATCAATTCAAGACACATATGATACTGTCATGCTCAGGTGGAAAAAGTGCAGCGAGAGAACGCCGTCAGCGCCCAATCGTCGCGCCAGTCACCAATGCGATGGGGATAGTGGAGCGTCTTGGCCGCAGAGTGAGACGTGTTGTTGTGATTCATGTCGAGCAAAGTTGACAAATCCTGAGAGAAGTCGCAGTTCGGTCCGTAGCGGAGCATGAATACATGTCATGTACTATTCATCTCCTTGCATGATGATAGCAGTCAGTGTGAGGGGCACCAGCTACCTAAACTGCTGCCATTGCTTCCGAGGTTCATGAATTGTGCATTTGCCAGCAGAACTCAACTGAACTACCTTAGCTTGCCTAGCTTACGGCAGTATTTTCCTACTTGGACAAGAGGTCTTGCCCAACGGTGATCAACCGCGGGCGAAGGCAACCTTGTGTTAAGGCGGTGTACAGGGATGTCCCGATGCATGAGCCGGGGGAGCTGGACCACCGCCCAGAGACGAGGCAGAGGCACGTATCGGACTGAGAACAGAACACATTGCACGTAGCTTTTCTGGCGACGGATGTGCTGACTTGGCTGGCATCCACTGCCTGGCTTGCTGCATGCGTGCATAAGCGGCTGGGGAAAACGGGGTGGTGGCCAGTGGGATGATGGGCAGATGCGTGCTTGCTTGCCCACCGACCGATTTTAATATGGGAACATTGAGCGGTCGGTAGGATGGAAGGTGCGAGTGTGTGTGCAATACCACTAATACGTCAATACCCATTGCAAGCCGTCCAATTTTTCCTTTCGTCTCCTCCTCGCAGTCTTCTTAAACCCGTCTGCCCGCTCTTCTGTCGTCTTCCACCTTCCCACCTCTCTCCCCTCCCTCTTCCTTATCCCCCTCCCCTTCAATTCGCCGCGGGTGGTTTGCGGTTTACATCCCTCCGAATGGGGAGCTCATTGGGCGAGTGACTGCTCCACCTAAGCATCACTCTGACTGTCCCTGCTGCAATTGCTCCTCCTCTGAGCACGGATTTAGCAGTGGGGGCTGAAATATTATTAAGTTTCGCCGAAGCTCCTTATCGATAGGAGATTCTCACAGGCGGATCGAAGGCGCTCTAATTTCGCGTCTTCAGGCAGCTGTCAGATCCGGAGAGGCCAGATTGGTAGAGGTAGAGGTACCCGCTTGCGCACACGCACGCCATAGTGTACTTTCAGCTCCCCCTGGACGATCAGAAGCCAGGCCAATCTATTCTTAACAACAACTGCGGACAGGGAGTCCCTCAAAAAAAAGCGACACTCACCACCCCTTTTGGTAAGACATGATAACTCTTTTATCATCTACTCCCCTGTTTTGCATTGCGCACATCTCGTACACGTCCTTCCCTTAGGCATCAGTCTTCTTGCTTTCGGCTACAAAGCCACAAACGCATAATAATTGGTATGGCTTGCCTTCATCGCCCGGCTTTGCAGCCGTGCTTGCCTGCTGCCTGGGTGCTGCCCGCACCATCATCCTTTCATACAAGACATTCCTCTACTACCCAAGACACTCGAAGACACGCCTCTACTCGATCGGGCCGCGCGTCATAAATAGTTGCTAACCGGGTCTCAACTAGCTTTCTCTTCCGCTCAACAGCAAGAATTTCGTTTTGCTATTCGCGTAATATCCTAGTCGTCCCCGAAAAAAAAACATCTCGAGAGACCGTCCTCACAACTCCTATCACTCTTTCAAGGAAAATAAATCAGCAAGACGATCACCATGGCCAGCATTTCGATCCCCATCGACAGCATCACCTCGAGGTTCAACTTCGCTGAGCGTCTCCAGGGCTTCAATCCCAGCGCTCTCTCCACCAAGTTTGGTGGACTCCGTCCCATCAGCGAGTTCCTTGACTTCAAGCGGCTCTCCAAGCCCGCCGACTTTGGTGATGCTCAGTCGCGTGCCAACTACAACTTGAGTCACTACTCAAGCAATTATCTTGCTGTTTTTATCATGCTGAGCATTTATGCTCTCATTACCAACCTTACCCTGCTCTTTGTTATCATTCTGGTTGTTGCTGGTAGATATTTGATTGGCCTTCTCAACGGCCAGGATCTTGTCATCGGCAACTTCCGCGCTACAACTTCTCAACTCTACACCGGTCTCTTCGTCGTTGCCATCCCACTAGGTCTCTTTGCTAGCCCTATCTTAACTGCTCTGTGGCTTGTGGGTGCTTCTGGCGCTACGATTCTCGGTCATGCTATTTTCATGGAAAAGCCAATCGATGAGGCTTTTTCCGGGGAGGCGGTCTAAGTGGTCGGCCGCGAGCTCCCGAATTTGCGCCCCCATGGGGAAGACCATCGAGGCGCGGTCGGAGGAGAGGAGGTGGGGATGCTGCGCCCTTCGGATCCTGGGATGGTGAAACCAGGGTCCGAGAATTGGAAACAGATGAGGAAGATTCGGACAATCAAGGAGGGCTCGTGTTGCGGAGCGGCACGCGCTTCGCCAGTGACTCGCTCCAGTTTACAGGTACTGATCTGGGGGATAGAAGTGGTGCTCTGCGACAGAGGATGGGTCACGGAGGATCAGAGAGTGAAGATAATGCTTCCGACAGTGATGGGCCTGACATTGACGAAATGGATTTGGCTCTGATGTCTTCCATGGAGAAGGAAGAGTTTCTGTATCAGTCGGCCATGGCACGTATCCAGCGAGCTCGGGAGAGGGGGTTGACAGATGTCAATCTCTCCAAGCTTGAGCTTGATGCATTGGAAAGGAGGAGGGAACGCGAAGCAGAGGAGGCTGAGAGACGGGCACGCAGGAAGAGAAGGGATCAGCGTGTTGCTATTCCTTTGACTCAACTGGATCCCGTCTCGAAGAAGAGATCCGGGAGCAAATCACAACTGTCATCGCGACATCAATCTGCGACCGACTTAACAGATGCTGGAGAACTCCGAGCCCTCCCTCCTGTCGGCCACTTTCCTCCGCCTGCAAACTCGCGAGCACGACCGCGGTCGGGCACGGCCAGCTCTCAACGGCCGCTTACTATAGGCTACGATGACCAGTATGAGCATTCAGAACTCCCAAGTTCGAGACAGGCCTCTGATTCGTTATCACGATCTCGCTCCTCGAAATATTATGATGACGGCGCTGCGTCATCCTCGTCAGGTAGTCGAACGCTTGATCCGTTTAAGTTTCAGACAGCGGGTCCGCGTGCGTCGCGTTCGTCTGGCGCTGCGGCCGCCTCGAAACGACACACGATGCCGCCGGAATCTCCGTACAGGACGAGATCTGGTAGGGCCAGAGGCGCCGTTAAAAGGACACCTAGCTCAGACGACACCAGCGAGGAAGGAAATGCCGCAAGTGACGAAAGCACCGACGATTATGACAGTGGAGCGCGAGTTAAACAATCTCCTCCAGCTCGTCAGGAAGCGATTGTAGTGGAAGATTCACCCGAGCCTGAACCTGCCAAGAAGAAGAGCCCATCTCCAACCAAGCGAAAACCAGTTGCCAGCAGAGTGCGGAGGGGTAAGAAGAAATGAGTGGTGGAGGAGGGGAACTGACGTTGCAGAGGTCCGCGCCTCTATTCTTTTGATATATTGATACCTACCAGTGCCCATTGGCATCTGGTTATCTTGCCTCGCATAATTAAATTTTGTATACTTATTTCTCTCCTAATGGCTTTGAAAAGGCATCCACTTTGGAGCATGGCTGCACAAGGGTTGACTGCAGACGTGATACTCTACCTCCAAATTCCAGTTGGCCGTCCGTCGTACAACATACAGGCACTTGGCTTAACCTGGCAAATCTGAAAAGGAGCCTCGGTCGGCTCATCCCGTAGACCCTGGACTGGCTGGGATGGATTGTCGCGAAGTACTCAGTACTTTGAATTGCTAGCGATCTACTGTTTTCAAGGAGTAGACAATACTTTAGGACCCCACCCCCCTACGTTCGATATCCCCATTAACCCAAGCTTGCAGAAGCTTGTGAGTAACCTCCTCCCATTATATCCGAGATACTGCATCGCGTTGGCGTTTAGTTTAATCCTAATCGCGCCAGTCGAACTCATCCCGGTCGTGCGGAAGACGCCTCTCCCCGATCACATCAAATAACCTGCACGGCCCAACATAGACTGATCGCCCTCCAATGTCGTCCAACTCGGCTGCAGCTGGAGCTGCGTCCTCTCGAACCGCAACTAAGCGACTACTCAAAGAGCTGGATACCTGGCGGGAGGAGCAAAAGGAGGAAAAAGGCATCGAGAGGCTAGGTCCATCAAGGGACGAGGACCTATATCTATGGGAGGCCGTCATCAATGGTAATGGCATCGGCAGCGGCTACGACGGTAAGAGATGCCCATCCATCCATCCCTATCCTATCTCCGCGCCCCGACCTCAGCCGAAATCTGGCTCCTTTATTCGATCTTTTTTTCCCTAACTCGAAGTCTTTCTTCTCGCCCTATAGCCGGCCGATGGCTGCTGACCATCTCCATCCCGTCGACGTACCCGCTCCATGCGCCCAAGATCCAGTTCGTCACGCCGATACTGCACCCCAACATCGCCCCGGACACGGGCGAGATCTGCCTCGACCTCCTCAAGGACGCGTGGACGCCCGCGTACAGCGTCCTCGAGTCCGTGCGCGCCGTGCGCATGCTCCTCAGCTGCCCGGAGACGGATAGTCCGCTCAACGTCGACCTCGCCGCGCTGGTGAGGAACGGCGACGCGGTCGGCGCCAGGAGGCTGGTCGAGTTCTGGTGCTCGGACGAGAGCAGCAGGTACAATGGACAATAAGGCGGGGGACTGATGCTCGGGGATGCCGAACGAGGATGGATTTCGGGGAGGAGGGTGTGTGCGGCGATTGCACACACAATGTCTTTGCGGTTCCTTTTGTAGCCGGGAGTTGAAGCGTTTTTCTGATCTAGGAAGGATGAAGGGATAACTTAATTGTTGCTGGGAGGAGGAGGAAGGAGAGATTGTACGACCCCGATTACTGAATGAAATGATACCAAATAGCCATCTTGTTGAGATACAAAGGTCACCTCTGGATGAATCAACGATCAATTATTGAGGAGTTGGGGTCAACAGTTCGATCTTGAGTACTAAAAGAGAGAGAGCCGCATACGATGTGTATGGAGAGGATATGTGGCCTCGAGAAAGGACTATCGACCGTCTCGTGGGCATTTGTCTACTGATTTTCTAAACATACAAGGACATGCAGAAACGTCTCGTCCCGCTCCTTGAGACGTTTCGGACCAGCAAGAGAAGACTCGAGCAAGTGGACCTCCGCTTGGCATGGGACTTCTAGACAAAAAAGGTTTGTGGGTAGAGAAAGGCTGTCAAGCGCCAGTTCTATCTATTGACACCCGTATTAACAGCATTGAGGATTAACCAAAATATAATTCTTAGCACGTCTCTCAAGTCCCAAATACAAGGGAAGGAAATCTAGCCACATCCGGTGTGCAAAACCTTCTGGTCCAGGTCATTCTTCAGAATAGCCTGGAGGAGGTACAGGCTTTACACGGCTCTCATGGCAACAAGCTTCTAGGTTTCTACCAAACTGAAGGGGGCTGGAGGAGCTCTACTACCACCTACCAACGATATATATTTCCATAGAGAATCATTAGAAGACCTTATAACTAAGATCACAACAAAAACTTACGGAGAAGCTACTAATCAAAGTACTGCTTCATCTAAAACTCAACTAACTCACTTGACTGTAGTGCGCTACTAGTCGTCTGGCGAAAATGATGATATCTCTCCAGGAGAAGCTGAGGAGATCAACTGGCAAATCGAACTGGTCTGACGAAAACGTCAAGAACAAGGTCGTGGAGGGAATGCATCTTTCACGATGTGGTTTAAGTTGGAAATCCGTGGCAGCGCGATATATCGGGTATGGTCATACGAAAGACAGGGAACATGATGAATAAAAATAAAATAAAACCCTAAAGCCCATGAAAACAAGTGCCCCCGGTGTACGCCAATGAATCTACCATCAGGAGCGATGAAATGGTGCTCGTAATGTTTGAGTGGGTTACTGTACAGATAGAACGCCGCGCAGAATTCAACCACGGGACCTATAAGGTGGCTGCCAAGCATAATCCAGCTGTTGGCCTGCCCAACCGTGCTCGCTTTTAATGGGGAAGTGGATGTGGGCTGCCGAGCATGAGTCTAGTAACAACAGTAAATAGATCGTGAGTGCCGCAATTCAGAAGCTAGATAGCAAGTATTGAGACATGCCGCTCATTCATTGTAATGATACACCTAGAACAGTTAGCTAGGATTGTTCTTTCCGGTCAAGGGTTCACTGCCACTCACCTTGTAGTTTGGCAAACCATATGGTTGCCACCCCAACCGCTTGGCCATTTTAGCAAAGCCTTCAGTTTCAATGAGATGATAAAAGGCGAAAGGAGGGAACATGGCCCCGTCACGGTGCACGTCTGCTCGGACTAGCAAGGCAGTACCACCAACTCCGTCAAGGGGAACAACTGTATCCTTCTCAGAAGGATTCGTGGCCATGTAAGCCATCAGCAGTCGGTATGTGGCCATCTCAGCATACCCCTCGAGGAGAATATCGTCAGGGCCCATTGAAGCGCCGAGTTTCTGTGCGACGTCGCTATCCTGCCAACTGTTGAAGTCATATGGCCTCTCGGCCATGCTCTTTTTCTCAGCATCGTAGTACTTTTGGAAGCAGTTGGCCACAATCACAGGCTTCGAGTATCCCGCCAGGTCCTGGATCAAAGAAGGCGGTGTCTCCACAATATCGCTGTCCAGCCAGAGAACCCACGAGGTGGCAGGTCCCAGGGTGGTGAAGAGGAGCGAGTTGCGCGCCTTCGACATGTCCTCTCGTCTAGCCTTCTGGTTGGCCATCTTGTGGCGCTCGCTCTCGTCCTGGGATTGCAGCGATGGCTCGAAATCCTGGCGCAGGATGATGATGCTCTTGAAGCGGTCCTTCTCAGGACCTTGCTTCTGGGTCTTCTGGATCTGCTGCTGCAGCAGTGCGGTGGCCGCATTTCCCTCCTTCGACTTGGGTAATATGAAGCCCAGGGTGATGAGTCCGTGGGGGTAGCTCAGTCTGAGAAGATTATCCCAGTACTCCTGATAGAACCTGGCCATGGGAGTCAGGATCAGGACATGCTCCTGGTTGCCAATCGGATCGGCCGTGATGGTAACATTATTGAGGTTGTAACGGGTGACAGGCGGGGGGCCAATCTCGACAGCGGCGTCCGATTTAGGTTTGCGATACGGTGATGTCGGTGGTGAGAGGTGATGCCGGGCGCTGTCGACAACAACTCGGGTGGTGCTACTCGGGGTGGAGGAAGGCGAGATGAGGAAGTAGAGAATGAATATACAGAGGACGATGCCCAGTAAAAGAGTGAATGGGTTCGCCTTCTTCAGGCGAACCGACCCCATGGGTCGAGCCATGGAGGTAGCTGTCGGACTGGTTCCGTTTTCGAGAGTCGTCGGGCACGTAAGTAGGCGATGCGATTGATGGTGGATAGGAGGGACAGATGGGGCGCAGGGAAATGAAGATAAAATATCAAAGGGACAGGAGCATGGGAAGACAAGAACGAAAAGAAAAGACCTCGCGCCCGTGAACACGGAAGTGGGCTGGAGGGGTTGAAGGGGGAAAGGAAGCGAAGACGTGTGGCGTCGTGGTGAAGATAGTAACTTTTGGCGAGTATCGGATTGGAATCCAGGGATCCGTGTCTGCTAACAAGGGGCACCTACCCCGTACCTGCATCCACTGAAGCATCACCGGCTAAAATATCTGTCCAGTATCGTCGCAACGTCAATTGAGCTGAGATCCACTCTTGCTCCTTTGGCCACGCCGCTTTTGGCATGAGCATGGCCTGAGCAGATTGACGTGATATCAATGAAATACAAAGCGACACACTTGAATACACTGTTTTCCTGAAAAACACTTTCAATATCTCTACATGTTCCACTGGTCTGCCACCGTAAAACACGCTGCAGGCCGGTCTGAACCTAGGACCCGTTGCAGAAACATTTTAACTTTGAAGGCACCGTAGGTTTGTAGGCAGCGACCTACCTCTCACCCAATAGCGAACTGGATTACAGATGCAGCATCATCTCTGCCAACAGGAGTCTTATGAAACCCCACTAACACCTCAATGTTCTTTTTCTCGCGTATTAGGGGACAGTAGTGTAACAATTGGATAGACATGTGAGGTTCCGGCTTGTTTCTGCTATGGTAAAATCTCTATAAGCAAGACCTAGACTTCGAAATTTCCCCTTTCTAGGAGACCCTTAGGTATTTGGTCGCCCACAGTTAGAGATACTAAACGTAAATCTCGATGGAGAAGTAGCATATATCAGTCAACATTCAAGTCATGTCGTGTCCCTATGAACGTCAACGATCTGGCTGGTGGGTTTCCAAAGCGGCGGGGATTCGTTTCAGCGCCTGTTGGCTGCCTTTAGCGGCCTGGCTGGAAAATACAGGTCCAACTCACATCCAATGGCCTTGTCCAATCAAGTGAGCACCTGACTAAATATCAAAAGGCTTTTGTCCTGGATTTTTATCTGACATTTGTCCGCCCAATGAGCCTTCGTGAAGCACTCGTATGACAATGCTTTCTGTGTGATTCGCAACTGTTATTGTCGCCAAACGTTGATTTCAATGTACTTCTGTTCGTAACGCACGCTATACTAGTAGGTACATAGTCTTCCTCGAAACGGACTTTAGGACGTAATTTACAAATCGACTGGAGCAGGCATTGCCGAATTCTAAATGTTCGAAGCATTTTGACGCTGCCTAATAGCCTGACCCTGAATAAACACTGGTCCCAGACCTGTCAACGTTCTGCTGCAACATGAACCCTATATCTCCTGAGTATGTTTCTGTCCTCGAGCCGAAAGATCGGGAAAGGGTATCAACAAAGCCGGGACTGACCCTTGCAGACCCGGCCGGGTGGTCCTTCGTCCTGGGACAGTCGATGATGTGCCGGCGGTGGCGCGGCTTATGGATCTTGCCGTAGAATGGCTTGTGAGGCTGGGAATAACTGGGCAATGGGGTACACAGCAGCCTTCGGAAATCCCAGACCGCATAAAGCAGTTCACCAGCTTTGCTGAGTCGGGCGGCTTATGGGTCGCAGTAGATAGTCAATTCTCCGGCGCCGAGAACAGCAATGCAGCAAAGGATGTGTCTGGGGTCAATGGGTCCAGCTGCAGGCCAGGAGGCGTGGTCGGGGCCATTGCGGTTGGAGATGCGACTCCGTATGTCAAACCGGCTGAGGAGCCCGAGCTATACATCAAGGGCTTCCTAACCGACCGGTCTTGGGCTGGACGCGGCATCGGAGCAATGTTACTGGCCAAGGCACGCCAACTTGCACGCGATGCTGGTGTTTCGGTGCTTCGAGTGGATTGTTACAGGGGAGACGACGGTAAGCTTGTCAAATACTACGAATCGCAAGGCTTTGTGAAAACGGAAGAGTTTCAAGTTCACGGCTGGCCTGGGCAAGTTTTGATGCAACGGCTGGATTGAAACGCAAGGCTAGCAACCAGCGTCTAAACAGGTATCTCTCATAAAATGACAGATCAGCTTCGGGTTCTCTCACTTACCTGCTATTTGCTTTTTGTGGCTTTCGTCCTACGAAGCACCAAAGCTACTGATCGTAACCATGAATGAAGATGGTTGATGATGCATCATGTGTCAACGCTCACGTCTCATATCATATCGGGGCTTGGAGGAGTCCACCTCGCTAAGAATAACCACAAAGGCCCCACCTGGGCTTCTAGAGCGTTGCCCCATAGGCAGGTGCCCCCTGTAGAAAGCGTGTACCAAGACGCGATAGGCTCCTTAGTCCAGGGAAATCCGCGAATTAATTGGCTGGTGCCTCAGCGTTTCTTTTCTATCTATGTAATCTTACCGATCAGTCCCAACAGCTTGGCAAGACCGTTTGCCATCGCCTCAGATTCTGCCTCACGTCGCCGACTTATCGTCAGCTTCACTTGCAAGGTGCACGATTACGCGAACCGAGTCGCCTGCTCATAAAATCGATACGTCGCCGACCGGATCGTCTCGAGAAAACTCAGCGTTGTCTTGGTGATTCATCGCCCATCATGGCATCCAGTAGTAAGATGGACCGTGGTCTTGACGAGATCATTGCCGATAACGTAAGGATCATCCACTACAGCCCGGTTCAAATTCTCCATGCATTGGGACTGACGACTCATTCTTCCTTCAGCGCAGCAATGCCCCTCGCAATAGGCGCAATGGCGGCGGTCCAACTGGTCGCCGTCGCGGTGGCGATCGTCAAGAGACTCCCCGAGATGGAGTAAGAAAGGTCAGAGAGGAAACAACACCGGGCGCACCATCTGCTTCCTGTATATCCGTCATGTTCGCTTCTAACATGCAGAATTTAGGTTGCACATTCCTCCCTCTAGCCTCACTCCTTTTTGGCGCCGGCACTTCGTCCTTCACGACCTCTCGATCCGTACTCGGAGCGGTGAAGCGACTCGACATGTGCCTCGCTCTATATCGATATCCTGGCTGACTCGACTCTCCTACCATCCTACAGTCTTACCGAAACGAACCCAGGAATCTTGATGGGTAAGTAAATTTTCATTCCTAAAACCCTTTTTTTTGTTCAGCAAGCTAATAGCGACCAGGGAATGGGTTCATGATCGATACGAAGAGAACAGTAATCAGCCATCCCAGCATCCGACTCCTCCCATTTGCACCGACTTACCTTTCTACTAGGTTATCGCAAAGCTCCTGCCCCTCGTCGCCGTCAAGCATCTCCCGAAGCTGAAGCTCCAGGGAGCAAACTTCGAGTAGAAAACATCCACTATGATCTTACCCAGGACGACCTCGAGGTATGATCACAGATCTCGAACTCTCCAGGGGAAATTGTGGCATTTTGACTGACTAGCGATTAATCAGGAACTGTTCAAGCGTATTGGGCCTGTCACAAAGCTACAACTTCGGTACGACCGGGCCGGACGGTCAGATGGAGTCGCGTTCGTGACCTACGAGACCAAGGCAGACGCTGAGCAGGCAATTCGCGAGTTCGATGGAGCAAACGCGAATGGTAACTTGTCCATCGATGCATCCCCCACTCTTCTTGTCTAACTTTCTCTAGGACAACCGATTCGCTTGACGTTGCTTTCCGAGCGCCGGGGTCGCAACCCATTCGACTCCGCCTACATGCCTGGTCGACCTCTATCGGAGAGAATCACGGCGCCGGACGGTCGAGCTCGGTCCCAATCTCCCCAAGGGAGGTACTCGAGAGAAGACGCGGCTCGAAGGGGAATTGATAGGTACATCCCGGGCGAGGGATCTGGAAACAGGTCAAGAAGCCCAGCTCCTAGACGTGGCGGGCGCCGCCCGGGTGCTCGCCGCGAGCCCGGTCAGGGTCGCGGGAGAGAAGGTGGCCGTGAGGCTCGTGGCAACCCACGCTCCAAGAAAACCCAAGAAGAGCTCGACGCAGAAATGGCGGACTATTTCGGCGGAAACGGCGACGCTGCGCCAGAGGCTACCCAGAGCAATGGGAACGCCGATACTACTCAGAATGCTGCTCAGGCTGCCCAGGTGCCAGCAGAGGACATCGACATGATTGAGTAATTGGCTAGCAGCAAGATGCGGTGTTTGGGCAACGTGCCCGGGTAATAAAGAAGCGGTATAAGACATTGCCAGGTCACCATTCCGGGAACAATGCGCACCCAGGTTCTGGCAGTTTCACACACGAATGTAGTTTGGGCTCGTCTGTTCTCTTTGTTTGCGTTTTTTTTCTTCTCCTCCATCTTGTTTGGCTGGGCTGTGGCCGGCTAATAAAATACAATAAGAGGTCGGCATTTTTTTTCGCATCTGGTTCTTGTCATCTGTATCTCCTTAAGGTTTTCTGTACAATTTCAATCATACTCTCTCATCTATGCTCAGGCAGCGAAGGCGGGACCTTGAAACCACTCGCTTGCGACTCCAAAATACGCGTTGAATTTGTGACATGCAAACAAGTTGGATCGTTAAAAAAACGGGATCCAAACCTTAGCCATTAACAGGCTATGCGTGCGGTTTGGCATTTCACCGGATCATATAAGGTCAATTGGACAGTTGTATCGCTCTCATACGAATAAGCTGTCCGAAGCAGCAGCTGATTTAGCAGGCCAGGTTCGACAGCTAAGACGGCTTCCAATGAAATAGAGGTCGCCGCAGCTGACTTCCAAGCCGGGCCTGTAGCTATTGCCTGTCATGATGAGAGACAGCTTGATCAGTTCCTTATGAATTGACTGTCGCCGCAGATGACAGCTAGGTAGGCTTGAATGAGATGACTGTCCGAAGCAGCAGCTAATGAGCAAGTCAAATTTGACAGCTGTATCGCCTACACACGAAGAGGCTGTCGCAACAGATGACAGCTAGGTCAGGTCTACAGATATTGCCTGTTACAACAAAGGACGTAGATATATATCGTGGCCGTATGTAAATTCGAAAAATGGCGGCCAAGCGGGCTACACCAGGCTCGTGTCAAGATAAGAATGTCGCTGGGCGAAAGATGAGGAGGGTGCGGGTCTCATAACTTTAAGTTACCGTAGGTATTCCAAATGACAACAGAATGTGGAACAACATTTGAGCTGACTTCTAGTTTCGAATCTAGCTCGGAGACTTTGTAGTAAAGGGTAATGTGGAAATATTGGGATAGTGAAGTACTACTTAGCCAACACAAATTTTAGCTATCGTAATATTTTCCCTGTGTCTAACTGGTGCGTAATAACATCAACATCACGAAGGATCCTAAAGCATCTGAAGATGGGTTGTCCATTGTATTCGTTTCCGGTACCTGACTCAAGGCTCCGCTTACTAAGTCACGTGTGCCTAAAAATAGACCAAGCAGCGGTAAATCTTTAACAAGTCCCGAATGTAGGCCGATCACCAGCATTTTTATTCTCTCTTCATCTGTATCTAGAAGCCTTTCTTCCTCACCATGTTAAACCGAATGCTGAATCACATGTTGCAACAGACCTAACCAGAGCCTACAATTCTACCTTATCTTAGAGCACACCCCTACATTTGCCAAGGCATCATGTATGTAAGCAGGATCCACTAGAGACAGGCGTGCAACCCCCAGCTGTGCCCACACCCAGCCTCAACTGCCAGCGCCAGAGCAACCGGGACAGAAGCTGGCAAAAGTCCGGAACCGATCCCGGTATCGACAGAACAGGAAATATGGCACTTGATCAGTACGGCAGTTGGGATGACGAATGTACCTGCATTTGGCAACACGACCCATTACGATCCACGAGAATGTTAAATATGCCGACTTCAAAAATCGGCATTGGAAACAAAAATCCATCAACAAACCAAAAGACGGTCTGGCTCTTCTAAGAAGGAGGCCGTGCTGCCATCGAGAGCCGCTGGGAACCCCAATTGCCCGGCTGATCAGTCTGTCGTAGGATTGTACGAGGTTTTGGCATTCTCCGCCCAGTCCGCGGTCACAGCCAGCAACTAAATGGGAAATCCACCATGGTTAAATACCTTCCCGCATTTGGTTCATGGAATGGGACCACAATGATCCTTATGGGAGGCAAATTGGTCGTGCACTCACACGCGGCGCTTTACGTATTTTCACAGACGAGTCAACGAAATGAGTTGCGGCAGTAGATACGCACGGCTGCCGCAAGAGGCTTATGGGAACGGGCCTCACCCTGCGGATTTACACGCACGAGCCAACGGACACGCAGCCTGAAAAGAAGTCAGCTTACGGAGGGCAATTTGCAGCTTGGAGAAGTCACCGACCTGAGGTAGCACCACCCATTGGCTTGGCAACTCGTCTGTCATGTCACTACTTGCTTGGATCCCATGATTTTTTGTTGGCGAGAGGCTCTGGGAAATGAGGATAAGCAAAAGGGCAGCAATCTATGTGAAGCATATAGTTCATGCACCTCGATAATTATAACAATGTATCAAGCGAGGTGTGGGTGGGGGACTTTTGTGTCACTCAGCCTCTTCATCCGCTAGGGTCCCTAATGCTAGTTCATGCCAAAACTGTGGATGAAGGAGTCGAGGAAGCGATGGGCGCTGTGGGAGATATTGGTTGGGCTTGCTTTCATTAATGGGAGTTGCTGGGCGGCTGGGGTTGGCAAAAAAATGAAGTGTGTGCTTGCCCTTCATTTCTTTTCTGGACAAGGAGGGTAGTATTGATCTTGCTGTACATAGTATATCTGAAAAACGAACCAAAGGTCGCATTTTTCTTGCTACGCCGCAGACATACAGACATGCGATCCTGCAGGTGAAGTCATGGCCCAAGGCACATGGGAGGAGTCGATCCCACTACATGGATGCGCGCGCTATCGCAGAGCGTCCCAGGCTTTTTCCTATTAAGTCGACATCCTGCGCCGGATAGGGATCTTAGGTGAGACGGATGAGATTGGATTAGGTCCTCACGGGTAGTGCGCACACGGAGACCCGGACTCCGTATATCCCTGCCGAGGTGTTGATGTGAATGAAGTTGGGGAGCCAAGTCCGAGAAATGTGCTTCATCAAAATACATTCAGTCAATCGAGAAATCCAAGCTTGGTTGAATACTTGATTCTCTTTCAAGAAATCGCCTGAATATTCATACGTCTTGCTTGGACACTCTTATCGCGTGCTGCCTGTGAGGATTCATGTAGGGGGCCCATGTATCAGGCCAAGTGCCGCTAGCAGCATCTGAGACACTCACCAAGTGCCGGCTATGTATTACTGTCCGGAGGATCCATTGCCTGCTTGATGATTGGTGTGGCACTTCTAGAACAATTTCCCCAATTGGTGTTTCTTGTTTGGGGGGGAACCGCGATCCCTGCCGTCCAAAATCCGTCTGTGCTATTTGGCCCATCTACCTACTTCCCCAGGTAAGTCTCACCGGGATCGATGAGCGTGCGCATTAGTCTCTGAGTGCCGGTAAGAATTTAGTATGCAGCGACCCTGGCGCATTCTTATTCAACACGTTACTATTGCATGTAATTTCAGACGGCGTCCAGAAATGCCGGGGTATCGCGTGCCTTGGACTTGGTCCAACATACATGTACCATGATGATCAGTCTAAAATTAGAGAGCTTACTTGTAGCTCAACCAAGGTGAAGAAGAAGGCGGCTTGAGGAGAATCGTATATAATGGTCCTGCTTCTCGTTCATCCAGAATTGCATAAATCAGCAGCAGAACAATCCCCTCTCCAATCCTCCCTAGTCTTCCAACAAGCTCCTTTCAAGTCATCAACATGCATTTCACCAAGACACTCGTCTCCTTCTTCGCCGTGGCCTCGTTCGCCTCGGCCTTCTCTGACATCGAGGAGCGAGACGATGATATCCTCGAGGTCCGCCGCGAAGAGTTCCTCGAGGCCCGCTCCGCTTACATTGAGGCCCGAGACCTCTACATCGAGGAGCGTGGCAACATCATTTCCAAGTCATCTGTTAGTCTGCCCATTTGTCTGTCTAACCCTTGTATTGCCTCCCTAGCTAACCGGAGTTGTTCTTTCTAGGATGGTACATGCAAGCAAGGCGCCACTCCTCTCCCTTGCGTCAGCAAGTCGAAGAACAAGCGCTGCGGAACTTGCAAGGCCGGCAAGAAGGTCGGTGATGGATGCTCTTGCCAGTACTAAGTGTAGTAGGTCGATGGCTTCACGCTGCCCTACTGAGGAAGGGGGAGAGAGAGGGATTTTTTGTGCAAATTATATACCTTTCTGTTTTTTAGCCAGTGGGATTTTGTCCCTTCTACAGTGGCAGGCTGTTCTATTATAGAGGGAATTGCGATAATGTAACAAACATAAATCACAGGCTCAATCACGCCATGATTGGAATCAAATTTTCTGTCGGGTACCGTGAATTAACGGCCAGTGTCCCAATGATACACTTCCTCTTGTAAAAACCCTTTATCACTAAAAATACCAAGGAAAAAGTACTCTGTCGCAATAGTTCTGGCTTTATTAAATACGGCTGTAATGGGTGAGACTTCCCAGCTCAATCAAGGGCTATTCCGATTTGTCACAGCTTGAGACGACCTAATTTGAAGCATAATTCATAGAAGGTTTAGTTTCCGCATTTTTGGGCCTAGGGGCACTTGTGAGGCGAGGGGGGACAAATCGACAGTTCGACCCGAAAAGATGAGATGAGCCCCTTTATTATGAGTATGAATACATGCCTAGTAATTTTTCAATATTTCTTCCCCAGGGAGGGGTACTATCATCAATGATGGACGATGAAGGGCATCACGTGAGAGCTCCTCTTTAAAACCCCTCTGCAGACTACCCTGTAGTTTGACCCAGAACCGAATATCATCAATGGATTTCAACCATTGATGATATTTAAGAAGCATATACGTGCGATCTAGCTCATCATAACAAAAGGCTTACTATGGTAGCAGTTCAGAAGATCGGCGTCTTGTCGCTGGGTGAGATGGGAGCAGGCATCGCCAGGTTGCTGGTTGCTCATGACTTCACTGTGGCTACAAATTGTCAAGGCAGAAGGTGAGTGAGCCTTTTATTTATGTAACAGATTCCCATCCCCAGATGCCACAAAAAATCCAGCGGAGTTGACCAAAGTATGACCGGGCAGTGAAGATACTCTTAGCCGAGCACGCAATGCTGGTGTCGAGCTCCTCACCTCAGACCAAGAGCTGGTCCAGAAATGCTCAGTTGTCTTCTCAGTCGTCCCCCCTCGTGATGCCGAAGCCACTGCCCAGAGGGTCATCGACGCTCTATCGGGCGGCTCGAGGGCAAACCGGCTGTTCTACGCCGACCTCAACGCCGTCTCCCCCGCCACGACCAAGCGCATCGCCGCCATGTTCGAGAAGGCCAGGGCGCCCGTCCGTTTCATCGACGGCTGCATCCTCGGTGCGCCGCCGAGACTCAAATCGGACGCCGACCCTGGCACAAATGTAAGTATGAGCGATACCACCAGCAAGGAGTTCAACTGGGCTCGCCCCCGCATCCCCATCTCCGGCCCCCACTCGCTCGCGGAGGAGCTCGAGGGCGGGGAGCGGCTCGCGTCCGTCCTCAATCTCAGGTCCATTTCGTCCGAGATTGGTGCCGCGAGCGGGCTCAAGATGTGCTTCGCGGCCATGACCAAGGGGTTTACCGCGATAGCCACCCAGAGCTTCTCCACGGCGCACCGCCTCGGAGTCGCCGGGGAGCTGAGGAAGGAGATGGCGGCGCTGATTCCGACTCACCTTGGGGAGGCGGAGAAGGGCGTTCCGTCCATGGTGCCCAAGGCGTACCGTTGGGTGCGGGAGATGGAGGAGATTGCTGCGACGATGAATGATGAGGGTGGCTGGGGCAGGGACATATTTACTGGCGCTGCCGGCGTGTACAAAGCCGTGGCCGAGGATGAGGTTCTTAGTAAGGAGAAGACGGGGAAGAGGAACAGGGGAACATCCATAGAGGATGTGGCAGCTGCCATAGGAGAAGGCTTCGAGAGAAAGAGAAAGAAGACAGAGTAATGTAGACAGATCTGGGCTCGTAGTGATTTTACATACATATAGTTACAGTATAACCGAGCGGAATGAAACCAGGCCAAATAGCTAATACACAGCGATAGGTATACATGTCACCCCAAAGAGACATTTAAAATATATCCAGGTCCGGGAGCATCATAGCATCGGGCATTAGTAGCCATGCTGTACTAGGATCTGATGTGCCTTCTTCATTTGGCCGTCCCGTTGCAAGAAAGACCCTGGAGTCCGGGACAGACAGTTTCATAGAAGAGCCCACTTCGCCTAGGATCGAGCCTTTCATCTTTGTGCTGTGAAGGAACACGGCTTTGTTGGATAATGCCACGAAGTGGTGACCAACCGAAACGGACATGGTATCCTCGATCTCCGGCAGGTCATCGCCAGGCCCTACAACGCCAAATGTGAAGGGACCTGGCAGAGGCTTTCTGGCCGAGGGATGGGGCGCAAAAAATTGGATACTGGAACCAACTGGCGCAAAGCCAGAGTCAGCACCCGCTTGGAAGAAGCTGGCTAGCTGATCCTCCTCGGACAGCGAGAAATGGGATGTCTGAGGATCCAGGGACAGCAGGCCCTTCTTCTTACCCCATCCTCCGCCGCCGCTTACTGTGTGCGATGTTAGTTGTCCTTGTAATTATTACGTGTCTATTCGTCACATAGGGAGAGCTTCATATAGTCATGATTGTTAGGAACCCACTTACATAGCTGGTAAAGGCGACTCCCGTTTCTGATTGCTTCATCAAAGTATTTGTTGTTTTGTAAGATCTCTTTACGAAGAGTCTTTGGGTCTAGAGTTGGATCACCGAACCGGCCCACGTCAGGTGGTGAGAGGGATGGAGCCCCCTCAGGGGTTATAAATGCATACATGGGAAAAGGACTCTGATCGGACTCTTCCCTGATCTTCCAGACTTTTTCAACAGCAGCTTCCAGCTCTGTGGATGCTGGGGTATCTTCTCCGTAGCATTCAACTGCTCTGACAATGTTTCCAAAACTTTGGGTTACCGCACGGGAGGGGGTGAGTGCGGTAAGCGGCAGCATGGCTCCAGCGCGGGAGTCTGCTGGTAATATTATGTCCTGGGTGTAGGTCTCCTTGGTCTTAATAAGCTTCGGGGATGGCCCTGAAATATCATATTGAGCAGCGATCAAGGTCGACTGCTTGTTGTTATTGAATATGGTATTGGATAGCGGAAGCGTGACGCTCGACCCAGAAAAGTCAAGAAATTGAAGAGCCGACGTCGCATCAGAATCCTCTTTCTGCTTAGGTGGTAGGTCTTTCCACAGGTTGGGTATTAGCTGAAGATTGCCGCGACAAACCGCAATGCCTTCCTCGTATCGTTTGCCGTTCTTGTTAGGATGACCGGCAATACGGTCAGCTACTCCCACCAGGAGATTGAAAACTCCATCGCTACGGGGTAAGCCTGATATTGTCTTAACCAGGCCGGTGAGGAACTCATTGTCACAGACAAGCCTCGCTAAGCCAGGAGATGTTAAGACAAGGGCGGTATCGTGAATATCAGAATTACGCCTAATAGCTTCATCATTCTCAAGACACTGTCTCAAAGCACCAAGGGTCACGTCACGGCTTAGCTAAGAACTGTTAGTGAGCTTCTATGTGATTTAGGGAGAAGAGAAGAAGGACGGTACCGTGGCTTTTGTGGGTATATGAATGTTGAACACTACAGGGGACGGAATGTCCGTGCTATTGTTGATCTTCCTACATTGCGCCCGCGCTATTGATAGACGAGGGATTGTTGCTAGAGACCGAGGAATGGATCTGTATAGACCTTGCCGGGATACTAACGAGAAAGTCATGGTTTCGGTCCGGGCGTGTTTGTCGCCTGGCCTTCCGTGTGCCCTGTTTAATTGATTGGTGGAGAACGAGACCAAGGAATTGAATTATTGCTAGTAGCTCATGGTAAAAGAATCTTGGACTACACTGACGACTCAATACGAGAGACAATTCGGCCAACACAAAGCCGCCTTGCGGTCACTTGGCGAACTGAATCTGACCTTTTCCTTATCGCCTTATCGGCGTTGAACAACGGCTGTGGCTGAAGCTGGCGCCACATGTGGGTGAGGGGTCAAGCCACACCTAGGACCCCTCATCGCACTAAGATAATGCAGCGGAGGGGCTAGTTTTGTCCCGCTTCAATTGATTCTTCCTCTATCAGCGACTCTGATCATTCATGTGGTGGTTGAGTCATCTGGCCCGCTTCTCCTAGCAATTTTGCTCCCACGCGAGGTACAGGTCAGGTCCAGTCAGTGTTCCGAAGCCCTCTCTAGCGGGCTTCTCTTTTGACATTTCACCACGACGTTCAGGCTTGCCGTACGTGCACTTCGAGTGCGATCTGCTTGCTCACGACGACCTTTGACTACGACTGTTCGCGCCGCCGCCGCCATGGCTACAGACAGCGGACCAGGCAATCCTGGTAGGTAAAATCTTGAAGAAGCCTTGAGAAATACTCACAAGATCCAATCCATCGATGATCAACCTTTTCTATTCTTCTGTTCTAACAGTTAGTGTTTCTAAAGGAAATGACCAGAGCGCCAGCGCAACCCCCGCAGCCCCCGTCGCAGATGGTGCCGTTCCCAAGGTGAAGACCGAGAAGGAATGTAAGTAATGGAGTCTATAGCCCTAGAGAATTCTCAAGAATCAAATCGCTGAAGAACCCTTCGTTTAGTGGAAAAGGAACGCAAGCGAGCCGAGAAGGTCGCCAAGTTCGAGGCCAAGAAGGCCAAGGCTGCCCAGTCCGCCGCCGCCCCTGTGAAAGAAAAGAAGGTCAAGGAAAAGAAGCCCCAGGAGGTTGTCCCTGAGTACGTGGAGGACACTCCCGCCGGCGACAAGAAGCGAATCCGATCATTCGAGGACCCCAACTTCAAGGCCTACGACCCTATCGCCGTCGAATCTGCTTGGTATAGTTGGTGGGAGAAGGAAGGTTTCTTTCAGCCCAAGTTCAAGGATGATGGCAAGGTTCAGGATGAGGGCAGCTTCGTCATTGTGCACCCTCCACCAAACGTTACTGGAGCTCTCCACATGGGCCACGCATTGGGTGACTCTCTCCAAGATATCATGATCAGATGGAACCGTATGCAGGGAAAGACCACCCTGTGGCTCCCCGGATGCGACCACGCTGGTATTTCAACCCAGAGCGTTGTCGAGAACATGCTGTGGAGGCGCCAGCAAAAGACTCGCCACGACCTTGGCCGAGAGAAGTTTATCGATACCGTTTGGGAGTGGAAGGGCGAGTATCACAAGAAGATCAACAAGGCCCTTTCAAGCATGGGTGGCTCATTCGACTGGAGCCGAGAAGGTACGTCTTTTTTCTTTCTTCATGTCCGGAATTTTGATAAATTGAGCTTTGATTCTTACCATTACCCTTTCTTTAGCTTTCACCATGGATGAGAACCTGTCCGCAGCCGTCACGGAGACCTTTGTTAAGCTCCACGAAGAAGGCGTTATCTACAGAGCTAACCGTCTTGTCAACTGGTGTACAAAGCTGAACACCGCCCTGTCAAACCTCGAAGTTGTCAACAAGGAACTCACCGGCCGCACCCTCCTTGATGTGCCAGGATATGAGAAGAAGGTTGAGTTCGGTGTTATTGTTCACTTCCAGTACCCCATTGAGGGCTCCGATGAGAAGATCGAGGTCGCTACTACCCGTATCGAGACGATGCTTGGTGACACGGGTATTGCCGTAAACCCTAAGGATTCGAGATACACTCACCTTGTTGGAAAGACAGCTCTCCACCCCTTTATTGAGGGTCGCAAGCTCCCGATTATCGCCGATGACTACGTCGATATGGAATTCGGAACTGGTGCTGTGAAGCTCACCCCGGCACACGACCCCAACGATTTCACTCTTGGACAAAAGCATAACCTCCAATTCATCAACATTCTGACAGATGATGGCCTGCTAAATGAGAATGCCGGTCCTTACAAGGGTCAGAAGCGATTCGATGTGCGCTACACTATTCAAGATGCTCTGAAGGAGAAGGGTTTATATGTGGACAAGAAGGACAACGCGATGAAGGTTCCACTTTGCGACAAGTCGAAGGACATCATTGAGCCGCTTATGAAGCCTCAGTGGTGGATGAGAATGAAGGAGCTGGCTGAGCCAGCCTTGGAAGTCGTCCGAAATGGCGACATCAAGATCAGACCCGATACTGCTGAGAGGAGCTATTTCCGCTGGCTCGAGGACATCAACGACTGGTGCATCAGCAGACAGCTCTGGTGGGGACACCGATGCCCTGTCTACTTCGCCAAGATTGAGGGCGAGGCCGGAGATACCTCAGAGGAAAGTCTTTGGTTCTCTGGAAGGACACGAGAGGAAGCCGAGCAAAAGGCCAAGGCTGCTCTTCCCGGAAAGACATTTACCTTGGAGCAGGACGAGGATGTCCTTGACAGTAAGCACTTTCAACCGCTAAATATCTGGCGTATCTTGTAGCTAACGTAACAATAGCTTGGTTCTCATCTGGCCTTTGGCCATTCAGCACTCTGGGCTGGCCTAAGAAGACTCACGATCTCGAGACCCTGTATCCCACCGCCGTCCTGGAGACTGGATGGGATATTCTCTTCTTCTGGATTGCCCGCATGATTATGCTGGGACTGAAAATGACTGGAAAGATTCCCTTCAAGGAGGTGTACTGCCACAGTCTGGTTCGTGATTCGGACGGCCGGAAAATGAGCAAGAGTCTCGGAAATGTCATTGACCCCCTCGATGTCATCTCCGGAATCAAGCTCGAGGACCTCCATGCCAAGCTCCTTCTCGGTAACCTTCACCCCAGTGAGGTGGCCAAGGCTACCAAGTACCAGAAGACTGCTTTCCCAGATGGAATCCCACAGTGCGGTGCCGACGCTTTGCGGTTCACCATGGCAAACGCTACCACTGGTGGAGGTGATATCAACCTCGACGTCAGAATGTAAATTTACCGCCTTCCAATCTTTTCCTCATCATGTCTTTCTAACCCATATTAGTATCCACGCCTACCGAAAGTTCTGTAACAAGATCGTGAGTTGACAACATGAGGAATTGTTTTTAGGATATCCATATACTAATGAACGACACAGTTCCAAGCTACTAAATACGTCCTCGGTAGCTTGCCTGAAGACTTCGTCCCTGCCAAGGATGCGTCCGCTACTGGGAAGACCCTCGCAGAGCGCTGGATTCTGCACAAGATGAACGTTGCCGCACGAGACGTCAACGCCGCTCTGGCCGACCGAGAATTTTCCAAGGCTACGATCATTGTCTATCGCTACTGGTACACCGAGCTTTGCGATGTGTACATTGAGAACTCCAAGGCCATCATCCGCGATGGCACTGAGGAAGAACGCCAATCTGCTATCCAGACTTTGTACACTACTTTGGACGCAGCTCTCACCCTGATCCACCCCTTCATGCCATATATCAGTGAAGAGATGTGGCAGCGACTGAAGCGTAGACCAGGAGATGAGACCAAATCCGTCATGCTCGCCAAGTACCCTACTTTCAACCCGGCCCTCGATGATCCAGCATCAGAAACAGCTTACGAGCTCGTTTTGGAATGCACCAAGGCCGGCCGTTCCCTGATGGCTGAGTACGCCCTCAAGGAGAATGTTGACTGTAAGTTTACTCACATACCTAGCTAAATCATGACCCTTGTTTTTTTTTATCAAAGAATTTTGTTAACATTTCGTTCAGTCACTATTCAAGCGTATGACGAGACAACCCTGAAGACCGTGACCGAGCAGGTTGCATCTATCAAGTCTCTCGCAGGCAAGGGTGTAGGAAATATTCAGATCCTTGGCCCTGATGCTGCCCGACCTGCTGGTAGCGTCTCGTACCCCGTGTCTACCGTTGCCTCCGTATTCCTATACGTCAAGGGCCGCGTTGACATGGACGCCGAAATTTCCAAGGCACAGAAGAAGCTTGACAAGGCTCTGTCTAACCTGAAGAAGCAGGAGAAGATTTTCACCGACCCAGGATACAAGGAGAAGGTCTCCGCCGCTGTTCAGGAGACCGACCAGGCCAAGCTGGCTGAGCTCAGACAGGAGGCCAAGACCTTCACGGAGACAATCCAGCAGTTCGAGCAGCTCAAGTTAGAGTAGACAAGATTTAGACGTATCTCTGGCAATAAAAATACCCGACAAGCATCTCCGCTGTTGGGTCGCAACCAAAATAGTTAAAAGTTAAAAGAAGTATAAAAAAGACGTTGGGAACTGGGATCAATTTTTACCCTTGTTTCGCACATTGCATGAGATTATATGTTCTTGTAATTACTTTGTTTAGTTCGCTTGCTTTTTAAATTTCAATACAAAAGAGTTGCATTCTATCCTCATCTTCCACCCTTTCCACCTCCATCATCCTTCTTGGCGCCTCCACGGACAGGTCTAGATTGTGCCGCCTCATGGCGCTTCAGCTCATCCGGTACCTTGGAGATTGAGCTCTTGCTAAGCATCTGCCTGAGATCGTACATGACGTCGGTGTCTTCATTGCCCAGGAAAGTGATGGCAACACCGCTCTTTCCAGCACGACCTGTACGACCGACACGGTGGGTGTAGCTCTCGATGGATGTGGCCATGTTGAAGTTGACAACGAGGGAGACGTCCGGGACATCGATACCACGACCAGCCAGATCTGTGGCGACGAGAACCTGCGTCTGGCCTGACCGGACCGACCCCAGCGCTGCCTCACGCTGCTCCTGTGTCTTGGAGCCGTGGAGCGTGACGGCTGACCAGCCCATGTGCTTGATGTCCCTTGCCACGGCATCGCAGTTGCGCTTGATGTTGACGAACACGATGATCGGCGCAGGAAACTGATCGGAAGAAAGAATCTCTTGGAGACGTTTCTTGCGACGGTCCTCTCCGGGGATGAACTCGACACGTTGCTCGACGGTATCAACAGCCTCGCCAGCATTACCAATGGTGACCGTGGCCGGGCGGCGGAGATACCTCCTCGCAATCTTCTCGACGAGGGGTGGCATAGTGGCCGTGTACATCATGGTCTGGCGGTATCGGTCTTTGCCACCGAGGTATTGTTTCATCAGTTGGGCGTTTTCAGCATCGTCGGTGTCTGGCTTCTCGTTGGTGACTGGCAGGGCATCGAGGATCTTGTTGACTGATTCTTCGAATCCAAGGTCGATCATACGGTCTGCTTCATCCATGATGATGTAGCAGCACTGTGACAGAACGAGCAGCCGCCTCTCGATACAATCTACTAGACGTCCAGGAGTGGCCACGATGATTTCTGCACCGTTCCGCATGGCATAGACTTGTTCCTCAACAGAGTGACCACCCACAATGCTGACTGTGCGGAAGCCAAGGGGTTGAGCGAACTTGCGAGCCTCGGTCTCGATCTGTTGGACCAGTTCACGTGTTGGCGCAAGAATGAGGGCATAGGGGCCGTCATTTTTGTTCACCTCGGTGAGAGGAGGGAGATCTGAGATGTATACCAAGAGAGGGAGGAGGAAGGCGGCCGTTTTACCGGAACCGGTCACGGCGACACCAATGAGATCTCTGGCTTGCAGTGCAATGGGTATAGCTGCTCGCTGGATCGGTGTCGGCTCCTTATAGCCCACATGGTCGACAATGTCGAGTAAACGCTTGGGTAGATTGGACTCTCTCCAGTTGCGCATAGGGTTTGGAATGGCGCCTCCCTTTGTGGCGATGCCGAAGTCTTCTTTGAAGATACGCCAGTCTCGCTCTCTCATTTCTGAGAGAGACTTCTCCGACCAGTGCCTGCCCAGGCCCGTCCTTTCGGCGCGCTCTCGTGCCTTCTCTCGAGCCCTGTAGAAATCCTCCATGATGCCCTTTGCCCGTTCCTTTCCGTTCTCCATGTCTCGCTGCTCGATCATCCGTGCCCTCTTGCGGGCCCGCTCCTCAGCCTCGTTATCAAATTCGCCTCCGACACCGGCAAGCGATGACCCTCGGTTGACAGCCTGGTTTGCGTAGAGAGGGTCGTGGTCCCTCCAAGTATCCTCATCTGCGTCCCACTCAAAGTTGAATTTCTTTTCCGTAGTCCTCATCCGTTTCTTCTTGGCCGAGAAATTAGACTGCTGATTTACCTCGGGTCCGAGGTAGCGCGAGCGCAACAGCGAGGCTTCAATGTCCTCAGCTGAACGTTTCTCGACGGCGTTTTTCTCAGAGTTCTTTGGCTTCCGCCCATCGCGCCCGTCGCGCCCGCCATCCTGACGATCACGCCCATTTGCCTGTTTCATGGCCTTCGGCCCGGTGGGGACATGTGTGCTTCCATTAGAGCTCCCGCCCATGGGTGTGTCTGCATCTCGTCGCGAGGCCGAATTCCATTTGCGCTCGTCTTCTCTTCGCTTCTCTTCGTCTTCGGTGGCCTTTCGCTTCTTCTCCTCTTCCTCCTGCTTTGCTTTCTCTGCGGCCAGGCGCTCGCGTTGGGCTTTGGGGATGAACTTTGGTTTCGCGGCAGCGGCGTCTGCTGCTTTCTTCTTGCGAAGAATCTCCTCGATGTCCAGAGGCATCCTGAAAACGGTTGGGAGAAGACAACCGGACCAAATATTCTGTACGCGATGTTTCGTATGCCTATCTGTGTGTTTGGGCGATAAATCGAGGGATAGACGTATCGGAAACGTGAACTGTGGCTTGGGGAATTGGTGATGCAGGTGTAGAAGGTGCTGGACGGAAAATAAGGGCCTATTCGACAAGGCTGAGAAACACAGAGCCTGCTAGCAAGCTTGGGCCAATCAGCTCGCCGAGGGGCTAGTGGGGCTTGATGACAGGGGTCCCGAAATCTTAGCAGCTGGCAGCCTTACGTGTAGATAGATTCTCGAATTGAAAACCCACCTCCCGCAGTCCCCGTCAACGCACTACGAAACCCAACACCTCACGGCCGACCCAAGCTCCAGCGGAGCTCAATCCGTGATAATGGCGTCGTCCGCCAAGAACTACATCCAGCTGGCCAAGTCGCTGCCCGAGCCCCTGCAGCGCTTTTTCGCCCGCTGGCCCCCAGCTGCCATCGTCCCCGAGGGGACTCCAAAAACCCTTTATCAAGAGCGACGAGCGAATCCCTTCGAGTTCTTCAAGAACCCTGCCACCGGAAAGATGCAGGACCCCGTTTATTCGAACCGTCGGCAGGCCCAGCTTGTCAAGATGGCTCGCGAGCATGGCGTTGAGCACCTGCTACCCGAGTCCAAGAAGGGAACCGCGTACCGCCTGGCTTACCGTGTGGAACACGGATTGAGAGTCAAGGGTACTGGTGTTGGCCAATCCGTCAAGGGGCACATCCACGAAAGACACATGATCGCCAAGTACGTATCAACATTGCTTAGCGAATCGTTGTGGAAGATTATCGGACTAACAGCAAGAACAGGATGGAAGCCAGGAGAAAGGCCATGTTGGAGATGCCCAAGCTCATCAAGACGTGGAAGAGGGTAAGTTTGATATCAGCCAGTCTGAGGTTTCTCGTCTTGAGCTTTCATACTGACAATTCATACAGGTTGGAAAGTACGCCTGGACCAAGTGGCCGAAATGAACGATATACGACGGAATCCCTTTTGGCGCTATGTAGATATCCCATGTATTTCTATGTACCAACATGCATTATATTTACATTCAGCTCGGACAATCATTTGGCCCATCTTATATGACTGAATTCGTGATTGCTTACCGTACTCTTTGGCTTCATGTAAGTTGAGGAAGAGAGATCCCAGGCGTCAAGCCTCCGGTAAATTTGATTTCGAAAAGAAATAACCCATACGGGTTAGTATCAAGCAAAGAGCAATTGCATAGCTCTGATTCGTGTTGAAGATTAAAGAACTCATTGACAAAAGCATGCACTTGCTATCATCATATCCAAGATCACGTGACCACCACTCACACACACTTTTCATCTTGAGCTTGAAAAGACATCTCTCACGAGACCTCACCAACTCTCTCAGAATACTGTTCAACATCTTAAAAGGAGCCGCTGAGGCCTCGCAGCTCGGGGAGAAATGGAGGAAATCAAGACACCCGCCGCGGTGTCCCACTACCAGGTCCTCAACCTCACCCAGTCCCTCGTCGACTCACACCACAACCCATCAACGCTCATCAAGCGAGCCTACCACCGCGCGCTCCTCCAGAACCACCCAGACAAGGCGGCCCGGTCCCCGGCATCGTCATCCACATTCTACTCCGTCGACCAGATCACGGCCGCCTACACGGTGCTCTCCTCCCCAAGGGACCGCGCCGCCTACGACGCCTCCGCCCGGCTGTTGTCGCAGCAGCAGCACGGCGGCGGCCACGACGACCCGACGTCGGTCCAGTTTCGCACCGGGGTGGAGAACGTCGACCTCGACGACCTGCCCTTCGACGAGGGCGAGGATGTGTGGTACCGGAGCTGCAGGTGCGGCAACGACCGGGGCTACGTCTTCGGCGAGGACGACCTGGAAGAGGTAGGGGGCGAGGGGGAGCTCATGGTCGGCTGTCTGGACTGTAGTCTCTGGTTAAACGTTCATTTTGCGCAGGTCGACAACGATGATACCGCTGGAACCTACAGGCCATGGCCCCTTGAACTTCCCAAACGTGCTAGCACCGTCGTAGGAGACTCACCCTCCTCTGTAAACAAGTTCCTTATTTGTAAATCAAGGCGTTTGGAATCCCTCCAAATCCATCTCCCGTGTAGGTCTTACGTACAAACTTTGAAAGATGAAGGCATTGCCATCAATGGTCTGCTCCCTGTTCATACACGCACACACCATCTGATACAGAGACCCCCAGCTGTCACATGCTTGGAGGCGGCAGGTCATTTGGCCTTCTCGTTTCATCTTATCGCAATCTGGGCGCTTGGCCAAGCTTTCAAATCCATCAATGTCGTCACTCCTGCGATAGCGGGCAACCGTATCATGTGTAGTATTGAAATCAATTTTTGTATTTTTACTTGTCCATACGGCCACAATAAAAGAGTCTTCCGAGCCAAAGCACAATGGTACTCTTCCCAAGATCTCTATGCGAGTTTCCGATGGAGAAAGATAAGCCCCTCTCCTGTTCTTGGTTTACGCAATCACCTAAACGATGCCGAAGCTCTTGATCACAAAAAGAAACCGAAGTCTTTCCATTCCACTCCTTAGACACCAGCCCAATACCCACATTTGCCAAAAACATGGACACTCCCAATGGTATCCTTAAATTTACTCAGCAGGCTTAGGAGCCTCCTCAGTAGCAGGAGCGGCCTCAGTAGAGGGAGCGGCCTCTTCCTTGGCAGGGGCATCGGCGGAAGCAGTGTTGTCGGCCTCGGAAGAAGTCCAGAGAGTAAGGTTGTCACGGAGCAGCTGCATGATAAGGGTAGAGTCCTTGTAGCTCTCCTCGCTGAGGGTGTCAAGCTCTGTTTGAACACACAAGAGTTAGAAATGCCATAGACAAGATCAGCAGTAAGGAAAACCTACCGGCAATAGCATCATCGAAAGCCTGCTTGGCCAGATGGCATGCCTGGTCAGGAGCATTGAGGATTTCGTAGTAGAACACGGAGAAGTTCAGGGCGAGACCCAGGCGGATGGGGTGGGTAGGAGGAAGATCGGTCTGGGCAACCTCGGTGGCAGCCTTGTAGGCCTCGAGGGACTTGTCGGCGGAGTCCTTGCGGCGGTCGCCGATGGCGAACTCGGCAAGGTAACGGTGGTAGTCACCCTTCCTAGAATCAGGGAATTAGTTTTATTCCAGCGAGCATTCATATGAGGTCAGGTCAATGCATACATCTTGTGGTAGAAAACCTTTGATTCGCCAGACTTTGCAGAGGGGATCAAGTGCTTGTCAAGAACCTCGAGGATATCCTCGCAGATCTTAGCCAGCTCGTTCTCGATCTTCTGGCGGTACTCCTTGATCAGGGTAACCTGGGATGAGTTGCCCTTGGTCTCCTCCTTCTGCTCAATAGATGTAACTATTCTCCAAGAGGCACGGCGAGCGCCAATAACATTCTTGTAAGCAACGGACAGGAGGTTGCGCTCCTCAACTGTCAGGTCACGGTCCTCGGAGGCGACAATCTTCATGTTCTCAACCATCTCTGTGGAGCCGAGTTAGTGGCTGCTGGCTTGAGGGAGAGACGAGGGGGACTGGAAGGTGTTGGTCATACCCTCGTAGCGCTCAGCCTGCTCAGCGAGCTTAGCCAGATAGACGGCATCTTCTTGACCCATTTTGAATGATTTTGGTTGTTGTGAACTAGATCGGACAATGCGAATTAGCAACAGGACAAGTCATAGATAACACCATTTGGCGCTAACAACTTGGGAAAGTAGGTTGGACAAGTGACGGTCAAGTCAGAGGGGGAAAGGGAATGTGAGCCCGAAAATGGCTTCGCGAATGAAAATTGAGTATACAATCGTGATAGGAGTTCGTATGAATATGTATAGCGAACGCGCGGGACGATGTTGTTGAAGAAGCGATCCTCGCAGTTAAAGACGGTCAAGCGAACCTCCCCTCCCCCCGCTCTCGCTCAATCAGAGGGGGTGGTGGGGTTGGGTGTACAGGGAGATGTTGATGGTATCAAACGGTCTTTGAGGGTTGGAGGAGGATCAATCGAGTGCGGATGAGTGTGTATCCATTCAAGGAGTGTCTACCCATCGCGTGTATCGTCATGTCGCAGGTATCCAGGTCGAGGTTCAAAGTTCAGGGCTGGAGGGGGGCGGACAAGGAGGGCATGACGACAGGAATGGCAAGAGGCCAGCAGTTGCGCGACATTTCTATACATACCGTTATGTGTATCGAAAGGTGAACGGTCAAGTGAATGACTTTCTTTGTCCCGGACTGGACTTGGTGCAGTAGAGAAGGCGCGGTGAGTAGTTGTTTGTGTCTAGTTGTGGTTTGGGGAGAGGTGGGTTCAGGAAAGGCGGACGGGATCAGTGGAAATTGAAGAAGGGGTTCGGCGAGCAGCCTCAGGCTGGGCACAGGCGCACCGCGGCCACGAATGCACAGAGAAACTGGGCTTCTAGCATTAGAGGCAGCAGGCACTGTACTGCAGGTACTGTATGTAGCCCCGACGCCGCAGATCGCCGCAAGATACAGGCGGGTCAGCACTAATAGCGCCTGCTGCCAGGTACCCCGGGGGTCAGGTGACATAAATACAACACAACTTGCCGGGGCCTGAGCACTCCCTGTATCCAGCCATGCATTGTACCAAGAGTAGAGCAGTGAAGCACAGAGACAATAATTGCAATAATGAGTAAAATATAAACAATAACACAAGCATTTGTGTCTTCCTAAGCAATAGTCGCCACTTTCTTATCAATCAATGGACACCAGGCCATAATTCATGTCCTATCGGAGGCAAGAGAGTCTTGCGGTGCTGTCTCCTATTTTATGTCACCCTCGAGCCCCGAGTACAGTACTTTCCCGCACAGTGCCAATTGCAGGCTAGATAGGACTAGAGAGCTGCTAGTACAGCATTGGGACAGCTGTGCTCTGCGCTTTCAGTGGGCTAGCTGCCCTGTCATCTGCCTAATCAGCAGCTGAACGGGGAGCTGTGGTTGGTGGGCGCGAGCCACAATGCCCAATGGTGGTGGCACAAGGCCATTCGTCACTGCCAGTCAAAAGAAACACCCGCCCAATCAAATCACCATTCGCTGCCCATCATGATGGAAGGAGATGGATCCCAATGGTCCTCATCGGCTCAGGCCAATGTCTCAGAGAGTTCCTTTATTCCTGCGGCACCGCACAGTCCCCTGCTGTTGCACAGCCTCAGGTACGAGGACAGTACCTCAGCGAGCGTCTTAGGTACTCCCAACTGTTTTTCTTTTTTTCACTTCTGTCTCCCACTTGTTGGGTCTCGGTAAGCAGGCCTACCGACCAGCATTGCACAACAGAGGCAGGCATCACGTCACCAGCTATGATTTCATAGCGAACCAGAGCGTTTTCGCCTCCTCCTTGGTTCGCCGTTCCGGTGAAACAGACTCTAAAACCCCAACCCTGATCCAAATAGTTTCTCCCAACAGAACACATCAGTATTGGGCAATCGTCATGTTTTATTATATTCTCACCCCGGAGCGCCAACGTTGTTTTACAACGGTGCTATCATGGTCTGATCTTCTTGCGAGAGTAACCATCCCACCTCACCGGTGGTGCGCATGCAGCTTCAGTCACATAGTAATTGAAGGGCTGCGGTCATAAGGCGCATCCCGCAATGACGTGTGATGGGGATTCTGCCCACCACTACCCAAGCATGACACGTGCTTACATTCATCCTCGTAGGCTTCTCCTTGCATTACTATGATAGGGTTGCAGCTCGTCCAACTCAGCCTTATCGAAATGGACATCGGCGGTTGAAAGTGCGTAAGCAACCCTCGAGTCCGCCTCGAGGTCCAAGTCAGCAGCTACAGCACATGAATATGCATTTGCTGATTGCACGATCACGCACGATCACGAAAACGTAGAAGGACAAAGTATCAGAACCAGCATAAATTGGTCCCAAAAACTTGTTGACGATGTCCGCCCCTGAGTCCGATCCACACATACCATCATCGCCGACATGACCAACTACCTCTAGTCCATTCAGTAATATGGGCCTATCGTTCCCATCTGGTGGTGCTATCATGGCCAGCGCCGACTAGAGGGTTCGAATAAGCAACACATGGTTTCTCGATTAGATCCTTCAGCTGCAGCCCCCCTCCAAGACGATTGGCTGCGCCCAAACTCGTACGAAGAGCTGGACAGACAGGTTTTCGGCCGGTTGGCTCACGTGGCTGTGCCTTGTTGAGGCGGCGGATAGCCAAAGCCCAGCAAAGCCGTAGCCTTCGCCTGGCCCCAGCCAAATCCAGCTAGGCGAGCCTTGGAAGTCAGGCCACAGGCACAGCAGAACCGAAGCCCGGGCTTTCCCGCATTGGTCAGTTACCCTGGTACATCTCCGCGAAGCGATCTTTTGCCCGAGGGGTTAGGTATCTCGCTAGCCACGGCAGCTCCCCCAAACTCTGACCTCATCCGTTGCTCCAATTGCCGCTCACGATTTGCCTTCCCTCTACTTATATCTGCCAATTGCAACCCCCAATTGTCAATCAATCCCCTCACACATCCAGCAAACCAATCATGCTCCGAACAACCTTCACCAAGACGGCCTCCGTCCGCCCTCTCCGCGCTGCCTTCACCACCACTGTTCGTGCCATGGGTGAAGGCGACACTGGTGCCCCGCCCAAGCTTGGTGGTACTGGGTGAGTAACTTTCACCAAGACCGGTGAACTACCCATCGCCCCCGTCAATTCATGTACTGTGCATTTCCAGTGGCTAACCGACGTCTTTTTATCTTCCTCTAGTGACGCCTTCCAGCGCCGCGAGAAGGCCAGCGAGGACTACGCCATCCGCCAGCGTGAGAAGGAGAAGCTTCTCGAGCTCAAGAAGAAGCTCCAGGAGCAGAAGGAGCACCTCGAGCGTCTGTCCCAGCACATGTACGTCTTGCCGCGTAGTTCTCCGGGATATACATCGTTGACGGGAAGCTAATCCATTTATTTCCAGTGACGAGATCACCAAGGACCAGGACGAGAAGAACTAAATACTTTGAGCGCAAACAAAACACACGATATCCGGCTGTTGGAAGGGAGGAACTCGGCCCCATTGTACGAAATTGACGGCAAGGCGGTGTCTTTCACGTTCTCCGGTTTTTCACCCATGAGCCTGGCAGCTTCGGCAATTTTAGGCTAGTGTACATTACTCTGCGCATCCCAACACCTTTCAAAAACAGCGATCCGGCTTGGAATATGTGTGCCACGATGTATCCATTATATGAGCTTGTGGCCGAGTCCCACTTCTGCTATTTGTAAATTTACCACCCAGAACTCCCAGAATATCAGCCCCTAAACATGTAAAATCTAAGAAAAACAGCTCGCATATCCTTTTGCCCGAGAATCCCATCACTGTATTCATCGTCCCATGTATGAACGGTAAAAGCTCTCAGCCGCGTCGTTGTCGGCCACGCCATAATGACTGCCTAGGTTGTGACTAGCCTTTTGCGCCGCAGCAACCTTAGTTTGCAATTGCGAGGCGTTGGCATCGATCCATTGCAGCTGCGTGAGGTGCCCGTTGAGAACGCGCACAATCTGGCTCAGCTGGAGATGAATAGTTAGTAAATAGGGTGAAGGGAAACGGGGGTGTGAGATGTGGAAAACATACAGGATCCTCTGGCTTAGCACCTTTGCTAAGTGTGCCTGAAATATCGTTGATCTCCTTGACCATTTTAGATAGATCTCGAGACTTTTCATCGAGTTGCTGGGTCAGCTTCTCAGCCAGCTTGTAGATTCGCTCGCGCTCCTGGTCAGGGCCAGCGAGCTGTTCACCAGTGCCGATCTGCTTAGCAAACATGTCCTGCAACTCGGACTCGTAACGGTCAAGCCAGGCCTCTAGCTCGTCCTGCTGACCTTCAACGGAGGAGAGCTGACGCTCAATCTCATGGCTGGCTCGCTCTGCCTCGAATGTGTCCAGATACAGCTTCTGTATCTTCTCGCCATTATCCACAAGCTGTCGGTCCCAGTTAGAGACGACGGTTGCTTGGTCTTTGAACTCCTTTTGGTATTTCGACAAGTCTGAGGCCCAGCGGGTGACAATATCCTCCATTGTCTTGTTCTTGAGCCTTGCAATTTGAGATGTAGGTCCAGTGGTAGATGCACCCAGTGCGCTGGAACCTGGGGCTGGAGTGCTTGGCTTGGCCGCGTCTGCAGGTTTATCCTTCCCGGCGGCAGCAGCAGCGGCGGGAGTAGAAGCAGGCTTGGCGCCAAACAAGCTTGAGGTAGCGGCGGCAGGCGCTGCAGATCCAGCAGGTGCCATACTTGCAGCCCCAAGTGTTGCTGGGGCGGCTGTTGTGGTAGCGGTTGTTGCGGCAGGCTGGGAGGACGCTGCCGGGGTCCCGAAGAGAGATGCGGTAGGCTTCGAGCTCGAGGCCTCGCCAGCTGGTTTCGTGCCGAACAAGGACGTTGAGGTAGCCGCTGGAGCCGCTGGGGCTGCTGTCGAAGCAGCAGGAGGCTTGGCTGCGAAGAGATTCGTCGAGGCAGGTGCAGCAGGAGTAGCAGAGGGCGCTTGTGCGCTTGCACCTCCAAACAAACCACCAGAGGGTGCGGCAGCTGGGGTAGACGTAGCAGCTGTGGCAGGTTTGGTCCCAAATAAACCACCGGCGGCTGGGGCGGCTGGCTTAGTATCAGTAGCACTCGCTGTAGTTGTGGAAGTGGTCGGGAAGAGGCCACCTGAAGTAGCAGCAGGAGCTGTTGGCTTATTGGCACCGAATAAGCCACCAGGGGCTGCGGCTGTAGTTGGCGCGGCAGGCTTGTTCATGCCACCGAATAGCGATGACCCCGTAGTTGCGGGCTGGGCGGATGGGTTTCCAAATAGGCTGGGTCCAGTCGTTTTTGAGCTGCCAGCTGGAGGTGCACCGGCGGGTGTGGTAGAGGGCAGAGAGAACAAAGGCTTTGCCGGAGTGGCCGCGGCAGCAGCTGTAGTCGCAGGAGCCAAGCTTTGAGCCCCAGTGGCCGCGCCAAACAGTGAAGGGGCGGCTGTAGTAGTCGGTGCCGATGACTGAGCCTGGCTCGTGGTCGTTTGCCCAAGGGAAAACCCTCCTGTTGATGGAGTTGTTGTGCTACCGGCTCCAAAAAGCCCTCCCGCAGGTTTCGGTGCAGATGTGGTGGCTCCGAACAAGCCACCAGTGGCTGGCGTTGTTGATGCTGGAGTTGCCGTAGCCGTATTGCCAAACAAAGAGCCGCCAGAAGAGGCCGGCGTTGCGCTGGATCCTCCGCCAAAAAGGCTACCTGCAGGCTTCGGGGCGGTGGCGCTGCTTTGTTGTCCGAAGAGTCCTCCTCCAGCGGCTGGCGTTGAGGGTTTGTTGTTGGTACCAAACGAAAACGAGTTACCTCCTGAAGCCCCCCCGAACAGTCCTCCCGTAGCAGGTGCAGTCGACGTCGTATTGTTCGATGCGGCGCCCGAAGAGCTCGCGCCTCCAAAGTTGAAAGACATGGCTATTGTTCTGTTTTCGCTAACGCCAACCTGGGCAAAGTCGTGATGGAAACGTGATCGAGATCGCGATAGGCTGAGGAAGACGATTGGGCCCGATTCGTTTAAATCCTCACCATGACAAAGGGGGAACTTGGTCAAAAAGGAATGCCAATGGCGTCGAGGAGACAAAGAGATTCCCGCCTGTTTGATGGATAGAGGCACGTGCAAAGGTGCCAACAACAAAGGATTATGGATGACCGTCGCCCCGAGAACTAGGCTGGGAGCTTTTTTTTTTGGATGTAGCAGCCTCAGCTCCACGCGAACTGTGGTTGGGCGCGACAAGCTTAGAGCCACACCAGGTACTTCTGTACCACACGCACGAGCCACACCCACTCCACCACTGGAGCACCATCCACCACTAATTACTCCAAGTAGGACTGTCCGTCAGCACGTCGATCATCAACCTCGAGTGGCTCATGTGCCCTTTGCCCCAACGACATCCCAGAAGTGCAGTGCAGACCCTTCTCGCAGATTCAAAGTCGAGCATCTGTGCCCCTTTTCCTGCCTTCCTCCCCTCGACTCCGACAAAGAGGAACAATCTGCCGATAGGTGATTGCTCCTGAGAGCAGAGCGCCGCCCGCACCATTCGATCAGTCGCTATGCGTCCCCGGCCTTGAGCTGCCTCTCCATCCCCAAGGCCTCTACTCAACTACATCAAACAACGATTTCCTGGGCCAATCTGCCTCCCGATCTCACAATATAAGAGCTCGTCAATCGATTTGCACAACTACATATACAATCACCGGTTATTAGGAGAGTCCTTAGACCTCCTTCCACCACAATGCCAGCTGTTGAGGGGCTTGAGCCTCCAGGAGACTCCCGCAAAGCAAACCCCGGGGCTCTGACGCTGGGTATGAGCTCCCCCTTTCCATTCTGTTCATCTCCAGTTGACACTTTTACCAGCAGATCAATCGGACTCTGAAGACCAATTTGTGGATGCGCAATCCAGCCCACATCCCATTTCGCCCATCCCAAAACCCCAGGTCGAGCAAGACAACAAGGAAACAACACCCAGCGAGATACCAGCAACAGACACCGATCAGCCAAAAGAGAATGACGAAATTAATGAGAAAGCTGTGCCGCACGAAACTTCATTCGACTCAACGCCGCAGGCTATTAAAGAAGCTCCCAAACCGGCTACCGAGGAGACTCCAGAACCAATTGGTCCACACTCAGAGGATGTGGACGAGAAATTACCGGCGACTGTTAATCCTGACGTCAAAGTTACCGGCACTGACGGTGTGGTAGAGGAGATCTCTACAAATGACTCTACAGGTAAGATGGAATGCTCACAGCATGGAGGACAGACGCTGACTATAAGCAATAGTTTCTACACCCCAGGCTGAAGTCCCGCCGGAGCCTCAGACCACTCAGGATTCCGATAGCAAAGAAGTACAAGAAATCAGTATCAATGTCAATGGCGAACATTCTCAGGATGATGATATGTCTGAGGGCTTTGACCAGTCTGAAGGCTTCGAAGAGGCTGGTGATGATTTCGACGACTTTGAGGAGGGCGGCCAGGAAGATGACGACTTTGATGATTTCGATGACGGGTTTCAACAGGCTGAGCCTGTACCGACACCAACGCAAGCTACTCTGCCAGTTCTACCAGTGCTTCCATTTGTGAGTCCAATAACGTCACATACAATGTGGTGCAATTTCTCACAGCCAGTCTAGCCGATACCAGATTTCGAGGACCTCGATTCAGATGAGATCATCTCTTCGCTCGATCAATATCTCACGACACTGTTCCCCCCGGAAGAGCTGGATCTCCCTCCTCTACCCCAACTACCTCGGGAAGCCTCGACCTTTATCACATCACGGTCTGCCTCCCTCTGGTCACAACTCGTTGCCCCCCCACCCTTGGCGCCGCCGGATTGGATCAGATCTCGCACCCGCCGCCTATTCCTCGTCTCCCTTGGCGTACCTGTGGATCTAGATGAGATCCTTCCAGCATCAAAGCAAAAGAAACTCGTACTCCCCTCACTGAATATTCCCTCCTCATCGTCTCCCCGGGCGTCACACGAAGCTCGCTCAGCTACACGATTACGGCAGGATGATGCCAACGCCTCAACCACCTCTGTCGATACGCAAGGGAAGCCGAGGCACAGACGAGGCCCATCCCCGCAACCAGAACTAGATATTGTTGCAGCGCGGCATCTCTGCACAACCACTGATGAAGCCCTAAACGGCATGACGGACGAAGAGTTAAGCAGCCACATAGAGAAATTGAAAGTTCTCGAAGTAACCGCCAAGGAGGTGTTGGAATACTGGACGAAGAGGACAGATGAGAAGATTGCCGAGCGGGAGACCTTTGAGGGAGTAATAGAGAACTTAGTAAAACACGCGAGAAAAGTTCGCAAATAGTCAAAAGATCTAATGCCACACAAAATAATCAAACAGACAGAAGCAGATTGATAGGGACCTTGATGGTTACTTTTCAAGATGCAAGTCAAGAAATAAATATAGCAGCTGCAACTCCTTTTTGGATGCGTTTTGGGCCTCTCTCTTTTTTGTTCAGGTACCGTACATGCGCCATCAACTCTTTGCTGTCCCACAGGGCTCCCCCAAACATATAGCTCCCCTCGCGAAGATCCTTCACTTTTTGTCGTTTCGCTTCCTCTCTCTCCCCGAGCCGACACAACGAGAGAGAATTCCAGTGAGCCCTTGGAACAGGGTGTTTCGTCCAAGCGTAACCATGGAGCCCGGAAATTTTACCAATCTAAAACCCATCCTGACATAACATCCGTTTTGTGTCCAAGTGTCCCTGGTCCTTGCAGGCTTCGGGTTGCAAGAAGCATTACGTGTTTTTTCATTCTTGTTTCTTATTTTTTTTTAAATTGATTAAGATCACAAGTTAAGATTAGGAGGTGCTAGGTTCCAAGGTGACACCACTGCAAAATAAGGGGGAAATGGTTAGTTTTTTATATTCTCAATACGCAAGCAAGGGGGCAAATAGAAGAAACTTACGCAGCAATTGTAGCCCAACCAATGAGACGCCAATGTTTCTCGATACGACGGCTCAGAGCAACCTTCTCGCCAATGTTGGTGCAAGCAGGGCTGGTAAGCACGAGCTTGGCGGCATCCTGCTTGATGGCGGCAATCTTGGCACCAGTGGATGTGGAACCGATGTTGACCATGATGACTTCGTTCTTGGCCAGCTTGGCAACCTTGGCCTGCTTGCCGTCGGCGGTCCTTACACCCAGCAGGCGACGGAGGAGATAGAAGTTGACTTCGATTTCGCTGTAGATTTCGGGGAGGCGGCCCTTGAGACCCAGCACGAAACCGACCAGGCGATCAGCTCGGCAGAGGGTGGGGTCGATACGGGTACCAACACCGATCAGACCTCCGGGGACGGCGTACTTCAGGTCGTTGGCTTCTGAGTTCAGAGATACGACTCTGCTGAAAATGGGTGTGCACTTGAGGGCACCGCTGTCATCGCGAGACACGATACCAGGACGGATTTCAATCTCGTCACCCAACTTGACAACACCGTGCAGGATACTACCACCGGCAACACCACCCTTCAGGTCATCAATCTCAGCACCAGGCTTGTTGACGTCAAAGGATCGAATGACAATCATGTGAGGGTCAATGGAGAAATCTCTAGGGGGAACAGGGATGGTGTTGACAATGGCCTCGTTGACGGCATCAATGTTGAACTTGAGCTGGGCAGAAATGGGAATGACAGGGGACTTTCCAGCAACGGTACCACGGATGAACTTGAGAATCGACTCGTAGTGTTGCTGGGCAGCCTCTTCCCTCATCAGATCGACCTTGTTCTGCAGAATGATGATCTTGTCCAGCTTCATAATCTCAATGGCTGCCAAGTGTTCAGAGGTTTGGGGCTGAGGGCAAGATTCGTTGCCAGCGATAAGAAGGAGGGCGGCGTCCATGACGGCGGCACCTGACAACATGGTGCTCATCAGAATATCGTGACCGGGGCAGTCGACGAATCTATGTTCCCGGTTAGCTAGCAGTTCCCAGGACGGCAAAAACAGCCAATATCATTTGGGGGTTTTAGACATACGAGACGTGTCGCAACAATCGGTAGGTTCCGGTGCATCCATCTCGCTCACAGGGAGGATCAACCTCCTTCTCACTCTTGTAGCTTCGATAGCACGTTGGTCGGGGGCAGGCCTGGTTGTCGCACTTGTAGATCTTGGCGTTGGCATAACCAAGCTTGATAGTAATGTTGCGGATCAACTCGTTCTTGAAACGGACAGTCTGGACACCAGAAATAGCCTTGACCACGGTGGACTTTCCGTGAGCGACATGGCCAATCGTTCCAATGTTGATGGTCGCTTGGCGGGCGATAATTTCGGGGGTTAGGGGTGTTAAGCTGGCGACATCAAGATCCTTGGGGTCGGTTTGCGGGGGCAGAGGAGGCTTTGTGGCGGGCTGCTCTGCGATTGCAGGGTTGACAGTCTTCTTCAGTGCTGACTTGATGGGCTTCTCGTCACCAATATCGTTGGGGTTGTTGATAGACTCGCCAGAGTCGGACTCTGACTCGATGTCGTCGTATTTGGGGTCGCCGTTGGCAGACATGGTGGAGGCGGGGCACGGGAGATAAATTCGCTGCTACCCAGAATTCAAAATATGTCGAAAATTAGTACGGGAGAGGTGTTTTCGTCGGGATCCTAGTATCTAAATGTCGACAACAATTTTGTATTGTTCGTCTTCGGGTGGGATATCGCCGGGACAAGTTGCGCGATTCTGAAGATGTTTGTATCGTGTGCTTTCCCTGAGTTGGCAAAATTCCTCGTGTGGCCTTGTGGTAAATGATCGAAGAGTGTTGCATAGTATGACTCTTACACTAGACCTGTTTGGGACCGATAAGCTGATAAGGCGTTGTGTGCCCCTCACTGGCTCTTCCTCTGGAAGAACTCCGGAGAAGACGCCATCTTGTTGCTCTACCTAAAGGTGCTGTGTGCTGTCTGTCTTCCAGCTAATGAGAGAGTTCCATCTGGTAGCTGACAGATCATATCATGTCCAGAGGGGTGGATAAGAATAGAGTGGCCGTCCAGAGCGATATCGCAAGAGCGAAGTACAAACAAGAGCTGGAAACATCTCGGTTCTGCTACCAACTCCGATAAACTGGCTGTACAGGGTGACGACATAACTATTGCTGATTCGTGCTGACAAAATACCTCCTTCGACGTGAACTATGGACGCATACCTCGGAGCTCAGTCTCCTCCTGATGACCTGCATTTCCGTCATCTGACTACGACTCAATGGGATGGTAAGATGAAAATGCAGCCGAGGAAGGAAACAGGATTCCTGGGACGTTAATTGGAACTTTGACTGCCACCGCAATCTGTTGTTGTGTGGTGTCCGAAGATGTTCTTTTTTTAGAGGTGGTTGTGTAGCACTTGCGACACAACAACCCAGAGTATAAACGTCCCCCACGATTCCTTCCCAGCACTACCAATCTGGTGTCCTCCGTATGGTGCGCCAGCTGCTGGCTGCAGCTACATGCAATAGTCTTGCCACCTCGGTCCACGGGCGGACTCGGTTGTGCATGAATGCTACCTGCTATGCCTTAAACTCGGGGTGTAGGGTGGGCGGATGGTAAGTGAAGCTTATGAGAGGGTTACACGCAAGACAACGTAAACGTTCAGCCGGAGGATAGGGGGCAGTGTTCGAATGCGGCATATCTGCATGTTCAGAATACCGATCACCAACGATGCGGCAACGGCATCACCAGTTCCCCCCCTGGCCAATCCTTGGATATGCCGCAAAGCGCCATTCTGTTGCCCACGAAGATGGGGTTGATTGGCGCTTGCTGGGGGCACAAAGGGCAACTAGGATCGGGATCAGACCACACCTTATCCTAGAGTATGGGTTGGTTCAGCGACGGATGGATCAATAGAAACCCGTCCCGAAAGCACTTGCCCCCCGGCTGGGATAAGCAGCCACATGCGAGTGTGTGTCTGGCACGGTCCGGCTCAGTCGCCCACGCACCTGCTCACTCAGCCAATGTACTGGCCACGCACACCACCAGCAAGACAGAAGGGACGGTTGGGCGGCGGGGGACCCCAATGAGGAAGGGAAAATCTGATCCTTGGAGGTCGAGGTCTCGCCTCATGCGGCCTGGGGAGGGGCGCGGGCCAGCGAGGACGAATCTGATCTCGACTCTTGCCGCCCAGATGTGCCAGGGCGGTGGGAGGAGGTGACGGTAGTGCAGCTCTGCGACCTCTTTAGGTGCAGCGTGGCTGGGGCCCGCCCCCATGGCGAGGCTTCTGGAGCTCCCGATTGGCTGCTGGCCGGTCGGACGCCTGGCTCCCGTGCAAGCTGCAGAGCCAATCACAGCGCTATCGCATGCTTCTTGGCGGCAATGGAGACGGCAGCTGGGGCTCCTGCTTGACTCGCCGGTGGGGCCCTGGGCTTCTAACCAACCACAGGCCGCCCTCCGCCGCCGACCCACAGCCAAGCACATCTATCACATCTCACTCCAGCCGAGTTTCGATGCCCTCCAAGCACAGAAGCAAAGTGCACAGTCGGACGCAACGGGACCCCTCCAACAAGAGGCGGTAATGTAATGTGCTCAGTGGCTGCCATTGATGCAACCAGGATCGCTAAATATGGATCTGGTTACCTGTTACCACCTCGTATGTACGTACCGCTGACCAGCCCTCTGGCTGGGGCCAAGCCAAGCTGGCCGGCTTCCCCTCTCCTTCTGTATGATTGAGCATGTAGCTCGGTCGGCGTTTGTGTGGGTGCTTCCGTGCGCAAGATGTTTGCTATATTGTCCTAGCCCGCCACTCCTGGGTGACCTGCCTCTCTCCTCCATGTTGACGAAAGGTTTTGGACTCATCCAGGAACGAATCTCAGTCGACTTCTCGCGCCGCTCCTCGTCGTGGCCTGGATTTGGAACTTGACAATCTCTCAAACATTACCGCTCGGCCACTCTCGTTGTCGTATTGCCGTTGGTGACCGCTGGCTTGGTATAGGCGCCCGGATCGACAAGCTGTCGGCGTCTAAGTGCAGCTTCTGTCACTAGGAAACCCACCCCTGCTACCTATCAGAGACCGACGTTACCCATCTCCATACCTCTAGGTAAGGATCCACGATCCCGTGTTATGCTTTGTCTGGTCCCACCATTACCACGTTTGGCCCTGCTCCCCAGTTCCTCTCTTCTCGCGTGCTAGACGCTCAAAAGTCTAGGCCTCCCTCTTATTGCTAGCTGGTCCTGCTCTTCCTTCTTCCCTCGATAGCTGGTCTCAACAATCTCATTTCATCTTTCATTGTTCTTCCAGACTTCGCTGTGCGGGTGTCCTGGATTGTTCAACTTGTCTTACAGACCCGACTTACACTGCCTCGGATCTGACCGTTTTGTCTGCTTAGTTCTTCTTCACCACATATACCCCATCATCATGACTGGGTCAGGTTAGTTCAACGCTCTTGTCTTGTACATTGGGGGACGATCTGGATACTAACAGCATCTGAAGACGACAAGAAGCGGCCTACCGCTCTAAACCTCACACCTGCCCGCTCTCCATCAACAGGCTCGAACTCATCCTCGGACAGCTCCCTTAAGCACCCTCGCACACCTCGATTTGCAGAGGCTACATCAGTTCATTCTCCTGTGGAACCAACCCGCTCCCCCTTTGCCGACCCTGAGAAGGCCCAGGTCGTTGTTCAGGCGCAGCCCGCCGATATTGGTTTCGGCTACATCAACAATGGAGAATCGCAAGTTCCCAAGACGCCACTGAGGAGCGCCATGAAGATTCCCGGCACCCCAGGAAGGAGGTTCGGCAACCCCATGAGCCCAACATTCAATGAGGCAGAGGTCTTGGAGAAGCGTGAACTCGCCACCGACAAAGAACAAGCTCGTGACCTGGTAAGTCGAGCACTTGGTGAACCGCTCATGACTGCAACTGACACGTCTCACAGAAAATCAAGACTCGAGTCCGCATGGCCAAGTTTGCGCTTCGCGGCGTGAACTTTAGCTGTTCGCTCATCATCCTGTGCATGCTTTCCTCAACCTTCGCTATTTTCAATGCCAGCAAGGGACTTGCTTCCCAGAGCAGCCTGCCACCCTGGGCTGAAGGTACCAATACCTGGCCTCAGAAGTTGGTCCTTGCAATGGCGTGTGTGTCTCTGACGGCTTGTATTATTGTCTTCATCACTTTCTTCCGACGTGGACACAAGCGCGCTGAGAAGGTCAACACTTACTACCACATGTTTGCCATTGGCTGGGTATGTCGAATATCCTATCTCAGGTCATCCGGCCTTGACAAAGTAGCTAACAGTTTATGATAGTTCATTTTAAGCTTGGTTCTCTGGGGAGTCACTGCCGCCCTCTATCAGAATTCCAGGAACAATAGCAACAACAAGGACATGTGGGGATGGTCTTGCGTCAACAACAAGCGAGAATCCATCTTCGAGGACCAGGTCAACTACCAGCTCATCTGCCGCCTTCAGAACTGGGCCATGATCTGCATCATTATCGAGGTCGTCATCGAGGTCCTCTGCATCATCCTCTACAGCGTCGTCTTCTACCGTTACTACACCAAGCGACGCCTCGCCAAGACCATGGACAACAGAGACCGAGCCCGCTCTGATCTCTACCTTGCCCAGCTTCGCGCACAATCTGCTCCCAACACTCCAGGATTTGGCCCCAAGTCCCCGGCATTGAGCCAGTACGCCATGTCGCCCCGTCATCCTCCGGCTGCCTATCGCAACCTGACCGACATTGAGGAGAGCCCATTTACCCCTGGCGGCAAGCTGCACGAGCCTGCATCCCAGTTCAACTCTCCCAAGCCCGACTTTAAGCTCCAGGCACCTCCCAAGAAAGCCCCCTCAGCCACCCCCAAGACGGAGCAGTCGCCATTCACCCCGGTTTCGGGACAGTCACCATTCAGTCCCACCACTGAGCAAGGGCCCAGCTCAAACAACCCAAACACCACCACAATCGCCGATGATGAGCCCGTATACGACGCTGTGCCCATCCCAGGTGCATATGCTGGCCAGGCTTACAAGCCCCATCTGGAGCAGCGTTAAAGGACTTGCCTTCCTATAAACGTTGCGCATTTGGTTTTAAAACTTCATATTCGCTCTGAGCCTGGGCGTCTGTACATAATTCATCATCAGGCTGGCACTGTTGTGTCTATTTGGTTGTTTGTTTCTCTTCTGGCGATCCAGTAATATATACCCTTGGCGTTTAATGTGAAATCGGAATTGATGAATGGAGGCTTTTTTGGATAACTTTTTATTTTATACACATCGACATACACATGCACCTGCTGGCGACTCCTCAATATCGAGTCTTTTTTGATAATTTCTGGGGGAAAAGCATGCCATTTGGCTCGTCATGTACGAAGCGAGATTCTATCGATCATGACATTTCTTCACGGTCTCTTATGTTTCTCAGCATTTCTTTTATACACCCATTAGTCTCCTTTAGTTGTTTCATATCTATCCAAAGTATGGTAGCTCAAAAAATGAAAATACAAAAAAAGAATAAATTGAATGACAAACAAAACTCCAATACTTCGCTCACAGTGATCAGTTGTGCTTGAACTGGGAACTCGACACCTCCTTTAGGAGCAATAAGCCTCTTTCTGCCGAGCTCTTCCAAAGTAATAGACGAGTAATATTCTCATACCTCGTATGGACTTTTGGGACTTCTGCATCTGGAGGGTTGTCGTGGCACCTCATAACCGAGGCAAAGTGGCCACCACGACTGGTACCACCATCGCTGCTTTTGTAGTTTGATTGCACATAAATTAGGTCATTGCCCGTCTATTTTTACTACATGGGAATGAAAGGAAGCACTCTGGTAATGACGGTTCATGCATACGGTCCTGTGGTTCTGTGGATTCAATAGGGGTTGTGCCCCTTTATGACCACACTCCCCTTTTTCTTGTACGATCTTAAACCAAAACTAAATCCCCTCAACCATCGGTACTATTATCAGCAAGAACATACTATATAGTATTTTTGCTCATGGTCCAAATTGGAGTTATTATACTTATGTCATTGCAGGTGCCGGCGAGAACTTGTACTGCCCTCAGCTTCTTATACAGCGGCCACTGGTGTTCACATCCTAAAGTCTTGTTTCATAAAAAGACTAGAGACAATTTAACAGATCGAGATTTGTTTCCTCTTCTTTCCAAAATCTATCGACCAGGGCCGCTAATTGCATGACTACTGGTTTCGCCTGCTTGCTTACTATGTCGGCCAGTTGCATACAATCCCGCGACTGCTCGTATTTGCAGTCGGTGTAACATGCCTCATTTCTATTATGATTAATACTGCAGACAAACTCGTTTGGATTTCACTATAGTGACTCGGGTTAGAATAACAAACAATCACTAGAAACCCCAATACTCGTCGAAGAAAAAATACAACTCGAGATAACATAGACTAAAATAGAGGACTTGGAATCCTAGCAGCTATTCGACCCTGGGATGGTGATCTATTACCATGCACAAGGAAATACACAAGGTGAATGGAGTTTTAGCCAACGATTTGCTTTGCTGAGAGATACCATCCATAAGCATATTATTTATTTCCCTTGAGATTTGAGCACTTTCAATAGCTGGGGACAACCAACATAACGAACGAAGCAAGACTGAGTCTAGCCCATCAAGTACACGTATCAAGTCATGACTTTCTTCAACTACTGGGGTTCATAAAGGGAAACGCTTTGCTGTAAAGGCCACAAGCTGACGTTGATTCTCTACACTTTGCCCAGGTTGTGCAGGGTTGGCGCTGCACACGGCTAAAAAAAAATCAATGACTAAAGCATGCGTCCTGATTGGAAAATGCCTAAACTACCCGTAGTAGCCATGCCACTATGCAGGGCCGCATTAAATCATTACTTTTGACAGCATGAAATTCAAGTAGACTCACTAGAGAGTTGGTTGGGACAACACCTCTCCCAGGCTACATCATGCCGTGCCAAAAGGAGGATTAGAACGGATCTGTTTAAAGGAATAAATAAATAAGATTCGTGAGAGTAATCCCGTAGATACAGAAACAGCTACAGGACAAAGCAAGTAAAGAACCACTTGCATTACTTTTTTGGTAGCCCGCCACACCTCCATGCATTAAAGGTGTAAAGGACTTCCTGATCCATCGTCACGCGGCCAATCCAGTCTCACCCCGATTCCTGAAAAGCCGCCCCAAGAGCAGCGTCGACGCCGTCCTGGGGGACTCTCTAAAAAACAAATAAGAGAAAAAGGCGAATCTATCGACAACTACCGGAAAAAAAGATTGAATCACCCTAAAACCCCAGAAATGCCCAACTTTCGTAGTCGTCTCGTCGTCAAATAAGACACCTTGATGAGAAGCAGTCCCGGGAGAAACAGTCTAGAGATAAAGGTGCTTTCGTTTTTTTTAAATGAGGTCAGCGACGTTCATGGGCATCTCCTCGATCTGGGTGCTGTAAAACTGCTCGATCTCGCGCATCATACGCACGTCCTCGGCAGTGACAAAGTTGATGGCCACACCCTTTCGGCCGAATCGACCACCACGACCAATACGGTGAATGTAGTTCTCACGGTTGGCGGGGAGATCGTAGTTGATGACCAGCGAAACCTGCTGGACATCGATACCACGGGCCAGAAGGTCAGTGGCAATCAGGACACGCGAAGAACCGGATCGGAACTCCTTCATGATCAGGTCACGCTGAGCCTGGTCCATGTCACCGTGCATGGCGGAGACAGTGAAGTCACGGGCAGTGAGCTTGTCAGTGAGCCAGTCGACCTTTCTGCGGGTGTTGCAGAAGATGACGGCCTGAGTGATGGTGACAGTCTCGTACAAGTCGGACAGAGTGTCGAGTTTCCACTCCTCCTTCTCGACGGCAATATAGAACTGCTTGATACCTTCCAGGGTAAGCTCGTCCTTCTTGACCAGGATACGGACGGGGTCACGCATGAACTTGGTGGTGACCTCAAGGACGTCCTGGGGCATGGTAGCGGACAGGAGAACGACCTGGGTGGACTGGGGGAGGAGCTGGAAGATGTCGTAGATCTGCTCGGTGAAACCACGCTGCAAGGGGTGTTAGAAAATGCGGGGCAAAGCGGCGGGGTGAAGGTTTATGGGCTTACAGAAAGCATTTCGTCGGCCTCGTCAAGGACGAACATCTTCATGGCGTCGGTGCGGAGAAAGCGACGCTGGATCATGTCGTGAACACGTCCGGGAGTTCCAACGACGACTTGGGGGCCGTCCTGGAGAGCCTTCATGTCGTCACGGACGCTGGTGCCACCAATGCAAGCGTGGCACTCGACGTTCATGAAATCGCCAATAGCGACCACGACCTTCTGAATTTGCTGAGCAAGCTCACGGGTGGGGGCGAGGATGAGTGCCTGGCACTGCTTCACCGCGGGGTCGATCTTCTGGAGAACGGAGATGGAGAAGGTGGCAGTCTTGCCAGTTCCGGACTGGGCCTGGGCAATAACATCGTGACCCTTGATGACGGGCATGATAGCACGCTGCTGGATAGCGGAGGGACGCTCGAAACCGTAGGCGTAGACTGCGCGGGCTTGTTAACAAGCCTGTCCATCTGTATTTGGGGTTTGTGGGTTTATTGGTTCCAACTTACCACCACGGAGCAGCTCGGACTTGAGGTTCATGTCGTCGAAGGAGTCGACGGTCTCATCGTAGTTGGACTCGATCTGTCCTATTGACGGGGAGGTGAGATGTTAGCATGTTGAACCACCTCAATTCTTTCGTCTCTGGTCCTCTTTGAGATTGGCATATTGCGTCGCCCTGTCTCAAAGGCGCGCAAGGGCAAGGGCGCAAGGGCAGTGGCAGCAGTGCAAGCCGTCCAGCTACGCTTGATGGGGGGGATAAGAAGACCCATATTCGCGCAGGCAGACATGATGCCCAAATGAACAGCGAGGCAGGAGAGAAAATATTTTCGCAAGCGAATGAGAGGCGGGTAGGAACTTACCCTCGGGGACGTCCTCGAGTCCCTTGTCGGTAGCCATGATTGCGGTTGTGGAAGAAAAAAAACTAGATCAAGCACAGCTCGACCTAGTTGGAGGGGAAATCGCGGGGTGAAGGGTAAGCGTGGGAAAAGATCGCAGGCTCCTCAAGCTGGGGCTGCGAGTGTCGCGGAATTAAATGTAACTTCGTCTAGTTCTTGCGCTCTCGAAATTCTCGAGAACAGACAGAACCAGGAATGGGCGTTTGATATATGTCGTGGATGGTTCCTTGTGGAAGTTGAGGAAGAAGGGGAAGAAAAAAGTTTCGACGGAGGGGCGCACCGCTGGGTTGTATTTTTTTTTCTTCGGGCCCTTTGGCTGGACCACGCATCGGGGCCAACCCCTCCACAGCCAATCATTAGGGCTGTGGCCAGGTCCAGGTGTGGGGCCTGCCAATGGGGGGGTGCAGCAGGGCACCAACAGTGAGTCCACCAAAAAAAATCCCATCTTTTGCCTGCGTTCGACCGGGTCTGCCACGATCCGCCACCCAGTCATGGGAGTCGTATGATTCTGCGGTGCTCTTTTTGGTGTTGAGCTAGCGGCAACAGCTTCAAATTTTACCACTAAGCGGCTGTGCCTTTCGTTCGACTGACTCACATCTGATGGTTCGAACTCCCTCGTCGACACACTTATCACTCAATCTCAGTCTCAATCTTAATCTCACTCTCACCCCTCTGATTCACCCTTTGCTCACCAGTCCCCTTGCTCGCGCGGACTTTTGGTGTTCTTTTGTTCTTATTTCCGATACCATCTTAGCTTCTCAGAAGTATTCCGGAGTTTTTTTGCCTATTTTTTTTTCTTTTCGCCCGGCGGCGCTACCTGCCTGTTCGACCCAATTCTTAAGCTCTCAATACCACCGCTTTAGGCTCCTGCTACACTACTACACAGAACTTACGCCGTAATATTGATTGCCCGCCTACGACGCTAGGGGCCCTTTCAGTGCTATCAATAAGTCCTGTTGGCTGCATTGAGTCCAGCTCAACATGCCATCTGCTCTCACTGCAGCACCCATGCACCATGAGTCACGTATAATCGTCAGCGATGACTCCCAACCTGGCGCGATCCCCTCGCATCCTCTAGGAGTCAAGCCCCTTGGCAACCAGTACTTTTTCCAGGGACCCAGCGCGCGCAAATGCATAGGGAAATGGCTGCCCCTGCCAGACGAGATTCTGATGGTCGTTTTGGAATACTTTGACCAGTCATCTTTGACTCAGCTCGGGGCCACGTGCAAGTTCTTTTTTGCCTTTTGCCACTCTGAAGAACTGTGGAAGGCGCTGTTCCTCCAGTAAGTACGAGTCTCGTAAAGAAAGTTTCCAGTGTCACAGTGAAGCACGCGGTTGGGGTGACAGATCAAAATCTTCCCCAAACGGAAACTGTCTCCCCGACTGCAGAGGCATGACTGATACATTGAGCATCCTTTCTTTTCTTTTCTTTTCTTTTCTTTTCTATGCTTTCTTGTTTTCTCTCCTGTGTTTGTAATTCTCATGCGTTGGCGCTGGTTTTGCCTCTTTTATTTGTTTCGTACCGTAAAGACTTACACGCGCCTGTTTCCTTGTAGGATATGCCCAAGTAATGACCAGGATGTCAAGTGGGCGGGATCTTGGAGATCGACTGTTCTCGGCCTCCCGGGGGATTTCGGCGTAAGGATCGACTGTAGTAATGTCTTTTCAGATGTCTTGCACCGGCCGTTCGCCTGTAGCAATATCAATCTGGCCCAGTTCACCTCCAACATCCCCAAGGCCAACCGCATCCGCCGGTTTGCTAACCTCACCCACGAGGAGTTTGCCGAGCGATGGGCTGAAGAACCGTTTGTTCTGTCGGAGTGCATCCAGTCGTGGCCCGTTACCTCGCAGTGGTCCATCGACAAGCTGCTAAAGGACTACGCTGACGTCAACTTCCGCGCAGAGGCTGTGGATTGGACGCTTTCTACTTATTGCAGGTATATGGACAAGAATTGGGATGAAAGCCCCCTGTACTTGTTCGATCGTGGGTTCGCAGAGAAGATGGGCATCAAGGTTGGACATGAGACTGGGGCAGCCTATTGGCGACCAGAGTGCTTCGGCCCTGACTTTTTCGAAGTGCTGGGCGATGAAAGACCGGCTCATCGATGGCTCATCATGGGGCCTGCACGAAGCGGTTCGACCTTCCATAAGGATCCAAATGCCACCAGTGCGTGGAATGCAGTTATCCAGGGCTCCAAGTATTGGATCATGTTCCCGCCAGCGGCCCAGGTCCCCGGGGTCTATGTCTCCAAGGACAGCAGCGAGGTAACGAGCCCGCTCAGCATCGCAGAGTGGCTGCTCACATTCCATGAGGAGGCACGCCGGCTTCCCGAGTGCGTCGAGGGGATTTGTGAAGCTGGAGAAATTCTGCATGTCCCCAGTGGCTGGTGGCACCTGGTGGTAAACATCGAAAGCGGGATCGCTCTGACGCAGAATTTTGTGCCACAGTCCCCGGGCTTACACAACTTGTCCGAGGCGCTGTCGTTCCTAAGAGACAAGGCAGACCAGGTATCCGGATTCCGACACGATATTGAGAGCCCATCAGATCTCTTCATCGAGAGGATGGGAGCTAAGTATCCGGAGCTTCTTGAAAAGGCGTTGGATATTGCGGATAGGAAGGCGGGGAAGAAGAGACGGTGGAACACTGCCATTGCTGTCGGTGACGAACAGCCGAGTGGCGGGTTCAGTTTCGGTTTCGCCCTGGGCGAGGACGACGATGAGATACCTTAATTAAGTAGAGCCATGGTCTGCGGACATAATGTATCACGATGTTCGGCATGCAGAAATCTGCATATAATTCATAGTCTACAGTGTACATGACAATTGCACCACACATGTCTCATTCACTCTACCTGATATTTAATGAAACCTCACTCTACTACTCAAGATCATGTTAAAATTTCCAGCTCAATAATAGACACTACATCTTTATAACCGTAGAAGGGTACATGGAGATTGCTACTTGATGCTGCGGTCCCTCGGCGAGTATATGAGGGTTGCCATCGACGTCTCAATAAATACTACATTTATGCTCACTACTCTCAATGGTACGTTCGCCGGTTGCTACATATCGAATATGATCTCAGTCGGCAGTTCGAGGTGAGGTGCAAAGGAGAAGTCTGTTAACTTGAAACTGGCCACATGCAAGGTCCTTGTGCACATGGCCATGTTATCGCGTTCTGTGCACTTGTGACCCTGTCTGTCATTTATGATCAAAACGTTGCATTAAGACTACCCGAGTGGCCGGTCTCTAGTGGTACATATGCAGCCTTGTGCGTAAAAGTTGCACTTTAGGATGTGATCTACTTGCCTATGCGATGTATGTAAACAGGCACATGGCACATTGCAGCTAGCGGTAGCCTCCTTTGTTGGCTTATCTGCCAAGTGGGTGACAGGAGAAATGAGACACCTAATGGAAGAGTTGGTTATTAATCGACTACTTTCTGCAATAAATAGAGAATTTCAGTAGTATAAAGCAAAAGAAAGTAACAATAAATACAGTATTATATATTATTGGGACTCAATAATCTGATAATACCGGTCGCAGACTTGAGAATAAGCAGCTTAATGTTTGAGTGTCTCAATTTCAATGTCACCCACGTGTCTGCCTCTTTGTTCTGTATCTGTGGGGTTTGTAGTGTAAGCCTGCTCCAAAGTACAAAGATGTAAGGAATTATCACCTGATCCATGCCACATTATGCCTCCATCAGCAACATTTTGATGCCCATAGCTAGGGTATTTAAGTTTACCATGGACTGGAAGCTTAGATGGGAGGAGGCAAAAGGAAAAGGGGGGGTGTATATGGCATCAAAATCAGTTAAAATGGCCACATTTCCCCTCTCTTTGCCTTTTCTTTATGATTTCTCGGATGAGCATTCAACAAGGTCTAGGTTAGCTGATGAAGGAAGGAACATTAAGGGAGGATCTGTCAAGCTCGACGCTCAGGCAAGTGACGCAGGCCCATCCTTGTTGGTGTAAGCGGGAGGGCAGCGAGAGAGCAGCCAATCAGCCCCGCTAGTGCTCTGTTAGCGCGCCTTCTAGCACTTCCGGGTGCTACAACCTGTCGCATTAGGGACCACGACCGTCCATGGCCGACATCCCCTGCGAGGAGTGAGACACCCACTGGCCGCGCCACTACGACTGCGACGTACCACCACCTGGCCCATGTTCATCCATGCCCACCACCCATCAGCTCGCGACGGCTCATGTGCGGTTTCGCCGTGGACCACCTTTGTTTCAACCCCAGGCCAAGGCCACGAACTCGTCCAGGGCGAGGGCCTTCAACGCCGCGCAGGACTTGTTGCCAGGTCTTCACTTCAGTAGGCACCCTCTGGCCAGCAAGAGCTCCCTATAGGCCGGCGGCGAGCTACCCCATTAGTAGCTACAGTAATAGCTGAGCTGGTGGTTCGCTCTGGGCCCGTTATCCACTCCCCCCTTTCAGCCTGTGTCTGACACTGAGACAGCTGAGAGGCGGCGCGACGTGCGTACTAGAGGTAATGTAAGCCATCATCTACTATCTCGATAGTACCTACCGCCTATCCGCTGGCTCCCATCGACCGCGACCGAGCCTCCTTGTCACATATTTTACACGTTTGCGACTTCTCCTCTCCCGCCTCGACCTCTTATTCGTTTCCCGTCTTGCGTTTGCGCTTTCTCGCTTCTCCTTCTGCCCCAGCGGTTGATTTGTCCTTGTAAGCTCCCACCCCCCTTGAGACCTCCCATCCCCCCTTTGAGGCGAACATGCACCTCATCTCACCTCAATGCGACGTCATTCCAGGGCTAAACGACATCTCAGCTCTCGCGACCGTACCTGTTTTTTTTTTTTATGTTTTTGGCCTTTCCTCTTTGCCGATCGTTTATAGCCTGATGCTATCGATAATACTTTGATTCTATTCTACTTATTCACCGTTGATACCTCCGCACCTCCAGAGCTCCGGTCGATCATCAAACAATCCTCCCACCGCCTGGGCCAACACGTTCAAGTTTCCGAAGTCTTGCTGGGCGTCAGCATACCGACAAGATGGTTTCGGACGAGCATTACGATATGTGTTTGCCTGTCCTGCAGGACCTGACACTCGACGACGAAGATAAAACGGATAAACTGGAAGAGCTCTTCAGAGCCAATACAAATCTTGCTGGGCCTTCGCTGGACAATGCGGTCCTCGATGCGTTATGGAGATATCGGGATGGCGGAGGGACAGCAGCATCTCCCCCTGCCATTAGGCATTCTATCCTGCGCCGCCCTTCTCCTGCTTCATGGCGCGGCTCTGGGACACCGCTTTCTGGCTCCCCGAGGCTCGGGGTAAGCCCCCTGGCCCCTCCCGGCTTTGTCCCCCCGACATTTGGTCGTACAATGTCATCTACAGCCTCGCCCTTTTCGTCGCCACGAGCATCCCCCCGACCGACTTTTGTAACGCCTTCGATTCCCCACAGCCCGAACTTGAGTGCATACGAATTCGCAAGTGACCTTACGCCAGCCACCGAGATCCTTGGTGAATACCAGACCGAGAACGTTGAGTGGCTTGTCAATGACGATGCCATTAGCGTTACGTCCTCTGTCGGAACCTCCAGTGGCCTCAATGCTGCTGCGCCGGAGTTCTCGTCCGCAGTGCCTGCCCATCAAATAGACATGTCTCCTTATGACATGCTCCGCTCAATTTTGGGTCACACAAGAACCGATGAAGAGATTGAGGCAGCTCTGGCAGACCATGGATACGATTTGAGCGCCACCATTGCAACTCTCATGGAGGGCCAGGCCCAGGACGCTGGCTTGGCTCTTGGCTCTGATGAAGTCAAGAGCGTCCTGGTTGGGAAGTCTCTTTCTGCTGAGGGAAGGCCCAGCACTCCTGTCAACCATAAATCCGGCGTCATCTGTAAGTTTTACATGTCTACCGGCCAATGTCTCCGCGCAGACTGTCGGTTCAGCCATGACTTGAGCAACCACCTTTGCAAGTGAGTTTCTTCTTCTCGTATCCCCTTTAGATTAGCGCTTTTTGCTAAACGAATGGCTTAGGTATTGGATCATGGGGAACTGTTTGGCAGGAGAGACTTGCATCTTTTCGCATGACCCTGCAAAGCTCATGAGTAAGCTTGCGATGGATGGAACAAGCACTCCACCAACAAAAGGCCAAGGAAATCTGCAGTTGCAGGATTTTAGCTCCTTTCCCTCTTTGCAGGGGACACCGGAACAGCTGGCTGCTCTTGCCAACAACCCTAATTTTGCGAACTTGGGTATTTCTGCTCCTCCGGGTCTACGGGCTTTCCACGGCTCTGACAGCCCTCGTTCCCGATCAAGACCGGGAAGTCGGCATCAGGGCAAGGAAGTTCCGCCGTCGGCCCCGGCACTGGACGACACAGAGGCTTTCCCATCTCTCGGCTCTGCATCGGCCACGAAGCAGGGTAAGAAGCACCATGGGAAGCGAGGTGGGCATGGCCATAATCACAAGGAGAATTCCACACCCAACTCCCTGGCCGATGTCGTGCGAATGAGCCCATCCCCAGTCATTGGATCACCACGACTTGAGGCTAAGCGGATTGGACGTAATGGGAGTGCCACTCCTCTCAAGAATGGAGAGAACAGTGCGGCGGCGCAGGCAATCTCCAGTCCGAAACATATACCTTGGCTTGAAACTGGCGAAAAAGCGAATAAGGCGTATTTGAAAGCTCGTCAGGAGGCTATCAAGCATGGTGGCCTCCGCAATAAGTTCTTACAAAGGTTTGTCTTTCCCATATTTCCTTGCCACTTGGTTTTCTATGAAACCTCCGTATTAATATCAAATAGTGCTGCCCAAGCATGGAATCGCAACGACGCTCGAGCTGCCAAGGCGCTTAGTCTTCGTGGCCAGAGCGAAAATGATCTCATGCGCAAAGCGCACCGAGAAGCTGCCCGAGAACTGTATGAGGAGCGTAACAAGAACAACTCCAACAGCTCCGAGATGTACGTGGATCTCCACGGGCTACATCCCGAAGAAGCTGTGGAGTACTTGGAGAAGATCCTCATGGAAAATGACCAAGAAACCCGACCTATCTATGCCATTACTGGCTCAGGACATCACAGCAAGAATGGCAAGGATAAGGTTGGCAAGGCCATTCGCAGTTTCCTCAATGAGTGGAGGTACGCCTACCGGGAATTTTCCGTTCCCGGCGATCGCAATAATATGGGCGGGATCTTGGGCATTGATGCTCGAAGCTGGGACAAGACACTAGCCAAGGAAGGGTCCGAGGAGGGAGGAGTTAAGACGACCGTTGAGGATCTCCTCGACCAAGCCGTGGAGATTGGGGATGGCAAAGTCAGGCTCCTTGTCCGAGACCCTCCCAAGGGCCCAAGTAGCCGCCGATGACAACTCGGCCCTGAAAGTAGTAAAACTTGAAAAACCTCTATTGAACCAGACCTCCCGTGCCTCTAAATGTGATATTAGTACCGCCGCTTACTCCCATGCCCATGGTCCAAGTGTATTGATGAAGCCATCCATGCATGCCTATTACCAATTCCCCCGATGCGACTGCCATGGAATGCTCTATAAATGAAATTACAAGTTTGCAAACTTATCATGCACGTTTAATGCAATGGGCAGGCTGCACTGTTGGCAGACGGGGACTTAGGTAGTCGCTGACTGGTGTTGTCGAAGGTTGATACTAAAATCCAGGCGTGTCTATTTCGGGTTATAATATGACGGCGAGCCACACGTGGCGCTTGGAGTTCCAGCCCGGTACTTCAGATCTAGGTAGAATCTCTTATACGAGTGCCCATGGAGGAACCTCCGCCAAAGTCCACAGATCCAGCCAACCCCATCCGTCACGTCAAGCAGATGCCCGGTCCCTGACGCAACTCCCCGGTCCCTCCGCCTGCGCCAGGATCCTGCAGAACCCCGACACTTCCTGCCATGATGCGAGCTGACTTCCTGGGAAGTCGCCCAACCATTAATCAGAGTCCCTTCTGCAATCTCACTGTCAGATCGCCTACCTAGCCGATCTTCAATTTTCCCAACAGGAGAAGCACGAGCAAGACAGGCAAAACGGTGTCCCATAGAATCCATTTCAACAACGCGCCGGTCGACCGAGATCCCGCACCGCACGGTACATATAAGCCAACATCACGAAGCAATTCCAATCGCACAACCTGCTGCGATGCCCGCAGACTACGAATCCACGGCCCAAGGCCTGGCGGTCTCGCCGTCGCGGTCAAGCGAATCACCGCCGCCAGGCTGGTCGCGACTCCAGTCCTCGTCCACCTCCCACCGCCGCATGCGATCCTTTGACCTCCCCGCCGCGAACAAGCCGTGGTACTCGGAGATCTGGAGGGCCCTGAAGATCTTCAACCAGCAGATCAAGCGGATATACGTCCAGATGACGGTGCTGCAGCGGATCCTGGCCATAATTGCCATCATCGCCGTCTACGCCCTGCTCGTCGTCGGCTGGATATACTCGCACTCGCTCTTCGACTGGCTGCACGGCGTGTCGACCTCCTGGAGGGCCCTCCCGGGCGGCTGGCTCATCATGTTCGCGCTCATCTTCGTGTCCTCGTTCCCGCCCATGATCGGCTACTCCACCATCAACACCATGTCGGGGTTCGTCTACGGCTTCCCCCACGGCTGGCCCATCGTCGCCGCGGGCTGCACCCTCGGCAGCCTGTGCGCCTTCATCGCCAGCAGGACCATCTTCAGCGGCTACATCGACCGCACCGTCGGCAAGGACGCCAAGTTCATCGCGCTCAGCCAGGTGCTCAAGCGGGACGGCCTCCTCTACCTGACCGGCATCCGCTTCTGCCCCCTGCCGTTCAGCTTGAGTAACGGCTTCCTCGCTACGATTCCGAGCATCTCGCCCATCGCATTTGCCATTTCTACGGCGTTTTCGACGTAAGTTCAAGTTCCGTACCCCTCCAATTTCAGCAATAGGAACCTTGGCAAGCTAACCATGTCCTTGCAGCCCAAAACTTCTTATCCATGTCTTCATTGGTAGCCGCCTCGCCGCCCTCGCCGAGAGCGGCGACAAGATGTCATTCGGCGACAAGATGGTCAACTATCTCGGCATGGGAGCCGGCGCCATCGTCGGCATCGTCGTCGGCTGGGTCGTCTACAGGCGCACAATGGCCCGCGCCGCCGAGGTCGCCAGAGAAGAGGCCGCGGAGCTTGGCCGAGCCGGCCCCCCGGCCTTCCTGGACGTCGACGGCGAGACCATGATGGATCCCGAGGACGCCGCCGCCCTCATGTCTGACGATGACATGTCGCTCTGGGACACGCAGCTCGACGAGCCGGACATCTACCACGACGAGCAGGACGAGTCCAAGGGCAAGGCCGGAGAGCCCGGCTCGAAACCTGCCAAAAGCCAGGACTTGAGTGAATGAAAATCATCATACCTAGACACGCACGATGCAAATTACGAGACTATGTACATTACATGATTTTTGGGGCATGTTGCTATTCGATGCCCGCTTTCTTCTTTTCTTTTCTTTCTCCTTCTTTTTCTTAATCCTCCACTTTCGAAATGTTAGACCTTTTTTTCCGGGGGCTTGAATGATTTTATGGCTGGGAGCTTCGGTATTTAGTGGCGTTTACAAGGGCTGATTGAACGGAGACGTGGACAATTAGAGACATTAGTATATGATTAGAGGAGGCACTGGATATCTAAAACATTGGAATCAAAAAGGAGCACTGAAACATTGTACAGCCCACGTAATCCCTCACACTCGTGCCTAATGTGCTTTGAAGAGAAAGAATACAACCAAGTCAAAAATAGGATGAAATCAAAAATATCAATCGCATGATGCTTTCGCCATTTTCCCAACGCCATCGCTCATGTCCACCCAGTCGTAACAATTTCGTAAGAACTGAAGAGCAAAACTAATTAAAAAATCGAGGTATATGCAACATCTTTCAGGGCTGGCCAGGTCGATACTGGTTCATGATCTGCATGGCCTGCTCTACCGGATATCCGATGAAGACGGGGCCGGTGAAGATCATCTGCGGGGGATTTCCAGCCCATTTGGACATGTCGGGGTTGATCAGGGCCGGCTGAGGCTGCACGGTAGATTGCGCGTGCGGAGGATCCTCCTTCAGAGGTGAGAACGGGGAGTTCTGCTGAGCTTCAGTGGCAGGCGACTTTTCAGCCTCTGACTTCTGCGGAGATTGCTGCCCCGTGGCAAGAGCCTGGAGCTTGGTGTGGTCGAAGGGACATTTCTTCAGAGGCTCCTTGACTGGTGTCCTAGCCGTGTGGGAGGGGCTGGGCATCCGCACAGGAGCAGGAGGTGGGGAGAAAGGTTGCCGCGGCTCGTCGTTGTTGTCCTCGGGCTCGTACACGGGGACATGGATCCCCCAAGGCCGACTGGGGGATTCACCGACACGGACTTCTTTGAAAGGGCGATCAAATCGTGTTTCCCTATCTTCTTCGCCCGATTCGCTGGCCTCCTCAATAGCGTCAGAGTCGGTGACTGTAACGGCCTTGGCCCAGTCTTTGACTCGCTCATTGGAAGCCCGCTCGATCTCACTCTGACGACGAGGCCGCTCTTGATCCGTTTCAGGCAGCATCGGTTGGTGCAGTTGGCCGAGGCCTTCAATCATGCTGACGATGTTGCCGTACTTGGAGTCGATCTTCTTGATCTGTTCCTCGTTGTGCTGATATCGCCGGAGGCAAATCTCATGGCTGCGAGGGAGCTGATGCTTATGCGTTTCGACGTAGTGTGCAATCTCCTCGGGCGAGTGCTGATCCATATACCGTATTGGACACTTTCCAGCAGCGGCATTTGGATCTCCGCCCTGAGACTGCGAGGCTGCCGACATGGCTGCGCAGATTGGGTCTGTGGAGTCATGTGGCGTTGGATGCGGTGGCACAGGTGCCTGATCCTCGCCCTCGGCCTCGGAAGCGCCGTTGGTGGCAGCTTTGGGTTGCGAGAAGGGACATTGCAGGTTGCCCTTCTTGCCCTCCACAGTGAAGTCCTGCTCCAGCGCGGTGGACATGGAGGATTTTCTTCCGGAGCTCTGGGAAAATGAGTCCTTGGTCGAAGCGGTAGTCTTGCTTGCCTCTCCCAGAGATGCAAGCTGACCGGCCATCCTGCGACCGTCCCGGATGACCAATGCAACCTCGTGCTGGGACCTGGGGGAGCCGCGACGAGGCAGTGGAACAGGGGAATCTTTGTCCACAGATGTGTGCGGTGGGAGCTGCAGCTTGGCAAGCGTCTCGGCTATTTCAGGTGTCGCCGGGGCATACTTGTCAGCCAAGTATTGGAGCTGTGGATGGTTGAGCGGCATTAGCATCGATGACATCTCAACTGCTGACGTAACGTCAACGTGGGCAGAGGGTGAGGTGATGGCAAGTGTGGAAAGTGCGCAGGATTGGGTTCAGAGGGTTGAAGAAAAAGTTTCACTCTTAGCAGACGCTGCTGCTCGTGATCTAGAGCTAAATTGGTATTCATCATGAAAGCGCGCGCTGACACAACCGATGGGCGACCGCTCTCTTTCAACTACAGGCCTGCCGGAGGGGGGCGGCGCCGGGGTTTGGGTTGTCCCAAGACCGAACCGATGTCGCCGACAGTGCCAGGCAGAGAGGGAGAGGCGCCAAAGGGTGTTGTGTGGGAGGGTTGGCAGTAGTGCAGACCAGGTGAAAAAATTGCTTACCTGCTCGTGTGCAAACCGCAGTTTGTGCTCCAGCACAATGCGGCGGTCGTTTAGGCCCTGGGCCTCATCGGCGAGGGCATTGAAGGCATCGGCAAGATTGTGCGAAAGCTCAAGGTGCGACATGCCCATGCCTAAGGATGCCGCTGGAGTGCGCGAAGAGAGGTGAGAGCATCTTGGGGAGAGTGAACAGGTGATGGTTTTTTTTTTGTAGGCAGAAACGATGGAAGGTACTGGCGCTGTAGCCCCCGAGATTGGAGCAGGACTAGCGCTGTCTCACAGTGCTAACCCGCCCTGGCGCGACACTGTCTGCTGCTCCCAACCGCCTGCATTTCGCCCTCGGAAAGGAGCCCAAACCCACATCTGCTCACCTCCTTGATTGCGGGAAGCGAAGCGATTGGGACGGATCCTGTTCTACCGCCTACCCTGTAGCTGCACGTAGTTATCTCTTTGAGCACTTATCACCCTGTTGCCGCTCCTGCATGTACTGACAGGTGTTGACCCATTGCGATGTAGTGTTGGATTGGGTATATATTCTAGTGGGTGGTGTGGAGTGGGATATCGTACTGATGCTCCTGTGGCACGTCTGCCACTACCGTCCTCCATGACTGTTGATCTCGACCTTGAAAACGGCCTGTACCACGCAGACCAAGCTAACCGTCTGAACATCCACATAACCATGTCCGACGCCTCTGAGATCCCAACAGCAAAGCTGCTTAGCAGCAAGGACCACATCGTGCCTGGCCAATATGTCGTGACCGAGCTCATGTTCCAGGTGCCTCTGGACTATTCCGACCCCTCTGGAGCTTCAATCACCCTCTTTGCTCGCCGTGCTACCAAACATGAAGTCCCAATCTTCCCTCAGGATGATCCCGAGGCCATCCAAACTCAGGCCACCAAGCCCTACATTGTCTACCTCGAGGGTGGACCTGGTTTTGGGAACCGTGAGCCCCAGGAACATCCCATCACTCGGTCGTTCATCTCCAGGGGATATCAGGTTCTGCTCCTCGACCATCGTGGTGTTGGGCTGAGCACCCCTGTATCGGCTGATATGCTCAAGGCTTTACCCGGCGGGGTAGAGGGACAGTTCGAGTATCTCAAGCTCATGCGGCAGGACAATACCGTCCGTGACTGTGAAGCCGTCCGCAAGTGCCTCACCGAGGGCTGGCCAGAGCACAAGTCGAAGTGGTCCACGTTCGGCCAGTCCTATGGCGGCTTCGTCAGTCTCAGCTACCTGTCGTTGCACCCCGAAGGTCTGAGGGAGGTTTTCCTGACTGGCGGGCTGGCCCCCGTGGGTAAAACTGCCGACGAGGTGTACAGGGCAACCTTCCCCAGAGTGATCAAGCGGAACGAGGCCTACTATAAGAAATTCCCCGAGGATGTCGAGAACGTGCGGCAGGTCGCCGCCTACATCGAGAGCAAAGGCGGCGTGCCCCTCCCCTCTGGTGGATCACTGACAGTACCACGCTTGCTATCCATCGGGATTTCCTTTGGTGCTCACGGAGGATTCGACAGTGTTCACTCCATCATCCTCCACCTCAAGACCTCGCTGGACCAGTTCGGCTTCCTCACCCGGGCCAGTCTTACACCCCTCGAGTCCGTCACCCCGTTCGACACCAACATCATCTACGCCATCATCCACGAGGCAATCTACTGCGACGGGCCCGGATACGCCTCCAACTGGGCCTCGGAGCGGGTTGGGCGCAACTTTGACGAGTACTCGTGGCTCCAGCCTCTGAGCTCCGCCCTCGGCTCGGACGGCCCCTTGTACTTCTCCGGGGAGAACGTGTTCCCATTCCACTTTGACACGTACCCCGAGCTCGCGGAGCTGAAGCAGGTCTCGGAGAAGCTTGCCAAGTTCGACCAGTGGCCGGCGTTATATGACCAAGAGAAGCTCAAGAAGAACACGGTCCCTGTCTATGCTGCCTCTTATATCGACGACATGTACGTCGATTATGAGTTCGCCAAGGATACCGCGAACCTGGTCCAAGGGACAAAGGTGTTTGAGACGAATGTTATGTATCATTCCGCTCTTCGAGCGAAGACTGAAACGGTGCTCCAGAATCTCTTCCGATTGAGGGATGATGTGATTGATTAACGCCCACAAGGTTCTTTCGTGGTCCAGAAAGAGTACATCTGGATGAAATATATAGAGGTTTACTGCAGCCTGTCAATAACCAGTCTAGAAGATAGAAACTATAAATGATTCATGATTGTGTGTCTGACTCTATTCATCCATGGTAAATGGTGAGAGGCTGTTGTTCCCGCTGCTCGTCTTGCCCCTCCCCGTCTATTAATCTATAGCAATTACCCTACTCCAGCCCAAAGTCTATTTCTGCCTGCGTCTGGGCTTGCCACAATCTATTGGCTGCATTCGATATCACCTCCGCCTTGGCGAGCAGCTTCTCCTCGTACTTCTTGTTGTCCTTGCCCTTCTGACGAAGCTTGTGTGGCTGGGCTTGCAGCAGAACCGGCACCAGCTCAGACGGGTCAGCGTTGGCGATTGCGCCGACTGTGCGGAACCCGCTCTCCCAGAAGACACGGGCTGTCCGGCTCTTGACGAAGGGAATCTTGGCCAGTTCCAGCAAGTCTGCTCGGGCGCCGGCCATCAGCCTGTCGGAGAAGTGGTCCAGAGTGGCGGCTAGGATTCCCCAGCCCATTTGCTCGCAAAACTTGATCATCCCCGCTGCAAAGCCCTGGCAGGTCTGTGAGAGGTTTTGGACGGTCCCTCGAGGTACCTCGTACTTTTGTGCAACGACGTGGACCGGAACCTCGTTGCACAAGTCGCGTAGCTGCAAGGCAAAGTAGAAGCGGCGGTATATTTTGGCTTGTTTCTTTTCCTCTGGCGTAGTTTCTTTCATTGTCGCACCTTGCGCCCTATTTCCATTGTTAAAAAAAAAACAACTAATAACCCCTAGGTGAGAGAGTGAGCTGGTGGAAAAAGGAAGTACTTGCAGTCGAATGATGGTGGCCGGCTGGATCCCCAGAATGCGGAGGACACGGAATCCACTGTCGTCGAGAGACCCCATTTCGTCTCTGAAAACTTGCCAATTGACAGCTGCGGCAAAGTCTTGCACGGGGGTGAATGTGTATAAAATATGCATGTCTCCATCCATTACGAAAGCCTTCAGTGCCCTACTGAGCTCCTCATGGATGAAGACACCATCGTCAGGGTCCAATGCGGAAGCCACAACGGCTTTGCCAAGTTGTGTTGCTGAATAACCCCCATGCCCGTCTTTTACAACAAATTCGAGTTCAGTAACTTCCTTGAGGCCGGTATCTAATAGTTTATCAATATGTTCAGTCCCATGAGTATATCGTAAGAGGGACTTTTGGAAGTGTTCCCGAATAGATTCGTGACTGGTAGCAAGCCTGACTGAGATGACTTCCAGAAGTGCCCTATTAATAGTATTAGCAGCCATTCAGCATGTCGAGCTGGGGCGCAGGAGATAAATACCTGTGAAAACGACGGTTCTCATTGTTGAGGCAGCTGATGACTTCTGGTAAATCGGCATGCATAAGCTCTACAACTTGTTCTAGGTCGCCCTCACGACAGCACAGATAAGTCTCTCCAACAGGTGCCTTGCCTTGCCTGCCAGCACGGCCCCTCATCTGTCGCAGAAGGGCCGGACCAACGAAGTCCCGCCCCATGCGAGCATTATGAAGTATTACTCTGCGAGCTGGTCTATCTCCATGTTAATTAGGGAGCTGCAAAACCATGGTGTTGCGTGGGGGTGAGCTTACAGATTGATACCAGCAGCAAGGCTGCAGGTAGCAACACAGACGAGGATGGCACCTGAGTCGTATGCAGCGGCCACGAGCTCTCTCTCCTCTGTTGTTAATCCGGCCTTAGAATGAAGCGTTAGAAACAACTTGGGTTGTGACATATGTGGAAACTTACGTCTATTGCAGATGGTTAATTCAACGCTTGCTGACCCGACGCAATCTGCATAGGATATGGTACGTTTTGGAACTTACGGTGGAACGCAACACCTTGCAAAACTGTTTCCCCTAATACCGGGTCTAATCCAGTCGAGAGACTGCGTAGATCCTCCAGCAATTCTGTTCTTTTTTCAAGGAGCTCTGGGCTGATCTCGTGTGGCTGTGGCATCACCCGGCTGATCCAGCGGGCATCCGATTCGCAGGATCCGCGACTGCCAGCAAAGACTAGTACTCCGTGACCTGCCGAGGCAGTCTCATAAGCAAGAGAGACGACCGAGTTCAGGACTGACTCCGTGAGCTCTTTGTGTTCTGAAGGCTCAATTCTTCTCATCGCTGAAAGTTTATCTTCCATTGAGCGCTGACTTTTCAGACTAGACGCCGTTTTAAGAAGACTTTGCGTGCTTGCCGCAGGATAGATGTTTCCTTCACACACCAGGTGCTCGTGAATGGGTACTGGCCGGTATTTCGTCTCATATGAGTACGCGTTGAGCCACTTAGCGATGATATCAAGATTCTATGATTGGATTAGCCGAGCCGTGCGAAGTTGAGACTGGATAACACACAGGCAGAGTCGCGCTCATGGCTATTATCTGGACACGCTGTTCCAAACTCAGTAGTTTGGTCGTCATGAGTTCAAGCAAATAGCCCCGATGGCCATCATCGATCATATGGAGCTCATCCAGCACAACCGCTCGAAGTTGTGAAATCGAGCAATCATCGATGGCCGTATTGATAAGGGAGTTGGCCTAGACTTGGTATTAGAGCAGAGCAAAAAATTGAAGGGCGAACCCGGAAAAGTATCACACCTTCTCCAACGTGCAAACACCGATATCGAAGTCATTCCAGGTAGCCCTGATTTTGCCTCCACCGAAGAAGCCGACAACTCGGATGGTGTCCTCGTCGGCCCAACGTTTCCCGTGTAATGGATTCTGACTACTCTCTGGGGAGTTCTCATCAAACGATAACCCCTGGACGACACCGCGGAGCCAGCGAACTTTCTCCTGAACCAGAGCCACATATGGAAGCACAAGCAATGCCTTTGCAGTTTTGTTGTTTATGATTCGTTTCAACATCAAGACTAACCCCCAATCAGCAACTGCCTTGAACTAGTTTCGCATATTCTAGCTTGCGGCGAAACTTACGATCAGCTACCAAGGATTTGCCTCCGCCAGTGGGGGCACAGTATACAAGATTTTTAGAACCGCTCAGGAGCTGGGGTCCTTTTAAGCAATTTTTCTGCCATGGGTAGATTTGCTTGATTCCAAGGGAAGCAAAGTTCTGCACAAGACGAGGCGGCAGCCCATAAAGCGGGTGGGCGAGACTGAGCTCGGGGTCATAATCAGACGTTGGCGTGGCTGAAATTGCAACACGCTGAGTCCATTCCGATGGGCCCTCCTCGGGTGTCTCTAAATTTACTATTGGGCTGGCAGAAAGCCTCCGGGCAGCGCCGGACGCCGTCGAAGCCCTCTTGAACTGGACTGGGCCTCTACTGATACCCTGCTGATTGCTGGGAGTATCACTCGCGGACCAGCTTCTCTTTTGCCCGGCATGGGAGGTAACAGTGGTGAACGTTGTTGAACGCTCGTCATTTGCCGCTGTGAGACTCGTTTTGTGCAAGATGCCTTGCATGCTATTCATTATGAGAAAACATCAAACCTTCCCAGAGCGGTTGCTGCAGGGTTCTGGAGACTCCGGCCGTGAGAAAAAAGCAACAGAACCCTATGATTGGGAACCGGGAACTGCGCGATGCGATGCAATGCGATGTGACGTGACTTTACGTGAAGCAGTGTAACGCGAGATCACGTGATGCAGAACACCGATTACGCAGCCAGACCCATTGCGCTCGGCTCTCAGCGTCATAAGGGTTGGATAAGAGCCGGTGGCACTTCGTATTACAGGCAGCACATACGGCACAACCCAGGCGGCCCCTTGGCTGCCTGGTGGAAAGAACGTCCACGGGCGAATGCCGGTACCTCCTCCCTTGGTGAGACCGAAGTTTCAAATGCCAGCGATTTTTACGGAGCCCATTTTAGTGGAAGAGTCCCGAGATGAACCCCTGACCTACAGATTCTGGCAGGTTTATAATTACGCCGGACGCAATGGTTCTTCTGGGGTCTTCCAGGTGCCCCCTTCCCTCGTCCCTGACTCGAGCGATTCCGGGTCTGCAAGGAAATGCAGCCTCCACCTCATATCATCATCGTCTCGCCCCGGCCCGGCACCTGTAATGGTACCCAACAGTGATCGCCCTCTCCAGCTGCGTTGTCGCGGTAGAAAAAGCTGGGTCCTTCTCTTCAGGCATTAATGCTAGCCTCCCTTTGATTCTGTGATATGAATGAAGCGCCTGTCGTCGTGTGGCAAAGGGAGGGCATAAAACCGTCATTTTATGTGTGAGGTGACATGCACAAAACACGAGGGTTGTGTCACACAGGTCAAGGGCTTCGTCTCAATCTATGAACACCAAGCCTCAAGGAGATGAGATAATTGGCCAACATGGTGCGATATAAAATACGTGGGCTACTCGTCATATAAAAGTTTCCAGTAGTTGGAATGTGGCGATATGAACAGGAGAAATATCTTTCTTTGGCTGGCATGATGCAGGTAATGAGGGCCTGTCAAGTGGGTGACAAATGACATTGCACACCAAATGGCACTTTGATCACCAAACCCTTCATAATTATAGTCTAATAACCCAGCAATAAATATACAATATACCCTCTCTAAATACAATAGTTCAATATTTAAACCTCTAAGAATTGTTTTGTAGTTTTAATTCACTATTTTGATCAGATTCAGCTGTTGGACTGAGGATTGAAAATGCCTATGATTTGCGTGTGCAATGTCTTATGTCACCCGGCTGCCTGTCTGTGACGGGTGGGCTTTTTGGATGTGCAACCTGATCGACGGCTGTGAGGATCGTCCCAAGAAACGTGCGGGCGCTGGCTTGAGAATATGCACTGTGGAGATAGACGTCATGTAGCCTTCCGCCCTGTCTGGAACTGTATCCTGGTTCGGGGTGCTGGGAGAGTTGTTTGCTCCCAGCAAACAATAGCCGACGAGGAAAACGCTCCCGTGCTGTTGAAAGAATCTCAGGCTGGGCAATCAGCTACCGAGGCAGGGCAAGGCCAGGATGGGGTGGGATAGGATTGGTGTCGATAC